GGATCCCAATATGCTGGTTACCGCTTGCATTCTTGCTGTTTTTGAGCTCATGTCTGGCGGTTCCAAGAACTGGAAGCGTCATGTCGAGGGCTGCGCGTCGCTGTTTGAGTTCTTTGGAGTCGACGGTTTCTCCGGTGGCCTACCGCAAGCTGTCTTCTGGTGCTACGCCAGGATGGAGTTGTGCGGAGCGATCATATCAGATGGGACAGAAACGGCTGTTCTTCCTCTATCAAAATGGGCTCCATCACCGGCTGAGTCATTGGTATCGTCTGAACAAGTCGAGCGATATGTGCGGGACATGTTTCATCGAAGGAGCCGAGATTGTCCAGACATGCAGGCTAACTGGGCTATTTATCTCTGCACAAAAGTCTGCGATCTAAAATTTCGAAGAACACAGAGTCTAGAACTCGGAAGAGCAGATGTCCAAGATGATAGGCCATTCCAAGAACAATGGCAACAGCTCTGGAATGAGCTTCAATACTGGCTTGACGAGCGCCCAGCAACAATGAAGCAAATCAGTATGATCGAAGCAGGCGATAAGCAGATCTTTCCAGCCATGCTTTTTCCCCACTGGGCAGCTATTTCGAGTAATCAGATCTATCACACTGCATGTATCCTCATGCTGGAAATGCGTCATGACTTAGACTCTCAGTGTCTGGCGCTGTGGCATGCACGACAAGTCTGTGGAATATCCTGCGCAAATCTCCATCCCGGAAGTCTTGTGAACTCCATACAACCACTCTATATAGCAGGAAAGCTCTTCTCACATGTCAACGAGAGGAAGCAGATCGCTAGGCTGCTGAAGAGCATTGATAGGACGACGGGATGGGGAGCTTTGTGGAGGTTGACGGATCTTGAGGCTGAATGGGGCTATGATGTTGGCGCGCTGCTAAAGACGCTGTAGGGACTTGCGACAGGGATTTTAGCGAACAATAGACCCAGAAAACTGGTAACATATCATAATATTAAGCATGATTCCACTAGACCCCGTTCACATGCTTCTTGATCGACTATCCGCCATCGCATAACACACCCATTTTCAGGATAGCGTGCCCAGAACGAGTGGAGTCAATCGCCAACACTCAGCGGTCATGCACTGCCCGTATAAAGGTTTTCGTCTTTTAGAAGATCCCTGCTCCGTCTTTCATTATCTACAAACATTCATATTCTCCAGATAAACGCCATGGCTTCACCGAGACCAGTCATCAGTGTCCTCGGATCACTCAACATCGACCTCGTATCATATGTTCCCCATCATCCCCTGCCCGGTGAGACAATAACTTCAAGCCGGTTCAATGTCTTCCCTGGTGGAAAGGGCGCCAACCAAGCTGTTGCTTGTGCGAAGCTTTCGAGAACTTCCGATCTGAAGAACCCAAGCGTTGATGTTGCAATGATAGGTGCCGTTGGAGCCGATGCTTATGGTTCTGTACTCCTTGACAGTCTCAAGTCATATGATGTTGGAACCAACTCTATCATTGTGAACAAGGATGGAGGCGCCGAGTCACAGAGTGGCATTGCAATGGTTATTGTCGATGAGCCAACAGGCCAGAACCGCATCATCTTATCACCGGGTGCCAACAATTCTCTCCAACCAAGCCACTTCGCCGAGATTCCTGGCCCAGCACCGTCATTGCTTATCATGCAGCTTGAGATCCCTCTGCAGACAGTCATTCAGGCATTCAAAGCCGCCAAGACGACAGGAACTCCCGTTCTGCTCAACCCCGCTCCCGCTCAAGTGCTCCCATCAGAGATCTACCAAGGATTAGCCCACTTGATCCTCAACGAGACCGAAGCGGCTTTATTGTCAGATAAGGACGAGTCCGAGTTTGAAGACATCTCAGTTGTTGAAAAGGCCGCTGCCGGTTTCCTTGCTCGAGGCGTGCGGAACGTGGTGATTACTCTGGGCGGGAAAGGCGCATACTATGCCAACGACACAGGCGCCAAGGGCCTCATCCCCGCTCTGAAGGTTGACGTTGTGGACACGACTGCTGCTGGTGACACATTCATCGGTGCTTATGCAGTTGAGCTTGCAGGTGCTGAGCAACGGTCGGAGCAGTTCGACATTGAGAAGGCTGTCAGGTCAGGAATCTGGGCGTCATCGAAGACAGTCGTGCGAAGGGGAGCGCAGGTGTCTATACCATGGAAGGATGAATTGGAGTCAACGAAGTAACGGAAGATAATTAAATTAATACGATTCCCATGGCCCTATCTGATCCGCTTCGCTATCATAAAATGTCAGGAATGCGCATTTGTCGGTGCGCTGGTATGTCTAGAAGAAGCCCAAAACTCCTGCAGATCCGCAATCTCTATATGAAGAGGAATCTTTGTCGCATCCCCAATTCGCTGGAAACATGAGAGCAATGTCTCTTGCTGGGACGGATATGTCATATCTCTCGCTATACGAACAACAGTTGCAACAACCACAGGATCCCATTGATCAGAAAAGTTATTCCATAGAGCAAGTTTGGCGAGCTTTTGAGCATGCCAGCTTCTGGAAGCTAAGCGATGTGGTATCGATGATAATTTGACTAAGCGTGGTTTATATGAAAGCAGCATAAGGGCTGAAAAGTGAATTGCCAGGTTTGCTTGAACCGCAATGGCGCTCGAATAGACGTCTGCTGTGAATGGGGTATTGGTGGAGGCTGCGTGGTCTACTTCCGGGCTCTCTAGTAAGGGGATCATATCAGGAGGACGATCTCGAAACCATTGTACACAGCGTGCCCATAGTTTGGACCATGTTGACCAAACAAGTGAGTAAGAATCGTGAGTTGGTGATTGTGCTGGTGCGATGCCGTTGAAGAGAGGGATGATTTCATCGTGGATTAAGTGGCAGCATGCCGCGAGATGCGTTAGACAGTCGTCGTAAATGCTCGGCGGTGTCAGGGCAGAGGTTAAGAATGTGTCGTTCATTAGTGGTAGGGACTGTAGTGATGGGGACTTGGTGGTAATAATGGAAGCAGCAAGCTCTGTTGGTCAGGGTTAGCTCGTCTCTTACAGAGCATAAGAGCGGATATAGTACCTGTCTTAAAGTGAAAACGATCAAGAGTTTTGAGAGGTTCCTCCTGACTCTCAAAGAACTGACATCGCTCTCTCACATCTGCGTAATCAGAGTGCAGATTTGCCCACTCAGATGGACCAGTATAAAAGAAATTACCGAGAGCAAGTAGTGACCGTCCGATGTTAGCGATAAAAGCTTCCTCCAGGGACAGCCGATGCTGGAATTGTTGAACAAGGTGAGTATCGCCTTCATGCGTCGCGGAGCTCGAACTCCTCCTACTGCGACGCATCGCAACCCATATGACGATATCCATTATGGTAGACTTCTCTGCTGCTAATGTCATGATCTTTGGCCCAAAGGTTGATCTAGGGGCATTTGAGTCTAGCCAGGGGACTATTTGATAGCGAAATCGAAGCATTGCTGTTTGTCTCTCTGAAGAGTTCTGCTCTGATAGAACTGTTTCGTTCCATCTTGACGGCGTGGGGATTTGGTTACCGTCGTGTTGGTGATGATTGTTGGTTGAAGGGATTGGTTGAGGAGCATCTGTAGTCGTGTTGTGAATAGTTTCAGGTCTTTCTGTCCGAGCAGTACTGGCTATGGGGCTCTCAAAGACTGGTTCGGCGGGAGCAGGACTTGACTCGACAAAGGATAACAGACTATCTTGGATGGGCTGAAAGCAGTGTTAGTACTAGATTGACTGACTCGTGGAAGATATATAAACTGACCAGAGATGAATCAACATCATCGCCATTGTCCCCTTGCACGCTACCATCTTTGCGCAGTGATGAGCGAACCCCTGGCACAAAGGTCCACTCTTTGAACTCGCACGTCACATTCCTCCCGATACAACTGCCGCATTGAGGTCTTTGTTCATCACCTTACATCCAAATGTTAGACAAAAGTCACATGGAGAGACGCGCCCGACTAACATTTTCTTCGACGTCTCCGGCAGGGGATACAGCCTGTGCGGGACCGTCTTTTGTTATCGGGTATTCGTCTTACGACTGGCATTGCGATAAGGTACACACGCACGCGTTTTTGACGAGAAAGATGGAGCGATGGGAAAAGAGGAGTCTTGAGGGCGGTGGAGATGGGCAGATTCTAAACTTAATTTCTTGGGGTAGACGATTTGATCAATACAACATGATATCGGATTTTGGGATATCATTGCTGATTTCCATATTAAAGGGCAATCTGGGATATATTAATGGAGGTGGCCTCATTAGAAGGGCTCTTCATCTATTTCTTGGCTGACGAAATGGCATGCAACTGCCAGCGGCACATTCCCAAGCATGATGCTAGACCAGAACAGGAAAGGTTCTCGAAATCCGTACCGAAAATGAAGCTATCGATACTGTGTGCATCCTCCTCTATGTAACTCAGTTTAAGCCTCGAATATTAATCAAGATGGTTCAGGTTATCAGAAAGCAGCAATAAAGATCTCAAATAGAGCTCATCACCAATTAAGTTGCAGTCAGGTCAACGATCAGCGCCAGAAAGCATCCCAAGTCCAGAGCAGAATGTCACTTGGCGAGAATTCACTGGGTCTGATGCATTAAATCACAAGGAAACGGTTGGCGAGAAGCTCAATGATACCATAATATAAACGGTTAGATGCAATAAGTAGCAGAAAAGCCAGGAACTGAAGGTTGTGAGGCCAGTCTTCTTGGGCTATAGTGTTGCGATCTTGACCGTTTGGCTTCAGTGACAGGGAGGGCGTGGTCAAAGAGCGACGCCATCGTGGGAAAGCAATCTCAGCCCCAGAAGCCTGGACCACAGACTATAGATGCGGCTGAGAATACCCAGGTCATAATTGGTCTTTTCTACCGGGGTTGAATGTGAGGCGCTCCTAGGTTGCATGAGAATGTCACACCTCCGCAATGAAACGGCTCGAATATCATATGGAGGATGCGCAGGCATTACATATATACCTGGGAAGCTGATCAGAACAACCTCATAAAAAAATAGAAATTGCTTCCTTCAAGTTTTTAACGGGATGAAAATGCAGATCTCACTCTTCGTCCTCTTCGCAACTGTTGCACAAGCCCAGTGGAAGGGTTGTTCCAGTCCTTGGCCCAACATAACCCCCGGCAAACAATATACCCTCAAAGATAAATGTCGCACTCTAGCAGGCTATCCAAAGAAGTTTCGAGGTACAGAAGTCACCGTGACCTATACGCAGCAATGGAGCCGTCTACCCGGCAACACCAAAACAGCCGTAAACTCAATCCTCAAAGAATCTATCGAGAAAAGCGTGGAAGCCTACCGCAAATTCGCAAAGCTTCCATCAGGCATTGTCGTCATTTTGACAACAGAAAGTGATGAAGAATTTACAGCCGAGACTTACTATCCTAGTCTTAAGAAACCACCGTGTCAGATCAAGTTGCTCAAGAGATGGACCACCGAAGCAACGACGAATAAACCCCGGGTGCTACAGGCCCTTTCGCATGAGATATATCATTGCATCCAGAGTCTCGGGAAATTTGGCAATCATCCTGATCCGCAATGGGTTCGTGAGGGCACTGCGAATTATTTCAGTAACCTCGTCTTTCCTGACTCCAACGCCGAATGGCCTGATAAGGAGCATAGCGGCGTCGCGTATAAGCCAAATCTACCAATCTATGCACATGTTGGTTTAGAAGCCTACGCGGCCAGCATCTTCTTTCAAGCGCAAGACAAAATGGATGAGGATGAGTTGAACAAATTTGTTCTGGCAACGCCTGGAGGATCAAGCGGGCTCCAAGAACGAACTCGACTTTCACATGTATCCGGATTCACCGACGAGTTTTTCATTTTCGCAAAAGCTTTCGCACTACAGCAGATCCAAGATACCAACGGAGATCTCATTCCGATCGCCAAAATTAACCCCGTTTCTGCCTCAATCCAGTTTGACAAAGCGGGCACTACCGGCACCGCAACGCTCACAAGCACGCCGTTCACTATTTCGGTCTTCAAGATAGCCATCGACCCCGGGAGGACGGCAAAGATTTACTCATCGGCGGACGATAACCAGAAGCTTGCTTACCGAAAGTCAGACGCCAAATCGTGGACCGACATGGCCACCGATTCCTCTTCTGGACGCACTATTGATCTTGCATGCGATGAGAAAAGCACTAAACAGGCGTACATCGTTTTGTTCATCTCAACGAAGGATGTGAGGAGTGATAAAGTTAAAATCACGGTTGCGACGGGTAAGCCGAAAAAGTGCGGCGCGAGGAGCGGCTTCGTTCTGTATCCTCTCTTCAATCCTACGACTAGCGGAGGATACTGTCCCAAGGGAACACATTCTTCCAGGCTAGCAATTTGGTGCTGCCCAGATGGAACACAATTGGATGAACAAGTAGCGCAGCAAGTCAGTATCTGCTGTCCAACAGGTCAGTCTCGTGCTGTAAATGCTGTTACGCTGATAGGCTGATGGTCCAAGACACCGATTGCAGCAAAGAGATCGTCCCAGATCATCTTAGATGCGCTAGGCCGGAGTGGATACTCTGGAACAAGCAGAACAGAGAGGTCGGATGCTGTCAAGTTGGATTTTACCCTACAGCAAACAGATATTGCACCACGGATCCTGCGGCATGGGATAAACGCTTCGTACAGGTATTCACATGCTTTCACCAATTTCTGCAAGATTTTACTAACGGCGAGATCGATAGATTTCACAGAGCAGTTAGTCTAGCTGCACGAAGATCACATCACAGATTCATCAAGAATGGGAATTTCAATAGCATTTACTTCTACTTCATCGTATTTGCGGTATTTCATGGATAAACTCAAAGCAATAGGGTAGTCCGAGAACTCAATTTTGAACTTTGTCGCATTGCTTAGCCTATCACGGCATAAGTGATCTTCCTCCCAAGCTATATTCGGATCTAGTCAAGCTGCAAAAACTTCAGTGTCTAGACCCCTCACGATGCGAATCTTCAGAAAGAAACACAAACCGACGGCGTGCATCCTGACCGAGGATCGCTTAGCAAGCGTGGTGGTTTGCTGCCGTTGAACATGGTATTCTGGTATGCGTGTTCCAATTTCGCTGCGTTGGGACTGGTCAAAGACTATATTGTGATGGGATACACTATTGGACGGTTCGTATTACTGCTGAACTCAAAACGTGGGTACCTTCACTGGTGCTTGCAACATGATATGACTCTGTCTGTATGACTACGCGTTCGATAAGGCTGGACCGTACACAATTGTTGGAATGAGAACATGTATCGGACTGTCTCGTCCGGTTCGTTCTAAGCCGCATCGCGAACGTTTTACCGAGCCAAACAATGAAGGGCCCATCTTACGAGGCGCATGTAAAAGCCTCATCATGCAAGGGTGAGGCTCCAGGCACTGTTATGCTTAATCGATAGCTGCCAAAGCTGCATGCAGCTCGATAGCTAGTTCCAGGCCAGCAATCACATCTTTCCTCACGCCATGGCTCAAGCTTTAAGACGCGCAAGCATGGGCTTTGGGGAATAGTGTAGCAAAATGGCGCAGCTGAGAGTGAAAAAGTGCATTGTTTGATTGCCCAAAGTGGGAAAGGTCGTACGAGCACGTTATTGACTCTCTGCCACGTTCATGTGTAGGTTACGGGGCTAAATGTGTTGGTTGAGTCGCGCAACTCTGTTTGGTGATGGTCTTATCGGTAATAAACAGAGTCGAGACAGCGATGCTCCAAACATTGACTGTTTTGGTTATAAGTGACTGTGATAGTGACAGGACTACCATGGGCTAGGCTCTGGTTTAATACGAGCGGTTCTGTGAAATGGCTTGCGCTATGGACGAATACGTAGCTAGGTCCGTGGTGAGCCAATCGGTGGTGAGAAAAAAGGGTCGCGATGCCGCCTACCCGGAGTTTTACATACCAGAGCGACAAGGCACGACATACCGACCCTGGTTTTTGTAATGGACAGTGACAGTCGAGAGTTCTAAAGAATGTCATTGGGACACGGGGAACCCTGCTCGAGTGGACCATGATTTGCGTCTGGATGTTTGCAGATCAACAGTGACTAAAAAGCTTGTCTGGGTGATCATCCGGCGTTGGAAAGTAAAGTTGATCTGGCCATGGCGGTCCAGGTAAATCGCCAACTCCGCCAAAAAAGGTAGTGGAGATGATTCCAGTGCCTTGGGAGTTACAGATAGTGACTTGTCACTGCATGCGATTGAGGTTATCGAATGATGGCGATGTCAAGATATGTCGGCTTGGTGGAGATAAGCCCAGATTCAAGCCTCTCGGCGAAACAGCGCACGGCTGAGAGACATCGCTTAGCCTCTGCTCCGTCAACAGAAGAAAAAGTGAAAAAGTAGTGAACGGTTTTGTAATACAGAAAAACATCTAGACCAAACGCCACAAGGAGGAGCCGCACAATCGCCAAGGTGTCTCTGCAGCGGGAGCCCGGGTAGTCGGGTCTCTCAACAGCGGTTCTGCCACGCTTGGCTCTGCAAGGGGCAAAGACTCGTTCTCTGTTAAGAATGGAAAGGATCAGCCTGGAATGTACAGGGACCTGCGTCTTTCCCGGTCTGTGGCGCCGCGGGTAGGCCCGTTTTGCATGCCGTTATTGGAATGGTGTCCTCTGTCTCGGTTCAGCTCCCCGATCTAGACCTTGCCTCGACAGACAGGGGACTTGAGTCACTGTAGAGGACCTCAATTCACCATCTCCTTGGTTATTTCGATCTAGGAGAGCTATTTCGACAATTAATTCAGCCGGTAATTGATTGCAACAGGAATAGCCATTCTCTGCCTTGTTTTTCCATCTCCATAATGTCACTGCCAGTATCAACCTATTTCCGCTTACAGTCCCTCTACCAGAGAGTCCCGGTCTCCTGGTACCCTTATCAGTCACAATTCCATATGCGGAAAGTTGGAAATAGAAATTGAGTTCACACAACAGTACATACCTTTTTTAGCCCTGGTCCCTGGAAGGGTCTTCTTGTGGCTAGAATGAGGCTGGAATAGGCTATAGCACATTGAGTTTATACTGAATATCTCGACTAAACAAACTTTGGGCCCAGACGGATTAGGAAACAGGCGAACTTGAAGATATCGGCCATCGGCCAAGATGGAGAGCAGCAGTTATTATAAAAAACCCTCATAGATCTGACCAGAAATGGGTTTTGTTCTCATCAGCAATCTCACAGTCTACTACATTCATCTGAGTAGTCTATTCTTTACATTGTTTCTTTCGCAATGCATTTCATCAAGGCCATTGTTTGGGGTATATCCCTTGCTGCTGTCAACGCAGCTGCTTTGCCTGCCGATGGATCTGGTGTCTCTACCTGCGAGTACTCCGGCGGCGACCGAGCCTGTGAAGCTCATGTGAGTACACTCGGGTATCGGATCTGGTATCAGTATGGACTAACGATTTCAACAGTGCATCGAGAAGGGCAAGACCTTTGTGTCATGTGCACCGTGAGTATCCAGCTGAGTCAGCGTGGGGATGTAGCTAACATTCGATAGTGAGTGCACATGCTCCGGCCGCTTGGGCAATCCTCTGAGACGCCTTGTCAAGAGGAAGACCACCTCTTCTGCCAAGCCTACCACTGTCAAGGTCCAGGCCACTACTTCCAAGAAGGCCACCACCACTTCTAAGCCTGCTACTACATCCAAGCCTGCTACGACATCTAAGAAGCCTACTACAACCTCAAAGCCCGCTACTACCTCGAAGCCTGCTACTACCTCGAAGCCTGCTACCACTTCCAAGAAGCCTACCACCACTTCGAAGCCAGCCACTACTTCCAAGCCAGCTACAACTTCTAAGAAGCCAACAACCACGTCTAAGCCTGCTACAACCTCCAAGCCTGTGACCACTTCCAAGAAGCCCACCACTACTTCGAAGCCTGCTACAACCTCTAAGCCTGCTACCACTAGCAAGCCTGCTACCACTAGCAAGCCTGCTACCACGTCTAAGCCTGCTACCACGTCCAAGCCCGCTACCACGTCCAAGCCTGCTACCACCTCCAAGCCTGCTACTACCTCAAAGCCTGCTACTACCTCGAAGCCTCCCACCACAACCTCCAAGCCTACTACAACTTCCAAGCCTGCGACAACAACCTCCAAGGCTTCATCGAGCTCATCTTCATCCAGCACCAGCTCCAAGGCCTCTACTTCTACTAGTGCCCCTGCTTCCTCTAGCAAGGCTTCCACCTCCAGCAGTGCTCCCGCTTCTACAAGCAAGGCTTCAACCAGCACAAGCTCAGCTGCAGCTTCCACTAGCTCTTCCGCTGGTGTCTCATCCTCCGCTGCTGTCTCGTCTTCCTCCGCTGTTATCTCATCTTCTTCTGCTGCTGCCTCAACCAGTGCTGCATCCAGCCAGGCCACTGGTGCCCCTGCTGGCGGTGTCACAACCTCCACTTCCGATGATGATGAGTCCACCACCAGCACTCCTGCTAGCCAGTCTTCCAGTGTTGCCGCTTCTTCAAGCACTGCTGTGACTTCAGATGAGTCTGACGACGAGACTACCACTGCCGTCTCCTCTACTTCTGCTGGTCAGTCTTCTTCCGCTGCCGCTGCTGGCACCACCACTACCGAGGCCGACGAGGAGACCACTAGCTCTGCTGCTGCCGGAGCTACTACCTCCTCTGCTGCTGCCGGTACTACGTCCGAGGCTGATGATGAGACCACCTCAACATCTGCTGCTGCCGGAGCTACTACCTCCTCTGCTGCTGCCGGTACTACCTCTGAGGCTGATGATGAGACCACCTCAACATCTGCTGCTGCCGGAGCTACTACCTCCTCTGCTGCTGCCGGTACTACCTCTGAGGCTGATGATGAGACCACCTCAACCTCTGCCGCTGCTTCTACCACTGATACCGATGAGGAAACTAGCACTTCGGTTGCTGCAGGCACCACCACTTCTGCGAGCGCTGGTTCTTCCACCTCAGTTGCTGATGATGAGACATCCAGCGTTACTACCTTTGTCACCCTGACCCGCACCACCAGCACTGCTGATGAGGAGTCTACCTCTGAGAATCTCACCGGTGCCCCTGCTGGAATCTCTACCACTTCTTCTGCCGCTGACGAGGAGTCATCCACTCAGGCCGCTTCTTCTACATCGGTCGCTGATGATGAGACTACCTCCAGCCAAGCCGCTTCGTCTACCTCTGCTGCCGATGACGAGTCCACCAGCCAGGCTGCTTCCTCTACCTCCGCTGCTGTCTCTACCACTTCCGTCGCTGACGAGACCACTAGCCAGGCCGCTAGTAGCACATCTGCTGATGAGGAGTCTTCTACTCAGGTTGCCTCCACCAGCTCTGCTGTTGAGAGCACTAGCCAAGCTGCTTCCTCCACATCGGTCGCTGATGATGAGACTACTTCCAGCCAGGCTGCCTCCTCTTCTACAGCTGCTGATGACGAGACTACTAGCCAAGCCGCTGCCCCAACTTCTTCTTCCGCTGATGCGTCCACCAGCCAGGCCGCTTCATCCACTTCTGTTGCCGATGACGAGACTAGCTCTGCTGCCGCCTCTACCTCATCTGATGCTGGGACATCTTCCTCCGCTGCTGGCGTTTCATCCACTTCAGCCGCTGAGACATCTTCTTCCGTTGTCGAGTCTAGCAGCTCTCCTGCCGCCTCCACTTCGGCTGATCAGACCTCTTCCTCCGCCGCCGCCGAGACCTCGTCTTCTGCTGCTGCCACCTCCAGCTCTGTTGCTGCTGAGTCTTCTTCATCTGCTGCTGAGTCTTCCTCCGCTGCTGCCTCTAGCACTTCCGCTGCTGAGACATCCTCTTCTGTGGCTGAGTCTACCTCCGCTGCTGAGTCTACTTCCGCTGCTACTTCAACTTCCGCTGCCGAGATCTCTTCTTCAGCTGCTGAGACCTCTAGCTCTGCCGCCGCCTCTTCTTCTTCTTCTTCTTCTTCTTCTTCTTCTTCAGCTGCTGAAACTTCTTCCTCCGCCGCTGCTGAGAGCTCGTCTTCTGCTGCAGTCACTTCCAGCTCTGTTGCTGCTGAGTCTTCTTCATCTGCAGCTGAGTCTTCCTCCGCTGCTGCCTCTAGCACTTCCGCCGCCGAGACCTCTTCTTCAGCTGCTGAGACATCTTCGTCCGCTGCCGCCTCTAGCACCTCTGCCGCTGCTTCAACCTCCGCTGCTGAGACATCCTCCTCTGCTGCCGCCTCTTCTTCATCTGCTGCTGAGACTTCGTCATCCTCTGCTTCTGTCTCTTCTTCATCTACTGCTGAGTCTACCTCTGCTGCTGCTTCAACTTCCGCTGCCGCTTCATCCTCATCAGCGGCTGAGACCTCCTCTTCTGCAGCTGCCTCCAGCACCTCTGCTGCTGAGACCTCTTCTTCAGCTGCTGAGACTTCATCATCCTCTGTTGTTGCCTCCTCTAGCACCTCTGCAGCTGAGACCTCTAGCTCTGCCGCCGCGTCTTCTTCGTCAGCTTCTGAGACCTCCAGCTCTGCAGCTGAGACTTCCTCTTCTGCTGCTCCTACCTCCAGTACCTCTGCTGCCCAGACCTCTTCTTCAGCCGCTGAGACTTCCTCCTCTTCTACTGCTGCCGCCTCTTCTTCATCAGCTTCTGAAACCTCTAGCTCTGCTGCCCAGACCTCTTCTTCTGCCGCTGAGACTTCCTCTTCTGCCGCTGCTACCTCTAGCACCTCTTCCGCTGGAGCTACATCTACTTCAGCTTCTGAGACATCCTCCTCAGCTGCTCAGACCTCTAGCTCTGCCGCTGAGACCTCTTCTTCCTCTGCCGCCTCTTCTTCATCAGCGGCTGAGACCTCCTCTTCTGCCGCCGCCTCCAGCACCTCTTCAGCTGGCGCTACATCTACTTCAGCTTCTGAGACATCCTCCTCAGCTGCTCAGACCTCTAGCTCTGCCGCTGAGACCTCTTCTTCCTCTCCCGCCGCCTCTTCTTCATCAGCATCTGAGACCTCCAGCTCCGCTGCTGAGACCTCCTCTTCTGCTGCTGAGACCTCCTCTACTTCCGAGACTTCCAGCCAGCCCACGACCTTTGCCACAAGCACACGAACTGAGTCGGAGTCCTCTACATCTGAGGCTGCTACCACCACTACTGCCTAGATCTAGACAGTGGGGTCTTAGACGCGATGTCTTGACGCGATTGCGCATTGCGATGGTGACAGGTCTCTAGAGAGGCCAACCTAATACACATGATAATCTACTTACTATTAGAGACTGTGATATAGTTTAGATTAGCTTGAATCTCATTATTGTTTCATCCTTTACTTGCTTGACTCCTTTGGTGACTTGTCCATTGTCTTGTTTTCGCGCCTTAGCAATGCTTCACTTACCTGAGTTTGGCATGGCTCCATGACCCAGCAAAAGTCACTTAGTTTCGTCGATCTCATACTTCCACCAATCAAGAGCTCGACAAGCGACGCGTCTTCCTCACCTTCATTCCAGTCTCACTAGCATCGGACAGAGCGACAAGAACACAGATGAATGGTCAGACGCGTCATATTCAGAATTTGCCTCTTTATCCAGCCTAAATTTGGAATCAGAGCCTCTTTCAATTTGAGAACAATAGAGAGCTTGCATCATCCCTTGCGACCCACCCTGGCTGTCGCGTCAAGTGTCATACCCTAGACCTGCGTGACTTTCAAACGATACGTTTTACTTCACACAAGTTATAATCATCTGAGTGTCCGACTCGGAGATACGAAGTGATCAGATGATATGGCAAGACGTTGATAATTAGCCAAAGTCAAACGAAATGGATTTTGTTGATCATTTGATCGTAGTTCTGTTCGATTGATGTTGATTTCAAGAACCACCTTCAGGCCAATCTCTTTTACGCCTGAGCTGTTCAAAACAGCTGTGTGATGCTCAAAGTACTCCGCGCAAGACGACTAAATGCAATCAAATATTTTACGCTTCATGCTCAATAAATACAGAGGTCTTTTTGGTACTCAATATAGGGTGCTTGCCTCTGTCCTCAATTTTATCACAGATTTCAGTCTGTTACGTCCCACGGTGTCTGCTCCCATAGTCGGCTAAGATACGGCTAACGTGCATTCATCTTGAACATGCCGTCTGGATCACACATGTGCCCATCATTTCCATACCTGGATCCTCCATGGTTCAGTACGCCGTAATCAAGCATTAATTCTTCCACCCAGGAGCGGTGTTAATCGGTTGATCTTCGCAGTCGGTTTATCCACTCATTGACCTCCCCAAAGATTCCTGTCGCATAGCTCATTGAGTCATTTCTCCTTTCTGTCCCGCGCCAGGACACAACACCCAACTGCGGCTCCCGCACCAACGGCAGCCACCAGTGTGCTTTGCTGTTCTAAGTCGGTCTGGTGGTCTAGTGGTATGATTCTCGCTTAGGGAAAACCCTATAGCTTAGCTTGCGAGAGGTCCCGGGTTCAATCCCCGGCCAGACCCATCTGTTTTTGTATCTTTTGGCTCTTTTCTTCTAATCGTTGTTGAGTGTCAAGGGAGAATAGCTAGTTTCTCTTTGTCAGGTCTTTACTTTTCTACGTAGCCTAGACATACCTAGGCATGCTCGAGTAAGACGTCTCGAAGATCTGGAGATATGACCGGATGCATCGAACAACCCCGGGGCTTTGAGTACCTCAGAGCACCTCCGTGTTTTGCCGCGCAGCAAAGGCATGATGCGATGTTTCTTCTTGGGCCGATTTTAGTTGAGAGTTTCTGCGCGCTCAATGCTTCGCGGCGCTGAGGATTAAGAAACTGTATCAAGCCTTGTTTCGTGTTAGATTTCGCCACGGAAGTCAGTGATCGGAGATAACATCATGTCTCTCGGGGATCGCATGCACTTGTGTAACAGAGCACTCAAGAAAGAAGCTCTCCCCGTTGTATAGGATTGCCACGGCGTGGAATGTAACCCAAAGGGAGGTTTATTTTCCAGTTCTCAGGTTCTTGGCCACGTGACCACGTGATTCACGTTTCGAGATTCCAGCATGTCAGGACCCACTGTGGTGATGCTCAGACGCGTCTCCTCCATACAATCGCTGCATTCATTCTCACCACTCCTGTGATGCGGCAAAACCCTTACTGAATATGCCGCCACGAAGATATACATCACTCGCCAGAACGATCTCAGAATTCGACATGGCGTCAATCCCAACGATGCCGGACTGGGACAGCCTTCCGACCCCTTGAGACCACGTTAAGACAAGCTTATGCGATGCAACTGAGGACGCTGGAGCGGCCCTACCCAAGGTCCCTTCGCAAAGACAATATCAAAGTGAGTTCAATCGGCTTTTAAAGACAGAAAATGACTGACGTGTGCAAAGTGAACAGGCCGATCACCAAGATATGCCCCATATCGCAACCAACGCACGATCTGTACCTTGCCACACGCCGAACGAATACGAGACTGGCCAAAGATATTCGGATCGATTGTGATTCAATAGACTCCAATAGAAGCATTTCACAGCACCCAAGAAACAACCCGACAATCTGGGACCATCCTAATAGGCACTTGGGCAGTTACGATGGCAGCTTGCCGACTGCCGACTTCCGAGTACAATACCACCCAGGTCAGCTCCTTCCTCAAAGACGGATCATCGGCATGACGACACCTGGCGGCCTCGTCAGACTCAGAATTTCTTCTTCCAGCACACACACATACAAGCTCAGTTTGCGTTATCCAGTTCATTCACACATACTCACACTCCTTCACGCTCATCATATTTCGACGTCAACATGCCCCGGGGCCTTCGGGCGCAAGCCGACGTAAGTTCCAATTATCGCAACGACCAAGTCACAGCACCAATCCCTGTTCTCAGTTGCTAACGTTTGACAGGAACTCGAAGCATGGTGGACTGTAAGTTTATCATTTCCCCCATCATACAAGTACAGTCACTGACATTTCCTACAGCGCGACACCAAAGAAGCCGCTGTAAGTGACAACAAGCATACCAGAGAGGACTGGTCTAACGATTACGACATTTCAGCGACACAACATCAATGGCAAGGTAAGTTATCAACTCTGAATCTTTTACTGTACTGATAACAAGTATAGAAACTTGAGGAGAAGGAGGGTGGCGCCTCCACCATCGATGTAAGTCAATCCCTTATTGTACTAGGTTCCACCTGCTAACTGGGAATAGGAACTCTTCCAGAAGACCTGCGTAAGTGAAATCATTTGCAGTTAAGTCCGGGATCAATCATTAACAGCACTGCGCTTTGTAGGAAGAAATGGAAGCCGAGGCCGAAAAGGCTGAGTCTGGTGAGGCTGCCGACCCTGAGTCTTCCATTCATATACTCGCGTGTCGGTCGCTGGCCATTTCTGGATCGGGTTTGATGCTTGGGGTTGTTGTAACATACAAACTTAGCCCGCGTTATCCAGTCGGTTCAAACGTACACACACTGCTATCACGCTCATTACATTTCAAGTCAAGGTAGGAAACATCCCAACACCATCGTTGACCTAACTGACGCATGCATCAGTTCCAAGTCATCAAACAAGAACATGGCTTCAACTGCTCGTGCAGCCCTCAAGCGTACACGCTCTACAGCGAGCTTGAACGATGCCGCCAAAATCCTCTTGCGGTTCCCCTCCCCGCTGCAAGCCTGCAACAACACTTTTCTTGTAAGTCCCCCTTGTCGATGAGTTCTACCGGAATGCTGGATCCAGAATCACTCAAGACTAATTGACAATTGCAGTTTCGTCAGTACGTCCTTGACCTCCATCATGCGAAACCCGACCATGTCACTAACACGCAGTTTCCCACACGCACAGCACTTCAAAATTTCTCAACTGTAAGCTCTGACTCCATGCGAATTTGTCTCACAACTAACATATCTGCCTTTACGCATAGACTTCCGATTCTATCAATGTAAGTTTCCCTTTGTGTGGTACTCAGGTATCACCAGTCCAAGGAACTCTCAATTGACCTGTCGTGTAGCAAACAACTCAACAGTAAGGCCTCTTGTCAACAAGCTAGCTCCCGTTCTAGCTGTCTGCAGGGTTACTAATATCCCTGACAGGTGGCCAACAAGAAAACCGTAAGTCGACACTTCACTGCCCTGGCTCACAGCACATGCGAACACATTCACCAGCTCACAAACACGATTGCTAACTCCTTTCTTAGAACCTAAAGGCCGGCAAGGCCGGGAAATCTGTAAGTCACTCCTTCTTTATACTTGAGACCCGAAGCTAATATGTTTGCAGAAATCTGCGCGCAGCGTCTCTTCGGAGATGAAGGTATGCCCCCAGTCTCTTGCCCCAGACCGCTACAAATCTTACACGTCCTTTTCTCATTCATTCGCTACCGTCTTTACGATTCAAATACTGATCATACACTTGCAGTCCCGAAACGTCGTATGTTTGATCCTCTATCGACCGATCCCACGCCAAGACCTCCGCGGCTTGGCCAAAACGTTTCATTCCATTGAGCGCCATGCTTTATTCGTTTGGGCATACCTTATCCACCTACTTCTGTGCCATGTCGGGATAGATGGAGTGGATTCTTGGAGTACAAAATGCTACAAGGTCGACGGAAACTCCCTTCAAGGGGTTCGCGGTCCGGCCCGGGTTATCGTGGATTAGGGCTTGTATCAAGGGATTCTAAGATAAGGAGAGCAAAGTCACTCCTGGATTGTTCAAAAGAGTTCATTTGGATCAGCCAGCCCCTAGATGGATCCCCCTGAAGATTCTGTCATTCAGAAAGCCTTGTTGCGCCAGAGTGAGAGGCTTCGAAATGAATTGACATGGCGATGAGCTTAGCTAGGGGAGGAAAGCAAACTTAGGGCTCTGATCCTAAATGACAAAAAGACTTAGCTAAATGAGCATAAGTTTAGGATATCTTCACTAAGTTTAGAATATGTTTTGCCAACATTATTCTAATGTCCTGCGCTGCAGATACGGGGTAATACACAGGACCAAATTGCACCTAGCCCTCTACGGGATGGTCATCACCACATATCGTTTTAGCATTTGCACTGGAAAAGCTTAGCAATAAAATTTGACAACAGGCTTTGCCAACGGCAATCTACAGAGTGAGTCATGCTTAACCAGAAGAGAGGGCTGCCTGGTTCCGGCACACAGCTGGGTACAGGCGACATTCTGATTGAACTTTAAGTCAAATAAGCTTGGATTTTCTGATTTTATAGGCCGATCTGTGTCGTATACATGAGGTATATCTAACTTTTGAAGGATAAGCACGATACATGGTCAGAACACAAAATGGTGTGCGACAACAAGGTTTTGCCAACAAGTTTCATAGCAAATAGTATTGCAATGTCAAGAGAGTGATGACTCACACCGGAAAAGCATAATCGGGCGAGAATATAAATATGCGTTGTCCTGCAGCTTCTGGTAACCCAAACTCATCTCTTTATTTATCCTGATCATTTATTCACAACACCAAGAGTCGAGGCACACTAGGGACTTATCCTTACCTCATTCTCCACTTATCTCTCTATTCTAAACCACATCTTTGTGTCACTATGGCTACTTTAGAAAGATTTAAAGAGCTTCCTCGAGAGCTTCGAGATCAAATTTGGAGTCTTGCCATCCGAGATGACCACCCAGGAGCACATATCTTCGGACAATATGTGACTGGAAGCCGTCGTGTCCGATCTCAAGACGGTTGGTATCTTGATTTGGCCGAGCCTTCGTGGAGACGGTGCTTTGAGAGCTCGAATCAATATCGCAGCGATGAAAATATTTCGACATATCTAATAGACGGCGGCTTATGGGCCGCCTGTCACGAGTCACGATGTATTATGGAAAAACACTTCAACCAGTCAAAACGGCAATTAGCTCCACGTAGTCTTTATGACCGTCGAAACAGTTTCAGTCAACAAGACCTTTTCAAAAAGGCCTCGTCAGGCTACTTCGAAGGTACTCCTATGGAAAGAGTCACAGTTTTCCCTCTCAGAGATCTTTTTATCTTGCAGCATGAAGACTTGGATGAGATCGACTGGGATAACATTGACTACGAACTTGCTCCGGCATCATTAACAGAAGGGTTTTATGGTGTGAACCATATCGCAATAGAGTACGATCGGGCGTGGGCGGATGAATCTCGCCAAAAGGATATTCTCTATACGTTTTCACAAGCCTGTGTTGGTGTAACCTATACTCTCTGGTTCATCGACCGCTCTCAGAAACGGAAAAGCCAAGCTCCCGTATTTGAAGAAGAATCCGAAACTGCCTGGAAGATCAATGCTTTTTATGCCAGCGATAGGAAATTCTTGGAGATCGAAGACGATGGTACGCTAATGGACAACTGGGAATATGTCGGGCCAGTGAAAACCAATTGGTACGATCATATCTATGATCGGTTGAATTTGTCCGCGAATTAGATGCCAGACTCGATGAAGACAAAGTTACTGCTGGTACTGAAGCCGAGGACCACTGTGTCGTCAAGCTTCTCGGATGGGCCCCTCTCTGATTTACCAGGGGTGAATGGGGGATGACCCTTATCATATGATGGAAACAAAAAGGAGACAATCTTAGTAACAAATAACCACGAGCTATATTTAATACTACGACCCCAAGATGTGTTTGTTAATGCTGCTAGTGGCTAATACTGTCGTGTTTGACGAAGGAATGAGTTTGCCCAACAATACCAGATACGACTTCCGTCGCCCTTCCCTGGGGCCGATCAAAGGATATGACCTTGACTTCTCCCCCTGCTCGCCAAGTACCGCTCTAGATGACTTTCCGGCAACCGGAGGTCGATCGGCCCCACATCGGGGGTCATCCGGCCTCTGAAAGCTTGTCTAAGCTTCGCAGTGGGCGATCAGCATTGCACTCACCCTGCACAAGCTTCTCCAGTCCATTTCAAATTGAGGCAGCGATGATGATAGGAGGGGAGCTTTGGCGTGTCGCCGTGTCAAAATCCGCATTACTCGTTGGGAGATCATCTGGGCGGATGGTTAGCGTTTTGGTCCGGGCAGTCTTTGTGATTTGAACTCTGTGTTCGAAGCAATTCGTAGCCAAATTAATTGACGATGTTTCGACCCATTCGAAGAGACTTTGTGTCTTACGATCAGTGGTGTAGTGGCTTTCATGTTTTTCATGTCATCGCCGGCGCTCGTGGTTGATCTGCTGGGGCCGCGGATGCTATGGGCTCTGTCGTCTCAGAATAGCCTCATACCTCATCAAAGGGATACAGCGCACGATTCGGGTGACACGGGTCTCCGTTTACGCGACACCTGTGGTAACGGTTGAAGTCATCCGGAGCGAGGACGGATTTGGGGGAGAGTTTCGTCGAAAAGTCTCAATCATTCGAATTGTCGGAGTCGGATGTGGTTGCTATGGTATTTCGGTCGCATCTCAATCGTTGTTCCCAATAAAGATCCTGTCATCATGATTAGAAAGTCTCGGGATCCAAAATAAGTGAGTAGAAGCGACGTGTCGTACCTTCGATGTGTTACAAAAGCAGTACGAGAGCCGGCATCATTTCTCAGTGATCAAAGGCCGTTCCGTAGTACGACTGACAGTTGAATACAAGAAGCTACTTGCGTGGCTCGCGGTGCCATGATGTCTTCTCTGTGACAAGTTTGCGACTCTTGCTCAAAGCGTAGTTTTCGACCAATGGAATTTCGGACATAGACCAGGCTGCAGGCTGTAGAATAGAGTTGGCTCATTTCTTTTCTTGTGGACGATATGATCAAGGGCCGGTAAGATATCGGAGCCTGCTAGCAATCTCGTCGTTAGCCAAGGTCAACACTCGTATGCACTATGAAATCCAGGTGGCGATATGTGAGACCTTATGATATGGCTCTCCTGGACTATTCACTGCAACTGACGGTCGACAATCGAGACTGAATTGATTGGTAGTTATCATGGTGGCTTCGTGTCGATTTCCGTGGGAAGGAAAATCATGAGGGGAATGCAACGGCGTGGGTCATGTGGCAGATTGGTACTTCGGAGAAGAAGAAAATGAGGGCAAGATCGCTCCTTGATTCAATGATGCGAAAGGTACCGTTCGTCGTGGGGGCTCGTGTGCTGGCTTGACGCGGCATACAACGTGCTGCTAACGCTAGCATCAGTCAGGGATCATTGAGGTCAATATGGGTAACTTGGTTCATATCTCACCAAAGATTAATGATTGCCCAATGTGATCCGTAGTTTGCTGACTTGAAGTTAAACTTCGGGAATAATGAACTGCGGCGGCGATACCAATTGCGCGCTTCTTGGAGTGAGGGGACAGGTGTCGGCAAAATCGCGGGTAAATGGGATAATGTGGGTCTGCTGGAGCAACTGCATCTCGGGTTTCCGCCAGAGAGCATTCCATGATTGACACCCGCATCACAACATTTACTCCCATTCTTTCTAATTCATCTCACATCACGATAAAAGCGTCGGCGCCTTGATCCTATCACAAATTGCGAGTCTTCTTTTGTTTCCAGCCTCGTGATTCCTCCCCTTTTCCGAACCCGATATGCCGTTCAACTCGACAACAGTCCGCACGGTTTCTCGGCGTCTTGACCATCTTGAGCTTGAAACGTCACCGGCTACATTTTTCACGACCATTTCTATTGTCATAGGATGAAATTGTAGACCCTTGTTTGGTCAAGAACCACTGCCATTTAGAGGCCAACATCACCCCAGAACTCTATCACGCCGTCCTTTGGCTTACGACCTCAACTACCTCATCCTTGAGATCTATCTCCACCTTGGCGCTTCGAGGTAACTCACAAGACCCTGGAGTGGCTGTAATGATCGAAGGACTCCATCACGGCTTGAGGCGAAACCTGATCTAGGTCAGTGATTACTCCCGCGACCGTAGCTTTGTTCATCGTGACTTACGAGGACAGGGAGAACAACGTCGCGGCCATGAAGGCTACGGGCATGTGCTCCCTTGAAGGCTTGCTGGTCACTTTGGGTCACGAAATCCCTTCTCGCGAATCTCCTTCTGTCGTCGACGTGAGCGTTACTCGCGAGGACTACATTTCTGAACTATCTGGCAACGGTGTCAATGATGAACGTTAAGGGCATCCTGCCTCACGACCTGTCGCCCATACTCTTCCTCCCCTTGGCTTTCGCCCCAATGTACGCCCTCAGAATGTCACCCACGTCCGTATCTGCAAGGCCGCCGAGCCTGAGACATTCGCTGCCGAGGTTCCTGTCGTCAAGAACAATGCATTCACGGATGTCACCAAGCGCGAATTGCAGTCACTCGAGCGTCCCGTCGGTTCCGAGGCCCGTGGTGCCGGAAGCTTTGCTGCGCCGGTGCTTCATGTGATTGACATCGATGAAGCAGAAAAAGTCACAGCTTCGTTGTAGGGTTTGCTTGTTCGTGTCGCAGCTGCTGCGCTCTGAGCCTAAACCGATGCCAATGCTGCTGCTTGTCTCAATGCTTCTGGTTGGGACGTGCGCGTCGCATCACTCGCTAACTCAGCTACAGCAATCTCTCGCCACGGTGACTGTACCCTCGTCTTTCTTCCTTGGACTATTCTTCAACCGGCTGGTGAAGCGTTGGTGTCTCTGATGGTCATCGGATAGGCTTGTAAAGCTTATCTTGGGTAATTGTGTTGGGTAGCCGGTATACTGCCCGGATTGACTTTGATAAGAGTGTTAGTTTGAGTTGATAGTCCCCACAGTTGATGGCTTACATCACGCGCCTCACACACGTCTCTGATGGTGTCTGGTGGTCCGCTGGCATATGGTCCCCCTGTTGCGCTTGCAATCAGGGGCGAAGGCGCACCATCCCCTCGCACTGATACAATGCCTTCGTATGTCCGACAACTCTTTATCGGAGGCTCAACTCGAACTCTTGTGATTTGTGAACGAACCACTGACAACTCGCTGTCCGGCGGCCCATCACTAACGACTACCAAACTGCGAGCGATCGACCAGTGGCTCGTGGACCAGGTGCTGCTGCCGCCATCTGGCATGCCTAAGTCAACCCACGTCGGAGTCAGGCGGTTCTGGGCCAACATTTCGAGCCCTGTCGACAGCAGGATGATGTGTACAGCAGAAACGACTTTGGGCAACTTTGGTTGGTGCTGGTCAATGGACATCGCGCGCGTGCTTGCTGTCAGATCTCCCGAGACAGACGAGCAACATAGACCCGGCAGCTTCGATGATGCGGCCTACACTGCACTGCGATACCTTCGCGAGGGCGGACAAATCTCAGATCCCGAACTCAATGGCGGCCCGCGGGTGCGCCACTCGTCGACCCGCTGGGCGAGTGGGGGAATGTCCCCCAGCGTGGCCGTGTCGTCTTTCGAACTCCTCGTAACGAAGTGTGGACTTGTTGGACGGCTCAACATTAGGGATCCAGTGTTTGGGTGACTCTCGAAGCTATACTGGCACGCATCATAGGCACCGCGATTACCAACGACGAGGATGTGCTGAGTTTCGCTCCTGCCTGGATCAACATGCTCAGCCCGTCTCTGTATTCTGGCTACACGGCTGGGACAAAGACGAGGAGCTGCGTGGGATCCGCAATTCTTTCGGTCTTGACGATGCCGGCAGCTTCTGCAATTCTCAGTTCAACACGCGGACTAGCGCACCGCTGGTAGCAGGCGCCCACCTGGTCAATGTGACTCTGCCTCAAGAGTCTGACTTGAATTCTACCTACAGGTGTCAGGGCTTCCTTAGGTATGTCGTGAATATGTATATTGAGCACACCTTCACTGCCGCCGGGAGCAAGTTTTGGCTTGTTTCCCCGACTTCACTGTTATTGAGCATTACAGTATCCTCACCAAATGGCTTCTGGGTTACAGCCTCCCACCTACCTCAGTGACGCCGGACACGCTTTGTTGGATGCACCTAATTGGCAGGTTCTGGAGTCCATGGCCACGCGCCACACAGCAGGTCATTCCTACGATGGTCCCGGTACTTGGGGCGTCACGAATGCCGGTGTCCTTCAACCCAAAAAAAGTCGAGTAAAGCGTCAAGGTGGCATTACTTTGCTATATTACAGATCCTAGAGACTCGAAGTAAGCTACAGGCCCCTCAACAAAGAGATGAGTGTCTCGGTTACTTATCACTCTGCAGCGTCTCCTGACCTTCCGAATAGAACCGATCATCTTCTACCCCGCCACTGTACCCTACTGGCCCGCACGACGCGTTCGTATCGATCCCATTGCGGTCCCGGTGTCTCGATGGGCTTTTGTGACGGCTCCCCGAGCTGTGGGTGCATCTTTGGTGCGTTACCTTACTTATCCAATGGCTTTCGCTTCTCTTTCCTTTCGAACCCCCGGTAATCGATTGCTTTGTTCTCCACATCTTGATTCCGGCCATCAATCCAGTCCAACATATCAGCAAAGTGTCTCTGCCAGCTCTGCCCATAGGTCTCCATAATGTGTACTGGACGCGGACCTGACTTTTTGTGAATCACCCGATGAGCAGTTCGCAAGATCCAGCCAGAAACCGATCACCTAAGTTCTGTATTGTTCATTGGAATGATCAGAAGCAGATATATCGGCGTTTTCTACTACAACCTTGCTGAGAAAAGATGAAATCAAGCCCTTCGCTCTGCAGAACGTGCGTGCCGAGCTGCCAGTGCTGATCTAGGCGCCGGCTGAGGGAACCGAGAGTACAAGCACGGTGGGGGTATGTTACTCATGAGAACACAGTGGAAGCGTGGCTGGCGCGAGCCTCTCGAGTGTTCACTGGGGAAAGAGTCGGAGATGGAAATCCCGTCTTCTTGTTGTATAAAACACCTTATCAAACTTGGATGGTAAGTGCTATTGCTTCTTCACCAAAATACTTCTCGGGACAAACTCTTCCCCAACCTTGGAGCGATCAAAGGTGGAGCGCCAGGCCATTTTAGAAAGCAGCACTCGTCGGTCTTCAGTCACTTGCGGCTCACCAAGCAGGGTCATACGATATTCAGTGGGTGATTCACCAGGCAAGATCTATTTGGCTGACTCAAGTGCCCGAGACAGATCACTACTCAATCCCTGTTCCTCATATCGTCGATCACGCACTGTCGACTTTGATCACTCTATATCGTCACGACCCTCTCATATGATACCGCTCAGTATCGCAAGCGCAGACATCGTCGATATGACAAAACCCGGCTATATAGCCTTCTAAGATCCTCGATTATCAGCGGAATTCCCACCAGCTACCGCGATGATTCAGCCCACCGACGCTTGGCGCAAGATGACCACGGCGAATTTGCATCCACTCAGAACCTCGTCGACCGATCACTCCATCCCAGTAAGGCTATTTCACGCCATGCGCATATTAACCAATCAAGACATCCGAAACCAAGTCCCATTCGTTCTACTTCGAAGAACCACAGACGAGAGTCCCAGCGAAACCCAGCGCCGAATCGCTGAATAGACTAAAAGATAAAGGAAAGTGCTATTAGAAAAGCTTAGCATAGTAATAGATTTTGGAAATACTAAAGCTATTAGTAAGGCTAAAGTTCTTAAAGTTAAGAAGGAATGAGCCTAGTACCTGTAGCCAAGCAGTAAGCCTGCTGTCTTGAGGTGGCCTGTGTGATGTGTCTCGTTTCTGATCTTGGACAATCTCAGTACCTCGCTTTATCGCCACTGAGGGGGAGAAGTCGGGCTCTGAGTTTGCTGAAAAGTGAAGGTAGAGTGATAGATACTGTGGTTCCATGTTCCCTAGATCAAGAGTGTGGGAAGGATACGTTATAGTATAAGGTTTAAAATAAAGAAGAATTGTCTTTTTTAGCAGGTTGATTAAAGCCTAAAGCTCTTGAACTTATAGAGTGTAGGCAAGATACTAATACTTGTTATATATATTACCAATACTCATGCTTTACTTACTAGTTATCTGCAGAGATTTCCAATTACTATCGGACCGGCTTTCCTTAGCAACTACCTAGTTCAGATAGCCCTTAATCTCGGCATTACCGTTCTGTCCACGGTCTTCCCTTCACAGCCCCATACACATGGTTTTCACTGCCGAGATCCCGCTTGCAAGCGCTAATGTACTACAATCCGGCCAATAGGTAAAGCTCAAGCAAGTCAAACTTTTTCGCTTTCTAGTCACAATTCATGTCTATACGAGATGGGGGTCAAGAAGAACTTTTCATTCACCGAGATGTTCCGGTCAAGCCTAGCATAATGGGGCTGGTACATATTAGCGATGCCTGATTCTTTCAACTTCTCCCTTTTTGTATCTCGTAATAATGATTTAGCGGACTGAATTTATATAACAGTTACTTAAAGCCCTTTTTTAAGTCGCTAGATAGTAGCTAGGGGTCTGAGAGTTACAGGATCTCTGGTCTGGCTTGCCAAAATCAATTTTAAGAAGTATTATAAACATCGGCAGCCAGGAAAGAATATTTGCATGTAACGTTGATTTTCTGCAGCAGCTAAAGAATACTGCCATCTAGTTACAAATCGGGAAGGAAAAGGCACGATGCAGTACCCTCGCAGAGCTGAACTGCACGATGAGACGTTCGGAGACGCTTTTAATAGATTAAAGCTACGTCAGTAATAAAAGTCAGATTTTGTTTAAATTTCCATCTCTGACTAGCGCTTCCTGTTTCCAGTTGTATGGAAGCAGTCTGATTCGCTCAGGAAGAGATGCAGCCCTGCTCCATGCAGGGTGCTAATTAAGTTTCTGAGGGTCGTGCCGAAGGATGGCTCAGGCTCTGATTGGTTGATGATGCCGTCGACTTTCAACCACTCGGTCGGATAGATCTCGGCGTCTCCGTAAAAATAACACAATGGCTTTTTTCCATTCCAGACAGAATAGGGCTCAGGTTCTGAAACCTCGAGGAGCAGCATCCGCCACCACCAATCTGTTGAGCTCCCTCATCACGTTGGTGGGGATTCAGCTATACTAAGATTTCTGTCCTTCCGAAGGCAGCTAGCTACAGTATGCAGGGACAACTACCGACAGTGGCTTGAAAGTTTAAAAGGTTCCGCCAGTTTTTGATAAGTCCCAAATAGGATAAGGCTTCTACTGCAGCTGTAAAAGTCAGGGTGAGTAGGTAGCTGATGCAAGATCAGGCTTACTTAGATATTCAAGCAGGATTGGTCCTGCATAAATCCTCTCTCATCGCGCCTTGAGGTCAATACCTGTAGACCGTTTATTCACTCTTTACTATTACATTTGCAACAACTATGAGCGCTTCCAAGCTAGAGATCCCAGGCTTTACGACCATCTCTGACCAAATCTTTGAGCGCAGAGTGGACACCAACAGTGCCAGTCCAGATTCTCACCCTCATATGGTACTCATATTTGGTTGGGGGGACGGCCTGCCAAAGCATGTCCTGAGATATTCGCAAGGATACCAGGCCATGTTTCCGAATGCCACCCAGTTCATCATCCTCGCGAAGATTGTGCGTGTTCTTAGCAGCGACCTGCCTCAAAGTTCCGCAGCCATGAGGCCACTTATCAAGGCCGCATTCGGTCCGGGAGATCCTGATGAGAAACGAATACTGGTTCATTGCATGTCAGATTCTGGTGGAATCAACTACGCGGCGACCCTCAATGAGTACCGCTCCCAATTTAGCAGACCTCTACCGCATCAACTACTTGTACTCGATTCATCGCCAGGCACCTCACAACCATCGCTCTTCGACCTGGCAAAGTTTTCTGTGGCATTGGCACCTGGCTTTACACCACAAACTCCATGGCATACGATGTTTGCCCAGGGTCTGACCGCCGCATTCCTCGCCAGCCATGGGATGCTTGAACTCCTGAATGGCAGGGATGCTTCGCCAGTATACTGTAACCCAGTTCTCAACGACCCTTTCTTCGAAACTAAGGAGGCAAGTCGATTATATCTGTACAGCAAGGCGGATGATATGGTACGTTGGGAACATGTCGTGCAGCATGAAACACAGGCAAGCCAATGTGGCTACAAGGCCAGCATGAAGCTTTTCTATGGCAGCAAGCATGTTGGGCATATGCCTATGTACCCGGACCAGTATTGGGCTTCAATTGCAAAGGCATGGAAGGCATCGGCTGAGCAGTCGATTAGCGCTCGCCTGTAGCGCTGGATTTAATTCGAACTCATGTCGTTATCTCATCTCAGGCGACGTCTTTTGTGTCTTTTATAAGGTCTTCAGATTCATGCCTTGAAGAAGAGGAAATAACTGCTGAAATACCGGATCTTGGATGGCACTGGTAGTTTGGGCCCGAAAATCTACCAATACCTTACCTGTGAAAGTACACTAATCTTTGCTCTCGTTCCATCGGGAGAGGCCTTATACTACGCGAACAGTAGAATCGCATCAGTTTTGGTCATAACTTGATGTAGAATTCGGAGACTGAACTGTGTGATAACATTTGTATATAGCGGAAGGAAGAATGCCATGCACCCACAGTCGAAGGTCTTTATACGTAACCTTCATGCTTTTGCTCTTCCCAATAGTAATTTAGAGATAGACGAGATAGGGATATACATATCTAAATTTCAAGATGACCAAAGGATTTGTAGAGAACATAGTTCTTGGGCCTGTAGTCTTGATGTTGTTCCTGACGGTTTTCGCGGATGTAATGAAAATATCTGTCAGATATCATGGTAAATCGTGTGTAGACTTGTGGCTGAGAGCTAATTCCGGCAGATAGAACCTATTGTGTATTCCTAGACCCTGTCGCAATCGAAGGGCCTTTGAGACCTTATCACAAGCAGGTTATACATTCGTCTATTAAATGGTTATCTAATGCCGCTAATCTCTTCTCACAGGCCTCTGAAGTCGCCATCGTTGCGGTTCTTGTGTTGCAACCAATCCAACACGTCCTCGAGGACAATTGAATCAATAACTTCAGTCTCATCACTCCAGCTATACTCCACGGAGCCTGTGACCTTGGTCTTCTCGTCAAGGTGGAAGCCACTCTCAGGCTGATCAAAAGGTAAGGTTGAACCACGATTCACTAAACGCTCATTTCAGAACTCAATCCACCCCCGCTGAAGAATGTGCAAGTCAATCTCGATGCCAACATTTGTGTGGAGCACTTGTTCTGCTGATCCGGTTTTTCTGTCGATGACGGCCAAATTCCGCGGAAGATGGCCGCGACGCACGATCTTTCTTGCCCTAACTTCATTGGCGTCTCCCGAACGCATTTGATCAAGCACATGACAAAATTTGCAGATTCTTGAGTGAGACCAAACATGAGTGATGTGCCGGGCAATCCCCGCGGTGCCTCTTATTTTGGTTTTGCAAGCGAGAGGCAACCCCCATGGGGAACAAGCGCAACCTCCATCTCATCCTACGACCGACAACAAGAGGTCTCGAGTGAACAGCCTACCCACGTAATAGTCAATGCAAAACCGATGTGTATGAATCGCTAGTTTGTGAGCTATGTATATACCGCCAAGCTATGCCACGGCTCTCCCTAGCGGTGTTCTCAGCAGCCCACCTGAACTACTTCTTATACCTACCATGAAACTGGCATCCTCGCTAATTCTCGTCCTACTTCAGAACACTACCATTGCCGACGCAGCAGCCATGAATCCTCCTTCACCACCTCTATCAATCGCCAAGAGGGCAACCAGCGTCTCGCACGGCGCCGACCCACGAATGTCAGCCGGCGCCTGGGATTCACATCTCCACATCATGGATCCCGTGCGATACCCTCCAGTCGAAAATATTCCCTACAAGCCCGCTGTTCATAACCTGTGGGAGAATGCGATCTTCGAGAACAGCATCGGGTGCGACCATGTCTTCTTCGTTCAGACCGCCACGCACGGATATGATTTGACCCTCATGCTCGACTCTATGCGTGCGGTTGGAAATGAACGGGCGCTGGGTCTTGCGTTGTTTGACCCCAATACCACGTCGCATGAGCATATTCGCAGATGGGACAGTGAGGGTATTCGCGCTGTACGCGTCAACCTCGTTACGTATGGTGATGATACGCCTATCGAGGAGCTCAAGAGCCAGATCAACAAATACGTGGATCTTATCAAGCCTTTCGACTGGGTTCTTCAGCTGTACACCAAGATGGAGCGCATCGCAGAACTGGAAGATTTCTTGCCCACTCTTGGCGTGCGTTTTGTTTTTGATCACTATGGTGATCCGAGTCTTCCACAGACAGCGGGTCCTGTGAACCCCTACAACATCAAGGGTTTCCAATCTTTGGTCCGCCTTTTGAAGACTGGGACGACGTGGGTCAAGATATCTGGTGCATACCGTCTCAGCCATCTTGACTCTGATATCTGGGAGGATCTTGATCCTGTCACACTAGAGCTCTTTGAGCAAGCTCCCAAGCGAGTTGTGTTTGGCTCAGACTGGCCTCACACACGATTTGAAGGCTTAGACGTTAGGCCTTGGGTGTCTCACCTGCTGGATTTGACCGAGGGGAAGCAATGGCTCAGAGAGAGACTCTTTAGGGATAATGCTTTGGAGCTCTGGGGAGTGAATAAGACGCAGAGTACCTGTAATGGAGACAAATGACATTTACGACGATCACAAAGTAGCCTATGACGCTTTTCATTATCTTTTAATAAAACATGCAAAAGTTTACAAGTCTCAAGTCAATTGATTGCCTAGTAATGAGCAGCTTGTATTCAAGTATACTGCCAGGTGTTGAGCATCCAGGGTTGTTTCGTCGCAAATCCAAGACATGAACATGAAGATACCCTGCAGAGAATAATTGTTAAAGTGTTCAAAATGCTGAACTGGTTGAGCACTGCCTACAAGACTGCTCTCAATTACCATGCTCACGGAATATGGCCGTGGAAAATCCCCGAAAGGACGTGGCTCTATTGACGACAATACACAATTGTCCAGAAACGGATTCACGGACGGAGCATACGTTCAAACTGTGGTTAGAATGCCGCCTACAGCTTGCTAAGATGAAAACCTGAAATGAATCACTATCCGTGGAAAGGTGCCCAAGGTTAGCAGTCCATCAGCCATGTTTCCACCAAGAGGAGTCATCTCCATACTTGCCAAGGCTCCCAGCGACGTTGTAGTTTTGTCCTCATTACGCACGCCGATATGCCGTGCGAATCGAGGATTCCTCAAAGACGCGTTTCCCAAAGAGCTTCTTGCCTTTGTGCTCAAAGCAACAATCGACAGAGTACCCAACCTTCGACCCGTCAATTATAGAGGATGTCGCTGTCGGTGTAGTACTGCCTGAGCTTGGAGGCTCTAAAACTGCGCGCATGGCTAGGAACCACGTTGGATACCCAAACACCACGTCCCTTTATACTGTCAACCGAGCATGTTCTTCTTCACTCCAAGCCATCTCATCTATAGCTTCTCAGATTCGGACCAGGATATTCTCCGTAGGAAATGGAGCGGAAATGGAAAGCATGACGCGTAACTCCGGGAACCGAGCTATCCTAATTGACCTCTGGCCCGCTCTCAGAGAGTCTCCTGTGAAAGATGCCCTGGAATGCATTCTTCTAATGGGCATTACTTCTGAAAATGTCGTCGAGCGTTACAGTATCTCGCGGGAGGATCAAGATGCTTTTGCAGTTAGAAGCCACCTCAATGCGGCAGAAGCCCAAGCAACTGGACTTTTCTTGGATGAGCTTGTCCCCGTTTTGTAAAAGCAATCTGACGGTGGTGAGCTGGGGGTTGTGAGTATGTGTATTGGAACAGGCATGGGTATGGCCGGATTGTTTGTACGAGAATGAATGAATAGCATTAGAGACTGGAGAATGGAAGCTTTTCATATGCACTCTGGGATAAACTGTCGGAATAATGGCAAAACTAGCAAATATGACCTCTGTTCTCAATTATTCGTCTCATCTCCTTCGGTGTGAGGATTGAGTCATTGAGAATGCTGAACCCTGTATTGACCGTGTTTCTCCGCAAGTCCCTACCCTCAATTCACAGTCTAGTCTATTGGCCAAAGATCTCCATGCCTCAGAAACCTTGTTGCATTTATGACTTCAACTTGAAGTGAGGTTCGGTCCTAAACAGTAAGTAGTATTACTGCTGCTCGCCGCGGGCAAGTCCCGCGCTCAGTGGCCGACACCGCTAAGGCACCCTGTAATAAGCCTAGCCTCAAGAGAGCAATCACAAACTTTTAGCGGGGATACACGCTATAACCCCAGACCAACAACGCGGGGAAAGCTCTGAGATGGGCAATTGTACAATGAGCTTGATGCCCCACGATCTGGGGTAGCTACATGCCCTAAAAGTATATAATCCAGGCCAACGAGCATTGCCGACATGAAAATCAAGCAAAAGAGCACTTCTGTTGCAAAAGGAGTATAAACTTTGCTCGGCATCTTTTCATCATGCCCGCAATTGAGTTCGCCAACTCCTACGGGAGCTCCGTGCACCACCTTGTGTCAGGTTCTTATACTAACAAGACACTCTTCCTCCTTGCCTTCGATACCATTGCTAAGACATTGACTTTGAACTCTACTGTTCCAGGCTTTGGACTTCATCAATTTGTCACCAGCAATGCTGCCAAGGACCGCGTCTATGCCACCGCCATGAGCGAGCCTCCTCAGCTGTTTTCGTGGTCGGTAGATGAGAACTATCAGTTTACCCACCTTGACACGGTCAATATCAGTAAGTCAAATGGATATGACATATGGAAGTTCTGTTTGCTGATTGTTTCCAGCGTCTTCATCTTGCTACTTCTCGGACGATGGCAACCTGGCTTTTTCTTCTGGTGGCTCAACTGCTGCTATCCATGCTCTCACCGAGAATGGTGCTATCGGCGAGCAGGTTCAAGAGCTCTACATGGTACCAGAGGAAGAAATTAAGAACGTGAACAAGACAAGAGCGGCCGTGGTAAGTTCGCCTAACACTTTCTTCTTGCTAGTACTTATAGATATCCAAGCTCTATGGTGCTCATGCCTTTGACATCAATGTCAATAGAAAGGGTTTCGTTCCTCATTTGTAAGTACCAAAACTCAGGCTACGTACTACACGATTGACTCTCGGCAGGGGCATGAACTCCATTTTCATGTACGACATTGCGGAAAACGGGACTGCTACGCCTCTGTCTATCAACCTTAGTCCAACTGAGGGTGATGGACCACGAAACTCTTATTCTAGTAAAGATGGAAAGCTCCTTTACGTGGTGAGTCATCTCTGAATGGATATAAGACGTGGCAACGAAGACTCACGCCATGCATTAGATGACCGAACACAGTGAGCCCAAATGAATACACCATCATGAAACCCATCACTAACCTTGCAGACCAATGGATGGATGTCTATAGAGTGCTTGAAACACGTCTCGAACATGTTCAGAGGGCGAGTGCCATTCCTGATGGTGAGTCAACATATAGATTTCCGAGTCCACAGTCATCTCTAATAACTGAAGCTGTGCGAGGGGTCTATACCTTCCGCAGCAACACAGTCCAGATGTCCCGCGACGGCAAATACCTCTTCACCAGTACTCGAAGCTGGAACAACACCGAAGCAAATGGCTACGTCGCGGCATTTGCCCTCAGCGATGACGGACTTCTGAAGAGCGAGAAAGCCGTCGCCTTTTACGAGGCACCTGTCACTCTTGGCTCTGCTGGAGGTCTCCGAGTCGCTCCTTGGCAAGATGAAACTAACAGTGATCCCAATGGCATTACGGACTACATGTATCTCAGTGATACGTCTGAGGGCTGGATGTTTATTCTTGGTTGGACCCCTTCGAATCATACTCTCGATGTTGTGGCTTCGCTGCATTATCCTGATAACAGCACGCCTTACGAAGCGACTTGGCTCGATTAGGTTTATGGGGCTCTGGGATGGGTTCAAGATTATGTATACAGTTTTATGCACAAATCTTTCTAGTAATCTCATAGAGCCATCACAGCTTCAGCTTCACGCGCTAGCCCGAAATATGGATGCAATACTCCTTATATCGTGAATGACGGATGTCGAGCAAAATTGGAAGGTGTTTTGTCCTTACTGTGATATACCTATCTTGCTTCGTTTGACTTTATACACGGGGACGTGGTCTCTGTGAGGATTCGCATAAATGTACGGTGGCATTTCCGTGCATCTGGGCCGATAGTAAAATGTATGGAGATTTAAATGTTCACGGTTTATATTGCCTGGACATCATATGGAGCAGGGATCCTCACCGTAAGCCAAGGGAGGCGAAATTTGTCCAGGATATAGGCAGCTTTTCGGGCATTGGGCACGTTCAGGACACAAAGTACTTGCCAATTCTCTATATTTTATATTCATCCTGACTCTGGAAATATGTTCTATAATTACTTTAGAGGTTCTGGAACAGTATTGTTTCTCTCGCCGACTCGTATATGCGTTAGTTGAAGCTCGCAGTGGATTGATGTTGATGTAAGGGAGCAGCTTGAAGTACTTACCGTCTAGTGCTACAAGAAAACGGCTGACACAGTTATAACATGCAACCTGGAAAATTTTATCAGTCTCTTTGAAGAAAGGGTGACATTGCAAGAATAAATTTACCGTTGCGACAACCTCAACTACCTCTTGATCGCTGGCGAGCGACTTGAGCCATTCAAATGTCTCATCCTTGACCTGGACATTCCTCGTCATCTCATCAGCCACGACACAAACAGCCCATTGCTTCTCATTAAAGCCGTCGGGTCTCTCACTCCGCAATAAACCCCCCTCCTTCATGATCTCGTTCATCGACGCTGATGAGACACCACTGTTGACGGCCAATGGCGCATGGTGCATCCACTCATACCAAGTCCTATTCACAACAGCGATGCGGCAGATGGCAAGTTCTCGTAGATCATCTGCCAAGGACGTCTTTGTGCGGACGGCGCCGACAAAAGTGTTCCAGCCAGCGGCGACGTGAGGGGAATGCAGTAGTGCCAAATCGAGGGGTTGTATGGGGCGGGGATGACGGCGGGCCGCAATTGCAGCGACGATTGCCTCTTCTTCTGGGGAAGAAGTTGGAGGAGGATTAGGGATGTAGGGGACCCTCATTGTGGATATTGATATAGAAGAAGTGTGATATTACCGAAAGCCTATAGGCAGAGCCATGAGAGTATCACTGTAAATGTTATAAGGCATCGTTGATCTCTATTACCATCAATTAATTCCTAAGTTCCCTCCCCGCATTCCCCGCACACTCCGCGGCGAGTTGCCGCGGAGCTTGCCCGGACCAATTGCGTTCATCGTCCACGACGGTAGCCGTCAAGTTCAGCGTTGGCGATAATCCTCCAGCTTTCGGGTTTTCACCGTAAGCCAATTCTTCACTTCTCTCTTCGCGATCCGAGCTTATCAAAAGACCAAGTGTTATCTCTCTTCCCCTGGAAACATGGAGACCAATGACGAGCAAGGACAGGGACAGAGCTCCGCTCGCTCCAAGAAACAGCGGATGTCTCGCAAGTATCGAGGTTTGACATGCGCCAACTGTCGGGCCGAGAAGGTCAGAACGTCCTCTTATACTCATCTTTCACTAAACATTCTCTTTCTGTACGCCTTCTGACTTGATTGGTGATACAGGTCCGATGTGAAGGGAGTCAACCAACCTGTAAAACATGCGAGGTCTACCATGTCGAATGTCGTTACGACAAACCCCCACCGCTGTCGCAAGTTGTTGCCATGGCGCGAAAGCTTCAAGAAGCCGAGGAGGCGATTGAGCGCCTTCAGGGTGGTGACAGCTCCACGAGTCAGAACATGAGAGCTTCCATTGCCGAAAGTGTAGCTCCCGCATCAAGCGCCTTTGCTGCTGAAGACTTGCCAACACGATTGCCCTTATCATCAGGGCTCAACATAGAGCCCACAGTGCTGGAAACGTCGCCTACCACACATCAAAGCCGCCTCCAAGACCCTCCTCGACCAACTACAGGTATCGACGGTGCGTCGCAAGACGGATTAGCGATTGATCTCAGCGTGGATGAACATGGCAAGATATGCTATTACGGTCCAACGTCTGCCGTCCATGAGCCTCTGGGTCTCGCTTCACCATCTACAAACTCGATGAGTCGCGGGGACGGATCTAAAAGGACTGACGTACGCGCTTACCTTATATCGCGAGCTCGAGAATCGACCATCTGGGAGGAGTTTGCTCTTGGAAATGCATCGCTTCAACTTGGGCTACCGCGACAGGTTATGGCGAAGCTTCTTCATCTGCACTGGACATGGGTTGCTCCAATGTTTATGTGGGTGTATAGACCTGCATTCATGCGTACGCTGTCTTTCCACATACAGCAGATCATACCTTGACTAATATCTCTTGCCTTCAGGTGACATGACGACCGGCGGTCGTTACTACTCTGAACTTCTCCTTCTCGTGTTATGCGCCCATGCCTCGAAATACTACGACAGTAACCACGCGCAACTACTCTTCTCCCGGGTTCGATTCCTCCTCGGTGACGAGATACAGAAGCCCAGTTCTATACCTACTATCCAAGCTCTTTTGCAATTGAGTGCCCGGGAACTCGCTCAAGGCTCCATCTCCCAAGCATGGCTGTATAGTGGGATGGCCTTCAGAATGTCAGCCGACCTTGGATTGCAGCATAATGGGCCCGACATAGCGGACCTCAAGGGATTGGACCCCGTAGACTTGGAGATACGGAAGAGGCTATTCTGGAGCTGCTATTTCTGGGACAAGTGAGCGACCCATTTGAAGAACGATGCTCAGTCTTTGCTTACACGAGGCTGCAGAGCCATCAGTCTTTACACAGGAAGACTTCCAGCAGTGACCGAGCTACCGCAAAGCCCAATTGACTTCAGTATGCGCCCCGAGCCGATTAAACCGTTCTATTCTGATATTACGTGCAGTGGATGACTCTGCAGAGTCTGATGTATGGTCGCCATACTACGAAGACACTTCACCACTTACTCGACTAGCACCGAGCCAATACCCTGTGATGAAAAGTCACGCTGTGTCATGCTTCGCAAACTCGTGTAAACTTTCTGTCATCATTAATGACATAATAGTACAACTCTATTCAAAACGAAGCAGAGCAATAACCGAGTCGTCGCTGAACGACATCAAGGCACGTCTTGAGACATGGCGTACTGAGTCGCCGGCGCATCTGCGTTATGACCCAGAGTATCTCCCCAACATATGTCCGCCTCCCCATATTATCTCTCAGAAGTAAGCTCCTAACCCCCATATTGCTGAGTGTTGTGTTACTGACTGTGAATAGCCTCCTTTACTTCAGCACGATCATCCTCGCCCATCGCCCATTCTGGTCCGCACCAGCCTACTACCAAGTCTGCATGAGCGCAGCGCTTAGCATGGAGAAACTCCTCTTGATGCTTGAATCAACCTTTGGCTTCGAGAACATCACGTATCTCATGGGCTATTGCATCTACACAGGTGCTTCAGCTGTGCTCGAAGATGCGAAGAACAATGACGGTGCAACGCATCCCACTATGCAGACCTTTCTTAGAGCCCTCCACCGTGGCATGGCAAAATGTCCGCTCCTTGAGCGCAGCTTGCACATCATCATAAAGGGCCTGAAGAGGACTCCAGTACAGCGGCCAGCACCTGATGAGTCGTTATCCGACAACACGGTCACTGCTACCATGAACAGCTACATCCCAGCCTTTCCGTATCTTGACCCCGTAAGCCCGAATGACTTTGACATGGATGCGTACTTGAATAGCATGAGCATGGATACCATGGCCTCGTTGGACTGTTACCCAGAGCTACAGATTGATCTTGATGAAATGATGAGACATGCACCGGCTTAGGCATCCTTGAGCAGGTTTTCTTTCTTCATGTTTTGAATACCTTTCAGAAGCTCACGCGTTATGTCCAAGATGATGAGAAATGCATGGTGCTTTGGAGGAAGGATATGAGTCGCCCAAGGTGTCAGCGTGTCCAGGCGGGTACAGACACTGTTATGGTCTCAAGGTCTATATAAGACTAAACAAACAACGTCTTAGGGTTCTAAAGCAGTACAGTTCACATGAATATTTTTCAACACTATCGCATTGACGCCAAATCTAATTCTGTATACCAGTATTGGCCTCAGCTAGTGTATCAGCCTTGAGAGCTGGTCTATCGGCCTTTCCGGCAGTAGTCTGTGGCAAAGTATTAGCGGTGGCCCAAGTTGTGGTATGAAAATTGAGGCTACTTACGCCTCCATCGACAGGCATAATCAGACCTGTGACCCAGCCAGCTTCCTTGCTAGCCAAGAACAAGATAGCTACAGGGTTTTAGCGAAAGTCACAGAGATACAAGGGCTTGGGCTGACCTACCATAGCCAACATCCCAGCCAGTTCCCTCCTTCTTCATCAAGTTCTGGTTAATTCTTGCTTGTCTCATCTCGTCTGTCATTCCGCGTCCTCTTGTCATTGGAGTATACACCATTCCCGGTGCGACACAGTTGACACGGATATTCTCACGGCCGTGATGAGCTGCCATGGCCCGTGTCATCTGAATGATGGCACCCTTGGTGGTAGGGTACAATAGACTGGGGTTGCCGCCGAGTACTGCAGGACCCTGTTAGCTTGGACATTTTGGGGGTAAACAGAGGATACTTACATCCACTAACTGACGACATGTTGATGATAGATCCGCGGCCCTGCTTCCTCATTTCAGGAATCGCATATCGGCTCATCATGACCATACTTGTGACGTTGATGCGGAAGTCTCTGTCCCAAGCATCGAGGTTGATTGTTGTGGCATCACCCATTTCACCGCCAACGCCAACTAGTTGCGCCTGTCAGTGCATGTCTCTCGCTATAATTACGCATGCGATTCAACCTACCGATATTGACAAGGATGTGCAGAGCACCCCATAGCTCAACAGTCTTGTCGATGGCATTCTTGCAAGACTCTTCGCTTGTGACATCAGCCTGGATCACCTCTGAAATGCCGCCCTCCTCATCAATCATGCGCTTGGTCTCTTTCGCCCAGTCCACATTGAAGTCCACAAGAGCGACCTTGGCGCCGTGGCGTGCGAGGAGGATGGCAGCCGCGCGACCATTACCAATCTCGCCTTTACAGGGGGGTTAGTGTAATGGGGACAGGAATTGGGGTACGTCTTGAACTCACCATCCATGCGGGAGCCTGCACCTGTGACGATTGCCACATCTCCAGAAAAGTCGAAGGCTCGAGGTGGCGCCATTGCGGAATATGTGAGTTGATGAAGTTGCTTTGACAAAATGTTGACTTTTGCCGCTGATGATTTACGTCCGAAATCTATAGTAAAACGAATTCATATACCTAACGAGATTCAGCATCCAAGAATAAATATTATTCACCTTGCAGTCAAATATTGAGGGATCGTCGCTCACCGCGGCCAATGGCCACTCTCAGCCTCCGGGCATTCGGCGCGGGCAATCGCCGAACTCCCCTGTTCTCTGAGCTAGCGACCACACAGTCACGAGGGCCGCATGCTGGGGACATGATGGGGATACCCAAACTCGGGCTTCTCCCGGAATCTTGCCTGTCAATTGGGTCAGTCTCGATTCAGATTTGGCCAAGCTTATCGGCTCTGCGGCTCTTAGTGGCCTTCACTAAGGAGTTTTGATCCTCAGACCCAGACATGACGGCATCAACATGTGTCTTTCTCATCACTCGCTTTTTGGCGCGTCAATTCACTGGTCGCTGGTATCAATGCAACAGGACAAGTTGTATCGACTCTAAAGGGTATACCTGCTACGCGCCAAAGGATCGACCAGGCGAAAGATTACAAACCTCTTGCCATTAACTGAGTGGGAGCATTGTAGGTAGCGACCTCTGGATTTATAGCGGGGAGCAGTTCTTGTGCTCTGCGTTGTTTGAGCAGATTCAACCTAGAAGAGATGACATAAATCTAACTCGCCAATCGGAACTTGAAGAATGATGCAGTAGTCGATGAGAATCCAATTAATAGTATATTTTTCATCTGTTTATCTTGGAATACCTATCTATTGCGACAACCAATAATCGAACCATGCCACGATACCTGCCAGGCTCTGTTCCTTTACCCAGCCTATGCCGTGTCAGTTGGTCTCGAGGGAAGCTTCACTATTGGAACTTACGCTGGTAAGGATCTTTAGGGTCACCTCTCAAAGCAAATCCGTGTTCAACACCAGAAAATACTTGATAGTGAAAGACCTTCTTGTTGGTCTGTAGAATATCCAGCGCTCGACGTCGAGAAGGAACATCAAACGTGTGGTCAACTTCCGAGCATGAAAGAAATAGAGGCTCTACAGAAGGGATTAGCAATACTGACACAGAACTACCGAAGGAAGAAGACTGTACTCTTGAGATCTGTAAAATGATGTTCCTTGAGGAACGCTGGGTGAGCAAAAGCGCCTACTGCCACCGTATCACCTTTCAGCTCATTGCACACGTAAGGCGCTCCGAAGCAGTAGCCAACACAGGCAAACTTTGTTGTGTTTGTTCCATAGCTCTTCTTGACAGCAGCTACCCATTTGGGCACAGCAACATCCGCAAAGGCAGTGTGCTTGCGCTTCCAGGCTTCGTAGTCAAAGTCAGGATTTTGGGTATGCCGGTCTTTGCGATGCTTCCAGACAGGGTCCTTTATCGTCTTTAGTCTCCGTTCTAAGCACTTTATGTCCGCCTAACCTACCCCACGGAAGTAGTCGAGGCCCAAGACTAGGTAGCCTGCGTCTGCAAAAGCATCCATGACTAGCAGCCCGTTGGGGAACATGCCCCATACATCTGGAAAGTATAGTAGGATGTTTCCGTTTGCCTTTTCGGGTGCTGGTTTTGAGATGTATGTTTCGACGTCTGCGATGGTTTCCCAAGTGCCTCTTGAATCGCCCTCGTGGATCGTGCCTTTGAGACAGCAGCTGCCACTTGGTTTAGCAAGATATGGCTCACTGGTTGATTGTTGTGAAGATGATTGACCCATAATGTGATAAGTCTATTGTGTAAAAGGCTGCAATGAGTCTTGAAAGAGTGAAAAAGTGTAGTTAATCTTGGTCAAGGTTGTCTTCAGTCTCATACGAGTTCCTGGTAGGCAGCTAAACAATTCTCTGCGTTTAATTAATGCCAGTGGCGTTCTCGACACCATTAGTCGGCTTGTATCCGCGGAGACTGGCCGTGGGGATGCTCCAGTAGTTCACCGATAATCTTCAATTGGCCAATGCCATGCGGAGTCGAGCCAGGCCCCATGGGGTAAAGGCGGAGAAGTTGCAGGCTACCCCAGGCTGTCTAAATTTCTGCTTGACTTAGCGACCATGCGCTCGATAAATACTACCCCAGCTTCCCCTTGTCCAGTCTAAGTCTTCAATTCAGTTCTCTCTCCATCCTCTCTCGACTTGACTTGAGCAATAAGACTTTCAGCAACAATGTCGGACACGCCCAAGCCTATCGTTGAGTCGCCCCCTAGCGTTGAGGCCATCGAGGACTCAGAGCTCAAGGGCACTCGCAACGAGATGGATGTTCACGATCGAGAGAATGCTGTTGGTTACAGCGAGTACCTTGAGGCTCGCGACATTGAGTTCTCAGATGCTGAGGTACGCACAACGCTACTGGTATACGCTGCTGCGTTCGCTAACAGATTACTAGGCAAAGAAACTGCGATGGAAACTCGATCTCGTTATCCTCCCTATGTTCCTCATCACCCAAGCTCTTCAGTTCATGGACAAGACCTCTCTCAACTATGCCAACCTCTTCGGATATCAGGAGGCTCTTGGCCTGAAGGGCAACCAGTTCAGCTACCTCTCTGCAAGTCAGTATTCCTCACCTCGCCTCGCACGGTCGATTATTAAATAAGGATATAGTGGTCTATGCTGGTTATTTCTTCGGCCAATACCCTTGCGGATGGCTCATCGGTCGCTTTCCTGCTCAAAAGGTTATGGCTATCAGTGTCTTCCTGTGGGGTCTCATGGTCATCATCATGACTCAGAGCCGCGACTACTCGAGTGCTCTGGCTGTGCGGTTCATCATGGGTGTCTTTGAGGCCGCTGTTACTCCCGGTTTGACCCTAATGACTGGCTTCTGGTATACCCGACGAGAGATTCCTCTTCGTCAGTGTATTTGGTACTCGTCTCTCGGCTGGGGTGGCATCGTAAGTTACAGCCACGTTCTGGCGCCCAAAGCTCTCTTATTAACAACGAACCTTGCGTAGGTTGGCTCTTATATCTCCATGGGAGTCTCCAAGCTTCCTGTAGACCTCAAGCCTGAGCGTTGGGAGCTGATCTTCTACATCGTAAGTCACCATTACGCTCAACATCCTTAGGACACGGCTTATATGTCTACAGCTCGGTGGCGCTACTTGTCTTTGGGCTTTCGTCATCTGGTTCCTACTCCCCGATTCGCCTTCTAACGCCCAATTCCTCAACCATCGCGAGCGTCTCATTGCAGTCAAAAGAGTAGCATCCAACGAGACAGGTATCAAGAACAAGGCATTCGATAAGGATCAGGTCGTCCTCGGCTTCACTGATCCCAAGACTCTTCTGCTCTTCACCTCGGTCTTTGCTGCGTAAGTCAAATCCTCGTCACGACAAAAGACTGACCTTTTGCTAATAAATGATTGACAGCGCCATCCCTAATGGTGTCGTCAACTCCTTCTCCACCATCATCATCCGCGACATGGGATTCAGCACCACCAGAACTACTCAACTTAAGTCCGTTGGAGATGCTGTCCAGATTATTGGCTTGATCATTGGTGGAAGCGTCATTCTCAACGTTCCAAACTGTCAGTCAAACCATCGTTATGAAGCACCTACCCACTTAACTAACAACAACCAGCTCGACTTCTCACTGCTACGGTCGCCAACATGCTTTGCACAGTCTCTGCTGCATGCATGGCCTACCTTCCCCGCGATAACACTTGGGGCCGACTTGCATGCTTCTGGCTGGTCAACACCCAGTCTGTTGGCTTCACTGTGTCTCTGACCACCATTTCATCCAACATGGCTGGTTATACTCATAGATCCCTTGCTAGCGCCCTGGTCTTGTGAGTCTTGCATCAATCAACCTTTGACACCTGACTAACGTACTACGTCAGTACTGCTTACTGCTGGGGCAACTTTGCCGGCCCCTTCGTCGTCAAGCAGTCTCAGGCTCCTCACTTCACTGGTGCCACTATCGGACTTTTAGTTGGCTATGCTATCAAGTTTTGCTGCCACCTTGGTCTTCTTGGTAAGTGGCCTAATATCCAGCGTAGAAACTTTGGCTAACTCTTTGTCTCTAGTGTATATGTACCTGGTCAACAGACACCGTAACAAGACCTACGGTGCGCCCAACAAGGAGCGTAGCAACGAGGCTGGTATGCGGGATCAGACCGAGTTCGAGAACAAGGACTTCCGATACGTTCTGTAATCTTGAATCTCCTTGTAGGAGCAAGAGCAAGGCCCGGACTTATTGGATAGTTGTATCACAGCGGAAATAGATGAATCAATGATACTTGCCTCATGTATCACTCTAAAGTTGTGATTTTACTGTCATGTCTAAGATTAACTCACAATCCGTGACATAGATCTGGGCGAACACGCCAGAGATGGACACTGGCTGATAGCCCATATCTTCATTAAATTTTCCAGATACATACAGGTACAAATACGTCGCCAATTCCAAAGCTATTTGATTTACCTCTTAATTATCACCATGATTGTCTGGCGGAATCGCATGGCCGTGTCGTCTTTGATCATTATCACACGACAACAAAGCAAACTAACCGGGGGTGTTCAAATACTGCGAATCTTCAATAATTCAATAAAAGAAACCGTTACCTCATCTACCACTCTCACATGTGAAGTCATATTGACTTGTCAACAATGTATTGGAGTCTAAACGTACGCAAAATGGCAACAAGGTATCTGTGGTATTGTATGTATGTCTACGTATTTATAACATATTTTGGACAGATGATAGATGATGAGTGCAGCCTTGTACGCTGGAGACCCCTACTTGTTGAACTGTTGAGAAATCTGACCAACATCTGTCATGTTGGCGATACCAGCAAAAGCACTCAAAGCCTTCTTCGCCCGAACGTCTCCGATCTGGTTACCAACATGATCCAAGAACTTTGTATGGAGAAACTTCTCATCCAGGGGATTCTCGTAGCTACCAATCGTGTGCTCAACATGGACCTCGAGCTTTTTTCCATTCTCAAACTCAACAGCAACAAACGCCTCGTGCTCGCTGACCTTGTCATCACTTGTAACATTGACCTTCTGGCGGAGTTCAGTGACGGTCTTGTTCTGCACAGCTTCATCTGTGAACTGGGAAGGGGTTGCTTCGCCGAAAAGGAGTGCTACAGCGGTTGCGTGATAGACGCTGAACTTGCCCTGGAGACCTGTCTCGGGCTTGGGATCATCCGTCAGGAACAGAACGCGGGGATGAGTACGGGCCGTGACATTGGCGATCTTGGTGAGGTCGAGGCCATCCCTCACTGCCTTGTCGTGAATCTGAATCCAGCCATCGATGGCAGCATGAATGATCCTATCACATGGGTATGGCTTGAACGTGTTCCTTGATATCTCCCAAACATTGCCAAGCGTGGAGATCTCGGCTGTCAGATTCTCATGAGTGCTGACAACATGAGACCAACCTCTCTTAGCTTCCAAGCCTTCGAGAGATCCTCCAAAGCCACTCTTGGCGAGCAGTGCCGACTGGAGACCTGCTTGTGCTGCAGCCCCAACATGGAAAGGCTTGGTGTCCGTACCAAAGGACTCGTGCATACCGATTACCTGAACGGAGGCTATGCTGATAGCTCTCTGCATTTGCTTAGTGTCAAGTCCAAGGAGCTTTCCGACAGCAACAGCTGAGCCAACTGAGCCAACGGTACTAGTAATGTCTGATGGCAGTCAGTATGGGCACCCCCAAGAAGAATGATTAGGCACACTTACGCCATCCAACATTGTAATGCTCAGGGAAAACAGCAACACCAATCTTGCACTCGGCTTCAACACCGGCAACGAAGGCCGCCAAGAAATCTTCGCCTGACACAGGTGCAATCCACTCAGCAACCGCAAACAGAGCAGACAACACAGGTCCAGAGGGGTGAATAGGGTTATCTCGGTGGGTGTCATCATAGTCATCTGCGTGGGAGGCAATGCCGTTGATAAGAGCGCGGTCTTAACATCAACGTACTTGCCGGTCCCAAAGATGGATGAGTTTCCATCGGCTCCAATGAAGGGAACGTTGGCCTCGTACGCAATACCTGCTGGGGGCAAAGCGTAGCCGCCGATGGCACAGCCGGCCCAGTTGTAGACGCTCTTAACAGCTATATCGACGACTGGTTCGGTGAGGTTGCCGAACTGGAGGGCTAGAGCCCAAGTTGCTAGAGCCTTGGTAGCCATGGTTGGTCTGTGAGTGTTGCTTGTCTCAAGTGTCTGGTGTGATATTCCAACACTTTAAAGAGCACATTGTGACGACATTTATACTTCATCAGGACCCTGTTCATCTGCATCATGAAGGATCTGCATTTTCTTTGCTTCGTTCTTAGCCCGCGGACAAAACGGCACTTTTGTTCAGTGATACTGCGCGGTGTAACCCTCTCAGGTCCATATTGTGGAGGCCATCATGGCTCTGGACCACTGCTAACTCAGAAAGCTGATTGGAATTCATGGCAGATCAATGCTTGGAGACCCTGGTTCTCAAGATTCCGGCACATACGGGTATATTGACCTCGAGGCAGTACGAAGGTGTCCCTGCGTTGATGTATTTCTACTTGTGAGAAGGAGCCCTTACTAGCGCAGTTGAATTGGTGCTTAACCCCAAGAACTACCCCGGATGTACTGAATCCCCGCATTGTAGAATCAGATTCTAGCCTAAAACCCCTGCTTCTGTGATGATCTCAATGCAGTTGGACTGCTCTGGTCGAGGGGCCGCGGAGAGCGCCCGGGGAAAGTGACCGGCCGGCAACCGCCGACCTCACGCTCACGGAAGGACACATGACACCCTCCAGGGGAGTTCTCTGTCATTGAATGGATCACGTAGATTTCGTACGTGGAAAATCACTATGTGTTGGTAATGAGTCGTCCACTTGCCATCATGGGCATAACTCTTACATAACGAGACTATGAATACGATTTGAGGCCTCGTCTCTAGCCTTTGTGGAGCTCATGGCTTTTGTGTCACATAGGAAGTAGCGCTAATAAAGGTAAGCCTCAGGGAGTCTATCACATTCCTTTCACTTGAGAAGCACCCAATTCACAACAGTTAGCATTCATGGTTTCAAATAGTCTTGATACAAGCTTGACCTTCCTATAAAGATGCTTTTCACACTCCTTTCATTAACTCCAATGGCTCAGCAACAGTAAAAGGAGCCTCAGTCTTGGCCTTGACCTCATCCACAGTGACACCAGGAGCAATTTCGACCAGCGTTAACCCCGTAGCAAAGTCCACGTCAAACACTCCCTGGGAAGAGTTAGTATAATCCAAGAGCAGTATCGTGATAGCGACGTACCAAGTCCGTAATGATGCGTGATACGCACGTCCGGCCAGTGAGAGGAAAAGAGCACTGGTTCAAGATTTTGGGATTGCCCTTCTTATCTGTATGTTCCATCGTGACAATGACCTTCGTCTTGCTTGGGTTGCTAACGAGGTCCATGGCACCGCCGAAGCCTTTGACCTTTCCTGGGAGCATCCAATTCGCCAAGTCCCCTGTTGCGCTGACTTGCATAGCACCAAGGATGGTCACATCGATACGACCACTAGGGATCATCCCGAAACTTTCATCGCTGCTGAAAACAGACGCACCAGGCTTCAAAGTGACTGTTTCTTTACCAGCGTCGATGAGATCCGGGTCAGCTTCGTTGCGCTCTTTGGATGGATAACGCCCGAGACCTAGGATGCCATTCTCCGATTGGAGCTGGACATCAACATCGGGTCCAACGAATGAGGCTGCCAGCATTGGCATTCCGATTCCAAGATTGGCGTACATTCCATTCTTGAACTCCTTAGCTGCTCGTCGGACGATGCGTTCTCGCTTTGCAGCAACCTCACCCTGACCCAAGGTCTTGACGTCTTGCTCGTCCCAGGTATATTTCTCGATGCCTTTCTCTGTAGTGCTTTGGACGACTCGCTTCACATAAATGCCCGGGAGATGAACTGACTCTGGGGGAATCTCCCCGGGCTCAACAATATGCTCGGCTTCAACGATTGTCACCTTGGCATTGCGGCCCATTGGACCGTTGAAGTTTTGAGCTGCAAGACGAAACTGACAATTTCCTAGCGTATCTGCCTTGAACGCCTTCACGAAGGCATAGTCTCCTACAATACTGCGCTCAAGCAGATATGGCTTGCCATCGAATACCTTGACGTCTTTGGGATCTGGAAATTGGGCATCGTCAAAAGATCCAATAGCTTTGTTCCGAGATGGTAGGTCGCCATTTTGAACAACAGTTCCGACGCCAGCAGGCGTATAGAAAGCCGGGATACCTTTACCACCAGCAGCACAGCGTTCTGCAAGAGTGCCTTGAGGGGTAAGTTCCAGTTCAATGTCGCCTGTAAGATACATCTTCTCGAACGTCTTATTCTCTCCGATATAAGATACAACCATCTTGTGCACTTGTCTGCTTTTCAAGAGCTTTCCAAGCCCAAAGTTGTCGGTTCCGGCATTGTTGGAAACGGCTGTTAGCCCGGTGACATCAGGCTTATTGAGGACTTCATTGATGAGAGTGTCTGGGACACCACAAAGACCAAAGCCGCCGCATAGAACCGTTGTGTTTGGTCTCATGTCCCTTAAAGCCTCTGTAGCCGATGAGACAACTTTGTTGATGCCATAGCGGCCCACGGAAATAGAGAAGTGTCTTGTAAGCAACACCTTCGGCCGCATGAGTCAGTCATTGAACGAGATGTTGATAGAGGGAAATCGAGAGTACCAAGAAGGTAACTTACATGAGTCCCACGTTGGACCACGGTTCGTGAACCTATGCACAGAATTGCCGATGCCATAGTGCCAGTGCAGTCTTTGCAGAGGATACAAAGACCAGGGCTAATTGTGAATCAGCAGGTGTTTGAGAACGACTTAAATCAACCTTTGGCAGCCATATCCGCCATGACGCTTCTATTTCTAGTCACATTCTAGCTAGTCAGTATCGAGCTCCGCCGTAGAGTCAATTGCTGGAGGCTTTCGGGAGCTGGCCGCGGAAAGTGGCCGTCGTCACGCTAAAAGTTGCCATGAGAGTCTTGAGCATTTTCTAGCTAACCAAGACCAAAAATAAAATTATATGTCAAGTTTGGAAGATATTGCGGACGCCAATGGATCAGATATGCTAATTCTGATCTGTCGGACATTATCTCACTGGTTCCACTGTCAAGAAAGGACTCAAACAACATTATCCGGAAGTACTCTCAGCTCGGATATATTTTACTGGAGAACTGGGATTGATTGATAAGTCTCAGCTAGGTATTTCCCCGATTCGAATAGCCTCCTATCGAAAGGACATTGTTGTCATGGCGTGGCTTAACTAATCTTCCTCTATCTCATTGACTTCAACGCCATCCAATCCCTTCAGTTTCTCAACACAATCCTTGCTCACAGGACTTATGAGAGTTAGTGGCAACACCAAAGATAGCATGGCTCATGGTTACTTACGGGGGAATTCCCATGGGAGGAATGGATCTGGTCTCAATCCAAAACTCAACGCCAGTGTCATCCTGGATAAGCCTAAAGAGATCGTTAGAGTGATGAAGAGTCTCATATCAAGGTCCGCTTACTTCTTGAGCTGGGGCTCAGAGGCCTGCCAAGCGTCGTAGCCGCGGTAGGTGTAGCGGATTTTCTGCATCCCTTGTTAGCAGACGTCAGAGGAGAAGGGCAGCTTTTTAAGTACAGTCTTGTCGCCCATGATGAATAGGTAGGGTAGTATTTTCGTTTAATAGGGTTATGAGAGTGTTGATGTTCTGTTGTGATTGAGAGGAAGCTGGGATGAGACAGAACTGGGGAATCTTCCTGGCCTTTTATACTTGAAAACAATCAGTAGCAACGCTTTGGACAGTTCAAGCAATGGAACTTCTGCCAGGCCATTTTGGTATCGTTTTCAGCTTTTGTCGATCATGAACAGATGCGTCTCGGCATTTCATCCACAAAGACTAACTTCGGCTGCGGGATCGTCCGGTTGCAGACGCTACCAATGGTTTCCGTCACTAGAAATTGCAGATCAAACTCAATCTGCAGCTTGATTTTACTTTACATTCAGCTCGAATCCACACTGTCAAATCTTGTATCATGTTCAAACCGTTTTATTGGACATTTGCTGCTTCTTTTACCTTCGGGGATCGACACGGCACCGGCGGTAGATCGGAATGTTGTGTGTCAAGCCGTCATACATGGAAGTTTAATCAATGTCTTACCTTTCACATGTCTTGATCGCGACGGAATGGACTTGAAGATGAATATTGAAACGTATTATCATTGGCGACCCGCTAAAAGGGAAGCGCTAAGGGTATCGTGGGACAGAGAAGCAAGTCTTCTCCCCGCCTCGTAATTATATCTAGGTACTCTACACTTTCATGGCATGACCAAGTCCGGCTTATGCGAGGTCTGATCCTCGAGTTTGGACGACAGTCTTCTTGACCAACACATTCCATCCTTTTTGGGCACGTGGTTGACCATTGGCATCGGCCAGATCTGACTGGCTGCTATTCCAGCCGTGCAGTTCTGCAACAGAGTCGGAAGCTTCTGATCGGCTTCCATGCTTGCCTGTTTCAGCATTACTATCTGACTTGTCGTCGTGGTCGATGATGGTGGTGACTCCAATACGCTTGCCAGCGTTGTCGTGAAGATCAAAAGCCTCCTCGCCGTTCTGGCCGTGGCTGCGAAGGTAACCTCCTGTTGGGTGATTGCTACCTGTTCGCTGCCAAGGCCTGGCTGAGTTTCCCTGTCCGTCTGCAGATGATCCGTGGCCAAGGAAGTTACGGAGAAGGGGCCGGAGTGTTGCGACAGCTGAGGCAGTGATACCAAGACCAGTCTCAACAGTGGACCAGATAGCGACATCTGAGGTAGAGTATAGGAAGTCGTCGATGTCGGTGAGGGAGTAGAGATAAGGGAAACGGATGATGGTGGCACTAGAGGCACTGTATTCAAGGTCAGTAAACTAGGTTAATGGGTAGAGGAGTGTTGACACATACATAGCACCTGCAGCCAGAATACCGACAACAGAAATCTTTGTTCGTCTGCTCATTTGAAGGTTCCAAACCAGCGCAATGGGTAGCAAACTGTAGGTCCAATCCGACAGACAGCTGATAGCGGAGTAAGCATAGAACGCCTTGGCAACTACCGAGGCGTCCAAGCAGCTACCTCCAGGAGGGTTGCTGGTATATCGGAGCCAGAAGAGTGATGTAGGTCGACATTGCAAGACGAACAGCAGGAAGAAAAACAAGCTGTAGATTTCCGTGATGCCAGTGATGGTCCAGATGATAATCTTGTGCGTACGTGTAATGCAGATTCGCAACAAGAAGATGGCAATACTGGCCTTGATGGCCATGTTGGTCAAGACGTAGGTAGGTTCGCATGTCCACCACATCTGCATCGCTCTGGGGATATTCTCCGGCGTAATGTCCTTGAAGTGACGTCCAGTTCCATATCGGACACCAGTGATCTCATAGGAGCAAAAGACGATAAACATAAACTTTCTCGGTTAGCAGGGTCTTATCAATAGGGGCAATGCATCCTGTCTTACCTGGGCAATGAGGGCAAGCCAATCATCCGCGCCAAACGCCTTGACAATCCATCCTCGGCAGTAGACGCGAAGACATGTCGCAATCGACGAGAGGACTACAAAAGTATAACCGATGGCAGCAATCTGCGTCGCCCGACTATCGATCGCCATGGTGTTGGTTCAGCTCGTGTGGCAGAGAAGAAGAAAGAAGAACAGGGTGCAGCGAGTGGACTCTCTTCTGCTAACCGAGCGAGCGGGCAAGACCCCATAGACTATATATGCAGACATGGTAAAACACCACTCGCTCGCCACGAGTCGACGGACAAGAATCCAGACCGGGATAGGTTCGTCTGTGGAGTGCAGGAGATGGAGACAAAAGGGGATTCATGTAACAGACTATCAAAGTAGGGTGACCAGGAAACCGCGGCAATGATTTGCGTCTTATCTAGATCCATCCTAGCTTGATCTTCATGACGGGGAGGCTAGCCCTGCTTGTGTTGGCGCTTCCAGAAAGTCGGGACCTTTGAGTCAGGGGCCTTCGGACTTGGGCCAATCTGCCACGAGGAAAAACGCTCTGACAAGGCGCGACAAGTTTCTAGTTCTTCTGCTACTCGGAGCGCGGTTCCATTGAGATCTCGTCCCAGGGCCTAGCAGATTGGCTAGACTGTTAGTGATGCAGTTTTCCGGTAATTAGCGTCGGAGAACCGCCGGATGATCTGCTGTGCGTTGGGCGAATGAGGTCAAGTGGCGATTTGTGCTTGGACCTTTGTTACACAAGGAAAACTCTGCGCGTAGTGGGCTTCGGGGAACCCACAAAAAGGGTATAATCTCGAGAATAAGGGGAAATGATTAGGTATTTACCTGATAGCTCCCAACAATTCCTCAAGCTTCCCCAGGTCTGGAGATTGCATAGTGGGCTTGAACGGAGCCGTTTGAGTGGCTTTTTCGCGTTGGGTAGAAGCAATGCTAGACGTTTTTAGGTATATAGATCGTCGTGGTAATCAATGTCTGTGAGTCGCATCGTAGATCGTGACAAAAGAGATCGAGCATCCCGGAACTTCATAGACCCGTCTGGCGATCATTCATTTGGCCGAAACGCTTGTATGTTAAGGCTGTCGAGCACAATTCAACGTCCTTGGTATGCCTTAAGAATACTTCCAATAGTTCAACGCCAATCGCATGACGAGTGGATCATAGCGACTCAGGCACTCTTAAGCTTAAGCCTTAGGCTTTGTCATGAGGCGAGCTGAGTAGCTAGTAAATGTGATTTATCATAAGCCTGATGTTTTAGCTGTCATTATAGCTTCAACGCAATATAAAAGCTGCACATCAGTATCTTCAGTGAATTGCCTGATCAGCGAGTTGGGTTGCTAGATCGTTTTTGCGAGTCATGAATGGACCAATGAAAAACGCTTCGGAGTCTCGCCTATGGCGGCTCCGGATTAAACGCTCCAAGCATGAACTTTACGTCCGACGTTTTATTGAAGTCACCATTGACTGTGGCTTGTCTGCCACATGGTTTGTCGAAACAATACGAAAATTTAAAAGAACAAAACCAATCCGAGTCATTCATCTTGACTATCTGCTTGAAACATTGTCGAAACTAAAGTGGGATATCAGGCGCGAAGGATTCGTGGCTGCTTGGCACACGTGCAGAGTTAGCTTCTAGAAATTGGCGTATGAGCCAAGAAAGTTTTGTATCCTCAATTGATCTTGACCAAGTCAGGTCTAGCTTTTACTAGGTATTTTCACTAACCCTACAAGGGATGCTCCTCGTCAAAGTGGCCACGACCTAAACCAACTCCACCAAGCCATTCCGTCATACTCCTACCCTAGAACAGAGGGCCTAGAAGTGTTATCCTCCATTCCAATAACACATTACGTTACGTTAGAGATATTTTCTGACTGTCTCCTGAAACGATGTTTATTCTCTGCAACCCATCCCTTCACAGGCAACCTCATTACCGCCTAGTAACGCGGAAACTTGACCTGTCGCTTGCTCATTTGATGCGTCCCACTTGAGTTGTTCAATGAATATTACTTTGGCAACAAGTTTTCTTGTAACTAGTACATTCAGATTCAATCGTGAACAGTTTGAAGGCTGGCGAACGTGGATTCCATTCTATTGTCTTATTCACTAGCATACACCTATTCCTAAAGCTTGTTCTGCGAAACCTTTCTCAATGTCTCCAACGGCGACGTCTTCGCCAGAACAGTAGCATAAGAACCAAATCGTACATGCACAGCCTCCTTTGGCTTTGGATCCCAGCAGTAAAAGCGTCCAGTAGACCTCATCTTCTCCAAGTCAATGACAACAATTGACTCAACCGGCATAACTGTCTCGGTCCAAAACAGCATGTACAAGTTGTCTCCCAGCTTGAGCATCTGGCACTTCTCAGCATCTGCGATGCCCCTCTCTGTGCCGCTGAGACAATGCCAAGTCATGGTACCCTTGTTGAGATAAACATGCTCATAAGCATCTCGGGGAGTGTATCGGTACAGAATGTGCTTTCCAATGAGCTCATCAGTAGCTTGAAATGGCTCAACAGGCTTCCCTCCGAATGCGATTGCGTTGATGAAAGAAGTAAATGTTCTGCGTTCGCCATTCTCGTCCTTGAAGCCTGATACAGCAGCAATGGCTTGTCCAGTGACTGTGTTGACGATCAGACTGACGACTTCATTGTAGTCAGGCTTGAGGAAGTCGACGAAGAAGATATCTGGTCGTACTTCGAAAGCCTCATAATTGGCTGGTGCACTAAGGCCTGCCCCTTCTCCCTCAAGGATCTTCCATGTGACGCTATCCGCACCAAAGTCATGAGAGATCTTCCAACCATTGTCGTATGTATGTTCAAAGTATTTGCCCCGCAACTTGTTGGATGCTGGCATCAGGTGCTCTCTGAAGCCATCAGCCATTTCCTGGAGGGTTGGCCATTTAGCTACCGGGATGTAGTCTGAGGTCTCTGAGGTAGCTGATGGAACCATGTTGACTAGTAAAGAGGCTTGAAGAGTCAAGAATGACAAGTGTCGACTGAAGAACTTTTTATAGTGTTGTTAAGAGAATGGTGTCAAGGGAGTTATGGATGAAGGCGGCCTATAAGGTTAGGGAGAAACTTGTCTTGAGCAGTCTATTCATTAGGGAGAGACGATGCCATCTTTATAGTAAATCGCTGAGAACCATACTGAGTGGTAATCTAGCATATTCTCCTAAATCTACCGTGAATACCGGCTACCACCACTGCTGAGTTTCCGCAAATTCCGTGAAGCTTTCGATACAACAGTCCTATCAAAAACGGAGCTTCCCCGCATTACCGCCGCCATCGATCACGACCTTTCCACTTACAGAAAAAAAGTGCGACCTCCCCCACCTAGTATCTTTCTTTGGCCTGCGGAGAAGCATTCTGGAAAGTCTATTCCAAGGGCCTAGATGACATTCTCTCTTGTTATCATGCCACCAACCGAGATAGCTATCAAGGAGAATGATACGCTGTGGCTGTCTTCGGACTTTGATCAGACCGAAAGTCCTACACTCATGATCTGCATTCATTGTCCGATTCTCCGAGCTCCATGTTGCTTTCTCGGACTTTCGCGACACTGCCTGAGTATGAGCGCGAGACGAACTGGAGCACCGCCTGTCTCCCAAGAGAGCGAAAAAGGGACGGTATCAATTTTCTCGTATTATCCTAGAATAGTCTCCAGTCCATCTTCTTCCATAACATCAATCCAATGCACGCGTAAAATTGGACTCTTATCATCAGGCCCCTCCATGGCCGTTGAGTCCATCCGTGCCCAGACCCTCTGAAGCACAGTAGCTGCCCTATTAATCGTCTGGAGTTTGAGAGATAAGAATGACTTATGCAGTCTCTCAAGCACGAATCTCCTCCAGCCTGCGACTAAGGCTCTGATAATGGTGTTTGCATCTGAACTCATTCCAAGTGCACTTCCTGCTACCAGGAATATGATGGTCTGAATGGCAATAGTTCGGGAATCCTCGGGAATTGCCTTCATGATTTCTAACATCTTCAGTGCAAGCTTTAAGATATGCTGTGAGAGTATTGCATCACGATTTTGATCATCATGTATGCATTGTGTGACTTCAGGAAATGCTCGGTCAAGCTCAAGACGAGCAACCAGCTGATAGCACTTGGCTATCTTACAGAGATGATCCGACGGGGTCCTGTAGTCGCCGGTATTGGGTATGGCTTCAGGAACTGGTATTTGGCAGTGGTCTATGTCCAGACTCAGAGTAAAAGCTTGAGTGACTAAATCGAGGATGCGGCTTGAGGCATCTATATCATCACCCATCGAAAAGTTGTATGAACTCAGATGTCGTTTCTGCCGTACTAATGCCATGCATTTGGCGAGGTGGATCAGAATATTCGTGCCGACTCCGGTCCATGGACACGGATAACAAAAGGTCGAAGGTGGCAGAGCGGAGAATACGTCGAGATATGAGAGTGCGCCAACCTCTTGATCAATCAAGCAAGAGGCCATAACTTCCCAATAGATCATGGATGAAGCTATTAAGCGCTGGATGCGGTAAGATGGTAACTGAAGGTCCGTGAGGTCGAATTGATTCATCCAAATACTGAATACTTGGCGAGCACCATGAAAATGGCACAGGCCGAGAGAAGAAGGATCGTGCCAGCTCTGTAAGTTGAGGTATAAGCATCGTAATATCGTTGCGGAGTAATGACACCTACAGAGGTCATGCCAATGAGGGTGATGCCCAGCATCAGGTCATCTCTTATGGTTGGCGTTGTTGAGGGGCGGAGAGGAGCCAATGTGTGTTGTGCAACATGTATTTCGGCGAGCTCCCTAGATATATGTGAAATAGCTTCTGTCTGGAAAGTCAAAGGTATTAAAGAGGTGTCATGCTCTTGCTGGCTTAAATGGGCTGCCGACGCACTCAAGGCACTATTGAAGACGATCGGGGAGTTCCGTATAAATTCTAGCAGATCCGAGCGGTAAGGGTTGTTAGGTGAGTCAAACGAGGATAGAACCTCGCATGCTGATTTGAAGTAGTGTGTTAAAAGCTTGGCGGACTCTTCCTGCGGGGAGTACAGTATAAGGGCCTTGTCGGTGTAAGATTGAGAAGATGGTGAATCACCAATGCCAGGCGAGTGCCCTGAGCTTGGACCAGCATACGAATGGCTGCCATAGTCAATCTCGTATTTGGTCGACCATTTTACTGGACGTTTATAGCCAGGGCATAACAGATTGGATTTGATGCAGCGAGTACAAGCAGGCTCTGCTTCATCGCATTTCAGCTTCTGCGGCAGCTTTAGCAAGCCATTTATGAAGTCGTCAATGGCAGGGATGCTAGACTCACGCGTTTCTTACAAGTAATGCAGCCGGCTTCGCGTTACAGCAACATTAGCTGAGTCAAGGCAGACATCTCAGGGCCAGACTCACTCCTCAATTTCTGTCGTCTTCGGGTCGATGCCGAAGAAGCAGTAGACTGTTCCATGGAGAACTGCCAAAGCTAAAGGTGCATTGAGATCATCGCTTTATGAGACAGAGTCATGCAGGGGATTCCCCTACATAGCAACGTGGCTAACAGACCCTGGTAGCTTGTCATCAAGGTAGATAAGAAGGGTCTCCAAGATATGAGATAGGCGAAGAGTCGGAAATCGGAAGTGGGTTCCGCTGATAAAAGTCATGTGGTGGCTATCAATTGGTTGGCTGGGATTGGCTTGATGTCCTAGACACCAGCCACCTAAGCAAATCTTACCTGGCCAAGATTACCGTGCTGTTTGGCGAGATAGCAGGAAGATAGAAGCAGGCAGTCCCGATAAAGAGTCTAACGGCTTATCACCACAATGAACCACAATCACTGCCAAAGTTGCTCAGTGAGCGGTCGTGCTTTGAGATAGTAATCAATCTTTGTATATTATTACACAGCCAATGATTAGCTGGTATGGCCCGTAACTATCAAAGGAAAGTGTCCCATTCAACAACGCAAACTAATGTAGTGTTCCCTCTAAAACTTCAGCATCGGTCAGTGGACCAACATATCGCTTGCTAGCCCTCAGAGGCCAATAGACACAGCCGAACACCAGAGCACCACCCAATACAACAGATGCATAATTCATGTTCACCGCAGTGATTGGCTGATAAGGAGGAAAAAGAAGGAAGATGCAGGTATACATGAGATAAATCACTGCAATGATGTTGATGGGTAGGCCTGCTTTGCCGAGCCTCCAAGGACCCCAGCGCAGAGTATCCGGGCGGAATAAGCGTCGCCAGATCAATAGAAGGATTGGAAGGAGGTATGAGGCCTGTAGACTGACGACCGCAAGGGATAGGATAGCATTAAAGGCTGTCGTAGAACCAATGTTGATGAGACTGAGCAGCATAAGCAGGAAGCTGACAACGGCGATGGATACCGTGGGGATTTGTCGACGTTTGTCAACGCTTGCAATACGCTCAGCAAAGGGAAGGCCTAAGAAATTCCATGTTAGTCATATGTGACTCAGAGCGATCAAAATGACTTACCTCCATCTCTAGCAAACGCCCACATAATGCGAGCCGCTGCTGTAAGGAGAGGGACTGTGGACAAGCAAGCCATAACAGTAATCATGGCAGTCATGGTAGTAGCAGCCGCAACACTGCCGGTCATATGAAGGAAAATCTCAATGATAGGGAACCCCGTGGGTGTAGCCAAAGCCGTCGAAATGTCTCCCATGAAGAACAGAATTATGAGGAGGAAGGCAAAGCCCAAAGGACCGTTAACCAAGAGACAGCCAACCATAGCCCTAGGAACGCCCATCTCCGCATTGTTCATCTCTTCGCTAAGATGGGTTGCACCATCATAGCCGATAAGGACATAGCAAGAGCTGAGAAGTCCTATACTCCAAGCCACGGCGTCGTTCCCCCATCCAGAATTGTTCTCGAAGTGGGAAAAGACCCATTCGGCTGAGTGCTTGGTCGGTGAAGTCACGGCCATTGTGACTATGATTGCGATGAAGAAGACAACGTGTAGCACGAGAGTCAACTTCTCGATGAGTGGCAGCTTGTTACTGCAGAAGATACAAATGCAAGCAGAGCCCAGAAGGACAGCCCAGAAGAGCAGCGTACCATGATATCTTTGGAAGACGTAGGATTCGGGATAGTTGAGGACGAGGAGACCTTGGATCTGTGTTCCAGCAAGAAAGGGGGCACTGCCAGCAGAGGCTATCCAGCCTAGCGTTCTTCAACCTGTCAGTCTGCATTTTTGCCTCGCATCGAAGTTCGATCGTGACTCACGAGATGTATCCAGCAAACCAGCTGGTCAGGGGTCGGCTGGTTTTCGGACTGAGCTTGGCGACGAAGTGATATTGCCCACCAGCGGTAGGATAGCTAAGAATGAACGCGTCAGCGGTTACACAGAATGTGAGTGTAGGTGCGAGCTTACCTTGACGCCAATTCAGCCAAGGAACTGGCAGAACAGAGTGATCCGACAAATGCCACGATGAGGCCGTAAACAAGGGATACTGCCCCTCCGCTAACGAGCCCGGCAGCCAGTGTACTTCAGACAAAGGTTAGTTTGAGTCAAACAACAACGGCGACGGGTATCGAACCTAGACAATGCTTCCCATGTTGCCATCAGGTTGACACATGTCGCAACCATGGCCGTAAGGGAGAAGTTGCGCTATCATGACAAGTCAGCACGCTCACGCGTCTCGGAACCAAAATCCCATACCTTTGTCTGCTGGACATAGCCATGGCGCTCCAAGTTCTGTTCATCCTGGTTCTGCGAACCAAGATGCTTCTCATTGTCAACTGTAGGAGATGCCATATCGAGAGACATGTTTGATTTGCAATTCGACGTCTGTGAGAGGGAGAATAACAAGAGCGTGCTCGGAACTTTATCATGGTTTCGGTTATCATGCTTCGGAACCCCTGTTCTGGGGTAACGGTAGACACGGCAGGCATTAGGAGTCTAGCGTGCTGCATTGGGGAAAAAAGTGCGCGTGGCGATATTGACTAGCGTGATAGTCGCTATCTTCACCAGGGGAGAGTCATTGGTGAAGCCTACCCCGCGTTTTTCGATAAAGGGTATGAGGCTTGTTGCCCGGGACTGATTCCGATGTGACCATAGAAAGGAGATGTCCAATTCCGAACACATTATATTACCGAAATGATCCCAATGAATTAAAACATCTCAAAGTCGCAAATACGAGAGCTCGGGAACAAACCGCAAGTTAGGTTTACCACGCTGTACCTAGAGTTCCAAACACAATCTATGGGTTCTAGACCCAACACTGGAAGACATGCATGGTTTCCGAGCTGTAGCATGTCAAGAAGTCGCAAGTCGAGGGCAAGCTTTAGATAGCTACAGCAGTGCAAGAGCTGAAGGGAGCTAAAAGCTGAGCAATTGTATATCATTAAAATGGATGCAAAAAGAAGATTCTCGCTGCATTTATAGAAGTAGCAAAAATAAGTGATCACGCTGGGGATCGAACCCAGAATCTTCTGATTCGTAGTCAGACGCCTTGCCATTGGGCCACGCGACCGGATTATCTGTTATGCCAGAGCCGCCAGAGTTTGGCCCCATGTCGCTGCAGGGTATGCTCGATTGACATGAGCCTGTTACTCAACATGCGTCTTTGGATCATAATCATCTTGATCAATCCTGTGATTTATCGCTCGCTCTTCAATTAATGATCATCTTAGGCAAATATGCGTCGTGTTTGCATTTGGAAAGTCTTTCCCGAGTTGAGGCTACACCTGCCAATAGCCAACTTTCCAGGAAGGCCGAAGCCGAGAGCTTCTTCCTCCTCATCAATGTCGGCTGGTTCGACGGAGGCGACAAGAGAGGTCCGATTGTGAAACGTGAGCCTTCTAGCGCTGAGGATGAGAGTTTCTTTCTTCAGACTGATGCTGGTTGGTTTGATGGTGGTGATAAGAAACGGGCGACAGGTGGTGCCGGATCGGAGGAGTGGGCGTCTTGAAGGCAGTCATTGGATATTATTACATCGCGTAATTGTGTTGCATGGTCAAGCTTTGTCTTCTTCGTGCAAATATATACGAAATTCAAACAGGGTTATAACTAGTATATTTGCATCCTCTTGCCATTGCCGACAAAAATAGGCAAATAGGAAAGGCCGACGGTCATTGAAATCACATGGAAGTTTTAAGCACCAGACATGATGCTGCATGGCCAAGTCGTGTACTGACACATAAAACGTCAGTGGCTTATTATAGGGCAAAAATGAGGATGTTAGTGAAATTGAACCACCGTGATTGGACGAACAGGGAATCGAACCCTGGACCACTCCCAGATGCGACAATCTGTAACTTGGACGGAACATGCTAAGGGAGTATTATACCACTAAACCATTCGCCCAGGGCTTATTTTGGAACGTTGGAGGTCTGATTGAACCTACCACGGACGTATGTGGCGGCGAGAGGGAGGTCGTGGTACTTTTGTGACGTGGATGTTACCATAGATCGGCAGATTCCATAAAGCCATGTCAGCATGTCTCAAGGACTATCGTTAATCCGCTGTTACATGGCTTTCTAGGAGTATGTGACGTACAGTTATGTCGCTTGTCACTTCATTTCTTTGACCAAAACTTATCACAATCTTGTGAACAGTCATTTCATTACCTAACTCCTACCAGAATCGATCTTACAATGTCTAGAATGTTTCGGGGTGTAAAATCTAGACCGAGCTGGTATTATCGTGTCAATGACCTTGTGGCAGACCGCTATCGCCGTGGAGAAGAGAATTTGTGCGACAACGAGCCACGCCCTGAAGATTATGATGAGGATCTTTCTAGTGTTTCCACTTTCTCCTGCGCCTCTAGAAATGGCTGTGATTATGGCACCGACGATATTTGCGAGTATCACATGAAATTAGACACGGAAGGCCCAGATTCAGACAAAGAGCTCGACAAGAACGATCCGTTGGATATCGAGTACCTCTGGATGAAGATGGATCGGCGCGACCGCAAGAGAGAATTGCGAGCACAGAAGGAATGGGAAGAAGAGATGAGAAAGAAGGGCGAGAAGTACAGAGAGCAAATGAACGAGAAATTAAGGGAGGAGAAGAGGAAGGAAGCTCAGAAAATTAAAGTCTATGAAGATGCGGAAAAGGCCGGGGATGTTTGGAGACAGCACAAAAGAACACTGAGACCTTGGGAAACATATGAAGAGGTGGCTACTAAAGACGGTATCGAACTCGAGATGCGTTATATCAACGAAATCCAAGATGCCCTCGATATCGCGCAATCTCTTGAGGGGACGCCTACCCCTCTCAACCTCGACCTGATGAGAATGTTCAAGCTCTGGTCAGTCGATCACATCAAGCACTGCCCCTACGAGCTCGCCCCTACGATGTACATCGAGTTTGACAGTGAGTTCGACTGGGACAAATTCAACCAGGAACAGGTTCGGACGCTGAGAGCTGAAAAGCTCTCCGGGCACATATATCTACTCTCAGACGATGTCTGTGAAATAGACAATTTCACGCCACCAGAGTATTGTAGCACCAAAACTCATAACTTGGCAACAAGCGAAGAGCCGGTCTATGTCCAGTTCTTTAACGACAATTACTTGACTCTCAAGATCAGCCGCGAGACGGTATTTGCAAATTGCGAGGAGGATATCCCGTGGAATGCACTTTCGTTTTTCACATACTACGGTATCAATGAGAAAGGCATGGTTGATAAGGAACAGCAGGAAGAGGAACAATGCGAGACTGATGAAGAAAGCGTCCTAGAATCGATAAGATTGTTATTTTGAGTTGATAGTCCCTACCGCTGATGGCTCACATCACGCGCCTCACACACGCATGCCGTGATATTTCGCAAGACTTTGGTGGCTGCTGACTGTATATCTATGCATGGAAGACGGTCATTTTCTGGTGGGAAAGGTTAGTTGTTTGAAATGGTGTTTTCTAATTTAATGCTTTTTATATTCGACTTTGAACACTGAGTTCACCATAACATTATTCTTTACATGCCCATTGGGAACAAACTTTGCCTCCCAACAGATTTATATGGAAGCCGCTCTTTATGAGAGTTCTGGAATTTATTTAGATTTTCTTATGACATAACCATAATAGTCGAAGCCTCCACCGTCTCCAAGTACCTCCATCTCCATCTCAAAGATATTATCTGGGTTCAATAAAAGCTTCATAAAATGGGGTTGTCTGAAAGTAATGTATAGAAACACTCCGTCCGCCTTCAGCACACGATCTACCTACTATTTGTTAGAGGCAATCTTTTCCAGGGAGGAATAGCCATCCACGTACCTCTCTCAAGTATCTGCTTGTATTTTCCCTCACTTCATCAGGGGGGTTCCAAGGACTGCCGTAAATCATTGCGTCCAGTGTTCCCTTGTCGAAAGCGACATCTATCGAGCCACTTTTAATTGATGGCATATCTCGGACATCAACTCTGCTCCATTGAATTCCTGCAATTTCCTTGTGTCTCTCTGTCATCATTTCAACCACTACAGGAGAAAAGTCGACACATAATTGCTTCTGGTAACCACGCTCGGCAAGCTCAGCAGGTACAACCTAAAGTTAAGTTAGTGTACTGTAGCAAAAACTGTACGGTCGGTCAACTGACACTATCGCCTGACCCAAGATGAAGAATCCTTGGGTCATCCTGAGCTGTCCGTCCTGGTTGCTCTAAGAGGTTCTTCTGTAGAAATGGAAGGACCTGCGAAAATGACCGAAACCATTCGTGGGTTGGGTCATTGTTATTTGAGGTCGCATAGCGACTATCCCAGTATTCGGAAAGTCCAAGTTGTTGGTCCTCTGCAATTGTCATTATGGCGGTCAATCTGTCGATTTTCTCTAATTTTTACTGCTCCATTCAAATTCTTTAGCATAGAGCCATGACTCCACATGAACTAAGTCACGTGTATCCATCTTATCGTGGGTCATAGTGGGAAGCTATTCCCGTTTTGAGTAGTAGTATCGTGGGGTGGGTTCGCCAATCTGTTGGTGTTGCTATGGATGAAGGCGGCCTATAAGGTTAAGCTTTAGGCTCCAAACACAAGTACAGGCATTAGTACATAGTTACGTACTTTTCGTTCGGAATTGTTGTATAGAGTAAAAAAGAAATTACTCAATATTTTTCTTATGAATAGGTTGACCTGTAAATCCTCCTTTAAGGTTTCACTCAAGTTCGATCTGTATCGAGGATCTGGATCTGTTCAGTCCATACCGCATTGTTAACAATCGATAGTCGGACAGCTACCCAACCCGCAGCTTAGCCAAATTGGCATAAAAAGGAAGTAATGCTTTGAAATGAGATCCTTTCCACGCCTGACAAGAGTTTGGAGCAGTTCATGAAAAACGCATGTTGCAATGCCATATTTACCAGGCACATTTGTCGAGCTTTCCAATTCTGGAGGTTATCATCTCACTTTGTTGATTTCTATGCAAGGAGGGATGCGCGATGTGATAACGCACGTTTCGTGTGTTATCACCTCTACAGAGCGTGTTGATTGGATAACAAAGCCAGAGATGCGCCACCCCCTCACATCAGGGGCTCACCAAATATTTAGGACGCGTTCTTTGCTTTATATTTAGCCCTCAATCCTCAAAAACTCACATCTTCTCAGCACTCTCAATTTTTCTTTCGTACAAATGTCTACAAGACCCCACCCAATGGAGCCACAGCGAAACAATCAGAAAAAAAAGTCAAGATATCGAAAGAGACAAGAACATAAGCGACGGAAAAATCAGGCTAGAATTGAGCAAGAAGTGAAGTGGGAGGAGCATGAGATCTGCCCCATCAAAGATGTCCTCACCAAATTACAACAGTCATCGCAAACGGATTTGGCTCCCCTCAAAAGTTTAGAAGGCAGATACTTTAAGCTTTGGTCTACAGACCATGTAAAGTACTGAACTGTTGAGGTTGCCCCGACACGATATATCGAGTTCTACGACCCCCCAAGTTTCGAACATTCGACATGTTGCCAAAGGGTCAGGTTAGCGGTCATATTTACGCGGTGTCTGACGCCATGTGTGATATTGATCCATTTGTCCACCCCCAGAACGCAGGGTTGGAAACTGTTCGGATTGATGGCAATAATAAGCGTCACACTTTTGACGCCCAGTTCTTGGATGACAACTACCTGATACTCCACATACCTAAGGATTTGGTGTTTTATAGGCAGAAAATGAAGCCGCCATCGAAAGCGCCGGATGTCTTTACATACTATGGTGTCTGCTCAGACTACTACGAGAGCCTCATCCGCGCAAAAAATCGGCGAGATGAACAGACAGAGCGACGTCGTTCAGCATCTCCTGCGTAATCATGGTGGATGGTGGAGCGATTGCTCATGAAGGGCCCCTTTACTTGTTTCTTCTTACAATCGACTGTTGCTTCAGTTTGGATAATTTTGTTTGTTTCTTGAATGAAATTTATTTACGACAAATTTTAAGATATGGAGCCTATGGCAATTACAAGACGCCAGGTTCAGTAACTACCAGTAATACTCCTCAATTGTGATCCATCGCTGAAAAGAATATCTGCCCTTGACACTCTGTGGATGGAATCACATCACTAGTCTGTCACACATGCGATGAAGATACCTACACTCCTACAGTCACCGCATTTTTGCTTTTTTGTAACATGAATAGGGGCTGCAGATCGCAATGCAGTAAACTGAGAAAGTACTCGCTATAGACGGCCACAGCATCGGAACTGCTTTTTATAACCCTGTCTGCATCTTATCAGCCTGGATGGACTTGACATCAGCTGCCTGCACCAATAGGGTAAACCTCGCTTAACGCTTCACTGCTTGACATTATCAATGATTGGTGTTTATATAAAGAAAGGGGCTAGAGTTATAGCTTTCCTCCTAAGGATAATCTCTTTTTTACCAGGCAACAGTGAAGACGCGTTTTATATATTGCTTTTTTAATTTCTTAGCGTTTATTAATTGGCTACTAACTAAGCGAACCTGAAGATCCTAATTAAATTATTATGCCACCCCCTGTTTTTCAAGAGTATATAAGAAACATATGGCCGCTCACGAAATTAAAGTCTCTCTCCCTAACCCCCTTAAACAATTCCTATAAGAACCCTTATCTGGACTCATAGTCTTCAGAGCAGCAGTCAAATTCATTCTTGTCTTCGACAACACCATGTCTTCTACAGAGTACCCTGCCTGGTTCTGGCGGCTGCGAGAACTACAGCAAGATCGGAAGGCACGCGGTCAACACAACAGATACTATGATTCCGACTTGCCTGTCGAACCTAGAGACTTTGATGAGGATCTTTCTGAGTGTTCCAATGACAGCGAGGAATCCAATGATAGCGAGGAATCGTGCTCCTCCGAGAATAGTTGCACGTGCAACGAATATGACATGTGCGTCAAACAGACTTCGATGACGAAAGCTCGGAATCGTCTGAACTGAGCGATATCTCTGGAAAGACCTCAGCTACCGAGGCAGCGTATCAGTCGCTGAAAAAGCAGCGAGAGGAGCGCAAGAGCCAGTTGAAAGTTTGGAAGAGAGAAGGGATGAGTGAACGTCAAAACGAGAGTGTAGTAGAGGAAGGTCTTCGGGCTGAGATCAAGACTGAGGAGCGTGAGATACAAAAGGTCAAAGACGCTCTCGCCAAAGCAGAGAATTCGTCCAAGAAGAAGTCCGGTCCCCTCAAAAGCTTGGATTGCAGGCTCTTCAGGCTGTTCTCCACGGATCACATTCAATACTGCTATCATTCTCACTGCCCAACAACCTATATCGAATTCTACGATCCTAAAAGTTTATACCGACCGATGGAAGATCAACGCCGATCAGGCCGAGGAGAACCGGTGGAAGACCATGTTTACCTGATACACGACGACGCTTGCACCGTTGACCCGTTCGTCCGCCCAAAGTACCCCAGCACAAAGTTTCATCAACTCAAAGTCGATCGCGGACGCCGAACGGTGGATGTTCAGTTCTTCCATGAACATTTCTTGGTGCTCAGGATGCATCGGGATATCGTCTTCTCACACCAGTGCATACAGCCGCCACTGGATGTGCCGGAAATATTTACCTATTATGGCTATGATGAAGCCTACAAGTTTCCGGATGATCGGAGGAAGGAGAAGACTAAGCGACGTCGCTCGGCATCTCCTCAGTGATACAACGAGGTTCCTGATTGCTTTTTACTTCTTCTTATTCCTGTATGTGGCTGCGTGATAGGCCAATTGGGGTTATGTGGATTCGTTAGAAGAGAAACGGTGAGATTGACCGGCGAAGTTCCGCACTGGTGATTAATGGTTGGGGCTATATTTCTTTGACGCTCAGTAGTTCTGCTGAGCTACTGGGTCGTCGTGTCAGACAAGACTTGAGTGGCAGTTCTCAGTACACTTGTGAGTGCTTCTGATATAGCGGCCACAGGAGTTGTTGCGACACTTTTGGGGGAGACAGCGGAACCGGCTCTTTAGATCAAATTGCTTATTATCCCATGCTATACAAAAAGACTGTCACAAGGTAATTGAGTCAAGTATTGCTATTCAAAAGGCAAAAAAGAAATGTTTGATGAGACTGGGACTCGAACCCAGGAGGATTGCTCCACCAGGAAATTGGTGTTAAGGTTAACCTTAACCTGGCGCCATAACCAACTCGGCCATCTCACCTAAGCTAGTGCTGATGCTTCGTCGGCTCAACAACAGTGTCTACTTCCCTAGCAGCTCTCAATCTCTCAACCAGTTCTATGATGCTCGAGAACATAATCTACATCTTTATCTCCTCGCCCGGATAGATTGACTAGGATCCGCTCTGATGAAGGTCGCTGCGCTGCTAGCCGTGTGGCGAATGCGATTGCATGTGCGCTCTCTAGAGCAATGATGATGCCTCCACTCTTGGCCATGCGGAAGAACGTGCTGATGACCTCGTCGTTGCCGATCGTTGAGACTGATATGCGCCCAGCATCGTGCAGCATGGCCATCTCAGGTCCAATGCCTGGATAGACAAGTCCTGAGGCTACAGATGAGACGGGAGCAGCCTTGCCTTCGTCTTGTTGGAGAACCAGCGTCTTTGCGCCATGCAACGTACCTGGTTTGCCGTATGAGAGTGTCGCTGCATGTTGGCCAAGTTTCTCGGATTGCCCCAGTGGTTCTACCGCATGCAACTTCACTGCTGTATCATCAATGAATGCAGAGTACATCCCCATCGCATTGGATCCACCAGCGACACACGCAACGACATGCTCAGGCAATGTACCATCAGTCATGGTGAGGAACTGCTCTCGCGCTTCTTTGCCAATCACAGACTGAAAGTCTCTCACGATCAGTGGAAATGGATGAGGTCCAATCGCTGACCCAATCGCATACAGCGCATGCTCTCGTTGCTCAACATACGCATTGAAAGCCGAGTCACTGGCCTCTTTTAACGCAGACTGCCCCTTAGTAGCAGCAACAACCTTTGCTCCAAGGATCTGCATCCGAGCAACATTAGACTTTTGTTTCTCGGTATCGACACCTCCCATATGTATCTCACACTCAAGACCGAAATATGCCGCTGCAGTTGCGAGCGCAACACCGTGTTGGCCAGCCCCCGTCTCAGCGATGAGTTTAGTCTTTCCCATTGCTTTAGCGAGAAGTGCGAAACCGACACAGTGATTGATCTTGTGTGCTCCTGTGTGGTTCAAGTCTTCCCGCTTGACGAAGATTTGAGCACCGCCGACTTCGCGTGAAATGTTCTCGAGATGATGAATTGGTGTTGGGCGGCCTTGGAGGCCGATGCGGACCTTGTCCAGAGTTTGATTGAAAGAGGGTGAGTGGCGGAGTTCTTGGTACTTGGTAGCCAGTTCTTCGAGTGCTTGATGAGCTTCGGGTGGGTAGAAGTTACCACCAAATTGGCCATAGTAGCCATTCTGGTCTGGGTAGGTTTCTGTGTGAGGTTGATGAATGCTTCCCATGACGGCAGGTGATGGTAGTGGAGCGATAGAGCTGGAGAGTAATTGTATAATGTTGTTACCAGCCGGGCATAAAGTAGTACTAGGATCAGCTATTTATAATATTCTATGAAAAGTAGTGCCAAGTCATGCACATCATTGAACATCGAGGTGTTCATTCGCAGGGCGCATTCTCACATTTAGGGTGCAGCTTGACATGAAGGGTGCAAACTAGCACCATTGAGATGCCGCCAACGCCAACAATGAGGACCTCGAAGGATTCATGCTCATAAAATGGTACTGAATATTAAACTAAGCTAACCCAGAGCTGACTAGGAAATGAACTCCTTAATAGTCTCAACAAAATAGCTCTCATTCTCCAAGTACATGACATGCCCCGAGTCCGGCACGGCGACAAGCTTGAAATCACCCCTGATACCCTTCTCTTGCGCAGTCTTGACAACCAAATCTCTCATCATATCCACTAGAGGGTTGAGGTGTGCATCATGGTCTCTTTTCACAAACATTATCTTCTCACAGCTTTCCAAAAGCTGAGGAACGAGCAGTCGCATGTCAAACCGCTTGTTCTTCTGCAACGTCATCATCGCACGCAAACCATCCAGACTCAGAGTTGAACTAGCAAGTTTGAGTCGCTCATCCTGGTCGGGATGCTCATCAAGCCACTCTTTGCTCGCCCAGCCATAGTGCATTTGCCGAATGACATTCGCAGTAGTCCCATCTGCTTCAGCCTGGGCGCGCATCTTGTCAAAGACTTCAAGTGGCATTATGCCGAGGGCACCGAAAGATGCAGGAGGGCATGCACAGTATGCAAAGTTTTGGATCAATTTTGGGTGACGGCAGGCTAGATAGATACCGCTGGCTGCACCAAGTGAGACGCCGACCCAGGCGTGGATGCTCTCGATATGCAGAACACGAAGGAGTTCGTCGATGTCGTTGATCAGCTCTTCCATCTCGACGTTATCGACGTCTCTCACGGGAGTGCTTTGACCGTGGCCGGGATGATCGTAGCTTAGGACGCGGTAGCTTGATGAAGCGAGGCGCTGGGCAACAGGCTGATACAGAGTGGTGTCAGCGCCGAAACTGTTGGAGAGGACAATCCACGGGCCATCTTGTGAGTTTCATGCGATACTGTAAGATATCTTGCGGCCTGTAGAAATAACGGCACACTTGATGGTGTTTTGAGCAGAGGCCATTGTGATGCAACGACTAGTGAGGCAGCAAACGAGTATAGAGAAAGCCGATCAATGTAGTAAAGGTTTGGGGCTAATGGCACAACGCGAATTGATTTAAGTTGTAAACAAACTCAGATATAAGCACCCGGATACTTACTTTCTGCCGGATAGTTCTTGCATTGTATAGCTTGAAATGTGTCCGGGCGTAAGCTGACGAATCCTGCATCCTTCAGTCCTCAGTCCATGGTCAGCAAAACCTACCAATGATGCCGGTCCTGTTTTTCGCAATGATTGGCTGCGCAGATGTGTTTTGCAGTTTTTTCGGTGTAGTATATAGCTCAAACAGTAACTAAGCAACCTCGCAGATAATCCTCTACATCTCCCGTCTTGGACAAAGGCGCCATAATACCAACATATCCATCAGGTCTCACTACTGCAACAACACCATCATCCTTTGAAACGTCCAATACCTCGTAGACATCCTCCTTCTTTGACACTCCATAAGTTCGCATCTCTGCAAATGTCTTTACTCCCGCTGGCAGATCAGTCCACTCGAATCTGGACGTTAGTGGATGCACCACGATGAGATTTACAGTGCCTTTGGGGAACCTTTGTAGGATCTCGACGGATGACTGTAGACTAGACTTTGAAATGCCGGATTTATCGAGTAAGTCGTTGCTTGTGAAGACAAGGATGTAGTAGCGGCCGGTCGGTGGCATTTCTATGAGATGAGTTAGTAAACCAGTCCTAGATCTTGAAACCCAAAGTCTGTTGAGAACATACCGTCTTGCAAATGCCGAGCAGTGGCGTCCGCATAGCGCTTCACTTCAACATCAAGCAGTCGTCGTCCCGGCGTCAGCGCGCCTAGAAGCGGATCTCCTCGCGACAAGTTGCTCTTTGCACCCAGTTCCCTTATCAGTTGACTTCCCTTGTACTGAAGTCCGCAACCACTAGTAAACCCACTACCGTCACTGAAGACTCGAAGGAACTCTTCATGTGTCAGGCCTGAAGTTTCGGCGTCTGCTGATCCGATGCGACCGGAGAACATGTGCGAGAACTGGGCGTCGAACTCGATAAGTTGGCGGGCTACGTCTACGCGCTCTTGCGAGAATGTTTCGAGGATAGGGTCTGATCCAGAAGTGCTTGAAGGAGTGAGGCCGTGGATCTTGTGAACGAGTTTCCAAGCTAGGTTGTAAGAGTCCATCATTGACACGTTCATGCCCTGTCCTGCCTTGGGGCTGTGAGTATGGCAGGCTGCATAAAGTTAGCACTATGCCGTGGAATAAAGTCTGAATCAGGCTTACCATCACCGACAATGAACACCCTTTCCACGCCGTCGGATGTCTTAGCAGAGAATCTGGGAGCCATGCGCTGCCCAATCTGATAAGCAGCCCACCAATCTGGCTCAGTCTCCTCCTTGATCTTGATCTCATACGGCGCAAACACCTGCCGCGCTTGCTCAAAGATATACTCCAACGTAACAGCACCACGACGCTTCTTATCAGCCGATTTCTTATCCGTTCCAGTATCACCGCTCGTGTCAACCTCTTCAGCGACTTGAACGTAAAGACGAGTGAGATACTCGCCCGTTGCAATCTGTTCCCTGGGAATTACCATGACAGAACCAGCATCCGAGTGAACTGCGCAGCGCTTGCGGATATCAGGAAAGTTTGTGTCGGCGACGAAATCGCACACACCCCAGATGTGATCTGTCGTTTCGCCTTCGAGCTCTAGACCCATGCATTTTCGGACTTTTGATCGTGCACCATCTGCGCCGATGAGATACTTTGTTCGAACTGTGCCTTGTTGAGTTGATCCGTCTGGAAGATCTTGTTCATACTTGACCACGATGGGGAACTCAGCATTGTTGTCGTCGACCGTGTACTCCAGGAAACGATGGGATCTTCTGATGGCACCCTTGCCTGCGTAGAGATGAAGGTTCTCTTCTAGGATTCGCTCAATGCGGCCTTGATGGATGGTGACCTCGAATGGGAAGCGAGCAGGGACATTGACATCGGGAGCGAAACTGGTCCGCTCAATCCCGGTGGCATGAAATCCATTGCCATTGCCGTTGGTCTTTGCGTTTCCATTTGATTGCACAGGGTTCCAAAACGCCACCTCCTCCATGTGACAGCCTTCACTGATGATCTCACTTGCTATACCCAAACTCTGAAATACTTCAAGAGTTCTTGGTTGAAGTCCATCTGCCTGGCCAGCTTTCAGTGTACCCGGCTTGGAGTCCAGACAGAGAAGTGAGGCTTCTGTGATGCCATATCTTGCGAGAAGCAAGGTCAGAAACAGACCTGCTGGTCCAGCCTATAGTGTCCTTGTGAGTACAACTAATTTTACCAATGATAGCTTTAACTTACTCCAATGACGACGACTTCCTTGTGTTCTTCGGAAACATTAGACAAATCTGGCTGTTCAGAGAGTCGGGGTACAGGTAGAGCGCGCGAAGGAAGGATTCTCTGGTCTCGCGCCGCGTTGGAGGTTTCTTGAAAGACAGGCATCACGAATATCCAAGCTGTAAGTTCAATAAGCGATGAAAATGAAACTTCGGAACTGTTCAACGTCTTTCAAATCATGTTTATCAACTCCCAGGTCACGATGCACCGCTTTCCTCGGCACGCACCAATTCCGGTAGTATCTCCGATCTTCCGCCCAAGCCCGGAAATCTTGTTTCTCGGCAGTTTTTAGCGCAACTGCCAGGGCGGGGGAACTTCTCCCACCCAATTCATTTCTTATTTGGGGCGGAAGTCCGGAAATTCTCACTCTCACAAACAATGGCAAGTTCCGGATCGTTACCAAGTCGTCGAAATCTACCGCGGGCGTCGCATGCGTGCCAGAGATGTCGCGCGAAGAAGGCCAAATGCGATCAGCAGCAGCCTTGTGCTAATTGTGTGAGACATGAGTGGGATTGTGTCTATGGGTTGAGGAGGAAGAATGCGAGGGCGAGTACGGTTTCGGTGCTGAATGATGGGCAGCGCAATACGCCGCCGTCGCCGTTGTCTTCTTCGCGAAGTTATTATGAAGAGGCGGCGCGACGGAGCGAACCGCTCGAACAGGCTCATTCAACGGGTCGTATAGGTATAGTAACAATTCTTGTCTGTGATGCTTGGGACTGACGATTGACTCGTGTAGACGACGGTGATGTTGTAGGGGACATCAATCAGCATACTCACGGGACAGAGTTCTACGGCACATCGTCCAACTTTGTGCTGCTCAACCAATTCTTCGTCTATGCTCAGAAGAATCTGCCGCCCGGCCACCCAAACTCAAGCGGCAATTCCGGCTTCCTTTCTGCCAACGCTCAAGATGGTAATGTTATAGGTCATGGCCTCGTCACACAGTCGCCAATTTCCATTGTCAATCTCCTCTCTGACCGGGGAGTCTTGGAACCGCCTTCAAGACCAAAGACTCCCCCAACACGAGCAGTGGCCCAAGATGAGATCCAAGCGCGTTCGTCTCTTGAGATGAGACAGGGGACTGCGGGACTTGAGGACTCGGTCCATCATAATCCTCCAGGGACTACCAGCCAGAACAGAACATCCCCGGACAACTCTCTAACATCATCGAAACACAGGCTTGAGCGCGAATACATCAGACAGTTCTTCAACAACCTCCACCATCTTCATCCTATGCTTGATCCCATTGCTTTCGCCAAACAATGCGAGGAACTTGTCTGGAGCTCCCCAACCTCCATGGAAAGCAACAAGACTCAGCGTCATTTCTTTGCCCTGTACCATATAGTCGTGGCTGTGGGTGCGATTGTCGCTGGCTCTTGTATCACTCAGGAGTTTGAGCGCGACATCAATATCTGCATGAAGCTTCCGGCGCAAGGGCAGGATTTTAATCCTTCTCGATTAAGCCAGGAACTCTCGAAGAAGTACTTCCGGAAGTCCAGGATGTTGCTCGGAGATGTATTTGAAGTTTGCTCCCTGGAGAGCGCCCAGACACTTCTCCTTATGGTATGTGGCCTTGAGTCTCAGTGAAACCGGAAAACTAACCCAGTAAAGTCTTTGTACTGTCAGAACTCCCTCAAACCTCACGCTTGCTACATGTACTGCGGCCATGCCGTTCGCACAGCACTAGCCATTGGTATCGCGAGGGAAACTCCATCCAACTCGATTGAGGATCGCAAAGCAGCACGGAGAACGTGGTGGTGCATTTACTCTCACGAGATTGACATGAGCTGCAGTGCAGGTCGTCGCGATAGCCTTGGCAAGCCCAGGAATTACCAGATCGATCTGCCTCATATCAGAGGGCAAGAAGTCGCGATGTCGAGCCAGCCTGACCTGGAGAACTGCAGTGCCGCCATGATCAATGAGATGGTTCATTTCGCTGCTGTATTACGGCGTATCTCAAAGGAATTATACTATGACTCGAAGGGTCTGACTTTGCTTCAAAAGTCCGCTGTTGCAAAGGAACTGGATCGCCTGCTTGACGACTGGAAGGCTAAGCTGCCCACTTATCTGGACTTCACAGCCGTGTCATTCCGGGAGCAGGAATGGGCAGCTAAGCAGAAGCTCGTACTTCATCTCAGATACCTCAACGCAAGAATTGTTCTCCATCGCCCTTTTCTCGAACAGCCTATGCTCACGGCAGAAGCCAACATGTCTACCCATGCGGAGTTATGTTTGGACGCCGCACGGAAGACAATTTGCGTCATGTATGATGCATACGCAAACAGACATTACTTCCGCACTTGGTGGTACAACTCCACTTACACTTTGTACGCCGGGATGATCGTGCTGTATATCATCATGCTTGGTCCTACAGCTGTTCCTTCAGAGGACCTCCTTGCCGATGCTGTCAAAGCGCATGATATCTTGCAATCAATGGAGGAGGCTACTGTTGCTCGAAGAAGTGCGAGTCTGATTCAAGAAGGACTAGAGGTAGCGCGAGCATGCGTGCAGCGGCAACAGAGCAGGCCTGATGGCGATGCGGAACTACCGATCTTTGATGGCACACAGGGTGACTTGAGCAGTATTGCAGATCAGTTTTCGAGTGCTGTTTCGGGACAGGATCATGCGTTGTTAGCTTCGATCATTGATCCGAACTTGCTACAAGATTTCATGGCGGCGGATCAGGATGCTCTTGGATTCGGGTTTGAGATGCCATCTTTAGATGGGTTGTATGGCGAAGCATTGGATGTTGATACTATGTCAATGATGCCTTGAGTCGAAGAATGGTCGAGCGGGCGTTGAGTCGGATATTTATAAGTATTGTCAAATGAACTGTTCAATATATAATTGTATTATCGTTCCCCTACCTATAGCGCATCTCGCGGCCACTATCAGGTAAACTGTCTACCATAGCTATATAATTCTCTAATCAACATCTGGAACAGGCAGATCGTCAATAAATCTGAACTTCCGTCCCAATTTTTCCATTGCCTCCTCAGCTTTCTCTCTCCTAAGCTTCGCAGCCGCTTCATCCGAGACGAGAACAAAGTCATATGTCATCAGGGCGGAACCGATTTTAACTCCATACTTCTTCGCCGTTTCTTCATCTTCGACCTTCTTGATGTTGACAATCAACGAGTCCTTGACACCAAACACGGCATCAGTAGTTTCATAAGGATCATCCTTTAGGTAAAGTGCGCTAAATGGAATTTTGTTAGATATAATCTAGATTTCAAGAGACAGGCAGACTTACGTGATCAGAGGATCGTAGCCGTCTTTCTTGAACATAAAGTGCATGTGACTAGGTCGGTAGCAGTGTCGACCCAGTACATCAAGCAACTTTCCGACGGGTCCGTCATGAGGAATAGGATATGGTACAGGTACGATGGCCTTAAACCAGAAGTCTCCGTTATCATCACTCGTCAGCACAGCTCTTCCGTCCGGGCCAGTTCGATCTGCGTGTTGAACATCGTAGAACCCCTTGGAGTCCGTCTCCCAGACATCGATACTTGCTCCGGGGATTGGTGATCCGTTCACATCCTTGAGGGTACATAGAACAAGAAGAGGTTCGCCATCTGTATCTTGGGAGATCAGACTTCCCTCTTTTACATGCTCAGCCTCATGTGTGTGGAAAGGTCCCAAGACTGTGCCTTCAGTGCTGCCCTTTGGTTTCGGATGATCAATCGAGTCCACCAGGAGAGACAAGCCCAAGATATCAGATAATAAGATGAACTCTTGTCGGACATCCGTACAGATCTGACCAACTTGTGTCAGGAATTGGATAGCTGTCATCCACTCGTCTGTAGTGAGTCTCGTTTCTCTCGCCAAGTCATGCAAATGTGTGACAACTCGTTCGAGGATATACTTCAGTCGCAGATTACTGCACTGGGAGTTGATGGCGTGAACATTCTCGGTAATGTTGTCGATGGTGAGATCTTTGAGATTAACAGGGGCCGCCATGATGAATGAATAAATGACAAATAATTGAATAATAAGTTCTAGCCTTCAATTCGGTTCCGCTTCAAGCAATTTATCATTTCTAAACCCCGCGTTTCAATACGTCGTCGTTGTGGGGACGGTGTGATCCGAAGGTCGGGACCCGGGCTTTAAGACGTCGGATGATACTCCACATCCCGGAAGTGAAGGATTTCCGGCAGCCGGACCAAACCATCGGCAATTAGTCTCAGGGTCGGATCGGGTACGTCATTGGCTCGATCAGTCAGCGGAATTTGCTGCGTTGTCGTTGGTCGACAAGATCGTACCCATGTGAGTTGTAGGGTAGCTGTAGCACCGCGACGTGAAGAACAAAACTGTCGATTATAGAGATAAAGGAAGTCGCAGATTCTCTACACTTATATTTCATCATGCGGAGCAAGTTTGCTTATTTATTTGCGCATTGAGATTGAGTGCAATGCTATGTCAAGAGGTTGATTCTTGAGCTTGATCAAAAATGGTGATCGAACATGAGAATTCTAAAGCAAATCCGTGAAACCAACACGGAACACAGCAATACTCAATATCTTTGAGAGGCCTTGCCTCGTTTCATTCCGAAAAACAATGTCCAAATTGGCGCGAATCTGAAGGGACACTCTGATTGAAGATACAGTGTCCCTGCGGTTTGCGACCTGACAACGCGATCTGCTGTTCGGTTTCTGGACGGAGTATTAGTCAGCAAAGACAAGGTCGCGTGGCCCAATGGCAAGGCGTCTGACTACGAATCAGAAGATTCTGGGTTCGATCCCCAGCGTGATCATTCTTTTTGCTCTATCGTCCCCTGTCCGTTTTGTTTTAATTACGGCACTCTCCATCACCCGCACAAGGAGTAACTCCCTCCGCTGGAATGACTTTCTAGAACCCTTCTTAGGCTAAAGTCCTCACGGAAAAGCGGGGAACGGAAAAGGGATCGCCGCGGATAAGATACCAATTTCGACTGCTAGCATCGTTTCAAGTTTCGTAAAGGTTAAATACAAGGGCCATGGCATAATCGAGGTTAATTAAAGACAAACGTGTCAGGACGCCAAGCGGTGACCTCACCATTGGAGGATATACATCTCTCCATCGCGGGGATTCTGCCCGACAACCGAACTCAATTATACCCTGGATATACGTGGATCTTTGACTTCTGTAATACTCGGAGGTCTATCCTCCGAGGATAATATAACTTTATGCCTTGCCTTGCTCATGGATGATGAACTTTGTTCCTCACTCTCTTCACTTCGTGTGTTCTGTTCATCAAAATGCATGGTAAATTACTCAGTGTGCTTCTAGGCTCTGCTTTTTTGGCAGTGCCTAGCCAAGCCGTCAACCTTTTCGTAGCGGACTACGGCGGTAACCTGAGCACTCTGAGCCTCACCGAATCCGCCAAAGGCTACGATCTGTCCGTCACCTCGAAAACGACCGATTGTTCTCCCGGACCTAATTGGCTCACTCTTGACAAGCCCAACAACGTGCTTTATTGTCTGGATCGCGGTCTCAACTTTCAACCGCCTGGATCATTGAACTCGTTCACCATTGGCGATAAGGGTGTTTTGACGCGCGTTTCTCGTGTCAAGTCAACTGTAGGAGGCGCTGTTGCAGGCGAGATTATTACTGGAGCAAACGGCAAGCGTGGTTATTTCAGTGCTTCATAGTAGGTCGGTCGCCGGCAGTTGCTTGAGAATAGATTTACTCACATGACATAGCACTCCTGGAGTAGCATCTCTATATGCTCTCGGTGACAAGGGCGCCATTACCGGCACAGCGCCGCTTCAAGAGTTGACTACAAAAATCAGCCAGACTGGCCCCATTGCAGACCGCCAGGAAGCAAGCCATCTTCACCATGTCATTATTGACCCTACCGGAAAATATGTCATTACACCTGATCTCGGTGGTGATGTCGTCCGCGTTTTTACTTATGACAAGAACACTCTTGCTCCCATTGCTGAGGTGGGCAGCTTGAGCGCTCCCCGTGGTTCTGGACCTCGCCATGGATTCTTCAGAATCATGGCCAATGGCGAGACTTTCTTCTTCTTCAACGGTGAACTTGACCAGAAGGTGTACTCTTACAGCGTCAAGTATACCCGCACTGGCCTCTCCTTCACAAAGGTCTTTGAGATTCCATCACTCAACGCTAGCTTTCCTCCCAACACGGCTCCCATCAGCGAGATTGCCATGAGCGTAAGTAAACGAATATTCTACTTGAGAGCCATACTGACTTTCACCCAGCCTGACCAGCGTTTTGTGATCGTCACCAACCGTGAGAAGTCTTTCGCCAACTCTCCCCAGCGTGGATCTGGTCCTTCCGACACCCTCACAGTCTTCCAGATCAACGAGGACGGTACCTTGAAGCCTATCCAGGCCGTCCCATCTGGAGGATACCTTCCCCGACAGTTCTCATTCAACAAAGCTGGTGACAAGATTGCGGTTGGTCATCAGGTAAACCAAACCGTTGTCATTTGGAAGCGCGATGTCAAGAGTGGCAAGATCATCACGGAGCAGGAGGGCGGAAAGCTGGCCCAGGTGAAGCTTACCGGAGATGTCGTAGCCACCATCTGGGACGAGTAGCTACATATAAAAGTTCAAGTAGAACGTAGTCGTGAAGAGTAACTTGTTACTAATGGATCTGGCTCTATCATTTATGATCTGAAATTTGTATTCCCCTCATGTATTGACTGCTTGTGCAGTTTTATACAACCCAATATTTCACAAGATATGAATTCTATTTTTATCTGATAATGACTCTGGCTTTTAGCAGAGGGTAATTAGCGTAAGGCGAGATGAAGAGGTAAGCACTGCGGTGATTCCGCTTGACACTGCCGGGTTTACAGCTGCATGTAGTTATTTTCCTTGGCAGTGCTTAACAGCTGGCATTTAGCATACAAGCTCTGATAGCTGACGCATCGCACGTGATCCGTTTCAACATTGCTTCCGATCGAATTTCTTTTTGTTTACTCTTCTTCACATCCTCCATGCAGCACATCACCTCATCGCAATACAAATCAGATCGCTTCATCAAAACAACATGGCGCACCTTGCACCTGATCTGCGCGCCCTTATATCTCCGGAATCCAGTATGAACGTACCCCGTTGGCAACTCCCGCATACGCTTTGCAGGTCAGAACAGCCGCATATCTCTGGCTTTTTTTCAAGGCGTCGTGTGGACGAATACGCTACCCCGGCCAAAAGGCGAGATTATATGCACGAGTTTCTACGATGGATACGCAGAGAAAATGATCCAGACCACCTGGAAGCCCTCACAAAGGAATGTGAGAGAGAAGTCAGCATCTAGTTCGTGAAGGACTTCAATCTACATCCATATGGGCCCTTTTACGACTACGTGGTACTCCTTTGGGTCTGGCTTATCTACCGTGCGTCCTCTTCAGTTACAATATGTGTGCTTTCAGTACTGACTCTGCTATTAGTCGGTGACGTTCATCCTATCCCTATTTTCCCATGGGGATACGTGGGGGGAGCACCATCTGGTCACCCTCCAGCCACATGGGGTAGCACGAGAGAGCTTCAGACTGCTATACTCCAACGACTGGGTTGCTGGAGACCTAAGGACTGGGAAAGAAACATAAGATTTCTGTACCCTTCGAACCTGTTTTCTATCGGGCACATTCTCGACAATCGACTTTCTACATTTAAGCCTATGTTCGAGTACAACTTCGTCGCTGTTGCTCCTCCGGGTGTCAGTAGCATTGCTCTAGAGCATGCCTCATTGCCATCTCCTACCAATAACAAGTCGCCCGATCAACAGGACAAACGAGAGCTCAGTGGCTACCCCTCACCTGCAAGTATTCTGAGAAATGCTGCCCAGCTTCCGCAGAGCCTTCCGGTGGAGGAGCCTCATTCACCAACGCCAGAGGAGGGAGAGATCCGCAATCCTTCTCCGGAAGGCCAGCAGCTATCGACCTGTACCCAAGAATCGAATATTTTACAACTCACAAGGAGCTATGGTGAGCACGAAAGCCAGGCTGTTGTCCATGGTGGGCGAACAAGCAGAAGTCCCAGCCTTCCAGCCTCTACCGAACGAAGAAGTACACTCTCTGTCTCCCTCGAACGATTCGTCAACATGAGCGCCCGCTTGCACTGTGTAGAGGATGAGAACTTCGACGTTGATACAATTGCATGGCTAGTCATGGGACTTGGAGCTGATGAGTCCCGACAACGGCTGTTTTACTTTTACGACCATGCGACAGTCGATATATGGTATTGTTTGGGGGATGTGTTGTCTCAGCCAGTACGTCGTCTGACAGAACTTGGGTCATCCCAGGAAGCATGCATTTCTCACGGCTTATCGTGCAAGCGGGTTATGGTCATCCAAGATGAACCTGGTTCTCGACGTCTCCGTTTCGAATCAGTTTATCGAGATGAGTGATGGGTTGGAAGTATGAGATGGTTTGTGGAATGGAGAGGGCATTCACGGCCTCGGATATGGGCCTCAGTGTACTTGGAGTTTGGTGCCTACTTGGCAATGTCGGCTATCAGGTTGTATGGCTGTGTTCTTTTGTATGCAAAATGGCAACACGGAGGTGAATGGTGATACATGGTAAGGTACTCGGTATAGATTTGCGATCTATAATGTATAATGTTTATTGAACCCCATTATGCTCATGGCGATCTCCCGTCAAAGAAACAATATTTACATTCATCTCAAATAGTCGGCGATAAGTATCTCTAGAGCATTCTGGCTCTTCCAGACGGGTGTCAAGAACTACCCGACTGCTCCCCCGTTACAGTGCTTGGCTCCGTCTCAAGGGAGGTTTCCTTCAGGTATCTAAATCTTGCACCGAATACCCACCAAACACCAGAAAACAGGAACGTCGCCCCAACGATGAGTGCGGCCCAGTTCATGTTCCCAATGTTTTCACCCGTGACTGGTAGATAAAGAGGCATGCTGTTGGGGAGTTAGTCAGGCTGAAGTCTCGATTATGTAGCACTTACACATATATGACAATGGTAAGCATCGCCCATGCAACAGCAACGTAATTCACAAAGTAGCCCCATCTGCCAAGATCAAAGTGAGGGCGAGGTGGAAGAATTGAACGGCCTCGGACAAGAGCCTGATGAAAGCGTCAGCAGCCAAATAATATCATCAATGAGCAATACTCACCACAGTAACTGGTATCGCATAGGCGAGGGCGAAACAAACACCAGCACCACTGACGATAGCGTTATATGCCAGTTCACTTCCCAGAGAGATAAGACCAATGATAACTTCAACAACCATGATGGCGAAGATGAAGTTCAATGGGATCTGGAGCTTTTGGTCGATCTTCTGGAGACGATGGGACCATGGAAATGCCCTGTCCTCCGCCATGCGCCAACCTAGGCGAGAACACGAAGAAAGAATACCGGTGCAGACAAGGAGCTGAGAGTTGGCGGGTTAGCTGTCGGTATAAGCAAGTGAGATCTGCTGTTAACTTACGTTCACAACGCCAAAGACTATTGCAACATAGATACCGGCATACTCACTTCCCGCTACATCCGAGAACCAAGTGACATACGGTGACCTGAACATAAGCTTGAGTGATGAGAACATGGGCCAGGGGGACTTACAGTGCTGTTACATACTCGGTGTAGTTACCGCAGCAGAACAGTAGTATGAGATCAGTGACGATTGTAGCAACACCGGAAAGGACCATGGACCAAACCATTGCTCTCTGTGTCATGTCAGCACGTTAAACCTTTATCGAGTAAAAAGACTTACTGGTGCATCTTGAGATGCATTCTTCATCTCCTCAACTAAATGCATCATACTATCCGTACCGTAAAGGCCGTAAAGCGGGGTATAAAAGCTAAGTATGAACACCCATCCATTATTGGTGTATCCTGAGTTGTTGATAAACTTGGTAAAAACGAATTCTGCGCTAGCTTTGGGGGCTGTGGCGAGTAGAGTGATGGCCCAGCCAAAGAAGCCCAGGATTGTGAAAACGGCGCCGACGGTGCTGTAGAGAGGGAGCGCACTGGGCTTCAAGTTCATGAGAAAGGGAATTACCAGTAATCCGAGATAAATCAGAAAGGTTTGGTAAGGCTAAGGAGGTCAGCGCATGGCACCACGGTAAGGGCCTAACTGTAAATACCTTCCAGTCGACATTTGGGTGAAAGATAGACACCATGGTACCAATGATGTTGGCAGTGTTCAGGGCGCAGGAAGAGCCAGTGGCGGTCTCCGCCAGCAGCAAACACCAACCGACAAAGTATGAAAGGAACGGCCGGTACTTTTCAGTTGCGAGCTTCTGGACATAGAATTGTTGACCACCTGCAGTAGGCCAGATACCACAGTACTCAGCCAGTGAGGCCATGAGCAGGGTTTGGCCGACTGCGACGATGATGGAGCCGTAGAGAAGCGAGGCTGGTCCACCGACGTCAAAGATTACACCGTAAAATACGACGACGCACGTCCATGTCGCACTGATCATTACCTGGTAGGCGCATACTGTGCTGCTGTTAGTGTTGAAGACCAAGAAACTGCTGAAGAAGACTCACATGTCCAGAAGTTGTAGACGCGATGCAACTCGGCAATCTTTCCGAGAGACTTGAGATACGCATCGTCAGTATCAAACTGGCTGCCCTCGTGAACGGAACCATCGTAAGAGATTGGCTCAGCCTTGATGTCGTCTTTAGGGGGGTCCATATCCAGTGGAGTTCGGAAGTAGATGATATCGCCGTTGAGAATGTGGCGCGATCATGGACTGGGGAATAGAGGAACAATGCCAAGATGCAAAATAGGAACCAATTTGGGAACAATGGTTTAAAGGGAGATTTTGCGATGGAGGGACCGAGATCGGGAAGATCTATAACCAATTTCCCAATACGACTACACAAAGCAACATGACCAGATACCGCAATCTAGATCCTGGTCGAGAATGCGGGGAAAGATAACATCAGGACAGAAATGACCAATGATGGGCTAGCCTGCTATCGTTTACAGCTGCCATCATTCCACGCAAGCGCCTCGTTTCTCTCCCGGGCAGCCAAGTTAAGCCTTCCCTGGAATACACCGCGCTGCCGTTTCTCTCCCGACCAGCCTAGGCCGGGCTAGCGTTGCTCATGTGAGTTCCAAGGCCTTGGATCGATGTGAAATTGGCTTGGAGTTTTCTCTGCCGACCAACCTATCTTGGACTAGTGAAGTGCTAGCGAGAACCATTGGATGCAGCTTCATTGTAATGATAGAGTCATAACGAAACGAAGAAAGTCATGATAACGTCTATAAATAATGATAAGGACTTCGAAGAAATCTCAATAGCAACTATCGATCTGACTACTGCTTCAAAATGGCTTCATTGAGCACTGTTAACACTAAACCATCCTTTGCGCGTCTCGACGCAGCGGAACCATCCACAACGCCACAGAACCTTGTCGCAGCCATCAAACGCGACGGCGGCGTAATTGTCGAGAACCTTATATCTCACCAGCTAGCAGAACAGATCAGAGCAGATCTCAAACCGCATTTTGACTCTGATATTCCAGACTTGTCGGGATTCTTTCCCGTCACAACCCAAAGAGCAACTGGCTTGTTCAATGTTTCTGATTCGTGTGTTGAACTTGCCTGTAATCCTCTGTATATTGACGTCGCGAATGAGCTGTGCTCTTCGTCGCTGACGTATTGGGAGCGGGACAAGAGGATCACTGTCAGCGGAAAGCCTATTGTTTCGTCGACGGTGGCGTTTCGGGTTAATCCAGGTGGCAAACAGCAGGTTCTGCATCGAGATGATGAGTGAGTATACCCTTTCGCCACGGTCTAGAATTATCCGTAGAATAATCAGCGTTGGTCTGGAACCCTTTGCTGACTGGAAGCAGTGACTATCACCCCCACGACAAAGAGCTCCCAGTCATGATTGGCTGCGTGACGGCTCTCACCAAAACCACACGGGAGAACGGCGCCACGATCGGCATCCCGGGATCTCATCTCTGGGATAGTGAGCGCCAACCATATGACGAAGAAGCTGTGCCCGCAGAACTAGAGCCAGGTGATGCTTTTATCTTTCTGGGCAACCTGTATCATGCTGGTGGCCAGAATATTACCCAGTAAGTACAAGTCCAATCACATCTAGCTAGCTTGATGCTGATTGAGTACGCAGAAATGAGTATCGCGAGACAGTAGGCATCTTCCTCTGCAAGCCGACTCTCCGCCCTGCGGAGAACCAGTTCCTCATGGTACCGTTGGAGCGAGCGAGGCAGCTCACACCACAGGCGCAAAGATTGCTTGGCTATGGCGTTTGTAAGCCATCGCTGGGATTCATGAACTACCAAGACCCAATGAAGGTGCTGTTTGGAGTGGAGGACGAAGAGACAGTGCTCATGTAAAGTCGTCCTCCCATGATCAGAACACGATAAACGGGCTTATCCGCTCCTCGTTGTCTCTCGCATACTGGATCCAATTCTGAGTCGACCCAATTGCTGTTGCGTTCCAAAAGTCTCTCAAGAACTGCAGTACTGCCGAGTTACACGAGAAACCTGTCGCAGCTATGTTTTCGGTGAAAAGCTTCTCGATCATGACTTGATTCTCGGTGTATAACTGACTGGTTGTTCCGAGTATGAACAGCGGGAATGAGATGTTGTGTGAAACAGATTCTGTTGGGCAAGATGTCATGAAGATGATCTCGTTGTAGAGACAGTCAACAAGCGGAGGGATTGCAACTGTTTTCTCGAGATCGGAAGCAAGTGCTTGGTAGCTGTACACCAGGCAAGCGTAGTACTGGACTTTGAGAACAGACTTGAGACCTATCTGGAGAGCGACATTTTTTGATGGCGTAGAGTCAATGCGGGCGTGAACGGAGTCGTAAGACCTCGTAAGCCTGTCTTGCCACAGATTCATATCCGTGTCAACAAGCACCTTTCCTGTCTTAGAGGTGTGATATCTGCTTCTCTCGGTGGCTGTAATCTCATGAAGCGCTTCTGTAAATTTTTTGAAGTAGTCACCAGACGTCCCGTGCTGTGATAGGGGCTTGTGACGTCTCGAACTCGAGGTGAATGAGGATATGCTTCCAAAAACCTCCAGATAGTCAAGTTCTTCCACGCAGAACTGAGAAATTACCTTTTCGTGTGGATTTGCGGGGTCATATCTCTCGAGCCCTGTGCGGACACCACTGAGGTGAAGTCTCCACCCCGTCGAGTCTGGTATGAACATTTCAGCATAGCATAGAGAAATCATGCTGAGAATGATCTCGACCAGAACCGAGACTTGGGTATTGTTATCGCGCTTTGATACTTCGCGGTTCCGCTCGTATTCCATCTGCCGGTTCAGGTGACATAGAGTCGCATCTCGAAGACTTCGTCGAATCTGAACAAGTGCCGCCTTGTCTTGGGGAGACACGACAGACATGTGTGCTGCTGCCAAACTCAGTGTTGATAGTCGTAAGCAGGATGAGCGTTGCACAAGAGGAAGGACGAGGGTTCGCCACGGGTTCTTGGGTCCATCCAGCCACGCAAGCCTTGAAGCGACTTCGTGGTTGAAGTGTTGAAAGAGGACTGCGTGAGCTGCTTGTCGGACATGACGATCGACAAGCTCGACGTTCTGGTTTGCGTGCGACAATACGACCAGGGAGTTTTCGGTGCCTACTTGAGGTCGGCAACAGGGAGATATTTCGTCATCGGTGGACTTCCTCATGTGAGGTGTTTTTTGTTTGTGTATGCGTGGTGCCTTATGTTTGATCGGAGGTCGTAATGGCACCGATTTTCCGGTCAGCATCCCTCTGCTAGCCACTCCCTGATCCCATCTCAAGCGAAAACCATAGCCTGGACAATCAAGTCCTCGGCTACAACATTTCAGACACGAAGGAACAGTTCGGTCGCATTTTATACGCCTTCTCACGCATGTGTTGCAATCTGGCAAATGAGTAAATAGTTCTGAATGGACATTGACCTGACTCACTCTGAGAAGCAACCTCACGATCCGACGACAAAGAATCGAGGCGGATATTGCGCATTTCGGTCCAGATTTCAGCCAACAGTCTCAAATCTCAAGATTCGATATCAGTGACCGTTGGAAAGACATTCGTTCAATTGAGGATTACATGAATCATGCTCACCTCCACGCGACGATTGACAGGGGAAGACGCGAATTATGAACCCCGCTTTCTAACGACTTGACGTTAGTTGGAGAACAACGACTGATACGAGAAATGCCCTATCTTGATACCTGATTAGAAAATGTCTCATGGCGTAATTTGGAGAAGTCTTATCGCGATACGGTCAAAAGTTACGCTCGTAACATCTGCGACGACCGCCTGTCGCTTCATCCTTCCCTATATGACGATCAAGTGCAACATTTATATTCTTTAGCTACAAAAATATCTTACCCTGCGGAAAACCCAGTTTCTTTCCAACAGCACATATAACAATGTGTTAACCATAAACCTCCAAAAATAAGCTTGCCAATTCCCAAGCCCGTTTACAGCTAACGTCTGCTTCATCATACTGCATTCGCCGCTGTAGAAGCTTTGCGCCAACTGGAATGCTTGTCAATATAGTTGAGGGCACTCACATGGTTCTAGATCCCTCGCCAAAGTTTGCAACGATTTTGATGTATTGCCTCGGGTGCGGCATTTTCCCGACCTTGTCGTGCATCAAACCCAACCATTGATTTCCCGAAAATGCTGTAAGGCACTTAAATTTGTAAACGTAATTCGAATGACATCTTGGCTTGAGAGACTTTGATTTGAAGCCAATCAAGAGACCTGGAGTTCATTTCAGATTGTCGTGGCGCTCAAGTCTGAGACCATGATTACCCCTTGCTTCAATTTAGCTTTGTCTACTCCGTAAATATTGATCAACCACAACTGATCTGCCTGAAAACCTGGCTTCAGCTCCAGGCCGGACTACTGTCCAATTGCGTGGTTCAGACTTTGTAAATTGGGAATATTATTCTTTAAAGTAGTTATACTAAACGACTCTTTCCTCAGTCATGACATAGAAATCTTGCAAGAATGGCTGAGAACAATAATCTTCATCCCTTGCATCAGTCCCGCACCAGCTGACGTCTTATTAACCCAATAAGCTAACTTAGTCATCTCAAAACAATTTGATTTCCAACCAATAGCTATTCTAAAATGACTGCAAGGGAGTTTGAATCAATTTGGTGGTCGGGCGTGCCGTTGAAGCTCAAGCTCGCAAATATCACCCACTAAGATTCTCCAAAGATCTCACCACAGAACCCGTTTTATTTCAGTCTGCAGATTTTCCCCATCAAGAACATTCCGAGTCTTGGCATTAGCTGGTCTAGAAGTCGTAAAAACCTTCTCTGGTGTTTACTTTGGACGCTCACAGGTCTAGTAAGGGGTTTGTTTCCTCATTTCAGTGACGCATGCCGAGAATGTAGCTCTTACAGCTCAAATCTCTGTCGACATCTTAAATATTCGTATTTGCTCTGCTTGTGATTTCGTAAAACCAAAGTTTTCTCACGGGGCATCATGGTCAAGTCTGGGATCATCTCCCTTCTGGGCAGTTTGGCCCTTCCAGTTATTGCCTTTCGCGATCTGGAGCAGATGCCCGAATCTTGGTGTGTGACCTACCTATCGACCTACCTCGTTCCCATTTCAGCTGCCACAAGCTCGCCTGCTGAGAGTTCACTGCCTGGTATCGACTCTTCTACGAGCCTGGATATCTCCGTCACTCTGAATCCCTCATCATCCCTTTCCCTCTCACCAGGTGTTACCTCCTCGGTAGTGACTACAGAGGTCGAGACAACTCCTCCTTCGTCCACTACAGGTCCCAGCACTCTTGACGGGCAAGTAGTCTTCCGTGTTGTTCCTAATACCCCAGACAACAATCGACTGCGTAGGCGAGATCTGGGAGGGTTCATCGGCTCCCCGTCAGAGATTTGTGACAATGCAAATGTCTTCAACTTGCTTGATGGGCAGCTCTTAGAAGGCAATGTCCCCATCTACTTCAACGGAGAGGACTACAAGGTGTTTGGCGGCCAGCAGGGGCCTGTTCCTAGTGGTGCCATCACTAGAACATTCTTCCGGGATGGGGACATCCTTCGCTTTCAAAGCTCACGGATCATTCCAAATGGTGAAGCCGGCTTCTGTCAAACCCCATCAGATGGTGTAGTTTATATCACCTTTTCTTCGCAGCCTCCTGGTTGCATCGCAGTCCAGCTCTCCGCTATTGGAGGTAGGTTTACACTTGGATTACTGGTTGTGCAAGCTAATTCCGATTGTAGTTCAACAATGTGTAAATGGAGACGTAACTTCGAGTGTCGCAGCTACAAGCGAGGCTCAACAGTTCACATCTGCATCATCCCTCGGCCCAATCATCTCCATCCCTTCGTCCTCTGACGAACTTCCTCCGGGAGTCTCAACCATCGAGACAGAAAGTAAACCTCTAGTGGTAACAACAGAGCCAAACGGGGCTGTAACGACACAGAATCCTATTACACAGCCCATCCCATCGAGCACATTCAGATGGTCAAACATGTCATCTTCTTTTCAACCACCACCAGAGACCTCAAAGTCCTCTATCGTTCCCTTTAGCACTTTTATTTTCACGTCAGATTCAAGCACCTTTGTAGACGTAATTTCCAGCACGGAAATCGTTGAACCAGAGTCCTCCACTGCCCAAGAGCTCACCTCAAGCACCGCAGATTTCCCAGCTTCTGAGATTGGCACAACGACAGAGGAAGCCAGCACCACGGCTGAAGCCACAACAAGCGCTGCTGAAGAAACAACGACAGAAACTTCCATCGTTGAGACTACAGTAAACCTCACTACGGAGGAGTCAACCACTATCTCGACCACCCAGGAGACAACAGATACTACTACTACTACTACTACTACCGAGGTTTTGACAACCGAGAGTACAACTCAGCAGACATCAGGAACCACTTCACAAGAGACAACTACAGAAATCAGCACTTCAGAGGAGTCAACAACTGAGACTACTTCACAGGAGTCGACAACTGAGACTACTTCAAAAGAGTCAACATCAGAAACCACGTCAGAGGAGACAACAGCAGAATCGACCACTGAGGGATCAACAATAGAAACCACTACACAGGAGACAACAACAGACGCTACCACAGAGGAATCAACGACCGAGGACCCCACCACCACCACTTTCACATCTACTCTCGACTCAACAACTGAAACCACCACTGAAGCAGCCACAACAACCACCACAGCAGCTTCGCAGGATATCATATGCCCCTCAAGTCCTCAGCAGTGTATCGACACCTTCCAGATTCAGTGCGACACTGTTCTTGGAGGTATCCCTCTGACCGACGGCAGCAGCACATTGGAGGAATGTTCTCAGGCTTGTTTTAACGATCCCAACTGCGCCCTCTTTACTCATGCTGGAACTCAATGTTTCTCATCAACTAACCCCTCAGCCAACCAAGGCTCATTTGCAATTCCAGGCTGGGTCAGTGGTATTAGAGGATCTTGTTAAACGTAATTGTAATTATGGGACGATCAAATGGAGAATTAATGATGAGTTAAAGAATAAATGAAAAATATAGCAAAACGCAAAAAAATGAAGACATGATTAGATCATGAGGCGACTCTCCCGCCGGGAATTGAACCCGGGTCTCAAGCGTGACAAGCTTGCATACTGACCACTATACTACGGAAGATGAACAGGTTGAAACCTGCTGTAGCGGAGTTCGATGGCTGGTGGTTTGCTAGCTAGGCATAAGTATCTAAAACCGCGCTAATACCAAAATCAAATGCCAACTACAACTGACAAGTTCAGGTCATGGTCTCCAAATGTGGTTGGTGAAAGAATGCTTGTGACTGAAGGACGCGCCTGAACTCATTGTTTGCTTGCAATAATTTATTTCCTGCTGAAAACGAAATTTCAGAGGACGTAAACATGAGGGGACCTTTATACCTACCAAACTTATAGAATTGGCAACCGATGATGGCCTGAACAGCTCAGCCTCAATGCGGGATTCCGAAGTGGAGTGATTAAGAAAAGTCTGAGTACGCCGATCAAACATTCCTTCTGCATCCTTTTATAGATGATGTTATCCACTGTTATTCCTTCAGCTCCGCTATTTTGAGCACTGCCGTGTTTTCGCGGCGTAATATAAAACCAAGATGAACTAAGATCCGACGCTGACGAGTTACTTCCATGATATGGGCACAGCGTAATGAAGATCAACAACACGAGGAAATAATCCGACAGGTCACCAAAGATGCTGGTGATCATATAAAGCAGGAGACAGCAGCCATTTACATTTAGCTACCTTCACTAAACCTTTTCTTGCAACCTCTGAGTTGGGTCAAAGGCAACAACATCTGCGCAGACCTTTCCGATATCTGTCCCGATGGCAAATGCTTCATGGCATTCCAAGCCCTCATGACTGGCACCGACAGCAGAACGCCTGCCAAGATGGTAGCCTGTCCTACGGATGATTGCTCCTCGGATTGCCAGACTTGGGATGTCGAGTCGCAGAGCAACAGCATTAATGTTGACTGTGCTGAGTTTACTGGCCAGCATTACTTCTACTTGGGTGACTGAGATGTCAAAGGATTGCCAAGACCAAGCGCGATGGGGAGTAGGAACAGATAGCCATCAGTTTTGAAGTCACCGTAAAACCATCAATGGGGAAAAATGCCCGATTCCATAATAAACTTCTTGATACTATGTGTTAAACCTCTTCCGATGATCAGAGCGGCCTTTTGAACCGGATTCTTGCGCACCACTTTTCTAATGAGGATCGTCACGAAGATCAGAGAAACTTGACCGGGGATGGCAAAGCACGCTCCGCAGCCGTCTTCTTGCGATTGCTGAGGTATTCAGTACCTCGTTGATCAGAGTGTTGGTGACATGCACTCTCAGCTAGGCATCGCCAACACCAACAGGGGATTAATTTCGTGCAAATACCCATCGGTGAAGCGAGAAAGCCACTTCACCGAGAGAGGCTATGTTGTGTGCTTGGTCGATAACAATGCCATCGGTCGCAGCGCTGAGAACGCTATCGCTAGCTTCCCCATGGCAGCAGGTTCAGCTACCGAGACTGTCATGAAGTTCTTCACTTCCCCCGAAAACTATGACACTTATCCTCAGGCTAAGCTGCATACTCAGTGGCCTGGTACTTGAGCTGATGGCGATCCTGTGTATGTCCAGTTCCAGAAGTCGCTGATTCCTCTTACTACCAACTTCTTCGGCCAAAAGAACGCTCTCCGCGCTGGTGGTTGTGAGCTGCTCTCGCTTCTTGGAGAGAAGGCTTTCCTCATCTCCCATTCGCTGGGTAGCAGGAACCCTCTTCTGCTTTTCAACGATTGCCCTGGATACATCGCGGGCAGCATCAGTCTTGAAGCTGCTACTTCGCCTTTTTGGCCTTATGCTGAGGGACTAGGTGGATATGCTGGCTCGCCTTGGGGTTTGACAAACACGCCTGTGACTTACGACCCTCCAGTCAGCAACCCATCCGGTAAGTTCACCACACATTTTGTCCGATAGCCTTTGCTAAAACTGTTCCGTAGAACTTGAAAGTGAGTCCGTTGGTAAGGAGACTCTCGCTCACCGCAACTGTTATCTTCGAGTCGAGCCCGCTCACAAGCTTCCTCAGGTCAACAAAGTTCCCCACGTGCTCCTGACTGGTGAAGCTTCCGTTCACATCACTTACGATCACTATGTTATCGGCTTTCTCAAGCAGGCTGGTGGCAAGCCTGAGTGGATCAAGTTGGGTGACTGGGGCAACGGCCATTTCTTAAGAACAACGTCCAAATTGCTGGTATCGCCAATGCTTGGATGCAGGAAAAGTCTCTTAATGGCACACATAGTGCTTAATCTTGCGAATAGTTGGAACTTCTATAGAGTATCCTCAATGACAACTGAGCCTCGACATGCAATCTACACTGATCCAATCCTGCTCTCTGTCTTGTTCGATACATACATCTGAGTTCGACCTGGGTAGCCATCTAGTAACTATATCGGAACGCCCTATCCTCCTTGTCTGTCAAGTCAGACTTGGGCAAACCATTCTTATCCAAAATGACCTCCCCAGTGCTGTGACACTCTCCAGCTAGGTCCCTTTTCTTGTTATCTCGTATGCAAAGGGTTCGATAAATAATCATCGTCAGGAACAGTAGACACCAGGTCACAATGCTGGTGATGACGCCCTCTCGGTATCGGGGACCATGAGTCCAAAGCTGGGGAGACCCAATACAGCCTGCGCAATATCCGATGAAGAACATGCAGTTTACCAGAGCTCTCTTGGTGTTTCCCTTGACATTCGATGCGGAGAGTGATAGAAGGATCGACATTGAAGCTGTAATACAAGATGACTATCCAATAGGTCAGCAGATGTCAGATGAAGGAATCATTACACTTACTACCCATGATGCAGCAATCAGACCCCAACCAGCGCTGACGTCAAGCTTCATCAGGAAGACATTGCCGATGAGAGGCGGAATGATAAGAACCAGAACGACCAACGAGCGCTGCCGGGGAAACAAAGTGCAGAGACCAACGCCAATCCACAAGAGTCCGATCTGAACTGATCCCGATGGTGCCGTGTAGAGCATAGTCTCGAGCTGCGTGTAACCGACCGACTTGATGACAAGAGATGCAAAGGTAAGTACGGGCGACTGCATCGTGACTAGAACACCAAACCAAAAGACTGCCCAAGCCTTGGGGTCCATGAGCGTCTCTCGGAGTTGACTGGTGCTGAAGCTCGTCTTGTCACCTCCCTCACGGTCCCGAGCCATGCGCATCGACAACACCTCACGTTCTCTAGGGCTCAAGAACCAGGCATCTCTTGGGCCATTGGGCATGAGCGTAAAGAACGCGATGCCAGCGACGACTGTCATAGCACCACAGACAAGGAATAGAGTACGCCATGGTGCAAGACCAAGTGACGTATTCTTTCCAATGCCGTACATGAGAAGACATCCGACGACCTGCGCAACGCCATTCATGGTGACCCAAAGAGCAGTGCGAAGTGTATGTTCCGATTTGCGGTACCAGATGGACGTGATGGTGACGAAGGCTGGTGATACGGCACCTTCGCTGAAGCCGAGGAGGAAACGAACGGCGGCGAAACCGGCGAAGTTGTGAGGAGCTGCGAGACACATGCAGATAGTGCCCCATACGATACTAGAAGCCCGTTAGTGAGAACTTGGTGGAGAGAATGATGCACGTACACTGTGACTCCCACAAACTTGGTGAGGTGCAGTCTGCTCATGAGGTAGATGCAGGGATACTCCGCGACCAGTTGGCCGACGTAGAAAATGGAACTACACCAGGAGTATTGTGAGCTGGTCAAGTTGAGGTCGTCAATGAGACCAAAGACAGCAGCGTAGCTAAGACTTTGCTTGTCAAGGTATTGGAGGAAGAAGACGAAGCACATCTGTACATTTTGTGAGTCATGAAACAAGGTTAATTACAATTGAGCGACCTACAAATGGCAGGATGACCATGTCAATCTTGCGAAGAACCGCCTTCTCTTCTTCAGGAGTGTATGAATCGTCCATGTCAAGGATCTCGCCCCTTGCCTCAGGCTCATCAGACTTGGGCGCAGACATTTTCTTCTCGAGAGCGTTATCCATGATAGCGAGTTGATGATCGAACAAAGAAATGGTCTAGACAATGTCAATGCAGGTGCATGATGAACAGTGCTGATCCTTCGTGGGGAACACCTCAATTATATCATCATCCCAACAGCTTGGTTCGCCGTTATCAAAAAGTTATCAAATGACAAGCTCCGGGTATCGGATATTCGGTGACAAGAGCCACTATGGGGAAAACCTTATCACAATGCGGGGAATGGACATGGAGCCGACAAGATAGACCATCGATCCGATGGCTCAATGTCGGGAATAGTGACATTTTGCCGATGGCCATGTTGCCGACGGCGATAATCTCGCCCGCTATCGGCAATGATCGGCGAAGAGTGTTACACCACGCGAGGGGCGATTGAGAGGAGATTGTGATAAAAAGCCACTGTCTTGGATGGTTTCTCGGTCGATATCTCAATTTTACTTCCCTTATCTGGTCTTTGAAAGGAGGCTGTATTGTATGTCAACTTATCAAAGTCAACATGACTCAAATTGATACTGTACCTGGCGCAGACATCAAGCCATGGCTTCGTCACCCTCCCAAGAAGCATCTCTTCATCCACGCCAACATCATTGACGTCTCAACGGGTAACATCCTCGAAGACGCATCGCTGTCCACCAAAAATGGCAAAATTGAGACCGTCTACCCCTCAACCCCTGACCAGTATCCCCATGGCTACAACGTCGTGGACTGCCAGGGCCGATACCTATGCCCAGGTCTATTCGACGCCCACGTTCATCTCTGCGCGACACCAGGATTCGCAGACCTATCCCGTGTCTTTGGAAACCCCAATGACATTTCGCTGTTGCGACAGCCATATGTCGCCTCACAAATGCTCTACCGTGGCTTCACATCCGTTCGCGATTGCGGTGGCGCTCAGCTTCCATTGAAGGAAGCGATTGAAGAGGGCGTTTTCCCCGGCCCTCGTCTCTTCATCTCAGGCCATGCACTTTCGCAAACAGGTGGCCACGGTGACTTGAGAAGTTCTTACGAGAAGCATGAATGCTGTGGCGGACACGCTATTGGATCTTTGGGCCGTATTTGCAATGGCGTACCAGAATGCATGGCCGCGGTCCGCGATGAGGTTCGCTGCGGAGCCGACTTTATCAAGATTATGGGATCTGGTGGCGTTGCATCACCGACCGACAAGCTGGAACAGCTGCAATTCACTACATCAGAGATTCAAGCGATGGTGGAGTGTGCCAACAACGCTGGCACTTTCGTCACAGCGCATGCATATACCACCAAGGCTATAAGACATTGTATCGACAATGGAGTCAAGGGTATTGAGCATGGTAACTTTGTTGATGCTCCTACAGCTCGCCTCATGGCTGAGAAGGGCGTCTATCTTACCCCAACACTTATCACGTATGCGCAAATGGCCACCGACAAGTGGAAGAACTTCTTGCCCCCGGAGTCACAAGTCAAGAATGCGCAAGTCTTGAAATCTGGTCTCGAGGCTCTCCGCATTGCTTCAGAAGCTGGTGTGACGATGTGTTACGGTAGCGATCTCCTTGGTCCGCTTGGCTCTGCTCAGACACAAGAGTTTTCTCTGCGCTCTCAAGCACTCAAACCTCTTGAAATATTGCAAAGTGCGACAGTGAATCCTGCCAAGATGATGGGTTGTGAGAATACCCTGGGTCAACTGAAGGAGGGCTTCCAAGCGGATGTTCTCATCATGGACAAGAATCCGTTGGAGAATATTGAGATCTTTGACCACCCGGAAAAATACATCTTGGCGGTTATGAAGGACGGTTTAGTGTATCGCAGTCAGTTGGAGTCTCTGGAGGTCGATGGTGGGATCCCAATCCGGTTCAATTCGGTGCTGTAGAATTTGATGATCGCTGGGAACAAAAGCAGGGACAATAGCACATTAATTATCAAGCTGGGAAAAGCAACAATAAACGTTGTCTTTTTCTGCCTCAAGGACTACACTTTTAATATTGTATGTGTGATAATCAAGTCATACCACGCTTCGGCTTATTCAAAGTCGAGTGCAAAATCACACTTGGATTACATAGAAATTCCAATGAGCCATCATTGCACTCGATTCTAAAAATCTCGATTTCCTATCCTTGAGCTTTATGGTGCCAAATCAGGAGGGTAGCCTGCAAAGTCCAGCACATCAAAGCCTGTGAGCCCCATCAAAAACGGCTGGTCATCACTATACATCGTCGACAGGCGATATGTCTCAAACGGATCAAGCTGCTCTCCGGCCTGAGGCTGCGGGACCTGTAGACGTGGCATGAGTGGCTCGAGAACTGCATCAGTGCGTGAGCTCCATTCCATAACTTCAGGTCCCGTAGACCAAAACTCGGCGTCAGCACCTGGAGGTACCTGTGTATTCTGATCAGCACCTAATGCACCATCGCTAGTCGCCTCGACGTTGATAGCACTCTGGGACTGTTCTTGGTTTGACAGCCACTCCGCCCACTCGTTATACGCAGATGACTGTAGCCCCTCATCAGTCGCGTTGGTAGGAGGCTGTCTGGACCGACTAAGCTTGCTCCAGGCCTCATTCGAGATGGAGCGAAGTGCTTCAACAAACCGAACACCCACCTGAGCATTTGGGTTGCCTGTCGCCATTCTGCGCAAAAAGTCTAGACCAAACCTGACGCGTCTTTCGTAGCCGGGGTCCCTATCAAGGATACCTGCTATGAGAGTGACAATGGTCGCAATGCTACAGCCTTGGAAATCGGTGAAAGAAAATCTCGTGGTATAACCAGTCTGGTTCAGATCCTCAAAGAGTTGAAGTAGCTTCTTAGAAGCCTTGGCGCATGACTTTGAGAGCTTTTCGGCCTTGTCGTCAATGTTGCATGGCTCTGAGTCATCTCCGAGATGGCGGCGAAGAGTCATTCTCACAACGGTAATGAGAGACATCTTACCCATTACAATCCAGGCATAGTAATAGTTGAGCCAGAGGTGAAAAACGGCGCGATAGCGTGAGTCTTGAGGTGGAATCGTCTCCAGATCAAAGGTGTCGGACAACGAATCTTTCCACTCTCTCAGTTGATTCTCCAGGCTCGCTGTATCTGCCTGGCGTGGAGGCTTTGTCACTGCTGACCTACAAATATCAGCACGTGAAGTAGGTAAGTAAAGTGGAACGTACTCCCAGTCAGCCACTTTGTCCAAAATGGTTATAAGACGCGCGAAGGCAATTTGAAGAAGAACGTTATTGAACTTCTGGGAATCATCAAACTCTGGCAGAACAGTCGGTAAAGAGACGGTAATGATCTCAGGTGCCACTGATCTCGGCCTATTGAGCTTTATTGTCGAGCACCTGCTTGGCATCAGTATGTATGGAGCCAACACGAGGAGTGTCATGAACTTACCTTTCAAGTGAGTATATCGACCACCATAGCCGCCGGCGAACTTCTCTTTCTCGCGCGTCCATCGTTTGATCATCCGAGTCCTGATGCAGGTCAAATGCCAGAGCCTTCCTCAAAGCCATTCCCGTGTAGACATAGGACGATCCAACTGCATTCTGCGGCATGAGATAGACACCGAGTATCAGGCACACTTGGATAGATCTGAGACCTGGAAGCTCTATTATATCTGGCACAAGGACTTTGGCCTGCTCGAAGAACAAACGCCCAGGATCATGTTCATCAATTCGCGAATGGCCTGGTCGCTCCAGAGGGGTCCAGTGGCTGCCAAGTGCAAAGATGGTCAATGCGAGACAGATGAAGCTGGGATCGAATCTCATCGGACACGTTTGATTAGTGTAAAACTGCTCGATTTCATGAATGAGTTGTGCTTGGTCGAAGTAGAAGAAGACATCAGTACCGCGTCTGATACAGACATGAACGAGAAACTCGGCGATGGAGCGGGGAGGAAACGAGTCGACAATCTTCTTGAGGCGGGCTTGTTCTGCAAGCGATGGGTTGTTTGGTCGCGTAATATTCTAGATGAGGTCAGTTCCATATGAATTTCAGGCGCGGAAACGATATTTACAGCCTGTAGATTGACCATATCCTGCTCCTCTGGGCCTGATATTGGGTCCAAAGAAAAGGCTTCGCGTAGTCTTGTCAGGAATCGTGGCCATAATATGCTTTCAGTCTGGTCTGCACCTGTCAGTTCAGCGTCTACATCAACCTGTAGTCGTTCTTACGGCTTTCTATAGAAATGTTCTCCTGGGGCGTTGCTCCAGTTTGGGACGAGGCAGCTACGGCAGTAATGGTAGCATCTCCAGCGGGCATTGGGCTTTGACTCTGTCGCGGAGACAGCCTATCTCTACATTTTTTCAGATTGAAGTGTTTATCAATGATACAATCTTACATACCTGTCGAAGCGACAACTAAGCTGACCAGCTTCACATCTTTGACAAATGCCTGGACTTGACTCAATGCACTTGCTCTTCCGAGCCTTGCATCGATCGCACCTGATAATGGTGATATCATCAGTTCTGAGTCAATTATATTGCTCTTTAGGGACTCACGCTCGTGGTGCACGTTTCCGGTTCTCTTCGGCAACGCGTCTGCGGCGGCGACGTCGAGCGACGGGTGTTGAATCCATGGATGGCTCTGATGCAAGATTATGGAGATTCACGGGTAGTGGAACCTCGGCTACTTGTCCTTGTAGTACGCTAGATTCGTCGGTAATTTGTCCTAGGCTGGTGCCTTATCGCGTATCTGATAAGGCTCTCCAAGTTAGGGATCTTAGTCGATTATCTTCTTTGCCGTGTGTAGTCTGGGCATTCTGTTAGTGGCATAGCAGGTCTCAAAGCCGCCTACCCCGTACCGTCAATAAAGCTATTGTTTTCTTGCCTCTTTCTGCTTCAATGTCTCCCGTCATCCCTTAGCATGGATTCAATAAAGAAAGTCCTACTTCTAAAAGCGTGAGCTCATGTTTGTGTGTTACATTTTCTACCGATGAAATGCAAACTTCTTCACTTCTGAATCTTAGATGTAAGGCACTCCAACTCAGCTACTCCGCCTATAGTCATCCTTCCCAAACCAGTATCACGCAATTCCGCCATTGACTCGGTTATTGAGGCACGGCATCTGCTGTATCCTTTCATTCCCGTAAATACCGCTGCAGAGCGTCAGAGCGTCTTTGAGCGAGTCATGGCAGTGTCTTCATGAGTGAACTAAGTCAAAGCGCTGCAGCGATGCCCAACGTCTGCAGCCAACATTTTGTCGATCTTCCCCAAGAAAAGGTCCCCTGCCGCTGGGGAGCAGCACAGGAGGGCGGCACAGAGGGGTAGCCCTGTCGAGACCCCTACGGATTGCCCAGGTGAGCCAAAGTCCGAAGAACAAGAAGGGTAACTTGGCGACACAATTTCTATTTTTGCTTACACCGCTCAGTGCCAGACAGCAATCACCGAGTCATTCGGAAATCTGGGGTAGTATTGATCTACACATTGCATAAAACTACCCAACCCTGCCAACTCAAAATTACACGACACGTATCAGATGCGTCCATTTAGCCAGCGTGCTGTTGAGCATATAAATCAGGCTCCTGGCCCTTACTCGACTGACTAGTATAGCAAATTGTCCATTGCAACAATCTCACCCAGAACTCTCTCTATCTGCTTTGATACCTTCCTCACCATGGCCCCAGCCCAGACCCAAGATACACCAGAGAATACCCAAAAGAGCTCTGATCTCTTGGAGCATTCCAAGGGTGAATCAGTACTCACAGATAAAGACCGAAAGGCCCTCGTCTTCACCGACAAACACAGTTCTCCAGATGTCTATGTCAACTCCAGCAAAGACACTCTGTGGCATCCCTGGACTGGAACGCTAGAGCTCAAGCCTCTTCGTTTTGAAACGAGATCTGGTAGTTTTGTTATTGGGCTGAGAACGCCTGTCGATTGTTGGCTCGGAAAACATAGGCATCGAGGTACAGTCACAGCTGTTACACTTTCTGGGAATTGGAGATACAAGGAGTGAGTCTATGACCACAACCTGTGGTGTATTGACTGACTTTGTAGGTACGACTGGGTCGCTGGACCTGGGGACTATGTTGTGGAAAACCCAGGAACCATTCACACGCTGTTTATGGGTGCCGGCGCCGAGGTGGTGTTTACTATCACAGGAAGCCTTGAGTTCTTCAATGACGATGACAGCTTGAGGGAGACAATGGACATTTTCAGCTTCGCGGAGCTCTATTATGACCATTGCAAAGAAAAGGGTGTCGAGCCAAACGAGAAACTGTGGTACTGAACAACATTAAGCTGAAGTTTGGGTAAATTGCAAGTTATTACTTTAGAGTTCAAATCGCTAGCCTTTCCGAGAGTAGATTTTGCGCTTATTAGAAGAGATATTCTCTCAGGCTCTGACTTGAATTCTCTATGCACTTTGCTCAGCGTCCAGGTATTCCGAGTCACTCATGAGGTCCAACAGCCCGGAATGTTTAAAAATACCTAATAATCTTGAAGGGCGAAGACAATTTGCAGCACTATATGCCTTTAAACCTAATTCATTATAATATTCACGTCTTACTGAGAAAGCCAGGAGTCAAACAGGTTGCTGTCATCCAAATGTGTTATTTGTAGTTGAGACCTGTAGTTGGGAGCTTAAATCAGCAGAGAGAACTTAAGTTAGTGGATTATAGTAGCTGGTAGAAGGCAAATCTAGCCAACACCTTCAGGAAGAATACTCGGGATATAGATTAATAGTGAAACTATGAAGACTTTGCTTTCGGCAGCCCAGTCTGCTCAACATCAAAGCTTACAATGATGCGTTTTCCAGAAATACAGTCCGCAACAACCACCCTTCCCCATATGCTTATTTCGGCGTTTAGACACTCTGGAGAGAGCTTGAAGAACTTCTCGTTCCCAATCGTGATCCATGTATGATCTCGTCTTAGAGCCGGCGCTCTTTTACTCACACGGAGGCTGTCGCTTGCCAGTAGGCAATCGGATTTATTTCGGCGAAGAGACCAAACTTGATGGCCGCTCGCCGTACGCAATACCAACGCCCTCCCGTATGGTGTTGTTCCAACTTGGAGAACTCGGTTGTTTCGGCGTTTGGCGCCTTCGAGGCCTTTCATTTGACTGTGAGGGTCCCAGATCCGGACAGTATTATCATCCGAAGAAGCTGTAACAATCATGGTCAAGTCAGGAGAAAGGTCGACTGAGCAATTCAAACTTGATGATGAGAAGTCAAAGACCTGTTCACAATTTCCGCGCTGAATATCATGCACTAAAGCGGCCCGTGTACTGAGGACGGCAATAAGCTTTGTCGCGTCTTCTGAAAATACCAGCGACTCGAAATTTCCGTCAAACGAGGAGCTTTTTAGCTCGTGCAAAAATGCTCCATTTCGAGCATCCCAGATCCCTATGCGGCCATCCATATCCCCAGAAGCTATCATACGTGAGTCGGAAGAGAATACCGCTAATAGGACCCCACAGCCATGGCCTTCGAGCACCCTTCTGCATTTACCCGTATCTAGATCCCAGATCCGTAAAGTCTCGTCAGAAGAAGCAGAGACAAGCAATTGATTGTCCGGCGAGATGGCTGAAGTATAGACCTGTCCTGTATGACCTTGCAATATCTTTTCGCATCTACCCGTCTGAGCGTTCCATAGTCTCACTGTTGCATCATTCGAGGACGTGGCTACCGTTTTTGAGTTAGGTGAAATGACAGCTGAATTGAGCGTTCCTGTGTGCCCCCCCAAAATGATAAGGTCCCAAGTCTGTGTCTTCCAAATTCTTACGAATTGGCTTACACTTGCGGTAAGCAATAGGTTCGAGTCGCGAGAAAAGGCAAAGGCCGTTCCCGTAGGCGAAGGATACTTTAAGACATTATCACACTTTCCAGTCTGTAAGTTCCAGATTCGTAGCGTACCACCAACTGAGCTTGAGGCAAGCACCCTTGAATCTTGGGAGAAGGCCACAGACTGGATTCCGCCACAGTGTCCTGCTAATACATGCTCGCATTTACCGGTCATTGCTGAAAGAATTCGGATAGTGTTGTCGGCATATATCGATGCAATGGTTTTTGAATCCGGCGAAAAAATAGCGGACTTGACTACAGCATTTTGGCCTATCACCAAGGAGCACGGTCCCCAGTCATTCTCAACTGCTGGCCAGGCTTGGAGCCAGTTAGGGACTCGACTTGCGAAAAGACGTCTAACGATACTATTTATTGGCGAGAAGACGATTGCTGACGAGTAGATTTGCAGCGGGGTTTCGTCAATAATGCAAAGATGAGTTCGGATGAACCTCAGAGAATCTCTAACAAGGTCCGAAAGATTGTCACAGGAATATTTCTAATGTCGTAAGTAGAGCCCATTGAGGGTGAAGAAGGCACCGTACCTCTAACCAGACATGTAATGCATGTAACATATTTAGGCAGTCAGTGACATGGCCAAGGAGACTCACGGCTTCCAACCAATGGAGCAGGTGTTTTTCCAAGAAAGGATAGATTTCAAGAGCCTCGTACTCTCCGGCGTTGGAGGATACATAATGGTGTACCCAATAATGGCAAGCATAGTGAAGCTCCGGAGGTATGTACTTGTGAGGGTCCAGGCCTCCAACCTCAGATGGAGATGTTCCCGGAAAAGGTAGTCTGCATATGTTTTCACGAAGTAACGAGTCCATGACGAAGAGGCAACGACTTGCCAGTCTCCTGTGCGTGGCCTTTTCGTCCACCCAGAAGTCCGTAGATCCTTGTAGATCAGGATCCACGAGGTAATTCCTGAATGATAGATGCAGAATCCTGACGGGGATTTCCGGGGATTTCGGCACGTCCAGAACGGACTGAAGAACCTTGATCCTCATATCAATTGTCGTAGCAGGGATACTTAGCAATGCTGACAGAGAATGGATTGTTAGCGGCGCTGCTAAGGTGACGATGGCGCCAACGATTAATTGGAAGCTTTTGTCGATCTCTTCTCGCTCTCTCCTTGGTCTATTGACCACCTGTGAGGCGAGAATGGAGGAATAGATGTCGTGGAGCCGAGACATATGCGTACGGCTGCTTGACTCAAGAATCCTAGCCAGAAGTTCATCAGGGCCACCAAGAGCAGCATCGTTCAAGAATCGACAAATAGTTGCTGCTGCGATAAACAGGGGTTGTGTCATCGAAACAAGCTGTCCAATCTTGACGGCGCCCGGCCACTGCTCAGCTAGCCGCTGATCACTCCGAGCCATATGATTGAAGCTCTTTCGTATGCCACCCAACTCGTGACGGAGAAAGATAGATATGTCATGCTCCATGATATCTCGTGAAATACTGTGGAGTACCAGGCCCTGGTACATGCCGTTGATATCCAGGAATCCAAGTTGAATCGGAAGTTCTGGTCTGCTTGTAATGAACACTCTGAGTTTAAGCGAGTCTGGGTACTCCAGTTTAGTGAAAAGTGACAGCAGGCGCTTGATATGAAATTCCTCTTCGCATTCATCGAGGGCGTCTATGACGATGACAAGAGAATTCGGACATGATGAAGAAACTGCCAATTCCTTGAGAGGCTCTTTGATAAGCTTCTCAAACTGTTCTGCAAGGGTTTTTGTTGGGAGCGACGGATCAGCATCTATGGCCTTCTTGATCGAACTGATCATACAAGAGTTATGAATCGCTAATTGCCGCGCCAGGGTAGGAACAAGCTTCGACATATTCCCTCGGCTTGCCTCTCCTCTTTTGAAGAAGAAGTTTGCGCCTAGGCAATTTATCTCCCACTGCCGCTGTGCAACAGTACGTGATATGGTCGACTTCCCTGTTCCCGCCATACCATTAAGCCAGAATATGGTCTTTGACTCAGCACTCATGATCCACTCGTCAATATCAGCGAGAAGTTGAACTCGTGTCTCTGGTAGGCACGTGGGGCTATGTTCCTCGGCGTAAGAGTTGAATAGGGCTTCAGCTACAAAGGGCAGCTTCTCAAGGGTCGATAGTAGATCGGTCTGCTGTATCTGATGGCTATAGAAATGTTATTTCAACACTAACCGTAACCACGTCGAAGACGACTTACCTCATGGAGTCCACTTTGCCTTCCACTGAATCAACATCAGCAATGGTTCCACCTCGAAGATATCGAAAGTGGCATCCTCACGTGATTGTAATATGTCGAGGACTCTTGGAGACTCTGCGAGTTGCCGCGTGGGAACATGGCTAAGAAGCTCGACAGCAAATGCTGCAGCAGTAGATGCTGCGTATCTCTGCCACTGATCGTTCTTATGGCTATCGGCATAATCGCAAATACCACGAATAACAAGGCATGGAAACTTATCAACCAGGCCTACAGCTTCCATCTCAACACACAGGCATCGATGGCCTATGCTCTGTGCTAAGCTATCTCTGAACTTGGCGTCTTTGATAAGACTATTGCCCGAAGCAATAACTCCGTAATGGATCATCGGCTCTGTGGTTTCCCGTTCCTCGCGACAGATCCTGCGAGAGATGTCGCACTTCGCACATGTCTTCCCGCCAACGTGGTCATAGTCGGATGGGTAAAGTCGGTCGTTCTCAAAGCCCTGGTAGGTGAAGTTACTGCCGGGTCGTTTCATGCCAGGGTTAGCTTTCAGCATAACCTCGAGGAGTCGTGGTATCTTAGAAGGTCGAATCTCATGCTCAGCCTGTAAATTCGCCAGAGCTTTCAATAGCACTGCAGGTGGTTTGTCAAGCGAACCTGTCCGTTTCCAAACCCCATTCGCTTTCGCCTTGCCAAAATCATACTGCACGACACCGCCAGTCACACCATGCGGCTGACCAACGACAACATCACCAAGTCTGATATCCTGATCATCGTCAGGCCCGGGTATAGCTCCACCAATACCGACTAAGAGACCGAAACGGATTTGCGGTAAAGAATGTACAAGGTCCGAGGCGGTGGTGGCAGCGGAGGTTGTTCCATACACTCCTGCTGGTAGAGAAGCTATAATGATGTTATGCTGTCCTATTCTGCCCCAGATGTAATTATTTGTATCCGAAGGAGATGGGTGAAAGTTATTTGGTTCAGAGTGCTCCTCATCCAGAAGTGCCCTTGCTGCTGCCTGCTCGATGGCAAGGGCCGCGATCCAACCGATAGTATAGAGAGACGGACTATCGAGCCTCGTCTTTTCGCGCTCCATGCCTCTGTTAACTGAAGATCATATCAATAAGACTGCATATGCTGTGATCCTCGGGCTAGAGCATTACAAGACTAAATGCATGGCAAGATTGGCCAACAGGCAGGTAAGCAGAGGTCAGGATGCGGGGTTGCGGCTGAGCGCGTCTGGCCATTCTATTTGACATAGGACAGTCGGAATAATGTGCATTCCGGGATTGTGCACTTTCGTGCGGCTGAAGATTGGTTGGATGGGTCGCAAAATCAGGCTGAGTAGCTGTATAGCCTGTCGAATGGGAGGCTACAAAGCTACTCTTTGGGGAGACATATCTGGCACTTCAAGATAAAATAAGCTGGGAGAAAAGACGTCTACATAGTATCAGTTACGTGTAAAGACTTTTATAGCATTATTCACAGGATGCGCGGGCAAGTTAGTCACAAAGTATCACGCGTTAAAGCGTTGTAGAAAGTCTCCCAGATGCGAATTAAGCATCAAAGATCAATGATAGGACGCCGAAGCTCATTGTTTCTTAGTGATATATTAAACGAAATAAAAGATCATTTGAAGTAAATAAAACGACCCAGTGCTATCACTAAACATCGCGGAATAAGGAAGCGAGGCTTTGACAGAAATGACTCCTTCGACTTTTGTAACATTAAATATCCATAATCGCAAATAATACGCAATTGCCCTATCTGAAAAATCATGGTTTGAGACAAGGTGATACACTTTGAGCACTCTTTTTCTAAAGATGCTTTACCGTTAGCCTGGTTATCTTCTGAAACCTAGATGGAACCCCACTGTCAGGTCTTTGTCAAGTAGTATTAGGGTTTTAAGCTCCATACCTGGTTTTGATAGATGGAGGCCGCCATGGATATCGCCTACACACAAGCCTCTCCGGACAAAAGTGTGAAGGGCGATCCGCCTTGTTGGCTCGTTCATCGCTCTTGTCCAGCTGGTAGCTATCCTGCTTTCACCAGCGTTGGGGCAATCCTCTTCTTGTGGACTGCACCAGGGGCCAGCTTCTGAGTGGGCATACCACTCTGCGTGGTGTCGAGACACTTTGGGCGAAAGTCGCACCGGGAAGTGAACGCGACGGGCTTTTCTTCAGGCTCTTGAGCCTGGACACCACGAAAGACAACAGGTCTCACCATGGGGTACATGGATTGATTCGCGGAGCTCGTGTTGCGAATAACAAGCTTCTTCAGCTTGCTGTGGCGGTACACTGTGGCTGGTGGTGCTGGCACAGTGACCTGGTCGTCGTCGTCGCGGGCTACCTTGGCCCGTTTGCCGTTCCTGAGGAGGACGATCTTGGTGGGGCGGCCGGTAGAGACAGTAGTCTGATTTTGAGACTCAGACTCCTCGGCCTTACGCTTCTGGGGACGTGTGGCAGGCATCGCGAGTAGGTGATGGGGGTGAATGCACAAGGTATGTTGTACAGAGTTGGAGTGTACAAGGCTGTTTGTAGTGCAGGAGGTGGTGGTGTACAAGGATCTGTTGTACACAAGAATGGTACAGAAGATGATATGTTAGGATGAGCTGAAATGAATCTGTGATGTATTTGAAAGGTTGAGATTTCTGGGATAGAACCATGGGAGAAGCTGCTTTTATAGACGAGGCAAACTTTTCTTGAGCAATAAAATATGAAAAATACTTTCAAACCTTCAAAGCTTCTAAAACCCAATATCTCACACAGAGGTATACAAATAGTCAAGTAACTTTTACATTTGGTTAGAAAAAGTTTTAAACTGAGAGAGTATAAATTCTGCGCTGATTTTTGATGAATACTTGGTGGTTGAAACCACATTTAGGTTCAGCAAAACGAAAGGTTAAGCCGAACACTATCACATTAACTAATCACGTTTGATTGATTTCGTGAACAACGCCCCCTGATGGTACTTTGAACATGGCGAAAACAATACAACATCGTGTTCAGTATGGTCGTATAATCACCAGGGACTGGAGCATTCTCTACCAGTCAATACTGAATTGAGTATCAAAACAGACTTTGTACTACGAACACGTGCGCAAACGCCACACCAAAGTCAGATTTTAGCAACCAATGTCGCCATTTCGCTGTAAGAACGTGTTAGGCCTCCCATTAAGAATGTAGTACAGGATGAATGATCACGGGGAACAGCCTGTCAGCTTGTTTCCATATGACAATAGATCTACATAGTGACTCTATTATTGCTAAGTGTTGTTGGCAGCCGCCTTGAGCATGGAACAGTGTAGGGTACGAGCTCGGCGGACTGTCCTTCAAAAATGAGTCATAAAAGGAAGGTCTGTGAAGTCATAAGACTGCTCACGTGAACTGCGAGGCACGCCGGCAATCCTCAAGTTTACAGAAGGTCTCCTAATCAGTATTCAATGTCCTATCCCTATGGTAACACCTGATCTGGTTCTCGTACCTCATTCCCTTTTCGTCTCCAGATGATTCCGGAGCAAATCGACGATCCCATTTTTTGTGTGCTTCTCCGCTAGTTGCAGAGGCGTCTTACCCTTCTTGTTCCTCACATCAACAGTCGCGCCCTCTTCAATCAGTATCCTCACGACACCTATGTGGCCATTAAGACATGCTCGTGATAAAGGCGTGTCTCCGTTATGGTTCTGAGCATCTATGTCGACCCCTTTCTCCAGCAGTAGTTTGACAACGCCTTCCCTCCCTTTTCTGGCAGCAACAGCTAGTGGCGTACTCCCATAGCGCGTTTGCGTCTGAATATTAGCTCCTGCATCTATCAGCATCCTTGCGATACCCACATGGCCATTAAGACATGCTCGTAATAAAGGCGTGTCTCCGCTATTGTCCTTGGCATCTATATCGGCCCCTTTCTCTAGCAGTACTTTGACAACGCCCTCGTTTTCCTTTCTAGTTGCAATGGAGAGTGGAGTACTCCCATCGGAGGTTCTTGCTTCTATGTCAGCCCCCTTACCGAGAAGAAACGACGTTATCGGTACGTGCTCTACCGAAGCTGCCAGCAACAGGGGCGTGTATGCTTCCTCGTCCTGAGCTTCTAACTTGGCGCCGCAATCTAGTAAGGACTTTGCGGCTGAGACTTGTCCATATGCTGCCGCATACATAAGAGCCGTGTAGTCGTTGTCGGGGTTTCTCGCTTCGAGGTCTGCACCCTTGTCTATGAGAAGTTGCAAGATTGCGTTTTTTCCGTTGGCGGCAGCCCAGAGCAGTGGAATGAAACCGCCCATGCATTGTTGGCTATTAACCAGGCTTGTCGTTCGAAGGGTACCTGGGCCCGCACAAACAGGGGCATCTGTGTCTTGAGATGCCTTTTGCTTGTCTAATTGGCTCTGTAGCATAGTTTCAGCCCAACTTGTTGAACCCTTGACCCAATCGACTTCCTCGATATTTCGAATATTCTTTTCTATTCGACTTTCCAGTTCTACCAGGCTGCCTTTCGTTCTTGATAACGTCCTCTCATGTCTGCGAATATGTCTCTTCTTCATTTGAATTTCTCTTTCAATCGCTTCTCTCTCATTTGCAAGTTGTTTCTCCTTTTCCGCTAGCTTGTCCCATTCGGCTTCCAATGACTCTAGTTCACTGACAGTCGCAGCCTGTTTTTCCATCTCTCCATCGATAGTTTCATCTATGTTATCCCTTTCGCAAAGGGCTGAAAGCAGCACATCTACCTGGCTCGCTTTGTAAATACGGTGGGACGTATCTGCATCAGGCAATGGACTCAAGTCGGCCCTAGCTAGCCTCAGCAGGAAAATTGATCCTTGTGAAATATCTTCTCTCTGCACAGAGACCTCGACAATATCATTTACATTGCTTATGACTTTATCGCGCAGATGCTCGGAGTGCATGTACTCTAGACCTTGGACGATCTTAGAAAAGTCTAACTGTTTTGGTGCTGCTATTGCAAAGCAGCTCGCGCAAGAATACTCTGCCTGGAGGTTGAAGTCCAATACAACAACAATGTCGCGGCTCTCCTTTTCTTTGCTAGTGAAACGAGCAAGGTATCTTCGTCTAACGGTTTGATTTGAATTGTTCAGGTTCATGACCAAAGCACGGCCCCGGTACCAGTTGAGTGGTGGACAAACTTCCTTGAGCTGTAGTTTAAGCTTTTGGTGACCATCCATATGAAGCCAGATAGGTTTCCCTGTCACTTGTGCTGGACGAGCCTGGCGATCCACGCGGATGCGGACTTCCTGGCTACTGTAGGAGTCGCTTTGTGGCCCGGAGAGAAGTATAGGACCGTATCCAAGTGGCCGGATGTACTCCCTGACAGTCGAAATTGAAGGCGTTGTGCAGCGCAAGGGGATAGCTATGTTGCCTTCTGTCGTGTTCTCGAGGCCACAGTTGAGAAGACCATAAGCTACCCCGTTTTCTGTACTCTGTAGCCTGAGCGAAGTGCGGATGTATCCTCCGGAAACAGCAAAATTCGTGATACAAGTAGGGTCGAGCGCCTTTGGAACGATGCGGCCACACTTGGCAAAATCCGTCGGGGACTTGGCAAACATTCCGGCTGACGTATTGTAGTCGCTAGGGCCAGTCTGAGATTCGAACTCCATACCTTGAACCTTGACTCCCCATGCTAGAATTGAATCATCGGTTGTCTGTTCCATGATCTTGAGCTGTAGCCTTTCAAAGGCTTTGTGTCCTTCCCCATAGATCATCGGCATAGTAACACCGAAGATCCCCAGGAGACAGTAGGCGATATCTTCATCCCTCTTCGTCGTCCTCTTTGACGCCCAGGACATACGCTGCGCAACGCTGGCCTGGTGAAAGTCTACCCAGCCGAGCAGAAATCTGCGTGGTATTCCCGTGATATCTTCAATTTCACTCGCCAGTTCTTCCTTCGTGCCAATAAGATTCCACGTCTCATCAAAGAAGTGTATTTCTCCAGGAGCAAGGAGCTCTTGTAATGTCCATCCTCTTGTGAACCACGAGCTCGCGGAGAAGCCAGAAGTCGATTCCCAGATATCTTGCTCGTGGGGAACATCGGCCATGTAGGTATAACATATGGCGGCTCTTTTATACCACTGAAACATGGAATTGATAGCCTCGTCCAGCTCTTTGGAACTCTCCTTGTCAATGCAGCAAGTGTCAATCCAAGCATATTTGAGGTTGTCTTTCTTGGCCTGTCGACAACAACCTTCAACCTTCTTCATTCCCACCTTATTTGTAGTGCCTCTCATCATATCCTTAAAGGATACCTCCTCGTCATCATTTCCCCATCGGTGCGACAGGATAGCATACGGTGGGATATGGCCGCCGATGAAGGTTTCAAGCTTTAGGTTCTCAACGTTTATGAGCCGCATCTTAGTAGATTTGAAGCGTCGAAGCCCGAGATCTCATTTACCAAGATATCTGTAGTGCGGCTTAGTCGTGTGATATCGAGCGGGGTAAATAGAGGCTGATGGTCAGCTTGAAGAGGCTGCAATAGGTTCGAGGTGCAACGGATACATACAAATGCCCGCGCAAAGTTTAGCGTTTTAGAGAGAAGGCCTCTAAGGATGGAGAACAAGGAGAACGACTGACAAGAGAAGGGTTTGCAAATTGGTCAAGGCGTTCCAAAGGGCTGATGCGATAATTTCAACCCAACATTGTGGCTGTGAGGCAGCGAAGTGCAGCCAGCTGCATGAGAATTGGCCAATGATTGCCACGACCAATACACCAATATTGGCAAGGCAGATTTCTGTCTAGTATGGCCAACAATGAGACCATAACCTTCACAATTATTTCACGAGACAGATCAAATACATCAATTTGCATTTTTACTTGTCATTTCCTCATCTCAAAACTATCGCGCATATTACAATATTCCATTGCCAGCATGGCGCTTCCAAGTGATAATAATGGTGGATGAATCATGATCGATACATGATGGTCTTCAATCCGTGAAAAACAAGTGAGCGGCTGTTCGTGGGTCTTCTCCCTCCCAGCACGGTGATACCGCAGCATACATTGCGGGTAAAGGAGCCCCATGCCTAGGTACGACGATCGGTGTTTTGTGTTGATGAGTTGGAGGATTGCGACTCCCGAGCCTTCTCGAGTCTTGATTTATTCTGCTCCTTGAGGAGGGCGAGTTGTTTCTGATAGTCCTCCTCAGCTTCTTTGCCGGTGAGAGGGCGGTCGGGCACAATGTCGGGTGTCTCTTCCGGATCAGCAGCGTGTTTGACCTTATTCATGTTGGCGTTTCTGACTGAAGTCTAGGGTAGATTCTGAGATGATATCTATGAAAGAGTGCGTTGCAAATCTGTGTGATTAAAGGATCGTAAAGATTGCTCTCTTTCTACGGGCCGTCAGCGTCCTATTTATCGTAGAAACCCAGTATTCACTCGGTCGAGATAATCTTAGTCGGATCCACAAAGCATTCGGCGCTGACACGTCGTGATTGGTCTGCTCTACGCAAGGACAAATAAGATTAAGCTTTGGCACGCCGCACCAAGAACACGATTGGTCTCGACTACGGACCAGCATGATTGAAAATACCACTTAAGACCACTGGAAGGCAATAAACCCTGTGCCCAATGAGGGCAGCTGAAAACGATATGTTGGTGTAGCCAATGATATTATGCATCTGTGCACAGCCATGGTCACATGGCATTGGGAATATAACCTAGGGAAATATGAGACAACACAAGGACAGTGGTCCCAAGACTCTCACTCTCAGGGTATGCCAGTATGTCCAAGTCTTTTAAGGAGTACACACCACAGAATGAGTCATTCTTCCAGGCTTTCTCAATGGGAAGCACTCTACGAACATCAAAGTATACCGAATTGAGCTTTGGCATTTAGGTAGGGATCCGAATCCTACAGCTACCATCTACAAATGGCAATCGCCTATACTCATAGCATGCCACTTGGCAATAACAGGTAAATACTTGACCCATCACTTGCGTAATCTGTGACAAGGCTTCAGGCGTCACTTTAAGCATGATTTACCAAAGATAAAGCATTGGCATCAGCCTCTTCACCTTGACAGCATCTCGCAAGCCAGTTCTCTAGACACATTTTTACAATGCAGACCAAGACTTTCGTCGCCGCCCTTCTGGCCGCTTTCCCCGCAGCTCGGGCCTTCAAGTTTACTGGCCCCAACCCCTCCGAGCCCATCGATGTCAGCAAAGAGGTTACCATCACATGGGAGGGTGACATTCCCGAGAACCTCTCACGCAAATTCGACTTCACTTGGTATTGTGAGCCTGATCATCTGAATAAGCTCAGCTCTGATATTAGTCACCTTGTCGACGAAATCTGTCTGTCCGATCACAAGTACAAGTTCAGATTTCACAACTCCAAGTCAATGCTTGAACCATTTGCCAACAAAATCGCTGCCAAGAAAGTGTTTTCTTTCCAGGCTGTGTTCACGGATGAGAAGCAGGATGGTCTTGGGCTTCAATACTGGAGCCAGAATTACACCATTGTTGGACTGGACAATAGAGGGGATAAGAATCCAGAGATCGATCTTTAAAGGATTGAGGCTGGATGTGAGACAGTGTCAAGTCATATTGCCAGTGCTGTTGCTACAAGAGGTTCATCACGGTGTATCGACCATATGAATAATCGCAACTCTGTGAAAGAAAGAAAATTAAATATTGGCTCTGACGTGCATGCTGTTAAATCTCGCCGAAGAGACCATCAAGTTGACTTTGCCCGGGAACTGCCGAATCGTTGCAGGCAGATCAGCGGCTCAGATACAGCTTCTAGTATTTACCGAGTCTCCATGATGTGGATACATAGGCCCTCACAGTACCTCGGGGGACAAGAAAACACCAGACCTTGATATAGGGTGTCGAAATAAACTTAGTAAAGAGTCCCCTAAACTTAGGCTAAATTTACCTAAATACTTTTATCACTTAGGGTTAAGGTCTCGAATTTCCTTTCCTCCCTAGGCTGCCAAACGGCCGGTGAGCTTGACCTCTCTGTACCCAACGAACATCTGCTCCAAATCGATGTTGCCTGACGATCCATGCTCAATACGCTCAGCTCCAGCTCCTGGCTCCCCATCTCGGACCGTTCGCAACATCAGGGCACTGTCTCACCAGCGGAGTCATCGAATCAGACGGCTTCCGTAGCTCAGTTGGTTAGAGCGTCGTACTAATACTTCATTCCGAGTGTCCGTAATGCGAAGGCCTCAGGTTCAAGCCCTGGCGGGAGCAATCCCATTGCCCTCTGATTCATCTTTTTGACGATATATTGTTCGATATGCTTTTGTGGTTGATCCAAGCTTGGTGCGGTCGGAAGATTCCATCTCGTTCTCATGGGAGTTTCATTTTTGGGCGCCAGGATAAGAGAGCGATAGTGGGGCTAATGTATCTTATCGGGAATACGCCATTGGACAATCTGCAGTGTACCAACAATGTGCAAGCAATACATAAATGGAACCGCTGTGTGTGTGTGATACATGCCAGATATGAAGTCATGAGTTATGATGTTAGCATTTCCTTCTGGTACCCAATTAGCCATATCGTCCATTGCTTGATGTATCAAGAGATCTGAGTAGTACTGTTCAAAATCCTCTCCAGTGTCGCAAGTCTTCCTGGTTCTGGTCAGAAGGAAGAATCCTGTTGCCGGATCGTCTGTCATCCAATTACAAGGCTTGGTTCCGTGGTCTAGTTGGTTATGGCATCTCGTTAACACCGAGAAGGTCCCCGGTTCGATCCCGGGCGGAACCACATTTTTGATGCTACCGTATCGACGAACAACTCATACAGGGTGGCTGCCATTTTATTTATTGGCTGTGGTCCCATTGACTGGCTCAAAGCTATAAAAAAGCCAGACAGACTTGGTCTTTCTTTTAATGTTGTAATTTGCTTCTGGAACTTGAGTTTGCTCTGTTGTTGAATGAGAATATTGTTTTACCAGTGAATGAGAGACCACAAAGTCACTGGCGACACTAACCACCCAATGTCAGAGAAGAATAAACGTTAGTATTTACAGTAAATGCCATCAGGTATCATAAGAATCATTAAAATCTTAAATCCCTACCTGTTGAAGCCTCAATTCAGGAAATAGAACTTGTAAAGTGCAGGGTAAAGAAACTGCCTTATCAACGAACAGATGCTCTAAGATAAGATGCGATAAGATAAAGCTATAGCCACTTTTGTGCATCGCCCCACAACCTCCCAAGAAGCAAATCAGTGCCTTAACTCCACGCTGCCTCGAAACAACAACACAAATGCGACATCGCAAAGCATAGCCTCTCTTGTTCAACTCGCACGGCCACTTAAATTTTGGCACATCCCCAGTTTTATCACTTCTCATACATTCAGAACCACCTGCTCTTTCTTTCTCATCTTCGGAAACCTTTGCTTTCTCTCCCTTCTCATCATACCTCACGCTGTCATAATTATGGCGCCTTCGACTGTTTCCGAAGGGGGCGAGGCCGCAGTTCCAGCTCCATTCAACAAAATTAGTAGTGCTTCCGTTCAGACTTACTTTCAACGCATTCGAAAAGCCTGCGGCAAGTGGCCATGGGAACTCTTCGACGAGAAACGTCTCTCTCCCCACTGGACTGTATACCTGCTTCAGAAGTTGCACCAGGCTATCAAGCTTGCGCAGTCCCCACCTAAGATTTCGCTCACATTTGTCATGAATTACTTGGAATCCATTGTCAAGAAGGGAGGCGAGTACTCCAAGCTCAAGGGCCGAGATATTACATCAACAATCTAGTGGATTGGAGAGAAGAAAGACGCCCTATCCAAACGCCGAACCTCTGCCCGGCACAGAGAGTCAGAAAGCCCAGCAAGCAATGCCCAGAAATCGAGCGACAGTCTTCCGCGCAGCGGAGATGGGGATGGCACCAAGAGTAGTGATGCTATTCTGGTACGCGATAAAATCGTGGTCGCGCCTTCACCAAGTCCGCCACCTCGACCCAGAGTCTATCAGAACGATAATCGCGATGTTGCGAACCCACCTTTCATTGACCTGACCAAGTCTGACTCTCCAGAGCCACCCAGTAATGGGGTAACCGAGGCCCAAGCAACAGGAGATGCAAGGCGGGTTAAAAAGAGGAAGAATGTGAGCGAACTCGCTGCTGGTAGCGTCTCTACGCCAAAGCGGCAGAAGAAACCATCTAAGCCTATTCAAATGCCCAGTACTACACCTGGGGCGAGCCACAAAGATGTGAGAGAAAAAGAGGTCACAGATGATGAGGTAAAACTGTGTTTCCATTATCTTCAAGTATAGTATTGACCAATCTTTTGCTATAGAAGGCACAAATCTCCGCCATTCAAAACAAGGCCGAATGCGTCCATGCCCAGCAGAACGAGAATAAAAAACGACTGAAAATGTTGAACTCCTCACGAGAACTACTTCAACGAGAGCTCAACACCGCACAGACAGACTTGACCAGAATCCGCCAGGACATCCAGGACAGCACTGCTATCCGAGGCTCTATTCTCCGAATCATCCAGCGCCGAACCCCTGAAGATGTTGATGGCTGGAACATGGCCCTCGAACGCTGCGACAAGTCTTTGAAGATATTTAAGGATGACTCAAAGAAGACTACTGATGTCTTGAATAAGAAGAAGCAAGACCTTAAGAACGTCGATGAGATGGTTCGTTTGGCGAAACGAGAGATTGAGAACTGTGCTCAGCAGGCCAAGAAGTTGCTTGTGTAACTGGGTGAATCGACTTGCAGGAAAACCGCATCTGGCGGTCTGTAAGTTGTGGTCGACATGAGGCTTTTGGGACTGGCGAGCCTTGGCGGAGGGAAGCTTACTGAGCTGGAAAGACTGGTCACTCCGGCCGTAGGAGGGAAGGAAGGGGACGTACGTTAAGATGAGCGAGGAATGAATACCCAGTGAAGCTAGTGTAGCGGGCACATTGAATGGCATCATAATCTGAGATATAGCTCTACCAATGTCGAGACAAGCAATGCTCCTCAGGAAGTGCAGTCTTCCATGAAATTAGCTACGTGGAAATTCCGCGGCAAAACCATTGAAGTTGAGACGGGATAATAACAAAGTTACCATTCACCTGCCAAACAGTCCGTTGATCAGATTTAGACGTCTCCCATGATATGCTAGCAGTATATAACAAATTAGAGACAAATTGACACAGTCATCTGCTGTTTGTCTCGTGCTCAGCTCTAGTCGAGTGTTTCATGGTGGGAAAACCACCAGTGCCCCACCAATGCGATAAAATGTCCAACACACGATATCAGACACAGAATCATCAACAAGATAAAAAATAAATATAAACCCAAACTTCTAAATGCAAAAAACACATCGACAACGGCAGGATTCGAACCTACGCGTGCGAACACAATGCCTATGATGTCTCGGAGGAGATAGCAGGGCATCGCCTTAACCACTCGGCCACGTTGTCTTATCTTATCGGTGAGACATTCGCTTCCAACAAGGCTCTATCAGAAGACACAATGACATGGGCTGCTATTTATCCACCTTCCTGAAAAGGTGTTTTGATGGGGCTTTCATAAGACGTGCATATCGAAGTCTCAATCTCATGATGATCAGTAACCTCGTTATTGCGATATGTCTGGGGTTACATTCGTCTCAGAACCGCATATGCTCTTACTGGATGAGCGGTTTTTACACTTCTTTGCTGCCGTTGCTTGCGTGGCACCTCCACTTTGTGCTACGCGACTGTCATATTATAACCCGATATACTTTTCTGTCATTGATCATACGGATAAGAGCATCTACGTAACTTGGTTCTCATAGGTGACAACTGCAAAGATGTCTGATAACCCAACAACGCCTGAAGTTCAAGTCGACGAAAACACGACCGACTCCGAGTCCGTCTTCAGCGCTGACTCTGTAGGAGCAACGACATCCATTGCTAGCAGTGTTCTCAAATACAAATGGAAGCATGGGCGACGATACCATAGTGATCGCGCTGGACAGTACAGCTTTCCCAACGATGACCAGGAGCAGGATCGTCTGGACATGATTCACCACGTTTTTTGCCGAACCGTAAAGAATCGTTTGTTCTTAGCTCCTATCGATCCGGAAGGACTTAATGTTCTTGATATAGGAACAGGAACAGGAATTTGGGCAATTCAGTTTGGAGACGAGCATCCTTCTGCGACAGTGGTTGGGAATGACCTCAGCCCTATCCAGCCAGACTGGGTTCCTCCAAATGTCAAGTTCATCGTTGACGACGTTGAAGCGGAATGGGTTGAACCAATTCCATATGATTATATACACTGCAGATACATGGCTGGATCTATCAAAGACTGGCCCAGACTACTGCGACAGGCATACGCCAACTTGAAGCCAGGCGGCTGGATCGAGCTTCAAGAAACAGCCAATACGCTCTATTCCGAGGATGACTCGCTCAAGCCTGACAACGCACTAGTCCAGATGATGGATCATCTCAAGTTAGCCTGCGATAAGATTGGAAGAACCATGGATCCTGCGCCGTCTTTTCAAGAATGGGCTAAGGAAGCTGGCTTCGCTAGTGTCAAAGAGGAGCGATTCAAGCTTCCGATTGGACCATGGCCTAAGGATGAACGGCTCAAGGAAATTGGAACTTTGATGGGAGTTAATATGAGAGAGGGGGTAGCTGCATTTACGGCTGTCTTGTTTACTGATGTTTTGGGATGGTCGCGTGAAGAGGTTGAGGTTTTCAATGCGCGTGTTAGAGAGGCATCGCGCGATAGATCTGTACATCCGATGTTTGATTGCTTGATAGTCACTGGACAGAAGCCGAAGGAATAAGATGAATCAGATTATTTGTACTATACACGACTCATAAGGAATGTGTATCCAGCAAACTATTCACCTCGTTTACCTTGTTCAGGTTCATTGGGCAGGCTTCTCCACGAACCTCAGGACCGAGGGCGCGGTATGAGAACCCCGGATTTATCACGAGTCATTGACGCTCAAGTCAGCAACATCACTTTTTCGTTCATTCACAAGCAACAACAACCATTTCCAGACAGTATGATACCCCGGATTTGCTCTTTTGACGGAGTCTTCTTCAGACCCCGAATCGTGGGGTAGTCCAAATATCGACTAGTCTCCGCGGCATTGAACTGGGAATATGGGGTAAACTTTACCGCAACAAGGTTAAGCCCTAGACCGATGGAACTTCGCGATCCTACCGGGGATCGGTTCATGCGACATTATCCGGGGATACGTCGAAAATAGGTCCGTTTTGCGTATCAAGAGACAGGATATTCGTTCCCGTGAGCAGCTAGCGTCTGGCTGAATCTGGGGATGTTTCGTGCTGATCTTGACTAGTCTTGCGTGTTCCTCGGAGTAGATAGCTTATCCAATGAGTAGGCCTCCTAGTGAGGTGAGGAGGAGTAATGGCATGGCTTTGGTAACGATGATCGATTCGAATATTATGCCACTGATGGAGTATTATATATCTGAGGAAATAGTCACAGGAAATGGTTCCTCTTACGTAGTCGACTGTTTGCTTGCAGTTGCGAATTGGCTACCGTTCTCCGACCAACCCCCACTACGCTAAGCCTGAGAGGCATTTTGTGACCATGCTCTCCTCAAACATCTCCGCCATGTCGTTTGCTCTCGTGTTTCAGGGCCTCCAAAGCGTATTCGCAAAGCCCAGCTGCACAGACCATACATTCCGCTCTATAGAGCTCGCCAATGCCAAGATTCTGTCCATCAGCACCAATCTCACCAACGCTGAGCTGCCGTCATCCCCAACCAATGAATGGCCTAATAACTCAACTGATCCATTTCCCGTATGTCAAGTCACAGTCCAGTACACACACCCAGGCTGGAATGGTACTATCAACACATATGTAACACTGCCAGTGTCAGGTTGGAACGGACGATTTGTCGGAGTGGGTGGTGGCGGTTGGTCAACGGGAGACATAGCCGACCTTGCACAGCCTGCTTCTAACGGATACGCCGCTGTCACTACAGATGGTGGCCACCTCTTAGCTAACAGACAAGAGTTGGACTGGGCTTTGGATAGCACTGGAAACCTCAATTGGCCTGCTTTGCAGAACTTTGCCGCTGTCTCTTTGGACGATGCAGCGACATTGGGAAAAGCCGTGACAGCGGCTTACTATGGAAAGAAGCCAAAGTACTCATACTGGAACGTAAGCATTTCGTACCATTGTGAGATGAACTTCACTGATAGCTGTTAGGGATGTTCTACAGGTGGACGACAGGGTCATATGATGGCGCAGAGGTATCCTACCCAGTATAATGGCATTCTTGCTACCGCTTCTGCTTTCAACTGGGACAAGTTCGTGACATCAGAGTACTGGCCACAAGTCGTCATGCATAAACTCAGTAAGAATATCATCTCATAAATATAGGACAACTAGGCTAATCTGTTATAGGCTACTACCCTCCTATCTGCGAGCTTAACGCCATCACCAAAGCTGCCATAGATGCGTGTGACCAGCTCGATGGAGTCAAAGATGGTATTATTTCGAACCCAGAGCTCTGCAAGTTTGACCCCAAGTCTGTCGTTGGTAAATCTGTAGAGTGTACCAACCCATCTGGTACAATCAAGATTTCCAAGAAGGGTGCTGAGGTCGCTCGCTTGACATGGCGCGGACCAGAGACAGAAGACGGCAAGTTTCTCTGGTATGGACTTGATCGTGGTGCAGACTTGAGTGGTCTTGCCAACACAACATGCACGTCGCTGAAAGACTGCACTTCAAGTCCCTTTGCGATTGCCCAAGACTGGCTTATTACTTTCCTCCTTCAAGATCAATCCGCTAGTCTGAAGGACTTGTCTCATGCAGAGTACAGCAAGCTCTTCCGGCAATCCGTGAACCGATTTGCCTCAGTCATGGGAACATCAGACCCGGATCTGACAGACTTCAAGAAAGCAGGAGGAAAGTTGATCTCGTGGCACGGAACAGCAGATCAACTAATTCCACACAAAGGGTCAGTGGATTACTACAAACGGGTCCTTGAGGAAGATCCCAGCGCGACGGATTACTACAGATTCTTTGAAGCACCAGGTGTTGGGCACTGTAAAGGTGGTGATGGATGGTATCCTGGAAGTGCCTTTGACGCTCTCGTGAAGTGGGTTGAGCATGGTAAAGCGCCCGAGACTCTGTATGCGGAGACTGTTGGCACGGAAAAGCGACGAGCTGTTGAGCTGTGCGCTTATCCGAAGCGATTATCATACAAGGGCGGTAACCCAGACGTCGCATCCTCTTTTACATGCAAGTAAACATAACGCTTCCATAAATTATTACAAATTATAAATACGCAACACATAAAAAGAATTACGCGAAGCTATCAAGCCTAGCCTGCGATCGTCTCGCCTCCTCCTCGCTGCTATGATGCATGTGAATCGTGGTGTTGACAGTGATACCGGGAGTCTTATCACTAGTCGTACTTCGTCCCGCCACTGAATGCGCAGACTCCTTGAATAGTTCGTCCTGTGAATCGTTGTCGAGCTTTTGTGTACCGCCCATGACATTTGTGACGATTCGGCTTTGGTTCGTTCGTCGAGATCGTGGCTGGCCCGTGGAGGAGAGCTCGTAGCGTCCGTAGTTGGAGCCTGATCGGGCGGAGGACATTTGGCCGAGGAAGAGTGTTCGCAGAGCTGCACTGGTTGTTAGTGGGATGGAAATGGGGGAGATGAGGGGACATACGTGGGAGACAGGTTGCGATAATGGCGACGGCTGTTTCGATCATGGAGACGGTGCATGTCAACATAGTTTCGTTCTTCTTGGAGTAGTAGGCTCGGATGACTGGGGATGTTAGCGAAACCCATGGTAACGAGGATGGAAGACGTACTGCTTGCGATGACGACCAGGAACCCCAGGGCAAAGATGGCTGCGACACCAATCTTCTGCTTGGTCTTCATCTGGAGCTTCATGACCATGGTGATAGGAAGACTGATGGCTGTGATTTATTAGTCGGGCACCTCGAATTTGTATCATCTGAACATACTGATGACGTCGGTACCGATGTTGACTGTTTGATGGTTAGCATCGCGCATTGAGGGTTCAAGGATGGGATAACATACGGATAACGGTCAACCAATAGTTCTTCTCTGCCTCCTTCGGGTCGCACTGATCTGGAAAATTGTCAGCATATGGAGTGACAATTGAGAGCGACTTAACACACAGTTTGGATCTTGCGACCATCTCTTGTCATGCGGGAAGCATTGGAAAATGATATGGAAGAAGATGGTAGCCCAGAAAATTACCAAGAGACCAAGAGTGACGTTGTAAATAATCTGCAGTTTTGTTCCGGGCGCAGCAAGTCGTTTGTAGAAGAGAACTAGAGCAATCTTGATGGCCCATAACGAGGTGACGTAGAGAATCGATCCCGGAACGATCATCTTGTTGGTTGTCAGCAAATTTCACTATTGCGATCGAGAGACATCGACTCACCTTCATGATCTGGATAAAATCATCGCGAGAAGCATTCGCCATATCCGCCATTCCCAAATTCCACATGTGCTGCTGGATGATTAAATCACCGATCAAACAACACGCCGCCAGGATAATGAGTCCATCGTCAATCGCCAACAGTCCAAGCTTGCGCACACGAACCCATATTCTCAAAATCAGGAAGATGCACGCAATGACGGTACAAATGTACCACGAAATCTATCATCATCAGCATAAACATCACCGTGTTTTCATCAAAAAGGATAAACTTACAACTTGTCCCAGACCCTCAGCCATTGCGACGTTGATCTGATCTGATCTGCAAAACAACCCAGCAACAAAAATGCAAGGCAAGACAAGGCAAGGTGGGAATGCAGCAAGACTTATTTCCTACCGAAGGATCCGGAAAACCCAAGAACCATGGCCCCCCCTGATCAGCAGGACCCGTGGACTCGGTCCTTGGTATCAGCTCATTGTGTAAGAGATTGTCACAGTGAGATTCCAGAAGCCGTTACTTCTGTGGAGAGTCGGCGACAGACTTGTCTCTAGCTCCGAAGTCAAAAGGGCACCAAGTGTGGATTTTACGCGGCGATATCCAGTCATGATGGACTTGGTGCACCTGAGCTAGTGGCGCGGAAAGAAAAACCTCGGAACGACAAGGTGGACACTCCGCACAAATATTGGCTGTGGCTATATCTCGTAAGGTGTTGCTCGTTAGTGTCTTGTTTTTTCCAATATTTCTGACTCGAGTGACATTGAGCGGAATTAGCAGAAAAGGCGTTGGGCTGACGTCCGAGTGTTTGGATTGGTTGATACGATATGCAAGGGACGTGGTTGTCGGCGCCGAGAGGGGATTCCCGTAACCTTCTACCTCGGGATGTGCCTCGGAGGATCGTCGTAAGGTTCCAGTCCGATGTGAGAGATCTGTGCTTGCTGATTATCAAGCTCGGTCGGCGAACTGGCACTGCAGCGATTGACCAGGGGGTAGCTTGGCCGATCAATTGCCTATTCTGGAGAATAATCTCAACCACCAAGGAACCGTCAATCCACAAATTCTGTCATTTTGCACTTGATGGATGGATAAGCGATGTGGGATCGTACACTGAGCCTTGGGTCCATCTGGCACCAAAAAGATCAGCGTGAAATGCCCACTGTGATGCTATCAACGGCAATGGCTTGCAACTAACAGAGTTGGCCGTGAAGCCCGCTCAACCTCTGCCCTACGCAGTATATCCGGCGTTTCTTTTCAATAGTCTCACCAGCCTCCCGTTCTTCCCGTGAACCCCCTTTTTTACTCCCCGACAGTCTTTTTTTCCCAAGTCGAGATTTTACAGGCATTCTGGATCCATGACTCGGATCATGCATGACAAAATCGACCGGTGCACGTTCCGCGAAACTCAATTATAGTGCATGTCCCGGCTGTGTCCTACTAAATACAGTTAGAAGCCCAGCACTAGAGGGCCTTGGTTCCACTGCCGAGAGCGCTCAGACGTCTCCTTGTAGCTAAGCGTCCGCCTCTCGGAAATTCTTCGTCTGTGATATAGGCGAATCGAATTATAGCAAGCATCTTTTGGTGAATAAAACCAAAAGCTGCGGGAACTTCTGTCCACTCATTCTTCAAGCTTTTCTCGTGTCTCAGTCGATCTTCACCTCTTTCCGTCCCGTCACATCACATTCCTCATCATGGGCCTCAGCAGCATGTTCACAACGACAGGTTTGATCCTGGCCGCCACGTGTCTTGTCCCTGTGACTGCGAAGCCACCTCAACCTCCCTGTCCTCCAATTCCGCACGCTGCTCTCCCTCAGGGTGACATTCATGGTTTTCGTGACAAGCACTGTAACGCCGTTTATCTTGGTGTTCCCTTTGCGGCTTCCACTGGTGGCCAGAACAGGTAGGTCATCTAATTGCTTGTTTCACATTTTGATGAGCTGACACTGGTGTAGATGGAAGGCTCCTCAGGACCTCCCCAAGTCTCGCTCCAAGTTCCAGGCTACGTCATATGGTGCGACATGTCCTCAAGCCATCTCAAACGATGCCTTTACTCGCCAAGATGAGGATTGTCTGAGCCTTAACATCTGGGCCCCATCCAAGGGCAAGAACATGCCTGTCAGCCTTACCCTACCCTCCCGCATAATATTCCGAGACATAATCTGACACCCACTAGGTATTCGTTTACATGTATGGTGGTGCTATGGTCACTGGCTCCAGCAGCAACCCACAGATCCAGGGCACAAACTTTGCTCGCAATGGAGTTGTTTACGTCAACTTCAACACCCGCGAGAGCATCTTTGCTTCGCCTCATTCTTCCGAGTTGAAGACCGCCAACCCTGATGAGACACAGAACTTTAGCATCCTGGATGTTGAGAAGGCTCTTGACTGGGTCCACAAGAACATCAAGGGTATGTTTCACGCTTATCGATCACATACAAAACTTGACTAACGTTTATGCAGCCTTTGGTGGTAACCCTGACCACATCGTCTTCGGTGGTCACTCTTCGGGTGGTGTCCAGGTCGATCACTACCTATGGAACAACCCCAACACCTTCCTCAAGGGTGCCGTCGAGATGAGCGCCAATGCAATGTCCGGCCCCGCTTATGCTCCCGTTGATGAGGCTCTTAATGCCGTCGCCGAGGAAGTTGGCTGCCCCAAGGGCGGCAACGGTCAGCTTGACTGCCTCCGCAGCAAGGACATCCTTGACTTCGAGACCAAGAACTTCAACTCCACCTTTAACACTTGGTTCACTCCTGTCATTGATGATATCACCCGCTTCTCTGACTACTCTGCCCGCTTCGCTGCCGGAAACTACCCTTCCCATGTCCCCATGTTGACTGGTACCTCCAATGGAGAGGGCACCATCTTCAGCCTTGTTTACGGCGCTGAGAACAGCAACTTCAGCTCTTGGATCAACACCTTCGATGCTGATAGTGCCCATATCCCCGACGAGTCTTTGATCCAGGCCTACAACCCCAACGACTACGCCACCGAGTCTCTCCGCAGCGGTATCCAGTACGGTGATGCCCGCTTCAACTGCCCCGTTGACTACCTCCTCGATATGCGAAGTGAACAGCAGAAGACCTGGGTCTACCGCTTCTTCGGAAAGTACGACAACGTTGTTGGACCCCCCAACACTGCTCCTACCCACGGCACTGAGGTTCCTTTCTTCCACGGTGGTAATGAGTGCTTCGCCGCTCTCCAGGGTGTCACCAAGGCCCAGCAAGCTCTTGCCGATTCTATCCACAACTGGTTTGTCAAGTGGATCAAGAACCCCGCTGCTGGACCTGGCTGGGACACCGTCGACAAGGCTGAGGAGGTTGTCAAGCTTGGTGTTCCCGGTGACGAGCTTGCCCGCGGCAAGGCTCCCCGCAGCGAGTTCAACGCTGTCTGCCAGGCTGTAAGTTTCCATACCATATTGTCCCTACAAGACACGATACTAACATATTCCAGGTCTACAAGCCTAACTTCCCCAAGTACCCCGTCGTCCAGTCCGTCGCTGGTCTTGTCGAGGAGCTATTGGGCTCCGCCTAAGTCTTTATGCATATAGATTACGATCTGCCTCCGAGATATGAATAGTGTTGGGACACATGATGAAGCAATGCTGCAGTACCATTCTTGAGATTGACTTTAGTCAACTACGAAAACTTGATAGATAGATAGATAATTATTAATTGAGATCATTCTCTAACGCCACTGCTTTGTCTCAGGATCGAGTACATCCTTCTCAGCCGCCTTCCAACTCTCGATAACCAGTGCCTTCTTTTCCTCAGACCTTGGAATGATTCGGGCAGGAAATTCCTCCGGCATGCATACGAAGCCTTGAGTCAGCTTATCTGGATCTGGTAAAACGGGCTTGCCGTTCTTATCCACAGTAGGCTTGATATTAAATGCCCATAGGATGCGTGAGATGCCCAGGAACAAGCTCCGTTCGGTAACATGGATTCCGGGACAAATGCGGCGACCAGCACCGAAGGTGAACTGATCTCGTTTTGACGCATCTGGGTTGGCTGCGGCGTCTGCCAAGCTCTGGAAGTCGTCCTTGTACCTATCAGGGTTGAACTGACGAGGGTTGGGATGACGCTCAGGATCCATGTGAATACCCCAGACATTATTGAGAACGCCTGCACCCTTGGGGATCAAATATCCGTTGTAGGTATCGTCTTGGGTGACAGCGTGAGGAACAGCGCCAAGGATGGTTGTCGGCATCCATCTCAGTGTCTCTTTCATGCATGCGCGGACATACTGAAGGCTATGCTCGTCTTCCATAGTTGGCATGCGCTTACCAACTACTTTATCAATTTCATCCTGAGCCTTTCGTTGGATCTCGGGATAAAGGAGCATTGCCTGTACAAAGGCGTATAAGGTGCTTGATGTCGTGTCTGATCCAGCTTCAAGAAGAGTTCCAGAGATATAAGCAGCTTGCGCATCATCAAAATTTTCCTTCTCCTGCGCCTCAGCCAATCCTACACAGAAGCACGGCTTGATAGAACCATCGGCGATATCTTGTTTGGCCTTGAGCCAATGACTCAGGTAGAGATCCTTTTCCTTCTTATGAAGCTCCTTGGCCTTCTTCTGCACAGGCAAAAGAAAGTCGGGCAGCTTTCTGAGTACGGGGAAAGAGTCGAGGAGGGCAGCGATGCCTGTCTGATTGATCTCGGCAAACTCAGCAAAGCCGTCAAATAGCTGCATGAGCTTGGGGTCTCGGTAGATAGGCGAGCGCCAGCCAAATACCATGTTTGTCGTGAGTGCGTTGGAGTATCGACGAATACTCTGTAGGAATTGATCGGGTTGAATGATCATCTCATATAGCATTTGCTCGTTCTCGAGGTCTTGGTAGGGCACGTAGCTTTTGGCCGCGGTGACGTTGAGCAACGAGTGTACCAGTTTGCGAAACTTGAGATTCTGTTAGTCGACTGTATCGAAATTGGCCCAGCTCATAATTACTTACGGATCTCCATGTTGGCCCATATCCCTGAGCAAAAAGGTGGTCGTTAGTATCATCCCAGGCAAAGATTGAGATTAAGTATAACAAACCATCATGAGAAGCCTGAGGCCACCGCTGCCAAGAATCTGCCCAACATACATTTCTTGTCGGTCAGAGTAGAGAGCACTCTTCTTATCGAGCAGGTCTTTGACAGCTTGGGCGCTGGACAAGACAATGAAAGGCTTGGTGCCCAGAATGAGACTATAAACAGGCCCATACTCGTCTGCCCATTTCCGAAATTGCAAATGGGCATCCTTTGTGGGCATCTGATACTATTAGCAACAGCTTTTATGTCACCTATGGCAGAGACTGTACCATATGGATGTTTCCGAGGATCGGGAGTGTAGGAGGTCCAGGTGGATAATTCTTTGGTCTTCGACCAGTGAACAGAAGACGTACGAAGATCGCGACGAGAGCGACCCAGAATAATTGTACGGTTAGCATTATGGAGGAATATGAGTGTAAAATGGATTCAATTGTTTCGTGAGCTGGAAGCAAATTGTCATCATTACATTTACGTGCCTTTATATAAAATGCGGCTCACAATTGACTTGCTTGCGTCTTGTCTTGGAGCGGAGCTATGTGGGATAGCTAAAGACGCCACAATTTCTCGTCTGGAGAGATGTGCTTGAACCGTTTTGACTGATCGGGTTTGTCTGTGTCTCCAATAGTCCAAAGCAGTGACAGAGTGATTGACCAACTTCTGAGCTCTCATTCGCCTCCCACAAAGACTCCGACTAGCCCCGTTTCTTCCACGGAGCACTGCCCCACTTCCCCACGATCCGGAAACCTGAACCGGGATCGAGACCGAAATGCGGAGTTGCATCATCTTTATCCCATCAAAGCTGCATTTTTCCCTCGTCGCAGTCTGCCCACATCATCCGACGACAATGTCTGACGACGCATCATCCTCAGAGACCGGATTTACATGCTCCCGCTGTAATAAAGCGTACAAGCGACGAGAACACCTCCAGCGCCATGCTGCATCCCACAGTAGCTTCCGACCTCACAGGTGTAGCTTCTGTGGCCAATCATACCAACGGGCCGATGTTCTCAAACGACATTCTTTAGCCTGCGAGACTAAATCCAGGACCGGGGACGTCCCGTCAAGCAGCCGACGAGCATGCGACCTCTGCGTTCAGCAGAAGAAGGCCTGTAGCAATGGCCAGCCATGTGAACATTGTCGTCGGAAGTCAGTTCAGTGTATTTACTCCTTCGGCAATGGTGCAGCGACAGAGAGAAACTTGCCCATGCGTCAGGATTCCATAGGCCAAGATGACAAGCAATATGGGGACGAAACCAGCCTGCCGACAGTGGTATTTGGAGATGACACTCTATTCGACTACCTCGGCAACTATACTTCAGTATCTGATATGCTCCAAGGATCAGACAACAGTCAAGACTGGTTGGACTTCATCAACCTCGCCGCTGGTCATTTTCAGACAATACCGACCAGTCCCCAATCCCAACTTGATAATCACACTTTTCACTTTCTAGACAATTTCACCAGAAAGTCTGGTCTAGTGGACTCATTTGACTGCGGGACATTCGAACAGCGAGTGCAGGTTGAGGCATCTCACGCATCAGTGGAAGGCCGTGTAACATGGACTACTGAACTACACGAACTTGTGCACCTCAATGGCTCATCGGGGGATCTTTCACAACCGCAACCATTAGATCTCCTTGACCCTCTCATCATCCAAACTCACCAAATACTTCTAGACATGAAAGAAGTCGTTACAGTCAAACCTCGAAACAGTGTCGTTGAGCTGGAATGGTCGACTATTCTAGAACAGACGTGTATCCAATTCTTTTCTCCGCACAACTTACGGAAATACCTAGCCCTCTTCTGGCATATATGGCACCCCAACGTTAACTTTGTGCACCAGCCTACTTTTGACCCAGTAACCTCGAAGTCAATCCTTGTGGCTTGCATGGCACTGATAGGTATGCAATCATACAGCTATGCTTGGAGGATAGAAATTAACGTCAACAGGAGCGAGTGTGTCGCCTAGTAAGACTGATAACGAACAAGCCAAGATCTGGTTCAACTGTGTAGAAGAAATCGTCTTTACTGATGACGACTTTTGCAACGATCCTCTAAACAGCCAGGACACTCTGTTGCTAAATCCGATCCAGAACATTTCCAAGATTCAAGCCCTGCAGGCAGCATACATGGTTTGCCTCTACCAGGGTTGGGAGGGAACAGAGGCCAGCAAACGACGAATCCGTCGATACCGGTTCAGTACTGTCATATCTGTAAGACATCCAGCCTCTTCTGGTCTCATCGACTAATAAATTCTTAGATGGCAAGAGACTTCGGCATTATGTCTGCCAGGCACCCAGATTACTCTACGTGGCTACATGACGGATTTGATTGGAAAGACTTTGCTGCACGAGAGCAACTTATACGGTAAGCAGGATTAGTACACGTTTTGATCAGTGACTGATATTTACTGAAGTATCTTTCTTTGGATATACCTTCTCGATCATGCCTTCGTAATCTTCAATAATTTACCTCCAAGGATGGTCATCAAAGAAATGAGTATGCACATGGCATTTCCTGAAGCAGCCTTCCAAGCCAGTACGTCAACAGAATGCGCTCGAGAGCTACAAAACTGGCACTTGCGATCCACAATGATGAAGAATATAACGTTTCGTGAGGTTGTTGAGCGGTTTTGCGGAAAGTCTTTCTCGAATGACATGCGACGACTCTTTGCTGACCTCGGGCCCCTCAACCTCTTCGCGGTTGTATCAGGTAAGACTGTCAAACAAAGCCCGAATACCCTGCTTCATTGTTCTAACATAGATTGTAGCCTTCCATGCACTGATATTTCAACACCAAAATTCCTTTGGCGGCCATGACCAACTACAGGCTGTTCGCAACGCTCTCGATAATTGGAAATCAGCCTGGGAAACATACTCGGATGAATTCTCATTCTCACCGCCGCATGTTATGGTGGACAGACAGAACGTGGCGACGGAGAATCTCTGGAGGAGAGTAGGTTTCATGCGCCATTCTCCAGAATATTGGCTCCTAGGAAAAGTGCTGGTTGACCGGCTCTCAACGTCAAGTGATTCATTGGGAAGCCCTGAGTCTACGGTGCCTGATGCGAGCGGCTCAGCACACGAACCGATTCTTACAAGATATGATCAAACGAGCATGCTTCAAGTGAATGACTTGATCACGGGGTTTCAGAATGTGCATATTCACTAGACAGGCTGTAAATTAGAAACTTCCCGTCATCTCAGAACCGTCTCATGGACGCAACTACCGTGCGGAGACATAATCCAATAGGCCTAGCCTACGTATGTAGTCGGTAGTCCAGTGACGGAATTGCTTGAGATCGCCATTCCGCCCCCACATCGTCTCCGACCGGCATCTTTCAGCGGCAAGTAGCCTCGGAAGAGCGCTGTAACCCCCGCAATTTGCAAACAGTGCATCAAAAGCCTAATAATGCGGGGGATCCTCTGGCATGTTGGGATCTTGTGTTACATTCTCAGCTGTAGAGAAAATGGCACAGACAACAGCACTCATCGCACCAGCCCTGGATGGCAGTTTTGAGCTAAGGGAAGTCCATTTGGACTCACTGCAACCGGATGAAGCGCTGATAGAGATCCACGCCTCTGGTGTCTGCCATACTGATCTTTCTTGTGCAAGCGGTAAATTGCCTTGCGCACCAAACGCCGTTCTTGGTCACGAAGGTAACTCATGTTAACTACTCTGTTACAAACAAGTATGCTGAAAATCATGGCCATTATAGGAGGAGGCGTTGTTCTCAAGATAGGCACAAATGTCACCTCCGTCTCACCAGGCGACAAAGTCCTTCTATCCTTCTCGTCATGTGGTTCGTGTCCTGGATGCAAATCAAACCACCCAGCGTATTGCTACAGCTTCAACGATTACAACTTCAGTGGCAAACGCCCAGACGGATCAGCTGCCATGTCGGTTATGGAAGACGGGAAGAAGCAACCATGTTACAGCACTTTCTTCGGCCAAAGCTCCTTTGCGGCGAAAACAATTGTTCATCGATCGAGTATTGTCAAGGTGCCTGAACAAACACCACTACACCTCTTTGCGCCGCTGGGATGTGGTATACAGACAGGCGTTGGTGCTGTATTCAATACTTTGAACGTCAAGCCTGGTAGCTCCATCGCGATTTTCGGCGTGGGGTCTGTTGGCTTGGCTGCAGTGATGGCTGCGAAGGCACGGAAAGCCAGCAGGATTATCGCCATTGATCTACAGCCAGAGCGATTAAAACTTGCCAAAGAACTAGGTGCCACAGACGGAGTTCTTGGCCCTGATCAGGAGTACATCATCAAGGCGATAAAGGACATCTGTCCCCCTCTCGGTGTCGACTTTGCAGTTGACTGCACTGGCGTCCCGTCTATCATCGAAACTATGGTCGCTTCGTTGGGCATGAGGGGCAGAGCCGCTACGGTCGGAGCACCGGGAGGCAACGCGCAGGCCAGGATAGATATCATGAGTCATCTCACGTACGGCAAAGAGTACGTGGGCTGTTCTGAAGGAGACAGTAATCCTCGGGTTGTAAGTATAGGTTCTGGTTTTCTCTTTAGCTGCCATTACTGACTGGTCGCCAACTAGCTGATTCCTGAGCTCATCGACATGCATGCTAAGGGCCTTCTACCACTGGAGAAACTGATAGCGTACTATGATATCAAGGACTACGAGAAGGCCATGGCCGATATGAAGAGTGGCAAAGTCATCAAACCTGTGTTGAAATGGACTAGATAGTCTTAAAAGAACCAAGGAGTCGTTTCTTCCAAGAATTGTTTTCTTAGCTGCACTTGCTTGTCATATCTGAGTCTCATGGTTAAATAAGCAAAAGGAACCAAATTTATTGTTTTCGCCCACCTAGCATTACCAACTAGTTCATTCGACTTCATAGAAGCATGCTCTAATAAGGTTAGAAGCCAGATTGAAAAAAACCTCACCCATCATGCGAATGCCGACATCCCCATGGATGCATCGACAACCCCAAGTACAGGAACGTCATTCACACGTCTGAGCTCGATGAAGCCTTTCGGCTGTGAGACCGCTTTTCAACGGGCTTCTCCCCGAATTGCACATGGTTCTGGAACAGCATAATGTTTTATTTGCTCACACATGAATGGGCCTGGTGTCATGGTTCCCCCAGATATCACCAGCGTTGCAAGGCAATGCCGGGTACCCCAACTACGATATCGGGAAATGTTGTCCGCCTGGAGAGTTACAATGTATTGCTTCTCATTGGCTGAGATCGATTTCATGCCTCTAAATTCTTGAGGGCTAGTGGCTTGGCCTAGAATTGGAGAAGCCACAAGGTTGGAAACCCGCGGAATGATTTTCCCAAAACAGGCAAGGCACCATGATCCCGACACTTTAGCTTCAACGCCTTGGCCTTCCCCAGATAATTTCCCCGCGGGGAACCCAAACGTTTCTTGATTTGTTGCTTTTCATGACTCGAAGCTACGATGGCGCTGTCTTCTGGACCAGGTGGCTATATAACGTCACCATGCCCTCCGCTGTTCTCGTATTTCGGCTTTCCTATCCTCATCGCTTCAATCATCACCCTTGTCTTTGACCGGCCTCATTACTCATTATCACTGGATTCAGAGCTCGCACAATGTCTACTAAGAGCCCTTCCCCCAGTGAATATCCCCCCAAGGATCATCCACAGGTCGAGAACATTGAAGATCCCGCTGCTTCGTCAAATGATGTTCCTATCGTCTTTTTAGATGAGGAGATCTCATACGGCAAAGGCGGCATTCGCGGCGTCGTCCAATCGCCCTACATCTTCGGCGCTGCATTCTTAGCGTCCATGGGAGGCTTCTCCTTTGGCTACGACCAAGGTGTCATCTCACTCGTCAACGTAATGAGCCAGTTTCACGAAGCCTTCCCTCGCACTGAGACTGCTTTTGGCAAAGGCCTCATGACAGGCATGCTAGAGCTTGGGGCTTTCATCGGATGCCTCTTTATGCCCACGCTTGCTGATAAGATCTCGCGCAAGAAGGCTATTTCGATAGTTGTAGTCATATTCAACATTGGCGCTATTATGCAAACTGCGGCTAACTCTTACGGCCTTCTGGTGGCTGGAAGAACCATAGGCGGTATTGGTGTCGGGACACTTGCAATGGTATGTAGATGTCGTCTTTGTCCTATTAATGGCTAACGGAATAGGGTGCCCCAATCTACATCTCCGAAATCGCGCCTCCCAACCTTAGAGGAACCCTACTTGTCCTTGAGTCGGTCTCATGTGTTCTGGGCGTGGTAGTATCCTTCTGGATCACATATGGTACCCGCAATCTTCCCGGCGAGCTCTCTTTCCGACTACCATTTGGCCTTCAGATGGTATGCAGCACTATTCTCGGTATCGGTATCCATTTCTTTCCCTATTCGCCACGATGGCTCGCTCTTGTCGACCGATCGGACGATGCACTGCTAAGCTTAGAAAAACTCCGCCGACTCCCCAGAACCGATCCTCGTGTCGAGAAAGAACATATCGGCATCATGAATGAAGTGGCGCTGCAGAAGATCATGCAAGAGAAGCGACATCCAGGCGTGAGCGGCCTCAAGCTTGAGATTCTCGGCTGGAAGGATCTTTTCCAGAAGAAGTCATGGCATCGAACTTCCATCGCCGTTGGCGTGGCCTTCTTCCAGCAGCTTTCGGGCATCAACGCATTTATCTACTATGCTCCTACACTCTTCCAGTCGCTGGGTCAATCATCTGAGATGTCAGTGATCATGTCTGGTGTCTTCAATATGTTGCAGCTTGTTGCGGTGGCGGTTTGCTTTTTCATCATCGACAAGGTTGGACGACGGCCACTAGCAATTTGGGGCGGCATCGGAGGCGGCACAGCATGGGGCATCATGGCAGTTCTGGTAGGCGTGTACAACGATAAGTGGAGTTCCAATTCGTCTGCAGGATGGGCTGCCGTCGCAATGGCCTTTTGCTTCATCCTTATCTACGGAGTCTCCTATGCTCCATTGGGCTGGGCTCTTCCTGCCGAGGTCTTCCCCAATGCTTCCAGATCGAAGGGAGTAGCCCTCGCTACAGCTACAGTTTGGCTCTTCAATTTTATCGTGGGAGTTGCGACACCTCCCATGATTGAGAGCATCGGGTTCGGTGTATATATCTTCTTCGGGTCTTGGTGTTTCCTGGCAGCCGTTTGGGCTTTCTTCCTAGTCCCAGAGACCAAGGGGAAGACGCTGGAGCAGATGGACGAGATTTTCGGTGACCATGCAGGTCAGGAGGAGTTGGAAATTATGCAGTCCCGGATGGGCGTCACTGAGTATGGGCTGAAGAAGGATGTGGTCCAGGTCTGAAGCGCCCTCGAGTCCGCGAGACTGATCGACTCCTGGAGGTTTAGAGCACGTTTGGATGGAGGCGCAACGCAATCTATTCTCAATCCCTTAGGTGTTAGTGAGACAGACTATCCATCAATATTTAACTGTTGCCGTTTCGTTATGTATCCTACTTATGCCACCTCAATGACTTCTCGCATGGAACGACTGTATTATGTCTCATCCTTCATCGCCATTACGTTTCAGTAGTCACAGATCTCCCATAGACTGGCTTCACAGATCCTTCGCTCTACTCCTTGGTATTTCCGACCTTCCTAAGCCTTACCATGACAGGCATGCCCTTACTAGGATGTGCTGTCAGTTCTCCCGGCATTTGTGCCTGGTAAGCTTGATACCCCAGTAGAACTTCATCCTTTTCCTTGTATGCAGGCACAATCTCAAGCTCCCTAACTGTCATGGCAAGCAGAAGTCTCAACTCCGTTAAAGCCAATTCCTGGCCAATGCATCCCCGAGGACCTAGCTCAAATGGACGAAATGCGTTCTTATGAACGGCAAGTTCAAGCCATCTTTCCGGGTTAAACTTGTCAGGTTCAGACCAGAACTTGGGATTTCTGTGGATGGCCTTGCTCGCTGAGAAGAGGATGAAGCCGTCTGTTGGAAGCTGCTGCCCTGTTTCAGGATGTCTCAGAAAGAAGGTCGGAGAGCCTTCTCGACAAGACCCAATTGGTGGTTCTAATCTCAGAGTCTCTTTCATGATCGCAGTGGTATAAGGAAGCTGGTTAAGCAGTGTCGGGGCTTCGGATATCCTTCTGGTTGCAGCAGATGGGTCAATACCCAAGACCGCATCGTGCTCCAGCCGCAACTTGGCAAGGACGTCCGGATGCTGGCAAAGATAATTGTAAGCAAAGCAGAGAGTCGATGCAGTGGTGTCATGGCCAGCGAAGAGGAAGATCTTGAGATTCTCAATGGTGACATCCAAAAATTCAGGATCAATAGTGCCGTCTGAAGCACCTTCAGAGCCATAATCCTTCATATATGTTCTGATAGCGAGACCATTCACCGTCTTTGGTCCATCGTTGCGTTCGTGATTTTGAAGTTGAGCTTCTATCAGTGGCTGCAGTTGGCTGCGGAGTTGACGATTTAGAGACGCGAGACGAGAGTGGCGGAAAGGATTCAGAAGTCTACCCCATTGATGTGGCGACCAGTCCGTGACAAGTAGTGAGATTGCACTTTTGAGTGTCGGGAAAATCTTGTCGTCAACGCCTGTTTGAATGCCCAGACTTATACCCAAAACGGAGCGACCAATAATATCGCAAGTAGCCTTCATGACGCAATCTTCAAGAGGGACAATACGTCCATCTTGAGCGATCTCCTGTAGGTATTTCTTCCAAATCAATGCCTCTTCAATGAACTAGGGAACAAGTGCCGTGATGTTTTGTGTCGAAAAGCCGGGATTGAAGGTCGCTCGCCATTTTTTCCAGAAAGCTCCTTCAGACAGAACAAGGTCTTTCAATCCTGTCAATGGTCGAAATTGACCTCTGATAATTTCATGCTTTGGCCGCGACGTTTCTTGAGTGAACTGCGCTGCGATGTCAGGATGAAAGGTTGCCAACATTGGCCATGAGATGGGCCACAGATCGATGTAACACAGGCCCAGCTCCGCAACTTCAGGGTAGTCTCGAGCAAGGAAATCTGGCATCAATTGGCCGTGGACATCATCAGGATACTTGGCCATGATTTTGCCCACGGCGAGGAGGTTACCGAGTAGCCATGAGTGATCAGGTAGCGTTGGCTGTATGTATTAGCGATGATCATGAGACCTGGGTATATAATTGACTGATTACTCACAAGATTGTACTTTTTGACCGTTCGCCGAAAAAAGACCCGCTGCTGGTAAAGTTTGCGGATAAAGTACCCGATGGACGTGAGGACGAAGATGCTGCCCCATTTCAGCGCCGGACCTGTTCCAACCATTTTTTATCGTTCAGATCTATTTAATGGCATATATCTACTAGAATTGCTATAAGTAAATCTTCTAAATGAGAATAAAAGAATGCGAAAATCGCAATGGGAGCTCTTGCTTACGCTGCGCTGCCCCTCTCACTAGCGGCGGAATATCGTTTGCCCAGAACTAAAATAAGATTGGAGCTCATGCGATGGAACCTATCATTGGGAATCCTTTGGGAGCGGGATTCCGTTTAATGTGTTAAACTTCGCCTGAATCTGTTTCCCGTAATTAGAGCAGCTAATACTGTGTAAAATATGCTTGGTATTGAGTTTTATAGAGAATGCGGACTCAAATTCCCCATAGCTGCTAAGAAACAGTGTTAATCTCCCAAAGAATTGGGACATGCAGGGCACAAAGAAATGCCAGAGCTCTCTAATCTCGTCAATATAGGTACTAGAACAGCAGCTACTATCATTAATAAGCGACCGTGGTGTAGTGGTTAGCATTAACGCCTTCCAAGCGTTAGAGAGGGGTTCGATTCCCCTCGGTCGCAAAGTTCCAATTACGCCTCAGTGGGGATCTTCCTTTTTAATCATCTACCGGGTCAAAGTCCAGAATTTTTCTTTTTGGGCAAAGGCGTTGATCGACATTAAGAAATTAGAATTATAGTAAAAGATGGTATGATAATGAACTCTGTTGATATTTTCCTCCCTGTATGTCTCATTATCCTTCCAACTCGGCCCTGAACTCATAGGTCCGTTCACCTGGCCGTTCATCTGTTGGGAAGCACCTGATTTTAGTATCCTTCTTCTCCACCTCGTCCACAGGAACCTTCTTCGTAGCGCCCGCGATAGCAGAGAAAGTCATCACACGTTGAGCGTTATTTCCATCGCTTGACATAGCATCAATGCCGTAGTACACACCAATTGATGCAACGACGAATGACACAGCGTAAACAGCGACAAGTACAGGCCAACCGTAGTCAAAGAAGTTGGCTTTTCGTCGGCGCTCACATTGGTACTTGGTATCTTCACCACCGATGCCGGTACCAGACAGCTTGGATGGATCGGCAGCCCATGCTACCACAAGAAGCTGGGGATCAGAAAGCAGTGAGATAATCAAGTCTTCGTACACGCGCCGGACTTGTTCCTGGAAGTCGTGGACGGGAAGACTCTCGTGTCTATCGAGGAGGTTGGTGGTTGTAATCGCCCCGTCTGCTACGACAGATCCCTGGACCTTGACATTGCCGAAGAGCTTTTCACGAAGTCTGAGACCGAGACTGTGATAGGCAGCTATCCGACGGTATCGAGCGTAATCGTTACGAGGGCTGACATAATTTTTCTCTGGCTCTGCGACATTCCCATCGGCTGTTCCATCCGTAGACTCGTTGGTCCAGCGGCTCCAGGTAGTATCGATAATCTTTCGCTTGTAGTCCCGATCTGTAATATTGTACTTCTGAAATCCCGCGGTGAAGTTGAAGGTGACGGTGTAATTGACCTCCCAATGATCGCAAGCAAAGATGATAGGGGTGTAATCATCGTTCCAGCCATCGGCTTCGCTATCCATTGCATGAGCCTTGGTGTGATCGTCCACAGCGGCATAGCCAATCCAGATTGAGGGTTCGGTTCGAAACACGCCGAGATGCTTTGGAAAGGGCGGGCCATCGACCTCGGAAGGAATTCCACCGATCGAAACGTTGTCCATCTGAGGGCGCATGTACTCTCCGAGGTCTGTGTTCGCAAAGTAAGTGAAGTTGGAGGCCGGTACAAGCTGGCTAAGGTTGAAGGGAGCTTCAGCACCTCCGAAGCTCTTCATCTTCGAACCGACTCCATTGGCAAGCTCTTCGCATTTATATCCAGGTCCAACAAAATGGATTGTCGTGGAACAGTCCCATCCACCTCCACAGATCTCGAGCGATATGTTCGCTTTCTGGGTCGTTTGCCCACTTGAAAACACGCCAGCTGCGATGCGATCGAGTGCAGAAGAAGGAACGTTGTAGTATTCGAAGATATCGTCGTCATCCGCAGCGCCCTCGGCAAGGTTTCCATCTGGGGCAGTCCAGTTATAGCCAGAAAGTGAGCGACCATTCATGACTTCACCCTCGGCCTTCTTCGGAGTCTGAAAACTCTCCTTTGCCTCATTGCTAAAGCTCAGAGTTCGAACTGAGGGGCAGAATGTATCTTCTATCCTCTCACCTGGTACGACATAGAGTGATGCTGAGGAAAGAATGACAACAAGCGGGCTGAGCCACATATAGAGAGCAAGAAACATGACAAACCACGATTTGATCCATGCTTCCCTGTTGAAGAGCTCGATGATGTTGTGTGTAGCTCCGAAAAGAGCATCAACAGCGTGTATCGAGAATCCTTTCTGTCCCACGGCTCGCCAAGCGACTTGCTGGTGGGCCATGACAGCAGCGAGGATGAAGTTTGCGTTGGCGATGAATGAGATTAGTTGACCCAGTCGCATCCACCATTGTTGGTGTTTGGCTTCCTGGCCATCAAGATGCAAGTATAGAAAGTGATGACCGACTGCGCCGGCGACTCCAATGACCAGGCAAGCAATCATAGACCATCGACTCTTCATGGTCCTCAATATCAAAGGCCCAGACTCAGGCAATGCCACTGCGGTAGGTCTGTTTACGACGTGTACATCAGGAACCTTCGAGTAAGTGTCGTTAACAGGCGCGTGGCCCATCAGACCTCTGTGACTGTCGTGAGCCCTATCGTAGTAGGGAGTGTCTCGAAGATTTGGGCTCTGGGGATCTATCCATAGTGACTGGTGCGGGAATGTCTCTCGTGCGATTGACTCGGGGGAGACGGCCTGAGGAGGGAACTGGCCCAAAGAAGGCTGTGGAGACACAACCGGCTCCGGGAAAGCTTGTTGGTGTTGGACTGGTGAATAAGCATACGATTTACGCTCATGTCCATCATTGACGATTTTACCATCCATTGCGTGCTGATTGAAATCCGCTCGACGATGTGGCCGCAGGTTAGGTCGAAGTTTGTCCAAGAGAACGAAAGTCCAGTAGGGGGCTGTACCCAAGGATATGGGACGAAAAAGTGGCGAAATTTGCACTTGACTCGCTTTTATTAAAGGGTGTCAGCTACTGCAGCTAAAGAGTAAGCTGCATATCCAGTGCTTCTGGCCCCCATTGCTCAGAGCTATCTGCGGTGACACCTCCCAGTTGAGGAAGCCTAGCCGAGCCGTCTTCTGGGCAATGGCCTGCTGTCGTTCTGCGTAACGTCCGCCTGGGATCAACGAGCTGGCTAGCTGGGCATCCGTCCCGATGAGACGGGTTTGCTGGGTATCGTCTGATCGAGACCCCGTAAGGCTGGTGGCGGATAGCCAAATTGGTGGACACTAGAAACCCTGCGCAGGTAGTTCCCATGGCGAACTGAAACGAGGCTTTGGTTGTCCTATCAGAGTCGGAGCTGTAACGAAAGCCCGGCTCAGTGGCTTGTCTTTCAGGCTGCCAAGATCCTTTAATAGCTAGCGATTGCACTAGCACGGCCTTGTTTGATACGTAACTGATGCTGATGCAACAGTCGCTTGTGGGTTTACATACCTAGACGAGAGGGTGTTGAAGAAGGTGGTCAGAAATAACTCGAGTCTATCCGTACCCAGATGCGTTCCGGTATCGCCGCGAGAAGGGATCCCTGCCATGGTTTCTTCGCGAACAATGTCAAGTCACACTTGCAGTCGAGACAAAATAAAGTTGCCTCACAAGGTTGCAGTAGGCTCGTCATCCCAGCTGTGCTTACTCCCAAGACTTCACCCATGTTCATTCTCCACCAAGTTGGATGCAAATGCAGTTTAGCTCCCTAGCGAACTCCGCCATATACGGTTTTGCCGAGATTGCCAACATCTTACATGCATAGAAAAGGAATTTTTCAATGGAATGGAATCATGATTTCCCACCCGGGCGCGTTGTTGTCGTTAGTTCCGATCGTTCGGGGAATCGCAAAGCTCGCCAAAAAGAGCTAATAATCCAATTCCATTAACTGCAAGCGGACCAATAACGCAGATTTCTGGGTGATACAGGGTTGTGCGCAAGAAAAGGAATCTGATTTGTTAGATCGGGAACAAGGGTTTAGTTTTGACACAAGGAGCGAATAATGTCAGGGTATAATCAATTAGTTCTCAGTTTCCTGAGGGTGCACATGGTGATTTAGCAGATTTCGATGGCGAGTCTTGTCAGAATTTTACAACGAAAATAACGCCAACAAAAAAACTCATCGAAAGGCTACCAAAAGCATGATAAAACAAATTGGCAACATGCCCTTTGGGGTAAAAACAATCCTAGAAAGCCTTGACCTTTCATGATTAGAGATCCTAAGAAATAATATACTGTAAATGTGTTAATAGGAGTGACAAAGAGTTAAAGATGAAAGGAGATGTTGGTATGTGTGAACTGTATGTGTGAACTCCAGTAATGGTTGGCCATTGTAGACTATAGTCGTGAGTGGTTAGACGATGCTGTTCACAACAAGCATGGCCTCTCAAACAGCTCAATAATGTAATTTCGGTGTATATGGTCTTTTCCCGTCAAGTTGCCATAAGCAGTTCTACTCAGTGACTAATTAACTAAAAGTAGACTATATTAAGCTTTCGTGGCAATGAACTGTAATACAGCACTTTTCACATCTCTCTATATTAATATGTATTATGGCTACCTGTCGCTATTTTGAATTGTCTTTAATTGTTGCACTAATATCATACTGAATCAAGAAGGTTCACCTAGGGTTAAAGTTTAGTGTATTACAGCCGGCAAGCTGAGGTCTTAGAAGGCGAACCAATGCTAGCTTGTTCCAAGAAATTGAATCAATGGTTGCTTAAGGAAAGAAAGAATGAACAAGAACAAGGCCACCGAAGTCACTTCGTATTCACGCCATGATATGACGCATCATGGCGGGCACTGGAAAGAAAGCCTGATTACTCACTGTTGGGTCTGCTGCGTAGATGAAAAAGTTTTGTTTCGCAGTGATCAGCAGAATTATAACAAGGGTAGACAAGGCTGAAGCGACTACAACGAAACGAGCAGATAATGACTCCCGAGCAAGTGGTGATGTAGCGTTAAACCCGCAGCAAATCTTTGAGATTTGGTGATTCATTTAGCACGGGATCGCCTCAAAGGGAGTTTCATTCAGTTTTTCCCAATGAAGTTGCCCAAGTTCAGCATTCTTGGTGATTAACACAGCGTTTCAGTAATGATCAGGAAGGGGATGTTCACGGCATAAAGCCACTGTGATTAACAATAGACTGTGGCGGCTTTGAATATGTGAATCAATGGATAACGTGTCAGTGATGTACTTATGACTCTATCTATTTAACTGCTCGATGTATGGTCATTGGCAACATTCTTATAATAATTTAGAAAAAAAACCCAAGTCAAATCAAGACAGTCAGCTTAACTTGGGTGTCTGAGGTTACCATGCACCAACTTATCATCAAGTAGTCATTCAAATGCCATTAAGTGACCCTTACTAATAAAAAGTAGGTCCTATCTAAATGCATTCAATACTGAGCCACAGCTGATTACTGGAATGGTGTTCTTTCGGTGACACAGGGAATCATGAACATTCAGAAAGGGGGATACGGCCTTTTCTCTTCGAGCGGCCGCACGCGGTTGTTCTCAGTGATTCATAGGCCACACCAGAGGCAGTGATTGGCGGAGAAGATCAAAGTTGATAGTGATGAACATCTGAGACTCTGTGAAGTGATTAACACATCCAGGTTGGGCGTCATTCGCGCCCATAACATCTACCGTGATTAACTACAAAGCTGCAGTAAACAGCAGTGGTTATCTGAGGTGATGGACATCAGTGATGCGGCAACTTTCTTGTATCTGTGTATTGAAACGCACTGTTTATGGCCATGTATTGCTGTTCTCCATTGTCTTCACACCTATACGCCAGATCATGCCGAGTCAAGAAGGTACGCCCAACTTGAGTCTTGCGAGTGTTACCATGCCCTAACCCATGACCGAATAGATACTTCAAAGGCGATTGAAGCCCTCCTTGAAGGCAGTGGCTCCATCATGTCGAAAGATCAAACCTCAGAGACGTCGGTGTTTCTTGTCAAGTGGATTGACAAAGCAACTGGAGATATTACTCGAGCCAAGGTCCCGGAAAGCGAGTTGAGGACATCATGTTCACAGCAATTGGATCAATACCTGCTCAACGAAAAAAAGGCTCAATGATATGATTGCACCAAGTCTTGACCAGCAATTACTACTACGAAGTCTATAATGAAGAGGTCGAACAAAGGATTGATGATGCACAATGATTTCCGTTTTTGCGGGAAGAGCTTAGATGATCTGTTAGTCGTGAGACCTTTCAATTAACAAAACCCTTTACCGTTATGGGTGACCAGTGCCAGCGCACATTAGTGGCTATCAAAACTTTTTCATATCGAATTCTTAATTGAATAACACTGTGCTGTCTCAAAGTCATAGGCCTATTAAGATAATAGTTTATTCTATACTTCTTGGCTTTGTTTGTATAAACTCTAGAACTTTCTATACTATTAAAGTACTTTAAGTAATACTCTGAGATTTATATATAAGTAGTCACCAGTTATAACATACTTTCCTACTACCTTGATAAAGAAAATGCTGTAATACTTTATGCAGCTACGTGTTAATCGTTACTCCTAGTGTAACAGATAATTCCATCCCAAGATACATATCTAACTTGATTTGATAAACAGTGTAACAATACCGGGACATAAATTGCCCTATGACCCCCTCATTTGCTTCTCCATACTTTAGAAACACTCAAACATCATACTCTTTGGCAATTACCTAACCTCCGGCCCTTCAGAATGAATGCTTATCTCTCCGTAGTAGAGCCCTCTAGACTTTGTTCTGTCTGCGATATGGCTTTAAGGAGCAATACACTGTGCGTCAATCAGCCTCACCATAAGAGTGGCCTTGACCTGGAAAAAGCTTCCGATCTCGGCTGTTATATTTGTGGCACAATCCGACACAGCAATACCTGGTCCCGAAGAACTTTGGAGTGTCGATCAAGCAGTTTTGAATATGTTTTGAATCTGCATAATGCAGGTTTCAAGGACACCCTTGAGGGCCTGATCATTGGGATAACTCCAAGTGGCTGTTGCTGGGCCTTTGAGCTTTGGAAAGACCCTGGTATGCCTCCAGCTACCCATATCAAACTTTCTAACCAAGGCTTTTAGGTCCTGCTTCTTTTTCTATCTCCTACAAACCGCTTGTCTCACCCCATGATTCAGATTTCATCCGACTTGCCAAGAACTGGCTTGACTCTTGTTGTCAAACCCATGTTAAGTGTCGAAAAAGCGGCCAAGACTACATGCCGACAAGACTAATTGAGATCATTGACGAATTAAGCGTTCGCCTCATTTTGCCGAAGGATGCATCTTTTGATCCAATTGACTATATAGCATTCTCCCATTGTTGGGGGAAAGTTGAGGCGATCAAGCTTCTCGAAAAGAACGTTGATCGATTCCGCGTTGGCATAAGCATCCATGAAATGCCCAATACCTATCAAGAAGCCATTCAATTGTCTCACCGAATGGGTTTTAAGTATATATGGATTGATTCACTGTGTATTATTCAGGATTCATTGTTGGACTGGATACAAGAAGCGAAGGATATGAAGCGGGTCTACGAGCATGCAATATTCAACCTGTGCTCTGCCACAGCCTCCGACAGCTCAGGAACCAGCTTTGTGGCTCGTTATGCCCATTTACTCAACCCTCAACGTGTGAAGTCCCGTGGGGAAGTATTCCAGTTATTGAGTGACGGCCTTCTAGAGGACGATATCACATATTGCACTTTGCGTACCCGGGCATGGGTCTATCAGGAATGGTACCTTTCCAAGCGCTCACTGGTCATGGGGTCACATCAGCTTTGGTGGCATTGTAGAGAAAAGCTGGCATGCGAGCTATGGCCGATTGGAACACCGCAAGCCAACAGGGGAAGATGGTGGAGTCAAACGCAGCCCCTCAAGGAGTCAGCACCATCTGAAGATTCAGATGAAATGGATGCCTGGAGTCAGCGTGTCCTAGCATATATGAGAACTAAGCTGACGAGAGAAACCGATCGTTTGGTTGCATTCTCGGGTGTTGTTCAGTCTTTTGGCCAGACACGCCAGCTAACTGACGACTATCTTGCTGGCCTCTGGCGAAGTCATCTACCAGCAGCACTCTTGTGGAAGGTCAGCTCTTCAGCACGGAGATCAGCTACGTATACGGCAGCGTCCTGGAGCTGGGCGTCTCTTGCAGGAGACTGTCTGGTCAGTACAGATAAGGGCTTAGTCCACGAACCTTGCTTTATAACTGTCGAGCAGATAATGCCTCTCGGTGAACCAGGGCCGGACGGATTCCTGATGGGCGGAGCAATAACGCTCCGCGGCTATTTGTTTGAAGTTGCCTATCGATCTGTTGGGCTGTTCTTGGGCAGAGGAGACTTTATGGTTCCTGGAGATCATACGACAGGTGGTGAACTCTACCTTGACGAAGGGTCAGAAAATGACAGAGTCATCTCATACTTAGAGGCACCTGATCTCAGAGATTTCAGTAGATGGCTGGAGAACAAAGCTGTGAGATTATCAATGTCACTCAAGGACGCACAGGGCCGTTTCTATTTCTTACTGTTTCTTGATAGGGGAGAAGGATCTCGTTTTCGCTTTCGAGGACTGACTTTGTACCAGCCTCTTGATCAGTCAGATTCTTTCTATCGTATCGGATATATGAATTGGGGTAAGCTTCCAGGGGTCATCAACACTGATGAACTCATGGCAAATTGTTTGAAGAGCACGGTGAGGATCTTGTAGACCTCCAGTCACAAGTTCACGTTCTGTATAGTGGTTGCTAGCGCTCAACTACAAGTGCAAATGAACAATCTCAATTAGTTTTGTGATTGGGTTAATTTCTCGAAGAACTCTTTAGTGCACATGCGGTAGAATAGTACTCAGCGATAGGAGACAGTCAAACTCGGCACTCTTTTCGCGCCACCGGTTAAAAGCTAAGAAATCAAGCAACCTATCCTTTGGATCAAAGCCACTACTACAAAAACTGTTAGCAATGCCTAGAATCAACTTCCGAGAACGAATCAACTAAGTCCTGGGTTAAAGGCTATCAGGAAGCGGAAAACACTTAACTAACTAATACCGAGGGTTCAAGCCAATATCATCCCACATCTCAACTGCAGATCATCACTTTTAGTTGGCTAGCATTGGTACTCTCACTGACGTGGCAGGTCGGGATTACATGCTTGTGATTTTGAACAGGACGACAGAAATCACCATTCTAAAGGCATAGTAAGTTCCCCTAAACTTACCTAAGACTTTTCCGCCGTTTCGAATAGAGGCCGGAATTTCGTAGGTATGCACGTGGGGACGTAAATCACCAAATGCCATCATCCGCTTAGTCAATGTTTCAATGTCCCCACCAGCATGTCCCCCAATGCCGGCTTTGGCCACACACGGAGCTCCCCCATTGCCGGGTCGCCGCATCTCGAAGCTAACACGGAGTACTTGTCTTGCGAAAAGTTCAATCCCACTCGGCCATTTACTTGCAGGTATCGGAATCGGCCCCACAACACCAGGTCATCTGGTATCAGGCTTCAGGTATATAGCTGTTCCATCGCACAATCCGTCCGAGTTCTCGGCAACTAAAAAAGAACTCTATCAAGGTCTCAAAACTCAAGCATGCCATACCTTAAGCAAATAGTAGCCATCAGGAGGAAGCCTGGTCTCACTCGACAGGAGTTCTTCGACTATCACTTCCAGGTTCACGGCAGACTCAGCCAAGGACCCTCGCCAGAGGTCACCCCATCGTACGTTGACTCACCTTCTATCATACAACTCTAACAATTTCCACAGAAAGTATTTCCAGACCCATATTCAAGATGCAGTATACAATCATCAAGATGGCCAAGGCGTCAACGCCAATCCTTGGTGGGCATTTTCTGACGACATCGTCGAGCTTTACTTCCAGTCTGAAGACCATATGAAGACGTGTTTCAGCTCGCAATATGCCAAAGAGCATGTTGGCCCAGACGGTGTCAACTTCTCCGACTTTGCGTCAGCATTGCCTGTGTGTGTTCAGGAAAGAGTTGTTCCGCTCCACGAGTCGGTGAACGCGGCACCTGAAGACATTGAGACCTTATCGGCCTCACCTGTCGCGATGTACTACTTAACTGTGACCGGTGGCGACACCGACGATATCATTACGGGTTTCGTCAAAAGCTTGCAGAAGTTCGCAGGGAGCCATGTCCGCACGCTTGTTGCGAACACTCCAGTGGAGCTGAGCCTTAACCCAGATGCGTATTTTGGCAGCAATCCAAACCGCCCTAAATTCAATTTAATCTTCGCAATCCATCTACGAAGCAAGGATAACGTCTCGGAGGTGAGGAAAGCCCAGAAAGAGTTTGAGGCAGGTTATGGGGCCAAGATCAATCTCCCAAATTCCTGGATCGCCTTTGGTCAACGGGGCCTAGTTCTCGACCAGGATAAAAGCATTCAGGTATGTTTTTCATTATTTCAATAAGTGAGAGTATACTAACTTGTGGCAGTTTGATCTATCCCGTCAGCCCAAACTGTAGGAGTATAAGAGCGATGGGCGGCATGTACTGATCAGAACATGAGAGAATTAGTTAATGCACATGTACCCTTGGCTGCGCTGCCTTTAGCATCCAATTAGCTGATCCCCTGTGGCTTAGTTGGCTAAAGCGTCCGACTGTTATTCATAGACAATCGGGAGATCGGAAGTTCGAGCCTTCCCGGGGGAGATTCGTCTCTCAATTCTTTTTTTCATCGTTCGATATCTTGGTCCGTTTGCAATTATGATCCTTTTCGTTTGCCAACTATCCTTTCGTCATTTTCGGCTTGTTCTGATTACGCATTTATGATGATTGAAAGCGGGGTTCGTGTAACATCACTATCTGACATATTGTCGAGGCCCCGCTCGTATCGACGTGAATATCTTGTCCAACGTTCTCTTCCTTCCACGGAAAACCACTAGACGCTATGGAAACGTCGGCGCAACCTCACGTCATCGTTGTTGGCGGTGGAATTGTCGGTGCCACAATCGCCTGGCACCTGGCTCATCACACTAGCGTTACCATCGTGGCAGAGGACATTGGTGGACCCGCCTCCAAGGCCTCTTTCGCTTGGCTCAATGCGAGCTCAGTTAGCCAAAGATTCTATTATGAGTTTCGTCGCCGATCCCTACAGCGATGGAGACAAATCCATGTGGAGCTTCCAGATCTTCCAATTTCCTGGAGCGGATCCATCAATTGGCACAAGACTGCCGAGGTCATGGCCAAGACCGAGAGTAATCTGACTGCATGGGGCTATCATATCGCCAACATCAAGAAGCCTGAGGTTTCTGAGCATGAGCCGTTCTTCGATCAATCTACCTTGCCAGATTGGGCCCTCTACTATCCTGAAGAGGGTGCTATGGAAGCCCATGTTGTCGCACAGATGCTCGTGGCGAACGCAGAGGCCAGAGGCAATGTAAAAGTGATCAGATCGACAGCGAAAGGGTTTATCAAGGAGAATGGCAAACTCGCAGGAGTCCAGCTGGGATCCGGAGAGAAGGTCTTTGGCAATCATGTTGTCGTGGCTGCTGGCTTGGGCACTGTACCCCTCCTAGCAACTGAAGGAATCGCCGTCCCTATCATCTCGGTGCCGGCGCTGGTTGTGAACTCGAAACCCATCAAAGAAAGATTGGTCAGGCATGTAGTCAACTCGAAGTATCTGTACATTCGGCAGACATCAGATGGAATCATCAAGGCAGGCTGCGAGAATCCTGGCGACGACCCAGGCGATGATCCGGAAGCAACCGCACACCAAGTCTTCGCCAAGGTCCAATCTACGCTTCTTGGGGGAGAGAATCTTGAGCTTGACTATTATACGGTCGGTCACAAACCTACTCCTAAAGACGGTCTACCAATCATTGGACCAACTGGCCTCGAAGGCGTCAGTGTCGCCGTCATGCACTCTGGCGTCACCAACGCTGCTCTTGTTGGAGAACTGCTCAGTAAGCAGATCATCACGGGTGAGGTGGATCCAGAACTTGAGAGTTTTTGTCTTGATCGGTTCAACAGCTAAATAGAAAGATGGCAAATTAAGTACCCGTTAATGTTGAAACCCTGCTCAAGAAGAAACTTGTGGCTTTCGACCATAAACGGCGCGGTAACGAAAGAAAGGATGGTTCGCGGTCGACCGAAGTTCCCGCCGGAGCTGTGCACAGTAGACCTTCACCTCTTGCATCGACCACCCCAAGAGCTGGCTCGCCATGTATAGAACATATCCTTCAAAGTCCTGCTCCAGAGCAGCTAGAACATACTGGCCAATCTCTCTCATCTTTTTATCCTTAGGCCACCCGCCGATAGCAATCTGCAATACAACTATTAGCCACTGTTCGTCAATGTTAGACTGGGTCCTTGCCTTGTAGTCGGCGATTTGAATGTCCTCAAAGCCAGCCTCGCGCATGCACTTCTGCTGAAGGTCATCTTCGATAATGGTACATGGCTGTCCCATCTTCTTTCCCCCCTCAATAAAGAATCTTCCCCATTCATGCATTGCGCTGCTGTCTGTAACGGTTCCATCGTCACTCTCCATCATCGCAGAGGCCTCGTGACTTTCAACCCACCCGCCGGGTCTACATGCCCGGAACGCTTCCTTGAACAACGCTGACCAGTCTTTGATGCTGCCAAATAAATAACGCATGTGAACAAAGTCAATGGAATCTGGAGCGAAAGTCCATGGCTGCGTACAATCGTCGATGTAGCTTTCAGAAGGTATCAGCGTCAGAGAGATACGGGTAATGGCACATTGAGCTCACAATTCGAGGTTGGGCGGAACCCATGACGGTTGGATAGGCGAGATATCGGTACCAACCACTTTTGCGCTTGGGAATTGGTCGGCGAAGTCACTTCCAGGTTTCAGTATCAACATGTCCTCCACTAATGGCGTTCGTCTTATACATACATAGCCCAAATACCTAGACATTCCTTGTCAGTATCGACCTGCTGCTTATGTCGATAGGAATGCCCTACCTGTCCCGGTTCCAATATCCAGAGCTGACTACTTTGCGTGAGTTGCAATGCGATCAATAATCCGGTGGTTGCCACGAACCTGGATATTATCCTTTAAAGGTGATAAAAATAGTTTATCATCAAGTAGGCGAGTCAAAAAGTGGTGTCTGACAATATCAGTAGTCGAAAGCGGGACATCAGATGAGGGAAAACTCACACTATATCCATCGACTCATTCTGTTGTTCATCATTGGCAGCCCTGACAGCATGTCATTAGCGCCCGTACTCGTGGGGACAACTATACACGGAAATACCAGTATTGAGCATTCCCTCTTTCTGAGTGAAACGTTCGTCCTTGAATGGTTCGATACGACAGAATGCTCGAGGTCATTGATGCTGTGGACTCGGCGGGATTGGAGATGACAGAGTCAGCATCATTATTCTCCGCCTCCTCTTGCTATAACACGTCATTTTAATGCTACCGCTGGTCCAGTAGAGCCTGTCTTACCTCGTTCAATTGCTCCCAGTGTGTGACTGGATGCAGAGGCCGAGCCGCCGTGGAAGCATCACCTTCAGTCTCGGCGGGAGGTTCGTCCGGTGCCATGATCAAAGTCGCATAAAATAGAAGAAAAAAGCACTCAAATTCTCAGACAATGAGGCATAGATAAATCCCGCAGGAGGGGATGTGTTTTGGGGGGTTCTACCCCCGGTCATTCTGTTGGTTCGCTTCTGACAGCTTCATGATGTGATTCGGCCTACACATCCCAACACCTTTGGGGAATCCATGCGAATCAGCCCCCGATCAGGACCAAAATACGACTTTGATAACAATGATTGGCTAGAGCTTAAACAACTGATATGATTGGGGCCATCGGTGGTTTGTCAGCCGTCTCTTGAATGAAAAGTGTCATATTGCAACTCAGTCTCTTCCTCTTGCAATGCCCTAGGGCTTGCAATAACATTTGTGGTTATCGTGAAAGCTTCTAGATAAAAGCTTATATCGAAGAAAATAAATATCGCGTTCTCATCTATCATGTACGTTCGTAGCCTGTAGTTTAATCTTAGAGGAAGCACTCATCCCCATCTTGCAAAGTCTAATACTCAGTCCATCAATTAACAGTATGTCGTTTATGAAATAAACGATAGAGACCTGTTGACAAATCATGGTTCATGCGCAGAAGTATATGTCTTGAGTCAAATGTGCAGCTGCAAATAATACATCGGCCTGTGAAAGTATAGCTTAATAAACTTTAACCAACATAAAGTTTCTGAAAGCAATGGGCAAGGTATTGAGTCACCAAAAAACTTTCAGTTGCAGTATATAAGAGAAAGGCCTTCCCCCTTGTTTGCTAGAGCTTCAATAATTTCATTCTGATCTTCCATTTTCATCATGGAGTCCTCTAAGTTGTTGTCTGGAGAGTCACCTGCCCGTCATGGAGGCCTGTTCAATCCTTTACCGGCAAAGTCGAGCTTAACATTCCATTTGTTCCCAAATCTCCCGAAAGAAATTAGAGACATGATTTGGGAGAAGAGCCTGATCTGCGAGCGATATATCCCGGTTGAGCTTTGGCATAAAGACAAACGATCTGGAGATTTCTGCCGGTCAGAATTACTCCCACCTACCGATCAAGAGCACAGATTAGTACTCAAGAATCCACCGAGGCCCAATGCTATTTTTTGCACCAATGCCGAATCTCGTGCAGCTGCTTGTCGTTTCTATAGGGTGCATCTTCCTTGCTACTCCGCCAAGGGTTCACAGTTACACGCACCGGGAACGTTTTGGTTCAACCCTGAGCTGGACACTCTGGAATTTCCTGGGTTCGAGCACTTTACAACCCTTGCAAATGATCTTTGGCGCCACGACCGTAAAAAGAAAGGACTACGCAATGTATCTTTCAGCATCGACGGCAAGAGTAATTTCTTGTTTCATTGCTTCTACAAAGGTGCTGCTTCCTCAGACCAGCTTCGCCAAGCTGTTGGCCGATTTGAGCATGTCACCTTTATTCATTACTCATTGCCTAGGGTGATGTTGGCTTTCACCAGGAATTCTTTCTGTTACACGAAACGCTCGCTCCCATTTGTATACCCCCGTTCACTTCCTGTTGCAGGGGCGACTGGTAGCTTTTCACGGCAGCAAGACCCACGTCCTATCGAGGATAACGTACTCGAGAGTTTCTCATTCGATGGCTTCCCTGGGTTTGGGCGAATGGCTCTGGATTGGAGGAACTGGTTCCAGGAACTAAGAGCAGGAAGGCCATGTGTCTTCAGATTCGCATATGCAGCTGATGAATGTCAGAAGCCATTCATTACTGATGAAGCGAGCGCTATGGAGTATCTAAAGGACGAAGATAAAAAGTGGCAAGAGAGTTTTGACTGGGAAATAAGGATACACGCCACAAACCCATGGAGATCAGGATACACGATCCCCGAGCAGGTTGATAGCGGACTTGAAACTGCATTTGGGTTTTGGACCTTTCCTCTTGAGCCTCAGGGTCCATTTGCCAACCCACCAGCCTCCCGAAAAGCAGTTTACGACCTTTCTGCCTACCGACCAGAGCTATGCGTATTTCACTTTTAACCACCACGTCCATGAAATTCAAGGAATTTATAAAGGTTTCTTAAACATCTGGTGTTTATTTACGAGCTCAGAGTTACCCTACCTAGGTGTAGAATTCTACAGTTGATGTTATTGGTTATCTTATGAAGCTATGGAAATGCCACATGACCCATGTTTAGATCCTCCCGAGTTGAAATAAAAAAGTCAAGCCGCTTGTCCAAAAAGTCGGGATAGCTCGCCTAAAGGCATCGTGAACCTGCCTTACATTTACATAAATCTATCTGGGGCGGTCTGTCCTACAAAGCAAGAAAGTGCTGGAGGATTCGTATTAAACCTCAGGCTTCTGACCGTAAACAATTCTTTGTCTGAAATACGGATGATGTTGACCCGATCGGATCTCTCGTCGGAGCTGGGTGCACAGAGCTCTAACCTGTTCCTCGGTCCATCCCAAAAGCTCGCACGCCAGGAACAAGAGATAGCCTTCATAGTCTCTCTCCAGAGCTGCTTGCATATAATGTCCAACTTGCTTGAGTCGTTCTTCTGTGTGCCAGCCTCCAACTGGTGCCTGTTACGACGCTGTTAGACTGACCCAGAAATTTGGCTGGCATAGAAATAACCTACCTTGAGGTCCACGACGTGGATATTGGCAAACCCTGCTTCTTCCATCGACTTCCTCTGTACATCTTCCCGAATTATGGCAAAGCTTCTTCCTGCGCGTTGGCCGCCTTCTTCGAATACTTCACCCCAACGTTTCATAGCGCTTCCATCTGGAATAGAATTATCATCACTCTCCATGGTGGATGAAACTTCGTAGCTTTCGACCCAGCCGCCCGGAACACAAGCTGTGAAAGCTTCTCGAAAGGTCGCTGTCCAGTCTGTGATACTTCCCAGCATAAATCTCATATGGATGAAGTCAAAGGAGTCGGGCCGGAAGGTCCAGGTATCATTGCAGTCCTCAATTTCGCTACCAGATGGTGAGCTTCGATGCTAATATTACCATTAGGGGGGCTTACAGCTGTAGATTTGATGGCATCCAGGTTGGCTGAATAGGGCTGATCTCAGTGCCCACGACCTCGACCTGGGGATGTTCATCTGCAAAGTCGCTTTATGATGATCAGCCTTGCTCGACCTCCTCTCCGACGTCACTTACATGGCCCAGATAGCTGTAACTTGATTAGAATCAGATGTTAGAGTTGACGCAAGGGCGTCTTACCTGTTCCCGTGCCAATATCAAGCACTCTCTGCCAAAGCCATTATCAGCAAATGAGATCCGATACGCCAATACTAGTGAGACTAACATGTATATCAGGCCTGAGAGGTGCTAGATAAAGTTTATCTTCCAAAAGAAGCAGAGTAAAGTGATGTCTTGCTACTGTCAGACGCCTCGTCATATGTCACCGGAGTGTTCACCTACGCGAGGTCCAAAGATTGACTAGCCTGATCATCATTCGATGCCCTGTGCCTCGTTAGAATAGCCAGATAATAAGCCGAAGGATGCATACCAGTATTGAGCTGTACCTCTATCTGAGTGATAGGTCCTTCCATGCAACGTTCGGTACTCAAAAATACTCGAGGTCAGAGAATAGGTCGAGTCCGCGACATTGGATCCCAAGGCTGAATCCAGGTCTGAATCACTGTGACCATCGAAGCCCTCGTCAGTCTCAGCATCATCATGGTCTATATCTTGATTCTGGTCACTCAAGTCAGCCAATGACTCAAAGCTCTTCACAAAGGTCTCGGACCTCTTGGTCCTGCTGGAGATTCTGTAAGACCTCCCAGGCGGGCGTTGGAGCGGGCGGCAGAGTCAACCCAGGCGTTTCTGTAGGTTCGCTAGTCATTATATCGCGATGACTCTTGAATGAGGCTTCTGAGACAATGATAGTGCTACGGAATCGTGGTCAAAGAGGGGGTTTTATCAATTAACTTAGTACTGATTACGAGACTGGCTGCTTATTCCCCCAGTAGCGCGGCACGTTCGGTTGCGACGCCAATATTGATGTGCTAGGCGCAAAGGGCAAAGTGCTACGACGTGGCGGTGCCGATCAAACCTATTGGAGGAAGTTTGGGGCAATATTCCAGGTGCTCGGACACTTGATCGTCACCTGAGTGGCTTGGTACCACGTGAGCTATCAACTTGCTTATAACCGGGAGCATTCCGCGGGCAGCCGCAATTCGTGAATACGCGAAAATCCCACAGATCCGAGCCAATCGAGAGCTGATGATATGAAAGCAAAGGCTGCCATCTTTTCCGCCTGAGACAGAAAAGAGGCTGTGTTGGGTGACAGGGGAACAATACGACTGTCATAAGACGTGTCCGTTATATCCGTGTAGATGGGATTTGTAGTCTGTGCATGCCGGTAGATATTCAATTTACCGTTACATCCGGCCGATCTGAATTATGTCCATCAATCCGACGTGAGGGTCTGGAGGCCCGCGGAGTGCGACATCCTCCGATAGATGAAGAATGATTAGTCGCGAGATACAGCGATTACTAAGTAGATGCACATCATTAATATGATCGGTATCGTCGGATCGTTATCTGGATGACACGTAATTGATGCTCAACTCAATTACTCTTCTGGTCGCCGGAAGGCCCAGTATCATCGGGGTGCGGGTTAAAAATAGCCGTAAACCTACCCAAGCATTTACCTCACTTATGAGCAAGATGATCCGTTCTCAAGGATCCCTTCACTAACTGCTCATCCACGAACTGCCGAAACGTACATGAAATTTAGGACACCCGCAATCCGACGAATTGAACACCACCGAGCGGGCCGCGCACGGTAAGGACATCGAAGAGCAATTGACAATCAGATTGTCGTCAATACTTGGCATTTACAAATTTGATTGCGCGAGTATTCTACTGAACCCAATTGCCATTATTTGCGATCAGATTAGGCGCTCCACGAAGATTTCCAGAAATCTTCTTGGGAGTCGCCAATTCCTTCAGCCAAGCCGTAATGTCGGCAACTCCCTCTACCTCTTCCACGCTCATCGCGTACAAGACCAACCCCGCAACATGAGGAGCAGCCATGGAAGTTCCATCCTCGGTGAAGGTGTAAGTATTGGATTTGTGGCCAGCTGAGGTGATGCCTACTCCAGGGGCCAAGATGTCAACTGTCTTTCCCCAGTTGGAGAAATCAGCAACAGCCCAATTGGAGTCAATTGCTCCGACGGTGATTGCGGTCGATGCAGAGCCAGGCGACTCCTTGGCTGCGTCTATGGCATCGTTGCCGGACGCGACGACTGTGACGACACCTTTCTTGGATGCGGTGTCAACAGCTTTGTTGAAGGCAGCGGACTTTTCGCCGCCGAGAGACATGTTGATAACGGCTCTCCATGTGCGGTCTTTCTTGATAATATCGTTGACAGCCCAGTTGAAAGCGTCAAGGACGATAGACGTATCCGATTCATCACCGTTGAAGACCTTAAGAGCGAGGATATTGGCCTTCTTCGCAACGCCATAGGTCGTACCAGCAATTGTACCAGCAACATGGGTTCCGTGACCGTCGTCATCCTTGTTATTGCCCTTCCAGTTGGTCCACGCAGCCTTTGCGCGACCACCGAACTCGTTGTGAGTCACTCTGACGCCGCCATCAATAACATAGGCATACATGTCAGTGCCAGCGTATTCATCATAGATATACTCCTTGTAGCCCTTTTTCCGATGAGAGATTGTGCCGAGACCCCAGGTGGACTTCTTCTGCGTGATTTCGTCTCTCTTCTCCAGGCTTCGCTTGCTTTTGATGCGATTAAGCTTCCATACACGGTTGGGCTCAACAGCCAGGACCTTGCGGAACTAGTTAGCATGCAAAACCAATAATTGAAGGCATTGGCTTACATCTGGACTTTTCTTGATCTCCTTGATCGTCGCTGTATCGAATGACCCAGCGTATCCCTGGAAGCCAGACTTGCTGTCATAAGTCTTTTCGACACCCACTTCTGTCTCGCGCTTGGTGAGGCTTCTTTTGTGAACGTCTTTGACCCATTTCAAATGGGTCTTGGCCATGGCAGCATCGACCTCTGGTTTCAAGGTGATAATGTAGCTACCTGGGATGATTGCACCGGCCTCAGCAGCAGGGGCTGCAGGTGCAGGGACAGCAAGTCCACATCCAAGAAGGACGCTTACTGCAAGAGCGATATTCTTGAAGTTCACCATGATGAAGAAGAGTAGTGATGGCGTTTTTCTTGGAAGGAATTTTGGAGGATCAGCGGCGAGTCATATATACCCGCCTTTAGATACTGCTCTACATATTTAATATTAAAACCGTCACTCAGCCCAAGCTTACCTGCAAGTAGCGCAAACGAGATGGCGCACCGCCGTAGCTGATTGCGATCTACATGTGCATCCCCACCCGTTCCTGAGCATGCTTAATTTTTAGCTATTGGCCCTAGATCCGAAAATGCTCCCTAAAAGCGAACAGTGGCTGGTCTAGATGTGGCTGGACTTGTATTAGGGGACCTCGAATTCCAGAGCTATGGGTGACTATTTTCCTTGGAGTATGTTAGTTCGCAGCTGAATTCCCTTTCCGGAAAGAAATTTATCTGGTCTAGAACTCTGAAATCAATAGACAAGAAAAAAGAACGCGATTTGTTTCACTTTTTTGAAGGATTGGGTCGCACGTGGGGCCGAGTGACAATGCGAGGGATAAGGAAGGGAGAACATGGCATTCTCACATACAGCTGCACCGATTAGGAGAATGGCATTCTTCTGTGACATGTCTGTAAAATACAAAGTCCTGAATCGAGTGCATTGGAAACCGGTTGAATGTCGTCAAAGCCAATTTTGGACTGTTCCCGGGTAAAGGTTTTCGAGCTTCTTCAGGGCCCGTTCTCCGACAGCGTTTCTCCTACCAAACATCGCATTAGCTCATACTTCGTAGCTTTCAGTCTCTAGATTCGATCGCTAGAGAGGCATCAGCTATGTTACTATCTTCAGTAGTGTATCTGAACGAATATTCGATCTATCAGTACACCGCCTCGTAAGATCGACTGTACGATGTTTATTTGTTGAACCTCCTGCGCCGGTCTCCCCCTCCGCTCGTTTACCGACTCACATCCTGCAATCGCCAGACTGGCTGAACCCCTAGTGGATCATATTGTGGCTTGCTCTATGATCTCTGGTCGGCAGAATCATACAATTGGGATTAGTCTTGTTCCTTACGTAGACCATGGCCTAGACCAGCATGGACAATTTGTATACGTTCTGAGACATTATTTTGCTTGGAATACAATTTATAGGTCGCTGAAAAGTCGCCAAGACATACATATACCAGTATCGCGATGCCCGACGAAGTGTCTTCAACTCCTGAACAACATTCTGTAGTATCGGCACACATACACAAGTCCCACAGAAACACCATCTTCACTATTTTCCAGAGCCAACAACTTTTTATCAATCTCATCTCCAACTGCAGGTACCAAGTCGGTTGTGGCTCGAGACTTTCGATAGCGCGTCTTTTTAGAGGGGAGATGACCACTACATTCCAGACCGGTTGACCACGAGGCTGGCTTGGATTCCCAACGGTGGACTGCTATTTTAGTGAATTTAGAAGCCGCCGTTCCTCAAGCTTCATATATCGTATGCCATTGGCCGAACAAGTTCTGGTATGTGATAGCTTTGTGGGCTGATCCAGCGTGGAGCGGCTGACCATGTCAACTTGCTCAAGTGCCTAGATGAGGGGGTAGATACAAAAGCCCTCTTTAGAAGCAATACCGAGATCGGATGTTTTAGGCCACCGCCAGGTGTTTTGGATGGAGTGGTGAAGCTACGAGCGGCCTTTTAGGTGAAGACGGCTGAGATACAAGCTCATTAAGCTTATTCAGTAGCTCCAAATAGCAGCCTAACATCGTGTACTGCAATATCTTCTTTCTGGTTGAACTAGATCCGATTTAGAGTGCGTATTCTCTCAGCTGATTGATGTGTAGAGTACCCCCAATTTCTCTGGCCATCTTTCGTGGTTACTGACTATATTCTTGCTTGAAAAGCTCTGTCTCACGATGGGCATGTCACAATGTTGGCAAATTTCGTGTACGCATTCATTCTTTTACTCATGCGTCCGTTGAAGATACCTTTGCTAGGCTGAAAAGCATATGCTGAGCACTAAAGATGGCTAGTTGGGACCTGACTCCCAACCATGATATGATCCATCAGAGTTTCAGCAGCTCCCTGAGGTGACCAACTCTTCATCCGATCATCACTCAACAGGTATGCCTTGGGAAACCCAGGAACATCAGCCTCCCCTAGCACCATCCTTGCAATAGCCTCACCAGTAAGCCAGCACTTATCCATCCCATGGCCATTGAATCCCGCGGCAATCCACTCCCCACTTCCATTTCGGCCCGTGAGCTTCTGCGGAAGCTTTCCCACGATGGGCATACCATCTGCCGTGAACCCCATTATCCCCGACCAGACATTGAGGGCTTCTGCGGGAGCTGCATCTTTCCAGATATTGGGTGCTGCCGAAGTTAGGGTTTGGCGAGCATCATCTGCGACGTTTGAGTCATCGCTTGTGAGAAGACCACCAAGGCTCTGGGATTCGCCACCGAGGAACATTATCCCTGTCTTGGCATTCTGTTGAGCGTAGTACAGGCCTAGATGAATATGACCAGTCTTTGCGTCGTATGTACCAAGAGATACTTGTGACCAAGACAGGTTGTGGCCTGCTCGTGGAAACTTCGGGCCAATTTTCTGAGTAGACATGGTTCCTCGTAATGGATATAGATTGCCAACGAGACCGGGAATCAGCTGGCTTGAATACCCATTAGTGCAATGAATGACATGTTTAGCTCGAATAGATCCTCTAGATGTGCGCACTAGGTACGGATATTCCGAAGTATCGTTCTGAACTTGTACTGAGAGAACGGGCGTGTTCGTCTCGAGTGAGAAGCGGTCTGAGAATTCTTTTGCTAGAGAGGCTAAAACTGCGGTCAGAAGACGATATGGCCACAAGGCTGCGACTCCGGTTTGTGCAACTGCGCCGACGGTATTTGTGAAATTAAAGATCTGGGACAGTGAGCAGTTGCTGTATTAACGAATGTTACTCAACCTACCTTGGCCGCCTCCTCTCTGTTGTATACTTTGAACTTGATGTCACTGTCAGGCACGGCTTCAAGCAGTTGTTTGACTTCTTCAATAGCACCTTGAAATGAACTTTGATCAGTAAAGGACGTTGCTGATGTCACCTCACGAAATTCCACTGCTTCTTGATCCTCAGGATCTAACTGGGCGATAAGCTCCTTCAAGCGACGAATGTTCGCGTCGCTGAACCGCACAGTCTCTATCGCTCGCTCAACACCGATTGTTTCTGCAAGGGCTGGAAACAAGGAATCGCTATCAGAGACAAGATGTCCTCCATTTCGACCAGTCGCTCCGCTTACGGCCGTGCGGGCCTCAAGCATAGTCACTTTGAGACCAGTTCCTTTCGGATGGTTCAAGAGGGAGTGCGCGGCGCCGATACCAGTGATACCTGAACCAATGATGATGATATCGGTCTCTGAGGGCAAGTCTTGGGACTGTGCGTTTGCTACGGTTGGATGAGTTGGGATCTGCCAGGTCGGGGTCGTCGGGTTTGAGCTCGGTAGCCCAGACTGAACCGTGATGAGCTTCACGACATCTTGGATGAATTCTACTGCGGTGAGCCAGAGCAGGCGAGAAGAGATAGGCAGAGGGCCGTAGGCTTACTGCTATCAGGCATTTTCGCACACCGATCAGTGTTTGCTGTATTCACAAAGTCCTGTTGTCAATTGGAATGTTACGCGCGGGGTAAATGTTGCTCCTTGGTGTCACAAGATGGGTCAGAAGATGATGCTCCTGGTTAATGCGAATCGAGGCCTGGAGCAATACAACTCTCAAGATATAGTCAGCGAGAGAAATTATTGTGCATTCTATTGCCTCGATGTGGTCTTTCTCTTATCTATCGCTTGGATCATCGAATCATCACCCCTCGCATAGGCATACTTCATCGGGTCTAGATCATCCATATCGCCCCTGCAGCAACCCGATTGGCGGGGCAGGCATCGCAGGTCTCAAGATGGCTGCACTCAGTGTGTCTTCACAGTCTTCACTCATGGCGATAGCGATATTCTCTACTTGAGCATACTTTTTAGTATCGCTATCAGTCATCATTGTCCCGTGGCTTGCAGTATAAGTTTCTGGTAACGAAATGAAAATCCTCTAGAACTTTGAGCGCCATTCATTCCTGGCTGGCATCTTCCTGCCCTCGAGAACTTTAGCAAGGTAAGAATGGTCAGGCTGGGCTGCGTGATGCAGTTAATCCAATATACTGAATATCCATCCCCCATATCGTGGCATGAGCGAGTCTCGACCCTATTCCCCATTCCAAGTCATAGTGCTGCCTTGTTCATGGTCCCTGCCTCTGGGCGCCTTGTCGCAAGTAGTGCCAGATCCTTCATACGGAACCCTCGGTCTCTGAGACGGCATTCTCGGGATCCGTAAAATACAATCTACAAACCCCGCCTCGGAGCAACTTTAGGAGGTCGTTTCTCCGACGAGAGTTACCGATACCGACAATCTACCGTATTTACTGAGAATATTATCATCATGTCGCTACTCGTATCAGCTGGACTCGCTAGCGAACGGGGCGTTTGCGGGGTTTGCACGCTCCTCAGCCTGCTTAATCGAGTTAGTGGATCACCAAGCGTTCACTGGCATCTCCATCGCGACAATTGACCCTCTGTAATTGAAGTGTTTGAGGGTGAAAATCATTGTTATCAAGCTTATAAAAACTGTCTGGGGACTGCGTGGAAGCGTATCTACCAAAAAGCTTCATTTACTAGCATCTACTTTCTATTCACAAGCTTTTGTTCGACAACTTGGTCAACATGCCTGCCAGCAAAACCCCAATCGGTATTACAGAGCTCAGTGTTCAGGGCCTTGGTGTTGTAAAGGGCCTGAGCTTCCCTAACAACATCCACCAATTCAGTGGCATTCCTTACGCATCCCTCTCCAAGCGTTGGACACGTTCACAACTCAGGACTTCATGGCCCAACAATTTTCACGATGGGACAAAACTGGGGTAGTTACTATCGACTTCCCGACTCTGGAATCATTACTGAATCTGTTTTATAGACCCAGCGCGCCAAACCCGCCAGAGTACAATACACCTGAAGATATCCTAATCCCAGTCGATATTGCGCCCCATTTTGAAGAGCCAATTGAGGATGAACTCAACTGCCTTGTCATGAACATCACAACTCCAAAACTGGGCTCTGACTCTAGTGCGAAATTACCTGTCATGGTTTATATCCATGGAGGATCTTTTCTTTTTGGCGGTGCCAATAAGGGCGTCTTCGATTGTGTCAACTTGACGACCTTTGCTGCAGCCCGCAACACGCCAGTTGTCACAGTCAACCTCAACTATCGTGTCGGCCTCGGCGGTTTCCTCGCATCAGCCGCAATTAAGCAGGATATAGAGCGCGATGGTCTTGAAGGCGTAGGCAACTTTGGTCTTTACGATCAGCAGGTTGCTTTGCACTGGGTGAATCGCTACATTGCCTCGTTTGGTGGTGATCCTGATAATGTCACCATCTACGGCGAATCGGCTGGAGGCATAAGTGTTTCTCACCACATCGTTGCTAAGAATCCGGCCCCTTTCCATCGCGCCATCGCCATGTCCGGCCATTTGAACACCATCCAGACTTGGCCATTGGAACACCACGAAAAGCATTACCGCGCGTTGCTGAGATATCTTGGCATTGATTCAGACTCACCTTCTGCTCTGGATCAGCTTCGAAACGTCCCTGAGGCTGTTGTCGCTGCTGCAACGATCCCAGTGGAGGGCCTTCTAAATGCCACAGGCAATCCATGCGATGATGGCGTTTTCCATAAGACAAAGCCGACCGCGAACAGTATTTCTTCACCTCCGGCGTGGCTTAAGAGCTATATGGTTGGAGATACAACCGACGAGGCTATGATCTTCACTGATGATCTTGCTGGGGAGACTTTTGACTCATGGAGAACTGGTATGAAGAAGTTCTTGAGTGAAAAGGCTACTGATGATATCATGGCTCTGTATGGTGTTACGCGTGATCTCTCGAAGGAGGAGCTTCTGGAGGCCTTGGAAGACATGGCAGGCGATTCTGCCTTCAAGATCCACAACTGGATCGCTGTTCACCGCTCAGATATTCCACAAACTTTCGGCTATCACTTTGACCAGGTGTGCACTCATGACAGTATATTCAAGGGTCAAGCGTACCATGCACTCGACCTACTATACGTCTTTCTCAACTTCGATGAGAGACTGACTCCAGGCCAGCAGAAACTCGCAAGAACGATGGCTGGTAGCTTTATTGACTACTCGTACGGTAACGATCCATGGCCTCGGTTTTCTGATGGTGGTCGATGGATGAGGTTTGGGCCAGATGAGACTAGCAAAGTCGTTACGGAAGCTGAGGATGAGAATGTACGAAGATATACTCGTATGCAGAAGATTCTTGACATGGGTGTGCTGGAAGAGTTTATGACGGCTATTGATAACATTGCTATCAAGAGGGACAAGATGGGGACTTTCGAGGGTGAACCTCGTCAGTTGAGTGAGGATATAAAGGCCGAACCAGCAGTCGCTGGTGCTGTCGGAATTAAGGAGGCAGTTTTAGCTTAGATAGTGGCAGCTTTATATGATCCCCGCGTTCGCCACTGGTATCCTGATCTTTCTGGGCCTTGCTTTTCTTAATCAAGGCACCTTGTGTTGGGCTCGCCCACATATTACTCAATCATTAGGTTTGGCCTCTGAACTGCCCTTATTCTGAGCTCATCTAACTTTAGTAAAGATGAATCTCAGCGTTCAGCTCCGCCGTAGCCTCAGTAGCTATCATCAACTTGGATGCTTCATTGCCGCCCTTCCCATTCTTCCAAACCTTTGCCACGATATCCATGATTATCTGCTCAGTGCCCTCCTGCCCTTTTTGCATTATGTATTGAAAGGCCACACGTGTCAGCTGCTGTTCCTGGGCATTTTCTGCCAGGATCCCAGCTACGAAAAGAGGGTATAATATGGCCCTGGCGAGTGAGAGTCGAAAGTTGAAGGTGCCGATCCCGATAATTGCTTGGATCGATGCAAATACCTTCATCCGTAATATTTCAGTGCTGTTGTTGACTCTTTGTGGTGTTGTTTGATCTTGGTGATGATCAGCCAGACAACGGCTGTGAAGAATACCGGCGAGTCGGAACGCTTCCCAGAGGTGAATCTGCGCGAACTCATCGCCTAGTTCTCCAGGCCACTGCAACAGATCCTGTTCGATGGTGGTGGAGTCCATATTCGCTAGCAGGTTCATTAGACTATAAGGTATCCCTGAAATTTGCTCAACGCCAGAGTGTTTGTGTGGTTGGACATAGGATTTCCAGATCTCCAGCGATGGTGTAATCCTATTCAGAGTGAAGAAAGGTATATCCAATAGGCCGACAGCTTCAAGGAGGTGGTTTGCCACGGGGGGCCTCTGTGGATCATTCAATAGCTCCCGTGCTTGAAGGACTCCGTGGAGGCCTTTCAGCAGCGGTGACCAGATATACAGTGAGTTTATCTGCGAGTATTAGTGTGGCTCTAGTATGGATATGGGATTTCACCTACGCTGACGCTGCACAACAGCACCCCCGTTGCCAAAGTCACATCTTGACACAGCATGCTGGGGTTTTCCAAGTCGTTAAGATAGTTTGAAAGGGCCGATTGCATGTACAAAGGTGTCAAGTGACTAGTATCGACATCGAGACTTGCTTGATATGCTAAGCAAGCGTGTTTAAGGCAGATACTATCTTCACAAAGTGGTAAAATGTCGGACTTGAACATGGTATCATGTCCAGCACGGCCTGTGATCGTCTGCCATCCGATAGTAGTAACTATACACTCGTTAGATGATCACAATACATCAGCGTATTTACTTACAACTGTCCATGAGCTTTTGTGAGACTTCCTCGTCTGGTAAACCCTCGGAGAATGCTTCGAATTGCAGACATAGCAGGTCCAGTTCATCCGGCGACTGTATTGAGGAAAAGTCCGGCAAGTTCACCACCTCATCATCCACGCTCTCAAGAACAGGGCTTGTTCTAGTATCACGTAGAGATTTTCTCTTCTGACGTGGCGGACGAACTGGTTTCAAGACTATACCACCCCCTGCTGCGCTTGCAGTGTCTGAAGAACCCCATGTCAATCGTGTTTTGTAGCCCTCGCAGGTCATGCCCGCTTGGACACATCTTTCACAGGCAGGTCGTTTCTCGTCACATTTCTTATGTCTTCTCTTACAGGTCCAGCAACTGGAAACACTTAGTACAAGATATCGCCGCTGCTACGAACAAGTTACTTACCCTCGTCGCGACCGTGAGGTCATAGATGTTTGAGCCAAACGCGTGACGGGAGGGGATTACAACGCGACGTGGATCAATTATATGCTGGCAACAGTAACTTTCGACAGAAAGATGGCATCCATTGTCATCAAATCTTTTCCAACGCCTTTATCGACGTGAGGGGTGATGCCTCGGGCCGAGATAGCTCATCGCCAGCCAAAGATCAAGATCAGGAGGGGAATTGTAGAGACCTGAAATAGACTAGCGTCGAGATACACGTATCATTGGAGAGCGATAACGATAACACGGAGGCGATAAGGATTCGACTAACTCAAGATCGCTTAGCGTGTGCATAACGGCTGCATAAACGGTTCATCTTCTACATAACTTTCACCTCTCGTGTCATTTCAAAGTTACGTTCAAGTATAAAAGAATAAGAAAAGAATAAAGCCCCTTAGAGTCTTTCGTTTCAAATCGTCTATCGAGTTACTTCTTGAGCTTCGATGTATCTCTAATCATGTAAAACAAAGTCGTTGGTGGCATTGCGTCCTCTTCATCCACCAGTTCTGCCTCTTCAACAAGCTCAAAGCCATACTTGACGTAGAACGCGATATTCTTTTTATCTGTACACTCAATATAACATGGAGAGTCACCCAACTCCTGCACCACCCATTGCATGATAGTTCTCCCAACCCCCATCCCTTGCGTATCAGGTCTGACCGCAGCGATCTCGAGATAGTAAAGAGAATTGGATGGATACTTCTTCTTAATTCTCTCTTCAAAATCGTTATGAGACTCCATCATTATCCCGATCCTCTGCCAAATTCCGTTAGATCCTCTATTATTCACGTGTGCAAGGTGTATCACCTTTTCTGAAGAGAACGGTTCAGTTGGCTGAATCCACCACTCGTCCCATAGCACTCTCAAACATGACGGCCACCAAAGGGGATTCAGCCATCGATACAGCGGCCCAGGAGGAAACAGAAAGCAAGATCCAAGGCTTTTATGAGGGCCATCCGCTGTAACGGCTTCCATTGCGATTCCACGCACGGCATACTCGCGTAGGCGTGCCTCTTGCCATTGCTGCAGGGTAGGTGTCAGAGTTTCCCAGCCTGGACCAGAGCGATCACGAGAGAGCCAGCGGATCAAGGGATCTTTAGCGAAAGAAAGGCTGATGATCTCAGCAGCAATCTTGATTGAGCCATGGTCTGGAGATATTAGCAACGAAACTCGGAGGCAGACCAATGAACATACCCAAGCCGAGTGGCCTCATTTGGACTTTACACGAACTCTTCATTAGGTTTGACATGATGACCCGGAATACTGATGCTAGGAGCGATGTTGACTCTGCGCGACTGTCTTATCTGTACTTCCACTGTCGAAGACTACGAAGGATGGGCGAGCGGGCTATCGTATTGTCGGAGCCCGTGAAACCCGTCCCTGTCTCGTTTTAGTGCAGAAACCAGAGACGAGGTCTGGGTCCTCAATCTGCGCGGCACCGGTTGCCAAAAGCGGCAAAGATCAACAACAATCTTGCGCTACACCCAGAAAAGCATGCAGTGCCGCGCGGGATTGATTGCCCTACATGTCGCAAAGCGTGTTTCTATGATCTCGAGAATCATCGTGTTAAGAAATGTGTAGTTATATAAACAAGGTTAATAGATCCGACAGCTTACAGATAGCACTAAGATTCATCCAGGCATCCAATAGACTTCTGTCATTGAAGCAATGTCGCAGCCACCTCAAACTACGCAGCCAAGCCCTGGTAACCAGCTTTACCCCGACATGCCGGCAATGCGAGCTCCGGGTTTGGAGTTTGTGTATCGCCTTGTCGCCAAGATGCACCCAACCAATGGCTACGATATTGAGAATATACAGGGCACAGGAATCACGAGGTCAATTGCTGGTATTGAGTCTGGGACTGTAAAGGGACCAGGTATAGAGGGCACCCTTGTCGAGAATAGCGGTGCCGATTGGGCAGAGCAAGTTCATTCCAAAAAGGTTGGCGCCAACTCATTACACGCGACGCTGCATTGTGTGTTGACCAAAAGGAATAGATTTACTATAGGCTAGATGCGAGGTACACGATCAAAACAAACGATGGCCATCATATCTTTGTGCAGGCTCGTGGGCTATTCCGACCTGGGCCGGGTATCGAGTTCTCGCAGCCAGACTCGATCGACGTGGATTACACGCAGGACGAGGTGGAATACTTTACTCACATCACTTTTGAAGCAGCAGGAAATAGTCCGTATAATTGGATGAATGGTATTGTGGCTATTGGAGCTTTGCAGTCATACGGAGGGGCTGCTGTCATAGATTGCTGGCGGTTGACTAACTTCCTTGGACAGAAGGTAGAGGATGTTTACGTAGGCAGATAGACAATTGACTAGGCTGATCAAATGACATCTCATTAACCAAGTGATCTGTTTCATGTAAGAACCTTGGGTTCAACTATGGTGTGTGCTCAAGTAGGCATCGGCCAAAAAGTCGATACTGGTCAAGATTGTTGCCGTATTTCACCAAGCTACTTAACCTTATCCTGGACTGTCCCCGCATCCCCCGCGTTTCGGACAAGATCCCGGCTGCGAGGACAGAGTTGAGCGATAAGACTAACCGTACAAGGTAGGCGGAGCCCCAAGGCAATCGATCATCTGGCCATGCTATCTTGACTCGAAGGAGGTTCCTATCACAACTAGCCATCCCAATACAGAGATAAACACCTACATAAAACCCTTGGACCAGTTGCTGATATGATTTCACATAATTCCACGGCTCAACTTGCTCAAGAGACATCTCTCTAGCAATATCATCCTCGTTTTCAGCATGCCCAGAAAAGTAGCACCAGCTCCGCCAGACTTCACAACACCGCTGGGTACCGTGCGGTTGATTGGTAGTGAGTAACCAGATACTGGTCTTCGTTCAAAAGCTCATATTCTTGGTAGAAGATGGTGTTGCGGAAACGCCTCAATTGGTGAAGCAGCCGATGCCGACTGACGACCCCAACGATCCTTTAGTATGAATGCGTCAAATACGATGCGATTGCGTTGACTGACTTGTCTAGAACTGGTCGCGTGCTCGCAAATCCATGAACTTTGTCCCCATTCTCGCAGTCACGGCAATCATATTTACTCAGTGAGCTACCATGCCCTTCGACCAAGCGACGAGCCACTAATCTTGACAGAACTTCCTTACCACTGATCTTCTGGGTCCTTTGGAACCAAGAATTCGGATGGTCGTACGGCCAGCTCAACAACGCTAACGCCCTCAACTATGTCGGAACCACTGTTGGCTGCATCCTCTTTATCCCTCCAGCGGTGAAGTACGGACGTCGATCAATGTACCTGCTTACGACAGCTATCATCTTTGCCATGGCTATCTGGTCGGCGCGTATGAAGACCCTGACAGAACTATATATATCACAGTTGATATTTGGACTGGCTAGTGCGACCAACGAGAGTATTGTTGAGATGACGGTATGGTGGTCTTCCATTGTGAAGGATTCCACTGACTGATGCCAGATTGCCGATTTGTATTTCGTCCATCAACGCGGTAGTGCGAATGGCCTTTATATGGTCATGGTTATGATTGGTGTAAGTCGAGACCCAGCCACGTAGACAGTGGAATAGTCACTGATGCACGGCAGAGCTTTCTGAGCCCCGTGATTGCAGGATACATGGCCGCGAATGGAAACTGGAGGCTCTGCTATTGGGTCACCACGGCAGTCGATGGTGCCCTCCTACTCTACTTCTGTTTCTTCTTCGAAGAAACCAAGTATATACCACGTCTCGAAGCTCAGCAACCGTCCTCCGAAGTTCCAACCTCTATCCCGGTTTCGAAGAAGGACAACATCTCGGAAACACAGACAGGCGAAATGAGCACCTGCGTCACGTTGGAAACATCCAATGCCCCGTTACATCGAATCAACTCCGACATCCCGCTTCTCACATGGCGCCAACGCATGCGCCTTGTCACAAAAACCGACGAAAGTCTACTTGGCATTATCCGGACAGCTGTCGTTATCTTATTTCGCTTCCCAGCTGTCATGTACACAGCCCTCACATATGCCTTTTGTCTCTGTTGGATTTCTGCTCAGGCGTCGATTATATCTAACGTTTTCACACAGCCACCGTATAACTTCGGCACCGTCGGGGTTGGAAACATGAGTTTGGGAGTCTTTATCGGCTGTATCTTGGGCTCGGCCTACGGTGCAGTTTCCGATCGAGCTATTCTTTGGTTCACAAGAAAAAACTACGGGTATTACGAGCCAGAAATGCGACTCCAGCTGAACCACTTCCCAGCAGTTTGTATGAGTGGTGGCTTTGTCATGTTCGGTATCACTACGGCAAAGGTATACAAGGCTTCTCTTTTCATCACGTTTGGACTAACAGTTACAGGGAATGCAATGGATATACCCAAGTATTGGTAGCGCAATCTTTGGCTTTGGTCTTGGTGGTCTCAGCGATGTTGCGCTTTGCGTGACTATCGATAGCTACCAAGCGGTTTGTGGCCTCTAATCTCGCATTGAGAGACTTATGCTAAGTGCAGATAGATCACTGGAGAAGCATTCATCGGTGTCGCTTTTATGCGTAATGCCTTCAGCATTGCCATTTCGTTCGCGCTCGTTCCATGGCTCGATGCCCAAGGCCTGCAGAACATGACAATTGTCATGGGGTTATGGGCCCTGGCTATGGCTTTTCTTCATGTACCAATGATGATCTGGGGCAAGCGAATCCGTGAGAAGACTGAGGCGAGTTACAAGAGGATGGCGACAGGGACTAGGGTGTAGACTTTGCCTGTGAAGTGGTTATATGAAATATGGGGGTTTTGGTACTACTAACGTTATCGTACCTTATGAAGAAAGGTCTCTTTGATGAGGTTGAAATTTGAAACTATGCAAGCTGACGCAAACGACGTCCATTTCGCTCGTAGTATGACTTCTCTAATAATGGACATGATCGAAACTCTAGGACTATTGAAGACTTCGCTTGTAACGACAGTCGTATCATTTGAGCACGACAAATATTTGGGACTCCATCCTGGGCTTTAAGGGGTGAAACGAGAAGCCAATAATTGACAAGAAAAGCGTCTGAGTTTCTTTCTAGTTTGGGGTTATTTTAATACTGCTTCAATTTCTAGCGCAAATCTCTACCTAAAGCTACTGAGGGGATTAACAGTGGGCTTAGCAGGTCTGACACGCTAATAGTTACCCATTTGGTGCCTACAGCCAATGCCCCTCTAAATAAGAAACAGGACCTAGCTTATCAATTAAACTGACAATTGCATTTCAATTCAATCACTTAATTCATCAACTCAAATTAATCACTTAATCTAATATTTAAAAGCTGGAAATCAAATTAGAAGCTGAAATCCTAAACATAAATGTTAATTACCAGGCTATCACAGATTGCTATAATAGATGAAGGAAGTTATCGCGGCTGCATTGGCACCTTGCCAGCACCCCATAGGCACCAATCCTACCCCCCACCAAGCTCTGTTAAGGTAGGTTGCTATGAAGATGAACCCAGGAATTGCTGTCCATCCTCAAGTCATCAAACCTGACTTTGTCACATGGCCTGAAGTTCATTGCTTCATCCTAAAGCGACTGAGTTTGCCGCTCGAAAGAGGCAGTGCTGAGAGTTGCATGTTAAGAAAAAAGAGATCAGCGACCAACACGACAATAATCGCTTTCTCCTCGCGGTTGGCTGCCGCCATCCGATCGTGCTGTAATACTCGTTGGCGAGCAAAAACCCTTCGAATACCAAGCGTAGTGACCGGAATCAATTGATCCAGAGGTTTAAAAAATCTCATTAATTTGACCCAAGTTGCCAATGTCTTTTAGTATTAAGACTGACCCCTCCCCTTATAACTTAGGCCGTGCGCCCGATCATAGAGAGGACGGCACAAAGATCCGATTGAAGGTGGCTTGTAAGGCTGAATGACGTATATTTGGCTAGAAATGGAAGTGATGCGACTTTATTTCTCCGCGTCTGACGAGAGCACCTGACAATGCCTTGCCAATTCTATTATCTATATATAGAGGATTAAGATGTTTATTTTAACAGAAGGATCTTATGACAAAACAAGACGAATGACACATCTGTCAACATGCCACAGACTCCCGTCAAAAAAGGCCCTGAGCTCACTATCCACTTGGATCGTCCGGATTCAACATACATTCCTGGAGAAGTGATTACGGGCCATATATCTCGGAAAGCTCACATCGTCGCTTCCTCAGCAACTGTCCGTATCTCGTTGCATGCAAGAAGTAAATCGCGAATGGTGGCGCGGCGCGGGCATTTGACATCGACATATCGCGGACGCTTTGATCTCGTGCAATCAACTGAGTACTCCAAAACGGTTTTTGAAGGTCCTGTGCATATTGCGGAGCACGATGTCGAGCAAAGGTGGCCCTTATCAATCACTCTACCTAACTCTGTAGATGGATCTGCACCGCAGTCGTTAGCAGGGCCGGATCAGACTTATCTGACAGCGGATGTATCGGAACAACCTCTTCCGCCGACATTCTTGATCGAGCGGTACGACTACATGTCTGGAATGTCAGCGTTTGTCGAGTATTACTTGCAGGCAGAGTTGAAGACAGCTTCGAGAGGCTCTGGTACCGCTGAAGCGATACTACCCTTCAGGATGCTGTATATCAGCCCGGAGCCTTTGCCAGCTCACATAGATCTTCACACAACACGCCAAACCCTTGCTCTTCAAGGCGATAACCCTTTGGTGGCCAGCGTTGAGATTCAGACACCGACAACGCTGCAGATTGAAGGTCCAGATCCCATGCCATTCCTGGTCCTTGCAGTTCCACCCGCAGGCGTCGACCTTGAGAAGCAAAAGCCAGGTCTTCCTTCAATTCAGATAACTCGGATCTTCATGAACGTTGTCGCAAAGACCGAGATCAAGTGCCCAAAGGGGAAGAATGTTCATGAGACAGATTGCGAGGCTCGGGTAACACTACATGCCGAAGATGCCTTTAATCAGTATGACGACGAATTATACATCCCATGGCAGAGACCAGCCATAGAATCCCAGTTGCAAGGAACGGGTTCAGGATCTGAGATGAGACCCTCAGAGAGTCTCGATATCGGGACCCAACTCAACCTTCGTCTGCAGCGAAGTAAAGACTTGTATCCATCATTCCAAACCTTCAACATTCGACACACGCACCGCATCCAATGGGAAATGACAGTGGACGCCGGCAAAAGCTTTGAGCTTTCTGGTGAAGAGCCAATCAAGGTCCTCAGCAGGCCTGAGGCCGAGCGCAATACGGAATGGATCCAGCCACCGCCAGAAGACCACCCGCCAAGCTTTTCTGATGACGAGGACGGAGCCGGGTCAGCGTCTAGACGTAGCAGCCGGCAAACAGATCCAGCGGCTGGCGTGGGTGGTTTGTCACGGCTTTGGGTGTTCTGATACGAATTTACCGAATCGGCTTCGGTGTACGGATATTTGGTCAAGAGACGGCCTTTGAGTACGCTTAATTATTTCTTTTCACCGGAGCAACCATTAAATATTCCATCACTCGGACATACCTGTTCAATAACGCAATTTTCTCCTTTATCTCTTTTACGAAGCTATTGTGAACATACTCTCGTTATAAGTCAGCTTGGTCTCTGCCGACTTCGGAGAACCCCTGCCCAAACCTCGAAATCACCGCTTCTGACAATCGGTTTATTCGTTTATCTCCGTTATTTACCCACGGAATCTGCATGGAAATCGGAGCCCGCGGATGAACCCGGCTCCGCTTATTCCTCTCTTGTGTCCGAAAATTCTCTCTTAAAAAGATCTTATCTGATCATCTCGCATTTGACATTTAGTGGATCTGCAAACGTCTCCAAAACCCGTCACGCAGCCTAAGCAAACGCCTGTACAATGAATCTAGAGCAGCTAAGTTTTTATTTCGACTTTGTCAAAGTCATCGTGTCGCATCTTGCCATGATGGCAGTGCAGAAAGGGCAATCGATTATTCATAAAGCTACGTATCGACTGTTACCTGAGTCACGCGTCGTTGTTGTCGTCGGAGGCTCTTTTGCGGGGAGTCTTGTTGCCCAGCGCTTGGCTCACACGCTGCCCTCCGGTTATCGGGTCATTCTCATCGAAAAACACTCTCACTTCAACTACGCGTTCAGCTTCCCTCGAAACTCCGTCTTGTCAGGACGGGAGCATAATGCCTTCATTACGTACGACAACATCGCTGCAGGTGCTCCGGACGGCATCTTCCAGCGAGTCTGCGACGAAGCATCTGACATCACGGAGACCCATGTTCACACCGTCGGCGGGGTCTCCCTCCCTTACGATTACCTCGTCATCGCCACTGGCGCAGCGCAGCCTCCTCCCGCCCGATTGAATGCACGGATTAAAGAAGACGCGATTCAAGAACTACGAGGATTCCAGCAACGCGTCGCCAAGGCCGATAGAATCGCGGTCATTGGAGCTGGAGCTGTCGGTGTTGAACTGGCTACCGAAATCAAAGAAGAGTACCCTAACAAAAAGGTTACCCTCGTTCATTCCAGACAACAACTCCTACCGAGATTTGGTCGGAAGCTCCATGATCATGTCATATCTGCACTTAAGAATCAAGATATCGAGGTTAAATTAGGCGAGAGACCTGAGTTTCCAAGTGATGCTGGTCAAACTGTCCAGGAGACCAGCCTTACCTTTTCTAGCGGAGAGATCAAGACCTTTGACCTCGTGGTACGTCAACAGACCGAACATTGAAGCTATAAAGTTAACACGATTTTAGATTCCCTGCACTGGCCTTCGCCCGCGATCTGACGTCCTCGCCGCATATTCTCCCAAGAGCATCGCGTCTAACGGTGAGATCCTGGTCAAACCAACGCTCCAAGTCGAGAACCTGCCCTCGTCCCAACAGCACATCTTTGCAGTCGGCGATGTGGCCCAGACTGGAGGCGCAAAGCAAGCTCGGGCTTGTATGATGCAAGGCGAGGTTGCAGTCCAAAACATACTGAGCCTTATCAAGAGTAAGAGTGCCACCAAAGAATACAAGCCACAATTCTTTGAAGGCATGCTAAACTTGACATTGGGGACGGTAAGTTCACTGAGCCTTTTTCGACAGCTGGGATTGATATTGACGTGAATTTAGCATAGCGCTGTGGTGCATATCCAGAAAGGAGATTACGAGCTGCTTAAGGCAACTAAGGGACCAGATGCGGATTTAGATGTAGGAAAGATGAGATGGCAGCTCAATGCAAAGTCAGGATGAACTATAACCCCTTCTGTTTCTTTTTTCGTTTTCCTGGCACTATCACGGATGTGTATACCGTTATCTAGTTTCTATCGATGGGATTGTTATCACCTTGTTACTGTTCTAGTCTCATATAATTTATCAACGTATATTTTCTCTAAATTCGCTCCCAAGATTATTTGACATTAGAACAACTCTACATCCAAGGGCAGACATGTCACTGAGGACGATGCACAGGCTAAGCCTTGGCAACAGTCTCGCCAATAACATAGGTAGGTGTTGCGGTGGTGAAGTTCTTGACATCATCCTTAATCTGCTTCGACTCCTCTGAAACACTGGCCTTCTGGAATGACGCTAGGCTGTCCCATGTGATGATGGTGTAAATCTGATAAGGGCTGTCTCCACCGAGCTTGATGACCTGGCCGCTGACGAGACCTTGAGGGCCCCAGAGCCTATGGTTCATTAGACATTGCGATATGTGGCAAGGATGGATAGACTCACTTGTGGGCCAGAGGCATATGAGTGTTGACATAGTAGTCGACATCGAAGTCGTGACCGACAGGGTACTGAATAACAACGGTAGCCATAATGTAGGAGTAGGTACCGAAAAGGCTTATTGGACTGATTGACGATCTGAGTGAGTGATAAGTGATCGATCTGCTTTACCGATTGTTCGGGACCGTTTTTATTTATACAAATAACGGAGGGCCCGGCTATACGGTACCCAATTTAGATGAAGTCATGGGAGTAAGATAAATCCCAGGCCTCCACCTTGAGCTACAAAAAGACAAAAGCAAGACTGATAACAAAACTCGTGGGGCTTGCACTGATTATTTTTAGCACTTTGATTTCTGATTCAAAGTTTTCTTGAGCCCTGAGAAATGAGTTGAAAGATGCCTCGGCATCGGCCGATATATCTCCACTTACGGAACAACTCGAGAAGCCCGAAGATGGAACTAAACTCCACCACGGCGCAACCATTCACTGTGGCACGCACAGCAGGGGGTCACCTAAGAGAGGGTTAAAAGAGCCTTGAATTCTATCGTAGGATGGGGTGGGCTATGCTACTTATAGGTATGTAGAGCACTTTGCCCCTGTTAGGTAAGCTAGACCGATCAGGGCTACCCCATCTTTTGATATTCACCCACATATCGCACTGAAGTCGGCTTCCCATGAATCAATGTCCCGATTCAGCTCGTTCCCGGCTGATTAATCATAGTCCTGGGTGGCCCGTGAGACTGGTGCCGCCGTTTATCCCACCATTGCCGAGGTGATCAGAAAGTCGATGATCTAAGCATCACTGACGACATGAGTTCGAACAATGATGAAGGTGGTTGATAACGATATAGAATGAGTCATACTAAAGTCGGCAGTTGGTGTTGATGACTGTTGCCACTATCCTAACCAACAAAGTCTTCACGATCATCCTCGCCCAGAGCCAAGCTACTCTCAAGATCGTTCATCCAATCAAGACAAGATGCTGACCCCCCAGGCAGAGCTACCTTTGGGGTTGCGCATTCCGCCTCGCGTACAAACATAATGATTCTGCCATTTGCCATAGAGCGACTTTGCTCCAGCTTCCTTGAAAGCGCGGCTTTGGCCTTCTCCTCCATGGCATCCAACCTCGCGCGAGCAGCAGTGATCTCCTGGAGCTTCGCCTCGCATCTGTTCTGCAGTATCTGGGTTTCCTCCGCAAGGCGATCAGTTGTTTGTAGGACACTGTCTCTCAACTGCTCAAGTTCATTGACCGAACCTTGCTCCTCAAGAACTTTGGCTAGTTCCAGAGCGGATGAGATGAGAGCCTCCAGCACAGTCGTATCAATCTGCTTGCGGTTAACAGCGCATCGCCGGATCTCGATAACGAAACTCGTCATTTTATGGCGGCGCTCCATGTCAGGCACATTCTGCTCCATGTAGTGCTGGAAAACAGGGTCTTTCATCCAGAGATGCAACTGGACCATTTCTGGACAATCCCAACCGCGACTTTCCAGAGCATGCGGGAGGGCGCGCTGGGCAAAAGAAAAGCACATGGTCTCGAGGCGCTCCTGCAAATGCATCATGAGCTTATGCTGGGCACTGAATGGAAGATAGATGAGCTCCTGTGGCTCAGGCACTTGTGGCGATATCTCACTCTCCGTGGCTGTATGGTGTTAGAGTCATACCATGGACAATAGGCGCAAGCTTACCACTGTTAATGTGCTCGGGATGAGGAGAATCAGATGATGGCCCATGAGCGCCCTCTGCTACTGGAACTGGATCTTCATTTGGCAGTGTGGCTTCTGGGATGTCGTCAGGCGCAGCGATTAACGGTTCTTGATCTTCAGCCGCTGTGACTGGCTCAATCATCAAGGGCTCTTCTGCAAATATAGCTTCTTGGCCATTAACGTAAGGAGGCTGTATTGCCAATAGCTTCTCCTTAATCTTCTTCTTCTTCTTCTTGTCTTTCTTACTCAAAAACACCTTTCCAGCTGCGGGTATGTTCACTACCTCATTCGTTGGCGACAAGGTATTGACAAGAGCACCATTCTGCTCGCTGTCGTCCACTGGTTCTGGCGAGCAGAGGCTTGTCGCAAGTTCGGCCATGGTGGGAATGGTTGAGGTGAGGTAAGAGTGTTATATCCGAAAGCAAATTGTAGCGAAGAGCGAGACCAACAGCGCTATATGTAGTGGGACTTACAAAAAGAAGACAAAACAGCGATTAGAGCCTTGGCAAACAGGGTTATAGTGGCAATTCAATTACTGTTGGTTCTGATGCTGGCCTCAAAACTGCAACCAATAGGGGTTACATGCCTCCTCAATTTCTCCTAGCCGACCTTGGCTAACGCCTGCAGGAGGCCGAACGCATGCAACCTGGACGTATCAGAGACTCCCAGGTGTCTAGACGGGAAGCAAGGGGAAGCAGTTTCTAAGATCATACTATGCCCGATGATGCCCAAGACTCGTCACCATCCAAATGCTTCTTTGTAGGTGGTGGACTATGAGCTGATTGAGATCAGTGCAGTTCAAAGTAATTTAACCTGAATATGATGTGGCATGGCTGTATAACAAGATTGACGAAGAAAAACAGAGACACCTCCAGCTTCCCTCCCATGAATAATACGACAACAGCCTGGAATGCTGGGTGTTCGATTTACAATCTCTCCAACTGCAGCAGCGTATATGTAAACCCAATCTTATCCATGCAGTGAGTACGTAAGAATTCATCTTTGAATGTGGCGGTCAAGTCTATCATAAATTCTTCCTTTAAATGAGTCTCCTCATTTTCCAGCCTTGCGTCCCGGTGATCATGAGTTCTCAGACCCTCGATGAAGAATTGGGAACATGCTGCAAGTGCAAAGCCGGTCACAGCATCTGCGTATCTCTTCCGAGCAGACATTCTCGCTTCCTCAGAACCTGCCTCGACAACCTCAGGCGACCATGATGTATGTATTAATGGTAACGTATGATGGCTCATCAGGCCCCATTTCGTGTCGACGGCGGCGGCAGATGCCAGTATCTCGTCCGAGGTCCTATAGTACATAGGAAGCCGTCTTGCGATCGTTGGGTCGACCTGATACTTGTCGTAGAGGATGCGAAGACTGGTCTCGAAACATCCAAAGGTTGGAAAAACGCTGATGTCACCGTCACTGGGAACACAAATCGTCATAGTGCCATGTTGGCGAATCTCTTTATGACGCACTAGAAGGAAGTCGACAAAGTCCTCATGAGCTGCAGCAGATAGCGACGAGGGAGTTGACGATACATCAAGCATAGTGCGTAGCCAATGCAAAGCTGTAAAGTTGAAGCCAGCATCAACAAAACCGTCTGGCAGTACCTGCTCAAAGTATGATCTCGGAGATAAGAGAGTGTTTATGGAAACCTTTCCGTTTTGGGTCAGGGAATCCCAGTTTTGATGAACCGTCGACGTCAAACTGGAGAAGTCGTTTGAAGGTGTGTCATTAAAGATCAATGTTGCGGATGTGACAGAAGGAAGTCTTTTTAGGTATTGCGAAAACAGCCGAACTCTGATTTTAAAGGCTTAGCGACTTTGATAACCCGATATCAGGAGGATACATACGAGTTCTGGCCTTCAGAGGATCCATAATCAGCCAAGGTTATTGTTGGGCCTGCGGGATTGTATCAGCCAGATGAAGCCCAAGTGAATGAAACTATCGTCAAAGGTATCATACCACAATGTGCCGAAGGACCAAGCAACTCCAACGACTTGTCTATAGCATGACCTTGAAGAGTAGAGTTGTCGTTGTAGTATCCTCCCCCCTGCATAGATACATTGTCCGCCTTCATTGCGGCAAAGTTCACATTGGGGAGAACCTAGGAAGTTCTGGAAAACGCTTCAAAGTGGTACGGTATGAAATTGTAAGTGACAGGTTTTGTTTAGACGGCGTGGAAGATCCTTTTATTTGGATGAGGCCCTACGTCAGTCCCGATATACCCGATCGGCGATACCCGATTCAGCTTCTGCAAGCCACATCGCGATACAGAGGGTCGTGCCAGCGTCAGCACTAGACGCAATTGAAGCTATCTGTCGCTAGATCTGTAAAAAGTCAAACTTTGAGCTGTTCCACTGTTTGTGAAATTTAGGTATCACGAAATAATCTGGTCTGTTGTGTTACCCTTGTGAGATCACGAGGTCTGTTGATTTTTACATTTGTCCGAGGTTGTAGCAGTTTGCTCGTCAGTAAGGAACCCCTTCATCATACATTGTTTTGAGCCATGTCACGACACTAGGCCGTTGCCATTGGATCAGATGACGGATTAAGGGTCGCGACATGGCACAGAGCGGAGAATGGGGGCCCACAGTCATGATGCGGTACGGAAGTTGAGGAACCAACAGCATGAAGAGCTTGCCAGACATGAAGGAACCGGACTAACATGATTTCGCTGTCTAGCATGCATAATGTGTCAGTAGCAAAGAATGGCTGGAAAGTTCTTACGAGTTACTTGATCATATTCAATACTTAATAGGAGCCATCGGTGGAATATAGTCGTTGTAATCATGGAACGCTGTATAAAACTGGTCTATCTATGTGACAAAAGAAACTAAATGATCGAATGGTATCCCCGCTCCCAGTATATATGAGTGACAGTATTATACAAAATGAAAGACAAAAAGACGATGGTTTCATGATTGTGATTGTGATTGCGATTGTGGGGTTTGCTTTTCCTTGTGTCGATCACCCAAGTGTATTTGGGTAAATAGTTGGCTGGGGTTCATGTTCGCGAACTGCAATAGCGCGATTGATCGTCGAACAGGAATGCCTTTGCTGGGTATACAGATATACAATTTCGAAGTAAGCGACTCATCGGGGCAGAACTTCTTAAAGTATGCTGCTTTGCCTGATACAGGCACTGACTGAATCATTTGGTTGTAGCCATCCTTCCAGAGTCGCGACACCAGCTTCGATGAACCTGTGACCTCTTGAACCTCGTCGAGGGGCTCAATACCAAGGCTCATGTAGCCCACGTCAGAAGCTTTCAACATTTCCATAGCAGTGAAGACAAGAAGGTCTGAAATTCCTTTTGGTGCATCCTGGGATGCGATGCAGGGATCGAGGTGATAGCCCCTCTCCGCGCCAAGTTCTCGTAGTGTCGCAAGTCCGTTGATCTTGCCGTCGCGGTCGGAAGTGTATAGGAAGATTGTTGATTCGGGTAGAGAGAAGAGATCGTAGACAGTGACGAAAGCTTGCGAGCCATCTCCATGCTTCTTGTTTCGGTCCTCCCTCCAATCGTCGTAAAGATCCTGCAGCTGTCGCTCTAGCTCAGGGTCTGCCTCATTGACAGCGGGGCTGTAGAAATTCATCGTGACACCCCCGCGTTTAGGGTCGAGAAGCTGCTTGTTCTGGGAGATGATGCGTTTGCCTGCTTGCTTTCGGAGCACCTTGTTGGTCAAAGGGTTGAGAACAGCTTCGTGGCCAAAATGCATCGTCGCCCAGCCTTGTTGGTGGGCATACTTGGCAAACTCCTCGCTAATCCCGACAAATGCGAGTGATAGGCCGCGAGCCCAGCGGTAGTGTCGAAGCTCAGTGAATAGTGCTTTGCGATGGAATTCTGAGCATAGTGGATCACCAGCGACGACAACAGTCCTGGCGTGGAGCTTGTAGATCAACGATCCATAACCTTTCTTGCTAACAAAGACCTTGTATGCGGGGTCGAGGATACCCATGTGAGATGTTTGTGCGTATGATTGGTAGACGTGCTTGAATGCAGCCTTTGTGGCCGTGTTGTTGGGGCTGTTCCTTTGGTGGTCCTTCTGTAACTGGTGGGGGCATTTTATGTGCGACAGGCCTTTGGCAGCGTCGTAGGTCCTTGAGATGATGCCCTCGTCTGGGAGGACGGTTGATGGGGCTGTAGATGCTGATGTAATAGAGATGTCTGTCTGAGAGTGTTGGTATGTTGATGATGATGCAGACTCTACGTCGGAGTACAGGAAATCGTGTCTCTCCATGGTTGAGATGTTGAGATGGAAATGATCAGGGATTAGAAATGCTTAATTGCAGTAGAGCTGTCGTGCACGAGTTTATGCCTTAATTCTGGATAAACAACAAGCTAACTGTCAGGGCTATCGTACTTATAAGTCGAGCCAGGATGGGCAACGGCACCTTGTGTCAGCCCTCGGACTCGGGGGGCTGCGTCACAGAGTAGCAATTCATGGCTGGGCATTCTCCATCCCGTAACGTCTAATGAAATTTAAACTCAGCCCTGCTGTCTCGTAAAACTCGTAAGAGTGAGGCTCAGCCATTCTGCAATCTCATGTTACGGTTCTGGAGGCTTCATTAGCTCCAGAGTTCAGACAATGTTGAAAATGTACGACCTGGCCAATTAGGTTTCCGGGATGATGTGGTCTTGGTTGCCGATTATCCGACGGCTCCAACCCAGTCGAGACATTATCGCGCGCGGACCCCGTAGACTGATCTGCTGAGCTTGCAGGGGGCTACGGGGTATCCTGCGCTAACAGAGTGCGCTAAGTTTAGGAAGCAAGAAAGCTCCTAACAGTCAACCTAGCTGCCAAAAAGACTTTGACCAAGACATCCACTGGAACGTGGGAGAGCATACGGAATTATTTTGCGCTTTTGAATAAAAAGTTAGACGCTTTCTTACTTCCTCCGGGCTCCGTAGCACCCTCGCGCAATGGGACTCAATTCGGGAAAAAGGGCTTTCGGGGTCCTTGAATTGCGTTGCCAACACGGCATGTGAAGTCATTTAATTAATTCTTATGCCTAGAGAGCGGGTAAGCACTGCCCTTTTCTCCGAGATTCATCAGGTTAGTCCAATCATCCCAATCATGGCTGATGCCTTGAAGCTCGCCAAACGCTCTTGTGTGCCAGCTAAAATAAGACTCAGCCTCAACGCCAGCACCACTGACTTCATAAGGACCATCAGGGCTGGGTCTGGACCTTTTCCACGTCATAAGAAGCTAGCAATGGAACAAAAGAATGTCACCTTTCAGTCTCACAAATCTCCCTAAATGGCCCAACGCCCACTTTCTCACATTTGCCAAGGCTGTAGCGCGTCTTTCGGCACTGGACTCGAGGAATTACTACGCGCAGCTTCTGTCCCCATTTTGCTGCGCAGAGAACGAACGTACCAATTAGGTACTCCATTCAATTCACAACCCGCCGCAACGCACATGTGCCAGACCGTCATGAAAGCCTCTAGACAAAAAGCTTGTATTGAGGGGAACTATCGTGTTCTCATTGATCACTTGCGTTCGCAGCCTATAGCTTAACCCTGTAGGCAGCAGTCAACTGCACATTGTGCCAGACTTGGCTACAACAGCATGTTATTTATGCTCAAGATTACTCCATAACCGTGTCTTCGATAAAGACAAAAGGAGAAGCAAGGGCCTGCAATCAACGAATCAACGAGATTGACGCCCGCCACGACGATGAGGAACGGGCTGCGCAGGCGGCTACCCCAACCACGCATGGTAGATAAAGCCAAGACTCCCAGTCTAGCATCTAAAGAACAGCCTTCAGAAATTCTATCGCATCATCCATGCCCTCAGGTGACTTGAACCAGTGTCCTCCGCTCCCATACTCCCTCCATGCCACATTCGCTCCAAGACCTTTAAGAATCTCGCACTGCCTCCTACCCCAATCCACCAATACCAACGGATCATCGACGCAATGTTCCAGAAGCATAGGCGTATTCTTGAGAACGTCGCTGTGCGTCGGGGAGGAATCGAGTTGAAGCGTCTTTCGCATCTCATCAAGTGATCGCCCTGCAAATGGACAACGACCGCTGAAGCCAATAAAGGCGCCCAATTTTTTGTCTGGGGTCGGGATGTCGAGGTTGAACAATGTGTGCACGCTTGTCGCAGAGCCCATGCTGATGCCCATCAGAATGACCTTGTCCCACCTCCCGTTTAAGTCGTTTGCTTCCTTAGCCAGAATGTCGCGAATTTTAGGCACGACTTCCTTGAGCCCTTCTGCCTGGAGGTCTTCATTTTCCGCCAAGTTCCTCACGTTCCAGACATCGAACCACTGGTTCCATACGTCGGGTGAACTGGCGCATTTTCTTTGAGGTGCTTGAGGAAATACCCATCGAAAAGAAGGGAAAGCGTCGGCGAGGGTGCGGCCTTGGGAGTCGCGCGAGTATTGTAGCGAGCTGCTGAAGTTGGCAGCGTTATCTCCACGGCCATGCAGGAACACGACTGTGTGAGTGTGCGTCTGGCCTTGTCCTGGTGGCACTGTAATGCTGGTGAGAGGAAGAGAGCCCATTGCGTTGACGGTAGAAAGGGCGTGATAACAAAGTCGATGATGAGGTGAAGTTTATGAGGAGGAGTTCTTTATAAGGCGATGCTGCCTGGAGCAGGATGCCCCACTTTAGTACCCTGAATCACACATCCAACCCTCCAATGATGGCATCTTTCTTACCGCGCGTCTTCCACCCTAGACAACGTCTTCTCTCAACCATTTCTCGCATCGACTTCACCTGCACTGCTAGCAGCACCAAAAATATCCTCAAAATACTTCCACTATCGTAGATCACTTCAGGTAATTGTTTGAGAATTAATGATGCAGACACCATGAACCCTTCATCGCCAGACATACACAAAACACTTGACATAATTGACCATGTCCACCTTGAACATCCCGCTTCAGCGTTATTGCGGGCCTTCCTTCTCGAAGCCGTCCAACCCCAGAGAGCTGCTAAGTACCTACAAGGCCGGCTGAAAGCTGACGGACATTTTGGTCTTCTTGTTGCCGATTGGATTTATGTTGTTGATTCAGGTCAGTATCTCCCCTTGGCTTAAGAAAACGTCTCTCATTGAACAGCACGTAGTCCCCTCGGCCAAGCACCCGCGATGCCCCTCAGCTGATGAGATCAATGCCATTACCAAGCGAGACGGAGGTATATGCTGCGTCACAGGCAAAAAAGGTAGCTTCTGGGACCCCATGATAGTTGCCCCGATCTTACCTGTGCCATCTGCATGGCTCAAAGGAGAGGTCAGTTCTTCTTGTTCCTGTGGCTTGCATATATCCTCATGTCCAACTTAAAAACCAACCACGTATCATAGAGCTCCTTGAAACATTCTTTGGCCCCCAATACTTCGATTGGTGGCGTTTTCTCATCGATAGAGCCGATATATACTCACTGGCTCGTCCGCCGGAGCGTGCACCAGGCCTTTCAGCGCGGAGTAGTCAAATTAACACGATTGCCTTCATCCATGATAGAGGTAAGAGGAATTGTCCATATGAAGGAACATCAGTTCTAACAAAATTGTCTAGTTTAGAATGGAGCATGTTGTCATTGATGATGAGCATCCTGTGGATGTGAACGGTGCTATTGCTTTACTGGGCGACCATTCACGGCAGGGCATTGAGAAGGTCGAGGCACGGCTAATTGGTTCACATGCCCGCTTCTGCAGAAGCATCCAGCTTGTGAATCTTGCAAGGACCATTGCTCCTGATCTGTTCTCTGAGCCGAAAACCACCACATATATCCCTCCACAGCAGTTCCCTCTCCGCATGCGCTCGAGTAATCTTGGCCTGGGACACCAATTCGTATGTCCAATAATGCTTTTGTGGCGGCTGTTTCCATCAAAAGTTCGTATTGCGGCATACGATCTGTTGAGAAGACTGGGAAAAATGCTTCTATGGAAGGGATGGAGATGCGCAGGTTCAGAGGCTACCTTTTGGACTATACCTCAAGTATAATTCCAACCCGGATACCCTGAGGAACGAGTATAATGGCCTCAAGGACGTGGAACAAAAGACGACCATTCCTGCGCCACGAGTCTTCGATATAGTGTCTTAGAACAATGACGAGGACGATTTGAGTTATCTCCTCATGAGTAGGGTTCCAGGCACACCATTAGCGATATGTCGGGATGCGCTTTCTGACCAAGACTACGCCAACCTTTCTGTACAGCTCAAGGACTGTGTATCGCAAATGCGGGGCATAACCAAGCCGACGAGTAATGATATAGCTATCTGCAATACCTTGGGCGAAGCCTGCCGAGATCCACGAATTCGAGATTGGTCCCCTATCGGACCCTTTCCAGATGAAGCGCCGTTTAGCCAAAATTTACGCTTCTCAGATGAGCCCAGCCGGCGTGGACACAAGATTGTTTTTACCCACGGAGACCTCAACCCTCGCAACATCATGATGGAGCGGATTAGCAACTCTGCTGGAGCGAGAGGATGGCGGTTGAGTGGAATTATAGACTGGGAAACAGCAGGATATTATCCTGAGTATTGGGACTACACTAAGAGCATGTTCGAAAGCTTTCGGTGGCCAAGGAGACATAACGATATGATGCAAGACGTGTTCAGCGAGTTTGGTGATTATAGCGAGGAATTGGCAGTAGAGAGGCGGGCTTGGGAGTCAGGAGACGGAATTTGATAAACGAATGAACTGAGTGTAATGACTGTGACTACTCCAAGAATGGCCCATATGTTGAATATGCCATTCCACCCCCATATATGCTCCTCAGAATCCCTTATTCGTAGACAAGGTAATATTCTTTCCAAGATGACATCCTCTGTTAATCTGATGAACCTCATGTAGCTTAGACAATGAAAACGGCAACAACGCCATTGAGGGTACCAATACATTCACCATCAACGACGTTGCCAGTGAAAGGGCTGCTACCATCAGCGTGGTTGCTGAACCCACGGACTGCAAGTTTCGGAGTTAGATGATACGACAAGAAAAGATAGAAGGTGAGAAACGCACAAGCAAGGTTGTCTCCGTTGGAGTTGACAAACAGACCACCACGAGAGCCTGAGGGGCCACCGCTATGGAATGTGCCGCCCTGGTTCGGGTCAAAGTCGATGAAGCGGGATCCAATGAAGTTCTGACAGCCAGTATCAGAGTAACTAAATCTTGGTGAGATCATAAGACATGTTGTATTCAGTGCAGGGAGACCAACAAGTTGACCTGGACAGAGGCAGCCATGGTCATGGTGGCCAAGGTGGCAACAGAAAGAAGGCTAGTGAACTGCATATTGAAATAAATCGGTTGAGTGCTGAGTATTTGTTTCTGTACTGTATTTGACTGTACGAAGAAGATTGTAAAGCGTTGATTGTCATAAGAAGCCCAGGGAGCAGCGGGCGTTTATATACCTGTTAAGTTCCATCAAAAATCGCCAACATTCTTAACTCTAGTCGCAGAGGGCTTAACGGAGATTATTCTTCACCTGCATCTAACACAGCTATGAATGAGCGTACGCATAAGCGGGACGTATTGCATCCGAGCGACTATTCCGTCACAAAAGTCAAAATGAGGTGACCTATTCTAGGACTTACAACTCATGAACATGCATAGCTGTGTGGTGGTCATGCATCAATGCATTGGAATTGGGGGTCTGCGGACTCCGCAAGGAATCAGATCAACCATCAGGAGCAGTTGTCGTCTGCCAGCGTACGCGTTTTTGGTTCCCTGGCTACTATATGGTGGGTAGTAATGCGCGGTCAAGGAGGTTCTCGTTCAAATGTGGAATTCTAATTGGCTTGCTATGAGGATAAAGGCGAACCGTGAACGGAAAACGGCACTGGCTCCACTCCCGTCCTCATGTAGTATTGACTGCGTGGGGTTGCGTCTGTAGCACAACGGCTGTAGACTAATAACATTGTGTCGGTAGGCTGCATCAATATTCGGCGACATAAATCGAGGCTGGTACGAGGACGACTTCCCTATTTGCTAATACCATCCTCGGAAGGTCAGGGAAAATCTGGGGTCGGCTCTCGTGTAAGCAAGGGTTAGCAGCTACAAGCTGAAGGCGGAGACTTCTAACCCACCTCTTCCCTTCAGTTGCCGCAAGTCTCCTCATTCTGATATACCAATCATTATATTTCACAGATCGACGTATAAGCGGGGAACATAAGCGGCGACTACCTATAGGTAGGAGTGGAAGCGGCCCGAGACGGAACAATCAAGCCGAAATGAGGCTGACATCGGAGATTTATGAGGTAACGAAACGGGTTTATTACTAACTCTTCCGCACGAACTCCGCATTGTGTACTCTATCATAACTTGATCCTTTCTCTACCGTGAGTGTCATTCCACCTAAGAATCATAATACTTGAATACGTGAGTAGAGATCTTTTCTCCCTTCGAATCATATCTCTGAGGCAGAACATTGAATAACCCATCCGCATCCCGAGGCTCATAGTCAAGTGTCGAGGCAGCCTGAATAAGTACAGGCAAGCCATAATTCTCTTTGAGCCAATAGGCCACCATATCCATGGCGGCAACAGCACCAGATCCTGTCCAAATATTCCCATCAATGATCCATTTCTTCTCACGTGTCCAGTTGACCTGAGGCCAGCGGTTGCGAACCCACTCAAATTCGATGTTGTTCACAGTTGCTGTCTTTCCGATCAGAACACCCGTCGATGCGACGAGACTTGCTCCAGTGCAGCTTGTAAAGAGCAACCTCCCTGTAGCGACATGTTTGCGGATGAAGTCGGCATGCTTTGGGTGCAGATCGAAGTTCCCGAGATAAGGTCCTGGAACAAGCAAAATGTCAAGCTCAGGACACTCATCTACCGTGGTTGTAGGGATGATAGTCATCTGTCCAGTGCCGAGCTTGACAGGATCTCTGGTGACGCCGATATGGTGAAATGTGAATTGTGGCGCCTGCGAGATGAGTTCATCGCTGACAGATCCGTACTCTCGATTGATACGGAATGCTGACTTGTTGGCCGAGCCGAGGAGATCCATAGGTCCGCTGGCATCAATTACTTGATACGCAAAGGCCAGAATGCCGAACTGAATGGTGGTCATGACTGAGGTAGACGAGATATATGTGCTTAAGTATATGTTTGGGAAGATTGATAAGTAACATACTAACGACAGAATGACCAGCAGGCTTATTTATGCCCAAGACCTTTGTAAAGTATCATATTAAAAAGTGCTGATGATAACGTGAAGGTTTTCAAAGTCTCCACCAGCGGCTCCAAAATTACAAATGCTTGTGGTGTCTAATATCCGTGATCATTCGGATATAGCCCTAAGAATCAGCTTGAGGTTTTGTCGCTTCCCTACTTTTCTCTCATGTGCGTTGGAAGATTGCGACTTGGTGCATTCATACTGACAAAGAGAATAATGGTACCCAAGAGACAACCTTATGATCTTGTGTAAAGATCGCCAGAGAATTGCGCCGGACGCGGCTTCTGGTTCAAACAATATGACTGGCTCACTCGATCTGGGAGTTGAGTAATCTGGGCGCTGTTGCTGGGTTCGGCAACGTGATTTATATCCGGACGCCTTCGGATACAGCATCGGAAATCTCGGTATCCCATGAATGAGCACATTTAATTTTACGAAAGCTCTTACCACATCTTTCAAGATGATCGTCTTCTGAGCTACCAAAGCTGGAGAGATCTGCTCTCATGTAGTACCATTCGAACATCGGTAGTCGTGTCAGAAAAAGGGCGCTCATTACTCATATTGGATTACTCAACGCCCATGACATGGGTAGGATTACCCAATCAACTCTCTTAGTGCTCCATCAACACAAAAGAAAACCATTAAACCTTGACAGCATTCACAAAGGACATAAAGTGCTTATAAATCAGAATTAGATAGGGGGTTTCTGACAGTGTCCCATCATCATGAGATGGATGGATGTATAAGGGTGCCTCGTCTCTATGCCAATAGCCAATCTTCAACCTTTCTCTCATTAAAAGTCATCATGCGGTGCCTGTATTTACTCATCTTTTCCGTCGGCTCTCTCTGTGCTGTTTCAGAGACCTTCTCACTGCCAAACATCAATGCCACCTTTGCCAAAAGCCCTAAGCCATTCCAGATCTATGTTGATCGAGGTTTCATTGAGGACACCCGGCAGCGGGTTGCTCATACCAGATCACCAGTATTCATAAATGAGTCAAGCGATGGTCCCGGTGCTGAGAATTTCACAAGCGTTCGTGACCTTTGGGTCAACGAATATGATTGGAATGCTACAGAAGCATCTATCAACAAGAGGTAAGGATCACCGGAACAGACATGCCAACAGTGATCACTGATGCTTTACGAAGATTGGAACACTTTACAACTATTGTTGAGCCTGAAATCGACAACGCCACTCGTCTGGTACCGCTGCATTTCGTACATCACCGTTCATCCAGGTCCGATGCTATCCCGTTACTGTTCATTCACGGATGGCCAGGTTCTTTCCTTGAAGTCGGTAACATTATAGAACATTTGACGAATCCACCAAATGCATCCCTACCAGCATTCCATGTCGTTGCGCCTTCAATCCCTGGTTTTGGATTCTCTCCTGCACCGACGCAGCCAGGGTTTGGCCCCGCGGCGGCTTCCCATGCCTTCAACGAACTGATGCTTCAGCTCGGCTACTCCCGATACGTTATCCAAGGTGGAGATTTCGGTGGTGTCATCCTTCGCTACCAAGCCCATAATTTCCCAAAGAATGTGATCTCTGCACTCAGCAATTTCTGGATCATCCAGCCTGGAAATAATGACCTTCGTCGACTTGCACAGGGAGAAGCAACGCCCGATGAGGTTGCGTACATCAAGATCATAGAGAATTATGAGAACCAAGGATCTGGCTACCGACTGATTATGTCTACGGAACCACTCACCCTCGCATATGGCATGACAGACTCACCACTTGGGAACGCCATGTGGATGTACTCCATTATGAAGAGGGTCATTGACCCAGCTATCATGGCTTGGACTCCCGAGGAGATCATTACTTGGTCCATGATGTATTGGATCCAAGGTCCGTACGGTGGCATGCGGTTTTATAAGGAAGTTCAGAATGATGGGGGTTTCGAAACACTCGACTTTGGGACCCTGCCCCTGGTAGAGATCCCAGTCGCCATCAGTCAATTCCCTTACGACTTGACTTATCGTATGCCGCTGGATTGGGCAAAGCGAGGAGGAAATGTTTTAAAAAGAACTGTACATGACCATGGCGGCCATTTCGCTGCTTATGAAGTCCCTGATCTGCTTCTCAACGATATTTGGTCTTGGTTTGGAGATAAGGAAGCTTCAGGCACCAAGGCATTCGACCAAGCCATGTCATGAGGCGCCGACAAACCCCTAAATAGCCCTCAGTCCTTCAGTCAGACTAGTCCATAGTTATAGCAATCAAACTTCTACAATATTTCTAGGACTAATAAAACCTTTACTTATGAAGACTCATCGTGATGCGCATCCCGCAGTAAATACGAGGACAAGCGAAATATTTGAAAGTCATGTTCTATCTGTGAAGCTCCAAGTATCAGATCTTATGCAACACAGGATAATGTCAATTACCAAAAAAGCGCGCCAGCTTCTATTGTCGTCTGACTAAATACTACAGACCCTACTTCGGGTTGAGGTATTTCGTATATAAACCTGCGCGAGCTGCTGGAACAAAGCTGAGCAGATGGTATTAGTGCTCCAGGTTTATTGGAAAGCAATTTGAAGCACAGATAATGATGTTCGTAATGCAGGAGAGGAGATGTTACTATCTAAGCTTTTATTGAGATCGATAAAATACAATGTTATTTTCCAACTCTCGCTGAGAAGATCGCTTCCCAGGATTCATTCTGATCCGCCTGGTCATGAGACACTTAATTCAAGGGTGATGCTAATAAGCCAAAGTGTTTCTGAAGCCCAAGCCGATCTAGAAGTCTTGATCCGGTACTACCAAGGCCTTTTCCCTGCTCTAAACACTTGACTCTGAGTGAGGCAATTTCCTCATAATATTACGTAGCGAACTTGCTGAGGGCCCGTAGCTTCGCACCGTAAAAGAACAAAACCCACATACCAAAGATACCAATGACGCTGAGACCTCCCAGAAGACTTGTTCCTTTGGCAAAGCCGAGATTCTTGTAGAGCGGATGAGCAAAAAGAATACTGCCGCTGGCTAAGGCACTTCTAAAGAAGTCGTTCGCTGCGAACAGTGAAGCAGAATATTGAGGGTAGGTCATGGGAACATAGAGGAATACTACCTGTAGCACTGTGAAGATTGAGCCGGCATAGATCGTTACTCCAATGACTGGCACGATCCAGTGTATGGAAGCCCTAGCCGTCCATGCAAATATGAACAGGCCAATTGTCGGACCGAAGCAGGCGGCAAGTCCAGGCGACAGTACCTCTTCTTGTTGGGCGATGCCAGACTTCTTCATTCGTGGGATGAGCACGTAATAGAGATACGCGCCGTATAAAATGATAGCCAAGATGCATCCCACGGCGATACAGATGAACACAAGGCCAACCTCGCCAAGAGTCATGTCATAGTAGACAGGAAAGACCAATGGGAAGACCTCAAAGTCTGGACGGTCAGATATGAAAGCGAAACAGAGGCAAGAGTTACTTACAAGAGTAGTATATAGCGTAAAGTATAGCAGAGTATATTTGTACAAATAAAACTGCCGGATCTTTGATGGTGATTTCCAGGGGCTTGATCAAGGCATCTACGGCTATACCTGAGACGGTCAGATGCGCCTGATCGATCTCACTCTGGGACTGAAGCCTCTGACTTCCGGCAAATCGGCGCAATCTTTCGGCTCGGCGATGGAGGATGTTAGGGGCGCTAGTTTCTGGCATGAAGATAAACAGAGCGATGAGTACTGGCGCCGAGACCCAAATTGACTCGTACAAGGACCAACGCCACCCCTTTGCTGTAACAGCGTATGCACTGATCAAAGGACCAAGAGATGCTGCAAAGCAATCAATACATCTCCGATAAAGCGAGAATCGCTGGAACACTTACGACCGCAAGACATGGCGCCAACCCAAGCGATCATGGCGAGGGGCATGTGTATCATCCCATACATGTCGCCCAATGACGCACCACCAGAGGCTAAGCAAGGAGATCCGAAGAACCCCTGCAGAAAACGTAGGACGACGAGTCCCGCAAACGAATCAACCAAGGCTGTCGGGATCGAAATGATAACGAATATGCCGAAGGTGATAATGTAGACAGCATTGCGGCCGATACGAGGTATTTCTCCAAGAGGAGAAAATAGCAATGGACCTATGCCGTATCCTAGAACGTACATAGCAAGACCGAGCGTTGCTTCCAGGTTGCTGACTCCAAATTTCTCCATAACACCTTCAACAGAGGGTGAGTATATCGCTGAGCTGAGATACACAACGAACGTATAGAAGCAGATGATCAAGCTAATGAGGGCTCGACGTAGGTTGGACCAGTTCTGCGGGTTGGCGGGGTCTTGGTCAGAGTACCAGTCAACTAGAATGACTCCGTTCTCGGTAACATTGGGCGTGGCACGAGTAGGTCTATCAGTGTCTTGAACTTTGGCCTCGAGATCTAGGCCTTCGATGGTATTCTGATCGGATGTTGGATTGACGATAGTCGAGGGAGTGTTCGTCCCAGTATGGAATGCGGTTCTTAGGTCGGTACTGTTGAGGACATGATTCCAGGCAGCAGGTAGCTCAAACTCTGGGTATTCTTCTGGATATCTGAAGAGGCGGTTGTTGGTAACAAATCTGAGAATTTGTCCCAGTGGCGCGTCTCGGATCGTGTCGCGAAGAGAATCGGTGGTGTACATGATTCTCTCCTAGTTCTCAGCGGATAACGGCAGATAGAGATCGATATAGGTATGGGAATTCCAAGGATGGTAACAACGAATTCGATATTTAATCACTATTCTATTTTATACGCTACATACCGTGTTACATAGTACATCAACAGTCTCACGTTATGTAATGGTGTCCGGGTCAGTAACGTTAACGTCCATCATGCCCATTCTCGCCAATCCCGATCTCGCAGGAATAGAGAACTTAGATGAGATGGAGCATAGCCAAATTCGCTTTGGAGATTAGGAAGCATGTACAGTACTGACTAATCGACACATGGGAATGCTGTATATCCGACCACTGTCGGATATCAGACGCAACTAATTGGAACCGGGCTATAGTCGGACAACAATTACTCCGCTGTAACGTGGATAGATTATCAATCCGCAATAGTCGAATTTGAAAGCAATAGCAACTTGATAATGAAGTAGAAGATGTCATAGGCTATATATCCGAAAGCCCACCGGTAAAAGGAGTATATAGGTAGAAGAAAACCTGCCGCGACAAAGGAATGTGTATGATGAACTGGAAAATCCTAAGCCCAAGTTATGCCAACCACATCACCTGGGAATTCACTCCTCGGTATTTCGGTGGTCACCCTCTGTCGCTCGTCAAATCAATACACTGCTTCGAATTGGCATCTGCAGGAGGGAATGCACTTGTGTCACTCCGTTGTATGAGAGACCTGGGAGACTTTTGAGTTTCTGGAGGGGCAAACATTCGTCCAGGTGGCCACTTTGGTTGACTGGGTGGCGATCTACCTGCGAACACCGGTGGACCATCGAGTGGATTTCCTTCTAGCCGCCCAAGGGACGAACCTGGAATTGGGGATGTAAAATTGAAATCAAGCTTCTGACCCGCCTTGCTTGGCTTCGGGGTCTCGTCGTCAGAGCCTTCAGATAGCTGCGAGGACTGTCGACCAAGAATGTTGGACTTTTCAGATCCTTTCTTGCTACTTGATCCAGCCTTCGGTGTTTCAGGAGTTTTCCATAAGACCGTTGTGTCGTTCGAAAATGATCTAAATGAGAAGGCTGAAGTAGAAGCTACAGAAACGGCAACCTCAGAGTGAGCATCGCCATCATCTTGGTGGGTGCCTGCGGGTGATCTTGATCTTGACTCATAGTTTGTAGGATTATAGTCAGAATCATCTGGGTCGTCATTGTCCACCTCTGCAAGCTCGGAATCTTGTGTTGAGCTAGCTGTTTGTGCTGTCTCTTCGCGATGGCCGCGGACCGGCAATTGTGCTATTGCCTGAACTCGGTGAACGGCTTCAACTTCCGTCGTAACCGCGGAGCCATTCGCCAAAATGACATGTAGCCTCTCTGTTATCTCTTTCTCGACTTGTTTGGAAATTAATTCTCTCTGCATGGTGCATATATGATGCATCAGCATCCCTAGGAACAGCGGTGTGACCTTTTTATGTGCCATGTCGTCCAATTCCATTCCAGCAGGAGCATCTAGCAGATCGCGAACTATAGGCACGACGAGTCTTCGCTGTTCGATATCTTTCTCACGAAGTGCTCGTGATTCAGCGGTCGCTAATAGGTCTGCAACCGATCCCGTCTGTTGCTCGCTGTGTATATGTTTCCACTGCTCGATGTACGAGGCAATTAGAGGCTTGAAGACTCGGGTTGCCCGTGTATGTGCATTGTCAATGATCATCTAAAAGGCCAGAATGTCGGCAAGGTTTTTGATGTCGCCCTTCCAGATCGCTCGCATGACCTGTTCACATCAGTGTAAGCTTCGACGGTGTATAGGCCAGTTATAGCAATACGAACGTAGCCTTCTTTCCGCCTTCTTGTTAACACCTCGTCTGTATCCCTTCGACTACATGGCGCGTCAAAGTTCTCCGCAAAATACATGAGCCATGCGGTAACAAAAGACCCAACAGTGGTAATTGTAGGAATCGGAGGGATGTGCGCGTGTCTGGGAAGCTTAAAAGCATATTGAGCTGTTTGCTGGACCAAGCTGATCGCACAAGCTGCGGCGTTGGCGGCTTGGCAGTTAACAACGCGTTCCAGGGTTTCGTTCTGATCCTTTTCTCTCTTATGCTCTATGATAAGCCAAGGATAACACCGGAGGTTAGCCTCCAATGGAGACTTATCAAAGATACGAAAAGGAGACGGCTCAAGGCCAACTTTGTTCAGTGCTTGAAGTGTCGACCAGGTGAAAGGCTCCATAGCGCGGGAGTCCTCAGCCTGGCTCCATTGTCGCGCTTTGGGATCTACCACTTTGGGGAGTCTAGTGTTATTATCATGATGGTAAATCGGCAAGGAAAAGACTTGATCGGGCTTCGGGCTCTTCACTGGTCTTAATCGTGTCGTTGTTGCGTTCTGATCGGGTTCAAATAAGGTCCATATCTGGTCACCGCTTGTGTTCATCGTGTTAAATACGTATGGGGGATAAGACTTGGTGTTAAGCATACCGTATAACCCGATCATAGTAGTACTTGTTTCGTGATACTCTAGGTAATTGTGTAAGCTGCAATGATGTATGTATGGTAGCAAATGACTTACTGTCTTGAATCTTCTCTAGACGTAGACAGAGAGTCCGTAAGCTGATCGAAGAAGCACTTTTCGAAGATTCCATGCCAGACCTTTTCATCATAGCCCCCACCGACTCTGCTAAGGACTTCGTGTTGAATCTTCTCTGCTGCTTTACCAACTGGTTCCCGATTAAAGCCATGGTTCAAGTCCTTCTCCACCTCTTTCGAGATTTCATGAAAAGAATCATTTCTTCCATTGAGGACGCATGAAAAGTCCGTCAAACATCTTTTGACCTCTTCCAAAGGCGGTGGGGGCACAAAGCTCGTTAGAAGCGGGTGTGTCTCATCATAGAAGATATTAGCTTGACCAAGGTCGTAGCGACTCCAAGACATATTGAATCAGACGTGCATACATGTGGTTAAAAGAGGGGAAGGAGGGGAATAAAATAGCTCAGAACCTTGGGAGTATGTACGGAATCAGTGAATTACCCGCCACGGTGCCATAGGACCAACACTTGGTCATGTGTGGAGAGGCTGCATAGCTTCTCGCTGCTCAGAAATCCAACTCTAGGCTGCTATTGAAGGCGATGAGGACTTGGTCTCTGTGGGGACAGATGCAGTCTGCTTCAAATATGGAAGGTCTTTTGAATGCACTTTAGCCACAGAGCATAGCGCAGCCCGTGTAGTAGCGTGACCACCCGCCAGCATGGCAGCGTTTCAATGACAGTTCTTATGATTGCAGTACCCGTAGTGATAAATAGTCAATTGGAAGTCCCCTATTTCTCATAACATTCAGCCTAGCAATATAATGAACCTGACAAAGTTCCTAGTTATATTCAAGTCCAAGCATATTTCGATAGCAAGTCCCGAATATCGTTAGTCGTAGCATTATGAAATAGCCGTCTTTCCAGCCTCATCAACCTTATCGGGAATCGCTCCTCGATCTAGAAGTAGCCGCACATAACTCTCAGCACTGGGGCCACCGCTCGAAGTAAAATATGATAGTGGTGCCCTACCATCATTGTCTGCTGCATTAACATCTGCCCCATGATCAAGTAGTAACTTAGTACCCCTGTAGTTAGAACAGGCCGCCGCATATGATAGTGGTGTCCTGCCATTGTTGTCCGCGCGATTAACATCTGCACCATGGGAAAGCAATAACGAGACCAAATCTGCACTGACACTGAAACTTGCGGCATATGATAGCGGCGTCCTGCCATTGATGTCATCTCTATCAACTGCCGCACCCCGGATCAGAAGCCCTTCTGCTATGCTTGGAGGCAACTTTTGGCTACGATATAATAAACCCGTAGCTGGATGGCCTTGTGGGCAAATGAGGATGTCCTGATACTGCCAGCTAACAGCGTATGACAGAGCTGTACGGCCATTGCGTGTGTCAGACACATCAGTATAGGTGCCGCTATCTATTAGAAGGCGTGCTTGGCTTTCTGCCTTCAACTTGACGGCGAGCAACAGGGCGCTCTGGCCGTGATTATCAATCGAGTCGATCCCGGCACCCTTGTCTATAAGATACTCCATAATCGAAAGGTTGCTATTCAAAGAAAGTATCAACGGTGTTCTTCCTAAGCGATCGATTCTGTCGACTGTATCGCCATGAGATAACAGGATCTGTACAATCGTTCTCGTGGCTTTCCCTTGTTTCAGTGACCACGTCAGTGCTGTGTAACCTTGGCTGTCAATTGCGGTAACATCGACCCCATGGTCAGTCAATAAATACAGCTTGGCTTCGGGCTCTTTTTGGCTACAAGCGGCCCAGAAAAGTGCTGTCCATTGCTGGTTGTCCTTTGCATTAACATTGGCTCCGCTTGAGATCAGCAATCGCATGCATTCCTCACTGCCACCCTCTGCAGCATACATAAGTGGTGCCCTGCCAACTTCGGAGCGATTCTCAATATTGGCGCTTTTTTGAAGCAGGATGGCTACAGTAGCGGTATATCCATTTGCAGCAGCAAGACAAAGTGGCGTCCACCCGGCCTCATCCCTAGCTTCAATGTCGGCTCCGTTCGCAATAAGAAATCCAAAAGTAGAACAGACATCCTGACTGTATTGCTCAGCAAATGAAAACAATGTTTCGCCACGGGGAGTTCGGAAGTCTAGGTGTGTGTAGGGTTTGCACGAAGCAATAGCCACCGAAGCCGTAATGAGGTCGTCGTTTCGTAAAATGTAGTAAAGAAAACCCAATTTTGTGTTAAATTTAAAGTTGCGTCCAAGTCCGTGCTTTGCTTTCTTTTCGACGTCGTATTCATTGCATAAGGAGTGTAAACGTGAAGTCGCCGGCTCTTCACGTATCTCCCTTTTGAGCAGCCTCCAGACCGTGGGTCGGTTACTCGTAGCCATTGCTGCAAGGATAGGAGCGCCATATCGCTCACCTTCGATGTCAAAGCAGGACTGACTTCCTTGGTGGCTCTCGATAAGGTATCCAAATTTGTACTCCGCTAGGAGGTATAAAAGGCTTGCACCGGTGGTATGGCGACGCACGTCTTTGTCCTCGAAGACGTTACTATACTGAATCCATTGTGAAAGTTGGAAGGTTTCCAAGAACTTGGTCTGGCTGATATGTCCCTCCTGAGCTGCATTCGTATGATAGAGAACGTTTTGTACGGCATGCCTCAGAAAAGGAAACTCGAGGTCTGCGACAACACGGGGTTCGGAGAGATGATCCTTAGATTCACTTTCTGGTAAGCCATTCTCTTCCGTGTAAGATTGTGTGTACTTATAGCAACACCTCTTCAGCTGATCATGGCTTTCTGCATAAATATCTCCGCTCGTGTCCAGGATAACTCTTAGGCCTTCCTCTTTGAGGAGGAAATCTCTGACTGATTCGTGAATGAATTGAACTGTTTGGTCCTTCTTCACCCGTGTGACTTCGGCAAGGCCTTTGGAAGAGCTTATAATGAAGTTACCAATGGCAACTTCTCCAATTTCGTCTCGATCCCACTTGCAAGTGCTGCATTCGGCGTGTGAGCGAATCGCGAAATAAAGTTGCTCTGGCTTGAGCGGATTTCGTGCGAAAAGAACCCATTGGATGCATAGCAGCAATTCATCCTTGTTGACATCGTCTCGCGTAAGAATATCTCGAAATAGCTCGTGAAGATCTCCTAGGATCTCTCGAAGTGTTTGTTTCAAAGTGTGTATGCGCCCTTGATCGTACTTCTTCTGCAAAATGCCTGCGACAAGCACAACCCACATAAATACACCGGAGGCCTTTTCTTTGATCAGATCCCGCACCTCGTGAGCGAGCTTGCTGTCTCCGATTTCCAACTCGCTGTCAAGATAGGAAATGATGTCCTTCTCATGTCCCTCTTGCCCTTCCAGAACCAGTTCAATTTTCTTTGGCATCGTAATGTGAGGATAGTGTCTGCTTGCCAAGCATACCTGAAAACTGATTCCTTCGGCGGCACTCAAGTTACCCAAACTCTTGAATGATGATACCATGGAGCGGATTTCGGACTCGTCACATTCATCTAAGGCGTCAATGAAGACAACCACACACGAATTGCCGAGGCCCTCCACAGCCTGCTCAAATAACGCCCTCAGCGCCTCAACACTCCAATCGTGGTTTCTCACTGATACCCAAGACCAATGCAGGATCCAGCGCACTATGGAGCGTCGGAAGCTGTTGGAGAATTCGAAGCAACAGGGACCTGTACATGCCAGTGGTGGACTTCTCGAGCTGTTCTCCTCGTGCATTGAAGAAGAAAGAGATGATGATTTTGTCTTTCATACTTCGTCGGGCATTGCTGAGAATGAACTTCATCAAAGTGGACTTTCCTGCCCCAGGCTTTCCTTTGATCCATAAAAAGCCATGATGTTCATCGACCTTGTTGGGATTCAGCCAGTCAAGATACTCCGCTCTCTTGATGATCCATTTGCATGTTTTCCTATGAGCCTTCTTGATATTGTCATGACGACCATCAATTTGATTGAACCTTAATGATTGAAGGAGAACTTCAATTGGTGGTTGACTTTGGCTAGCTTGTTCTGATTGTCGACCATAGGTTAGTCTAAAGTCATGGTGTCGAAGGCTCCGGGGCGGAAGTAATGAGAACCAACCTTGGTCATCGGGACACTTTCGCTTCTCTCCACGATTTTGATGTACCTGATCTCGCAACTGAACTGTAGAATATCCATAGTAATTGTGGTTATTTATCGTTTGAGCTGTGTCTCTGCTGGTCGATGACTTGTTCCCCAAGTCGACATTATGCCCAGTGACTGTGCTCGCAAACTCCGAACCACCCTGGTGCAATCGCGATGGTCCGGACATCACCAATCATGAATGATTATTCTTGTGTTCATGCGCGACGTCGAAGGTGAGGGACAAAAGATGAAGAACTGGAACCGCCGTTTGACGTGAGAAAAAAAGCCTGATGGTCACACCGACTGACCGCAACGCCAAACTGAGCAATCAGCCTCATTTTCAAACCCCCAGCAGTGTCTCAGAAAACACGAGACATGATTGGCCAACACCGAAGTCGTCTTGCGCTGGGGACACTGTGGAATAACCTCACGGACAATTCGATGCACAGATAAGACATAGACTAATCTTTACAGCCCTACTATGCTCGACAGCGGAAAGAATGCTTCTTCGTCCACTAACCTCTTATCAATGCATTCTTGAATTACGGCGTTGACGCTTCACAATTATAAGAGCCTTGAAAATGGGTAGGCGAAATGTACTGACAGGCTGGTTACTGCTTACCCTGCGAATCCTGGTTGCCAAGGATGGCCTCAAGTGCACAGAGCTCATCCCAGGTCTGTCATTGGGTTAACACCTGCAGGCACGAAACAATATATGCAGCCACAAAGGATTATTACCAACACAATAAATTTGTGAGCGGCCAGGGCTTTTTAATGACGCTCTCACATGCTTAGGGGAGATTTTTGACACACAAATAGATTCGCATTATCCGTCCTGTGAAGAACCGAGTTAAGTCAACAGGCATAATGATCCACCCACATTACCACTTGCAGCATTTCATGGACGCCCGAATCAGGCTCGGGTATTGTAACCCGATTACGACGCCTCCTGCATAAGGTCCGGATGCCTGAAGACCCCGCATAGCTGAAAGAAGAAGCGGGGGTAGTTGGTAATGAAGAGCACTCAGCCGTTGCTTCGAGCCTACAGCCACTTCTGAAAATTGGGGACCCCCAACGCCCATCGCGCCCGGCCCTGAAGCTGAGAACCCTCCAAAGTTGTCTGCTATATCTAGGTGGCGAGGGATATACACGCTTCATTCAATCGAGAGCACAAAGCTTTTCTGGTTCCACCGCTGGATCTCGTGGCCTTGACACAAATCAAGAGCCCTCGGAGAAGGAAGCCCGTCCTGATCTGCATACATGAGGGCAGAGAGGGAACCCCTTCCTCGAAATGAGCAGCTACCAGCGACCTGCCGGCCGAGCGGACTTTACAGTCGCCCTTGTTTGCGCCCTATCCCTTGAGTTCGATGCCGTGTGTATGGTAGTCGATGAGTTCTGGGATGAGGATGGTGATCAATTTGGCAAAGCTGACGGTGATCGTAACACGTACGTCACCGGGCGCATCGATAAGCATAACGTTGTGATTGTATTACTAGGCAAAGGAAAGGTAAACTCGGCAGCCGCCGCAACAAGCCTACGCACAAGCTACCCAAATATTTGCCTGGCAATACTAGTTGGAGTTTGTGGTGCTGTTCCTTCAATTAGAGAAAGGGATATTGGTCTCGGTGATGTGGCTATCAGCGACACCATCGTTCGATATGACTTCGGGTACCAGACTGATCATGAATTTGTCCGCAAAAAGACCTGTCATGGTGATGTGGTATCGAAAGAAATTCACAATCTCCTAGAAAGCCTCCAAACAGTATTGGGGAAAAGACGGCTCATGAAAGGGTCTGTGACAGATTTTGAGGAACTCAAAGAGACTGCGTCTCGTCTAGGCCAGCATGGCAGATACGAAAGGCCAGAAAAAAGGATCATTAGCGCTTCTGGATCAATGTCACAATCACTGACTCTGAGGGGACCAGAAGTTGATCAGGCTCTCGACATACAGGCACCTGCTATCCACTTCGGGCCCATGGCTTCAGGCGATACTGTCATGGTCTCTGCCGAACACCGTGATCGGATCGCCGCTGCTGAGAACATCATCGCATTCGAGATGGAGGGCGCGGGAATATGGCAAGAGCTACCATGCATCATTGTCAAAGGGGTATCCGACTTTGCTGATTGTGAGAAAACCAAGGAGTGGCAAGACTATGCTGCTGCGATGGCCGCTGCGACATCGAAAGCTATCTTGAAGAGGTACATTCATACCGACAGGAAGGTTACTTCTCCTGCAGGCCATTCCCTCTTAGCGAGACAGCAGGGGTCAAACTATGGTGGTACGATAGATGCTGCTCATGATGTGAACCAGGGCAATCGGATGCGTGTTTCATCTAGCCAGCCCCCCCGAGCTTATGAGCAGGAAGGGTCTTCATTCATGACGAATATTCAATCTGGTGCTGGTGTGCAACAAGGAAACGTTATGGAGTTCTACTGAATCATATCTCCTGTATAGCTTACAGGAGTACTTGGAATTATGTGTCGTTCCCTTAATTCGGTCCGCATCATGATTCAGATTCTCCGTACTGGGAGTCAGTTGGTTGCCAACCACATGTCTCAACCGACCATATGGAAAGCAACAAGAACAGGTTATAGGATCTAAAGTTAAATGGGATTTTTCAGTGTGGTGGCTTGATATGCCTCGCTGAGGCGTCATAAGCTTTCAGTATCAATCAACAGGTTATAGGCTAGGGACCTTACATTGAGTACTGGTCGTTATCAGCAACCTTGTTCTGTGGTTCGCCCAAAGCCATGTCAAGATAGAAAGGAGATGCAAGATGAGCCCACAAATATCAATGTAATCATTTCTGAATCAATTTAAGCATCGCTAGATGAAGTCTGACATTTCAATGACGTGGTGTAAGATTATCCAGAATGCTTCCCCTTTTGAGGGTGGTCGGCTTTAACGGACTTAACGATTTCACGGCGTTTGCCTCAACTACCTCCGTCTCGTGAAGTCGATGGTAATAAGAAATTGTAGCTAGAATTCTGTCAACTGGCATTGCTATATATCTGGGCAGAATATTTGTCAAAGTTTGCACGTTAGCCTTGTTGTCGGACCCAACTGCGACTTGAGTTTTATTACCCCTTAAATCCTACTACCAAATAGTCAAACGACGAAAACAAAAGTTTCAACCGCTCCACAAGTCTCAGTACTTGATCGGACAGGAAACAGATATGGCCACGAACAAATCGACAACCATGGACGTTGACGAGGAGAAGCAGGCTACCGAGTCAAGACCACCGTCTATTGTGACATCTTCAACTGCCAACGGCATTGAAACGCCAGAGATCCTCGACGAGGATGCGAACCCAGACGAGGAGAAAGCTGTCATCGAGGCAGAAAAGCCTGTCGAATACCCGAAAGGCTTGGAAATGTTCTTCATCATGCTTGCGCTCGTGCTCAGTATCACTCTCTGCTCTCTCGATCAGGTAAGCTCAGCTACTCCATACAATCCTTCGCCCCTTCTTCAGCACTGATGTCTGTCAAGACAATTGTCGCAACCGCCGTCCCCAAGATTACCGACCAGTTCGGCCGCCTACAAGATATCTCGTGGTACGGCTCAGCATACTTCCTCACCCTCGGAGCCTTCCAGTCACTCTGGGGCAAGATCTACAAGTTCTTTCCCCTGAAAACAAGTTTCCTGGTATCCATCTTCATATTCGAACTCGGAAGCTTGATCAGCGCTGTTGCTCGTAACTCGACGACTGTGATTGTCGGGCGTGCTATCGCTGGCTTAGGAGCCTCAGGTGTTGCCCCTGGAGTGTATACGATTCCTGCTTTCATTGCCGCGCCCGAGAAGAGAGCTACATATACTGGTTTCATTGGGTTATCGTACGGTATTGCTGCTGTTGCTGGACCACTTATTGGTGGAGGACTTACAGATGGGGCCAGCTGGAGATGGTAAGTGCAATCTCTTGAGATTGGTCTTACAAAACAACTATAGGCCTTCCGTTCGGACGGATGTTAACTGATAACTTCTCTTAGGTGTTTCTACATCAACCTTCCTATCGGCGGTCTGGCCATTCTCGTTATTCTTTTCACCTTCAAGACCCCCGCTGGGGTCAAGGTCGTCGACGCTACACTCAAAGAGAAGCTTTTACAGATGGACTTTATAGGCACAGCGCTCGTGATGGGCGCGTCTTTGTCTCTGCTACTGGCTCTTCAGTATGGTGGTGTGACCCATGCGTGGAACTCAAGCGTCGTCATCGGGTTGCTTGTCGGCTTCGTTCTCATGATTATCACACTGATAGGAGTAGAATTCTGGCTGGGAGAGCGTGCAATGTTGACCCCACGACTCCTTCGCCAAAGGACTGTTTGGGTCAATGCCGTATGGAGCTTCTTCTTTGCTGGATCATACTTCATAACGCTTTACTATCTGCCTATTTACTTCCAGAGCATTGATAACCAGAGTCCGATCGGCTCGGGTGTGCGAAACATTCCGCTCATTGCGCTGTTCAGCGTCGCGACATTTGCATCTGGCAAAGCCATTACGAAGACTGGCACTGCGGCTCCATATCTGGTGGTTAGTTCGATAATCGTCACCATTGCGGCCGGTCTGTTCTATACCCTCGACATTGGGACGTCGACGGGCAAATGGGTTGGGTATCAGATCCTCGCGGGTTTTGGATATGGCGTTGGTCTCCAGGTTCCTCTTGTCATTGCGCAGGCTTTCGCTGCACCCAGTGACATGGCTCCAGTGACTTCAATCATCATTTGTAAGTACATACTTTCCCTACATATCTTCATGTTCCTTTCCTTGGAGTTGCCATCCAACAGCTAACATTCAATCCACTCTTACAGTTTCTAGGACCATCGGTGGTACATTCTTGATCACTGCTGCGCAATCTGGCTTCATCAACCAGATCATTCATAGGCTATCCAGCACCGCGCCTACAGTTGATCCCGCCTTAGTTACAGAAACGGGTGCCACGACCCTCCGACAAAACTTCTCCGGCGCTGAGCTGAATGGTGTACTACATGCTTATGTGTGGGGCATCAAAGTTGCTTTTGCAATTACTATTGCGGCTTGTGGCATCACAGTCATTACGAGCGTGTTTACCAAGTGGACAAATATCCACCACAAGAAACAGAGCTTATAAAAGACTCGGGGCGTTATAGCGAAGGGGATCGTTTCACGTTTCTTTGGTGCTTCCACCGGTTTCTTTCTGGTCAGGATACGTATCTAAGGCAAGAAGGCGGAAATGATAGTGGTAATTGGACCTTGCTATACTTGAAATGGATATTAAGCCCGCTGAACTACCGAATCCAGTGGTCAATACGGGGCACAAAGTCGAAGACAATGCTAATATAAAGCACGAGACGAAGGTTGATGAAGATCCCCTCTATTTAGACGAAGTGATATCAACGTACATCGCTCTGAGAACTTCAGAAAATCATCTGATCCGGGACAATCTCTCTTTTGGCTTGTTCCAGTCAAGGTCTAAATCCTCCGATCGAAACGGAGATGACTGCCTGAACTCCCAATGGTCACCACCTTGTCGAAAAGCTTCTTCCCAGTAGTCTAAGTTTTCTTTCTGAGTTGCAAGAGAACGTCCGTAGAATATACGCAGCATTTTGGGGGCTAATCTCGTGATGTTTTCAGTCCGATCCTTCCAGCTATTATCCAAGTTTTCTTCGGTAACAACATCCAGTCTGTGGCCAGCCCAAGGACCGACCCAGATTGGCCAGAAGTCGTAATACATTGGTCCGAACACTGGGTCCTGACTTGCATCTGAGAGATCTTTATCAGTGAAATCTTTGAAGGTTTCGAGCTGCTCCCAAGACCAGGCCTTCCTTCTTTTCTTTTTGTAGTCTGCTTTCCAACTGATGAGCCATAGGAGAAGAATATCAAGTGTAAGCCATTGACGTCCTGGTAACGAAATAGTAGCCTCGCCATCGGAGGTTACTACAGCTTCCATTCTTATGTACTCTTGATCTGTTAGATTGCGCAAAAGCCAGCTGCTTCCAGGTTCAAGGTTAAGACGTGGGAAGCAAGCTTTCATACTTCCGTGGAGCTTTTCGGGAATAGCAGCACCTCCAAGCTGCTTGAGAAAAGCCTCTTCGTATAAACAGTCGCAGGGGAATGGTACTTTCTCAGAACTGTCCACGGCTTCCTTGAACCAAATAGATGCACGAGTTGTCTCTATCTCAGATCGGCGGCCAGTCTGCTCGGACTCCCTCTCCATATCTTCAGAGGTCGGTTCTGGTAGTGTGCGCTGCAGTGCTTTGGGAAGAACGCGCAGTCCCGCTGCAGTGCAGATTATTGGAGTGTTGACCCAAGAATATTTCTTCTTCCACTGAACGTAACAACCCCTTATCCACATGATCGCGTAAGACCAGAGTCTTTGCGAGCACAAGGCCAAAGCCATAAACTCTTCTATTTTGAGAAGTTCACATATTGCTCCCAGAAGCTCGGCGGGGAGCATCTCCAGTCGGGTTTGGCCCTGTAATGGTTGCAACGTCGACTGCGCCGACTGTGGCATTATCCCCTCGTCCGAGTTGATCCCAACCCCTTCCATTGAGTTGCAAAGAAACTTGAAAGCTTCGAAACTCAAATGATGTGTGCAGAAAGATGAAGGATCCATATAGCCTTCCAAGTCAGTGACCGGTATTCTCATCCGCTGTTTCTTTTCAGGTACGAGGAACATCCAGCACTCCTTACGGCTTATGGCCCAGACGTTTCCAGCGTCCCAAGGCTCTTCTCCGTGAAGTCTGCGTCGCATCTTCCAGTTCGCTGAGAGAGCAGGAAGAAGTTAGGTTGTAAAAGTGCTGCTGCCTGCTTATGGTCTTATGTACATGAGAATAACCCAGCCAATCATGCTCGTTAGTCTTCCTTACTCATCAAGACACGATTGCATTGCTAAATCCACCAATCGGATGATATGTCATGAAGGCAGTAATTTAGCCGGGGATACACGATTTGTCCCTAAGTGATCCTTTTTAATCTACTTGATGACATGCGGCTATCGCTCTTGCCTTCTGTGTATCGAAGTAAGACCATTAAGCAAGCGTTCTTGAAAAATATAAGTTATATATCTAATCTTGGAGTACGGTGGTGCTAAGTCAAATCGCCCGACGCCTACTAATCCTGCCTCATGCTAAGGTCTGGTATTATGTCGCTTGGACTCTGAAGCCACTTCAACAGCTTCCTCATCAGAACTTGCTTATCCATTGGCTTGGGAATATAATCATCCATCCCTTTCTCCAAGCAACGCTCCATGTCGCCTTTCAGCGCATAAGCGGTCATGGCAATTATAGGTAGTCGTATACTGCTACGACGTATCCGAAGCGTTGCCTCATATCCATTCATAACTGGCATACTGATATCCATGAGTATCAAGTCAAAGGTATTAGGCGCCGCTGATAGTGATGACACAGCTTGAGCGCCGTCTGAGACAACTGTAATATCCTTGAATCCAAATCCATGCAGCATTCCGACTAGGACCTTTTGGTTGATGATGTTGTCTTCAGCAGCAAGAATCCTCTTTGTTGGTGAGATCTTCAATAACTGTTCTAGTTGCGTGGCAGGATCCTCGACTTGTTGAACCTGTTGCTGGGGTAATTCCGCCCCGAGTCCCGCTGGGACGGTTATAGGTTCGGCCTGACGAAGGCTGCTGATCTTCTTCACCTTGAACGAGAACCAAAAGATGCTGCCCTGCCGTTCGGGGTTGGGCTTATATCCAATGCTCCCTCCCAGCAGTTCAACAAGAGATTTCGCAATTGACAGCCCAAGTCCTGTTCCTGGGCGCCGCTTCTGGTGCGGTGTATCAAGCTGCGTGAATGGTTTGAACAGCTCTTTCACGTCAATCTCTGTAACGCCATGCCCAGTATCCCAAACTTCTGTTTGTATGGTATGACTGGTCTCGTCTGAAGCAAGCAGCGATGCATGCACCGAGATGTATCCCTTCTCGGTAAACTTTACAGCATTTCCCAGGATGTTCTCAAAGATCTGACGGTATCTCAAAGCGTCCCCTTCCGCCCACTTTGGCAAGTTGGACGATAGCTGCAGCTTTAGAGATACTCCCGGCTGCACAGTAGTTTGAACCCTACGTACGGCCGATGTAATCACATTCGCGATATCCAGCCTCTCGTTCCTGATGGGAAAGGTGCCGGCCGCAATCTTTGAGTAGTCGAGAATATCGTTGATGATGCGTAACAGAACATGTCCACTTTCTTGGATCATGTTGGCCGTCTCCCGTTGCTCTTCAGTCAGGCGACTATCTAATAGCAGGGAGCAGGCAGATAGTACGCCATGCATGGGTGTTCGGATCTCGTGACTCATATTTGCCAGAAAATCATTCTTCAGCTTGGTGCTTTCCTCATAGGCAGCGGTCAGTCGCAGTTCAGCCTCTTTCCGTTCAGTCAGATTCCTGGTGACTTTGCCGAAGCCAACATGGATGTCGTTCTTGTAGATGGCCGTTATAACCACGTTGGCCCAGAACCGGCTGCCATCTTTACGATAGCGCCAGCCCTCATCTTCGACCCTGCCTTCGCGCAAGCAAATCTCGAGTTCTCTTTCGGGTTTTCGAGACTGGATGTCTTCTTCGCCATAGAATTTTGTGAAGTGCTTGCCAATAATTTCTTCCTTCTTATAGCCCTTGTTTAGCTCTGCTCCAGTGTTCCAGGTCATGACGTTCCCGCGAGTATCGAGCAGGAAGATGGCATAATCTTTGACTGCCTGCACAAGGATGCGGAAAGCGTCGTCGATAGGCAGCCAGCTCTGTGTTATCTCACCGTTGACCGTTGTAGTGTGAGGCCCGGCTTGTTCCCATTCTATGACCAGGCACAGTAGTTCATCGCCTTTGTGCACGGGCATGATACGTGCGGTCCAAGAAATGCCATTCACGATATAGGCTGCATGGCATAGACGCAGAGCACGAGCTTCAAGTGCAGTTTCGATCGCGTAAACAAAGGGAATACGATCGAACCTCTCGGTAGGCGACCCGTGATAAAGGGCAGTGAAGAGGTCTTGACCAACGAGGACCTCGCGCTTACGTCCCCATGCCTCGAGCAAACCGAGTGAGGCTCTTTGGATGCGATAGGATGGGGACACAACAAGAGTGGGGACGGGCAAGAAGTCGAGGATGTCGTCCATGTTTGTGGTGGGGACCGTGGCATCAAGGTCCTTGGCCGAATCCATGGTTCTTATTCGTGTGATCTACCTTGATGCACGGACTGGTCGCTAATACGACGTCTCGTTGCTTCACAGACTTGAGCCAGCATCAAGTTGTGAAGGCCCAAGGGAGAGCCCCATGGCAGTGGAGGAGGAATTTTCAGCTCTTTGGCGCTAACCTATCAGATCACATTATGATGTCAGAATTTCGTCATGCCTGTCACCATTGGAGTACAATTGTGCATTAAAATACACAAACAATATTTGATTTATCACCAACGTCTAGCCTGCCTAGATATTCAAAGGCCTTGCCTCAAGTCACGAGTAATGTTGTTTTTGCGATGGCCCGTCAATCGCCGCATCTGATACAAGCATGTTTTTCCCCACTCATTAGTGATATACTATCCCGGTTCAGTAACTATATAAGGGCGGAATGTGGACTGATAATGTTTGGTGGAAAGCAAAAATTGGCCAAAGACACCAAATTACGTGGTACTTAATGGCTATGGACTGTCAAGCAACCAAATTATCCTATCAGATCATTTAATTCCGTCCCGTAGCCTCTTTATATTTGTGATGTATGCACAGCGTTTGATTGCATCTTATCCAACACCTGGTATGGTCAATCCAGGGTAACCAAGCACTGAAACAGCGCGGGAGTGGCCCTAGCGTCGGTCAAGAGTCACCGCCGGAATCAAACATAAGCCGCAAATGCGCAGGGCAAATGAGATAAGCCGAATAGTGAATTGAATTTCGAGAATACTATCTAGAGTTTACGATATCTAATGGGGGAGATTACTGTACGCGCAGCCCTTCATCAAAATAGACGCATGTCTAGGAACCTCTGGGCAATTGTATGACCACTCGGTCAAAGCTTGTTCAGCCAAAAGGTGAAGAGCATGGATTAAAGTCATCGTGCGAAGCGAATAAAGTTATTGACTTCGCCCGGCCCGACTTAACGAGATTCATGGACGAGCAAAGCGCGCAAACGAAATACAATAGGCTGATCCACAAAAACAACAAGCACGGGCGGGCTTGTTACACTTTGCAAGCGAAGGATTGCCTCAAGCAAAATAAACCTACAAGCAACCTAAAAACACTTCCGGTGACTCAACCGGCAGCAAACCTTCCTCCTTCTCGGCTATAAGAAACGGCCCTGAGTCGGCCTCTGAACTGATTCTTGACTTCACTCCAGATTTTCCATCCTCACCACAACACCTGAAGCTATCAACCTCCACTCAAAATGTCTCCCGACACCAAGCTCTACAAGCACCGCTGCGTCTATGACTCGTGTCCCGAGAGGTGGTCCAAGTTCCCGACCAACCAGCAAGAGCGCGATGACATAGAGCAGAGCGCCTTGCAAGATCCGATCGTTCATCGACACATCTTCGCCGACCATAAATGGCAGACCGAATCCTTCACCATCCAGAGCTCAGCCATGCGGGCGGCCATCTCGACCGTCCTTGACAAATATCAGGATCTCGACCTTGAAGTTGAAAAATGGACTTTCAAACCCCCATTCATGCCTCTCGTCCACCGCTGGGATCGTCTCCTCTCTTTGCGCGAGGCTGAGGCTGAGGAGCACGAACCAGAGGCTGTAGCCCAACTTTTGGAATTCCTCACCCCGATTTTGGCCCCCAAGGTCGATGCGCTCGTTAAGACTCGAAAGACTGGAAACGTCATGTTCGGCGACCTGTGGCAGATCTTTCCTCCACATGAGTTTGTGATCACCAAGTTCTATGGTGTCGAAGCTGTATGCCGTGTCACCAAATACAAACACGTGGCGCAGCCTCCTTCAATGCCATCGTACTGGGAGATTCACATGGAGTACCTGGACTGGAACGGCAATCGCTGCGGCTATGCCAACACCATGATTATCATCCCGGAATTCACAGCCTATCGACGCGTTACTTCGCTACCTGCGTACCCCTTGTCCTTCCACAACTCGCCCTCCAAGATTCGAGAACAGATGATCGAACGAGGCCGAAAGTTTGAAGCGCTGCGTGGTTACCACTTCCAAACCTGTTCTGGATCAAAGATCCTATTGCCTCCTGGAAAGCCAGAGGAGCGACCGGTAAGACTATCAACAGAGACCGCCTTGACTTTAGCTGACGAGTAGCGCAGGTGTCTGGTCGAGTGATTGTTGACGCTCACGCTTACTACATGACCAATGATATCGTGAAGCCCGATCTCGCACCCCTCGCTGACGAAGACCAGGTCGGCCAGAAGAAGAGGTCGGACGAAGCTAAAAAGTCGAACAAAAAGAAATCGAAAGCTCATGAATATGGCGGGGGATATGACGGAGAATGTGACGGTGACGATGATGATGATAGCGATGACTCCGATACCCCCCATGAAGATGCGCCCGTGGAGGGTAATGCAGAAATGACGGTGAAAGCACCAAATGATGCTACAGGACGCTCTGAGAACCTCGAGCCCCTCACCGATGACATGTGTCTTGTTGCGACCCCGTGGCTAAAAGGCTTTGACCTGAAGGCAAAGGACTGGGGTAAGTTAAACAACCTCTGGAGTCTGGACTCATTCCAAGTAGCTAACAATTGCCAATAGCCCAGTTTCATGTGGACGACCTAAGCCCTGTGGTATGGAATGATGCCGCATTCAACCATCTCGTGCTTCCGGGCACAGAGAAGCAGCTTGCCTGGGAGTTTGTGGAGAACAAGACCCTCGCGAATAGCTTTGACGACTTTATCCAAGACAAAGGTGGGGAGTCCTCGATAGCAAACTCGATCAACATCTAACATGTGTAGGCCGTGGTATCATCATCCTCATGTTTGGTCCACCTGGTGTAGGAAAGACCTATACCGCAGAAGCAGGTAAGTGAACGTGGCCACTGTAAAGGTATTTAAAGACTGACTCAAGATATAGTTGCTGAGAAGGCACGTGTGCCGCTGTACTCGATGAGCGCTGGTGATCTGGGCACCGTGCCAAAGGAGGTTGAGCTTGCGCTGGACCGAGCACTCATTCTCTGTGGTCTCTGGAACGCCATGCTCCTCCTCGATGAGGCCGATGTATTCCTCGGTGCTCGCACCGACAGCGATCTCGCCAGGAATGAGCTTGTAGCTGGTAAGCTCTAGGTCTTCTTCCTACTCTCCTTCATGCGCATATTAACAAAGACAGTGTTCCTCACCAAGCTCGAGTACTACACAGGAGTCTGTTTCCTCACAACCAATCGAACAGCCAGTATCGACACCGCCTTCCAGTCCCGCGTGGATCTCTTCCTTCCATACAAGGACCTGACTTTCGAAGCTCGCAAGAAGGTCTGGCAGAACTTCATCAACCGCGCTGGTGGTACTCAGTTTCACATTCCAGAGGACGAGATGGACCAGCTGGCTGAGATGAAGCTGAATGGTCGTGAGATCAAGAACTTGATCAAGAGCGCGCATCTACTTGGGCTCAAGAATGGTGGTGCCATTCAGGTAGACCGGCTGATGATGCTGGCTCGGAATCGGGTCGCTGCTCTTGATGAGTTGAAGAAAAACTGAAAGGGCGATATCCAGGCCGGTTAAAGATAGAAGGTATTCTCCTCGTGGCGATGGTGAATGGTGACAGCAATTGCAGTGCTTTGATCCATGAAGTTGAGAGGACCAAGGATATCCATAAATAGATACCCTTGATACACTGCAGATACCAAAGGTTTGTAGTCAAAAGCCACAAAGACACCAACTTGTGATTTCTGGTCCCGCGAACCCCCAACGCCCAGGAATGTTATTCATAACTCATCCAGACTCGCAAACCACTGTTGGGGTCTGTTTCTCTTGGCGATGACAATTGTTACTCAAAAGTGATGGCATCTATTTATTAGCATCAGGCTTAGCCTTGAAGACTTCCATTCCCACATCTTTATACTAAACCGCTTTGATCTTCGTCAGTGAGATGTGATTGATGGCATTATTGTGGCCGAAGGTTGTTAGCCGAGGTGATCGGAGACTAGGGCGCGTTGGTCCCTTGAGTGTTGACATATGCAATGGAACCATCTCCCGCTTGACCGCGACCCCCAACCCCCAACACATTGACTTGTATGAGACTAGCTAAAACTTTAGATGCGGAAATGTGAACGGTCATTTGCCTCGGTCTTGGGTTCTCAATCCACTCGAACAAGCATAAGGAACGGAACAAGACGGACCAAGTGAACATTGCAACATCAAGTATAGCGTATCGAGTTGATTGATGACATTCTCCTTCTCAACCTCAGGAGATTTCCTTGACAGATAAGATAAACAATACGAAACCATCCCGCAATTTAAGCATACCATTCCCTTAAAGATTCTCCGTTCGTTAGCACTGCTACCTACCCCAATAAGGTCCGAGCCGATCATTGTTTATCTTTAACCGTAATTTGACGGCAAAACATATTCCACCACTTACAAACACCCCATGATCTGCGCCGTTCAATGAACAGTCCTTCTCGTCTGATCATTGGTGCTAATTGTCAAGGCCGACAGGGGTTCCCCGCAAACACCCCGGAATTAACCAGTACCTTAATCCTAACCGAGCTCGGGGTCCTTTAATGTAAAGAGAAAAAAGCGCAGATGATCTGGAATACATATACCTTGCCAAAGACCATGTTTGTGCCATTGATACCTCAGTTCCTTCTCGTTCTTGTTCGACTGCCAAGATGAAGCTGTCCTCGGTTCTCTGCGGTGTCTTTGCGACCCTCACTGTTGCGTTTCCCAAGGAATACCTCAGTTTCGCGACTTGGGGTGTCGAGGGTTATGCTAAGGATAATCCCATTGGCATTACCACTGGTGGAAAGGGCGGAAAGACTGTTACTGTCACTACTGCTGAGGAGCTTGTCGCTGCTGTCAAGGGTACCGAGCCTAAGATCGTGAAGCTCAAGGGCAAGGTTACTCTTCCTTCTCGGCTCAAGGTCGGATCCAACACTTCTCTTATTGGTGTTGGATTGACAGCTCACATCACCGGTGCTGGTGTTGACGTTTACCATGGAGACAATGTCATTCTGCGGAACTTGAAGATCACCCATATTCTGGATAATGATTGCATCACTATCCGAAACAGCACTCGTGTCTGGGTTGATCATAACGAGTTTGCTTCTGATATCAACCAAGGCCCTGATCACTACGTAAGTCTCATGCGGCCCGCCAAATCGCAAACTGTTTAGCTAACTTACTTTTCCAGGATGGACAAGTCGACATCATCCGCGCCTCGGATTGGATCACCGTCTCGTGGAATTATTTCCACGACCACTGGAAGTCTTCCCTCGTTGGCAACGATGCTACCTTCCGCGATCTCGACTTCGGTCACCTCCACGTCACATACCATCACAACTACTGGCGCAACATGGGAACTCGCGGTCCCGCTGGTCGCTTTGGTCACCAGCATGTGTACAACAACCTCTACGAGGACTTCCTTTACCAGGCTATCCACAGTCGATCTGACAACCAGGTATGTCTCACCGAATCCTATTTGGGGGATTTGAACTAATTTAAATAGGTTCTTGTTGAGGGCAACGTCTTCCGAGGCAATACCAGCGAGGCTCTGAGCACTTACGGTCTTGTCATCCCCATGGACTCTCCCAACACTTGCACTTGCGGTGACGAGGAGCTTGATGGCTATGCCAACCTTGGAGCCAGTATGTACAATTCTTCTGTCATTCAATGATTTCATGACTGACTATCAAACAGAGAACGATTGGGGAAAAGCTGGAGTTAACATTACACAGAAAGGCAACTTCTACAAGGCTGATTACAAGTACAAGTTGACTCCCCTCAAGCTTGTTCCCACCGTGGCCAAGCTTGGTGCAGGTGTTGGCAGGATCTGGTAAAAGGTAGCTTTAGACTCTTGCTATTTACCAATCAATATGATGCATGCTGCATTTTCAGAGCCTGACAAGATCCGTTCGGGCCGCCGATGGAGTCTTAATCTTATAATAATGGGACTCTCGTATCATTGTGTTGGTTCTGTAAAGTTGCCTAGTCTTGGCATCCCAAATAGGTTACTGAAGGAGGTCGAAAGTGTTTAGCTTGTCCACTTTTGTTGGTTGTGCATCACCGCTTAAATCTGCCACTCAGTCTGTGATTTTGTCTTAAAAACAGCCCAAGACCGACGTTGAAACTCAGTTTAAGAATTATTAATTAGCCTAACACCGCCAACATGCGACTTGCTAGAATCAGAAGATATCTTCCACCACCATCTCAGACATTGTTAACATGCCTTTTTGCATTCATCATTTACGCGCCGATTTTGATATGGCTCGGGTATTATCTAAACATCACCAGCTACTTTCAATTTCACAGGATATTTCCTGAGAAAGGCGATACCCGACCCCCGCCACCACCCGTCGCTTGTCTTTCACATATACATATATCGAAAGCCAACGACACTTGCGACTCATTAGCTCTTGAGTACAGCGTCTCTTCTGCAGAAATCTTCATCAACAACCCTGATATCCTCGACTGCTACGATATGGTTGAAGACGTGCCAATCTGTCTACCATTTCAATGCAATACTTATCAAGTTAAAGAGAACGATACCTGTACCTCTGTGTCTAAATCCTTGGGAATCACCATCAAAGACTTCATTTCTCTCAATCCATGGATTCGAAACGATTGCGGTTATTTCCCGTCGGGGACAATAACCCTGGGGAAATTCATTTGCACTACGCCATCTGACGGCCTTTATAACCGAACTATCAGCAAGTCTGACCCGGCAGACTCCAATTATGCTGATGAGGTTGTTCCACGACCTGAGAACGCCGATCCGGCTGCGAATCCACAATGCGGGCGTTGGTATACAGTTGAGGACGGAGATGACTGTCGCTCGGTCCTGGGCCAGCACGACATGAGTCTATCTCTATTTACAGCTGCCAACCCATCGATATCGCCAATTAACTGTACGACGAGTCTCATCCCAGGACAAGCCTACTGTGTCGCTCCAACCAAAAACTCTCTACCAGAATCATATCGCTCTCCTGCATATTGGCGCCAAGGATGTTATTTCAGTGCGAACCAAGATTTTTATGGTCCCACCCGTGCTTTGACAGGTCCTAGGTTGAGCCATATCAAGCCCTTGTCTATTTCTTCTTGTCAAGCCTACTGTCTCTCACTCTCCTTGCCTGTTTTCGGTCTACGAAATGGCGACACCTGTATATGCGATGATCGTTTGCGAATGGATAGCAGGCCTAATAAGATCTGGGGGTGCGGATCTCTCTGCGGCTCCGCAAATGGAGTTTGTAGTCCGGAACAACACCCTATCGAAGTCTTTAGTTCTCAAGAGCATCTGGCTGTTGAGTACGTCAATATCGGATGTTTCGAGAGTAAGAAGGAATACGTGTTACTGGAAAAGGACTATATATATTGGAGAGACGGCACTCTAGAAGAGTGCGCATCCTTCTGTCGCGAAGCTGACTACTTTGCTCTCCAGACTAATTATTATAGTTCAGTCGAACAACACAACTACTGCGTTTGTGGCAGTCAATTGAACCCAAGCATTAAGAAGCTGAGGAAGGAGAAGGAATCTGCCGATGAGAAGGGGGATATTTGCAGGGGGGAAGGCAGGACAAATATCTATACTACAAACTCTAAGTATATAGAATCTTCATAAGTATAGCTCCTTTGTAAGGGCAGGCTATACTCGGGAGGCGCGACATGCCCTTGAGGTATAACAGCAATGATTGTATTACTAGTATTCTGCCATATCTCGATAAATCCAACGCATACAAATTTGGTTAACCACAGAGGGTGCATATTCCACCATGCCGCAAATATTATTGAGGCCTCCCATTAAACTCTATTCCAGCGAGTAACAGCGCAGGACAGAGCATAAATGTCAAAGCAAACAGAGTCGTGGCTCTTTTCTACCCAATCGTCAAGCTGATTGTGAAAGTTCAGCTCCCGCAGTAAATGGGGTCTAGACCATTTTTGTCATTCTTGTATGCAGGAAAGGTGAGATTTTCCTGTTTTCTTACCTATTTCAGCTCTCCACAGACGAAATAGGTACACAGCGAATATTGGTTTTGAGTGGCTGACTTGGATTAGTAAGTTGCACTGCAGAACTGATAAACAATCTGATGCCATGTCATACTTTCAAGCAGTCAGGTTTCCTCCCAAAACTCCCCATCTTCTTTTCATGCCTGTTTAATCTGTAGCAATTTAAGTCATGATCATAACCATCTTCAGGCTCCTTATTGGAGTTATTGGTACTATTGGCATTTGCCTCATCATCAACAAGATCCTGAACCGGATCGTACTCTTCAAATCGTCCACCACGCAATCATGGGACTGGAGTAAGGAAATCGTACTCATCACAGGTGGTAGTGGGGGTATCGGCTCTGAAATGGTCAATAAATTCTCCTGCAGAAACGTCAAAGTTGTATCCTTTGACATACTCCCACCAAAAGGCACACTCTCTGCAAATGCACATTTCTACAAAGTCGATGTCACTTCGCCACAAAGCATACACGAAGCCATGAAGCAAGTCCGCCAGGAAATCGGAGATCCATCGGTTCTGATCAATAATGCTGGCATCGCCTTAGGCAAAGACATTCTGTCTTGCACCGCAGACCAGATCAAGCAGATGGTCCAGGTCAATCTGCTCGCGCACTTTTGGCTCGTGCAAGAATTGCTCCCATCCATGGTCAAGCAGAAGCACGGCCATGTCGTCACAATTGCTAGCGTGGCCAGCTTTATTACTATCGCAAGCAATATCGACTATAGCTGTACAAAGGCTGCGTTGGTAGCCTTCCATGAAGGCCTGACGCAAGATCTGAAGCATAGATATAACGCAAGAGATGTACTTACAAGGTGAGTGTAATTTCGATCTCTCAGGCACCAAGTCATCTAATATTGTCTCGTAGCATTGTTTTCCCTTACTGGGTTCGCACGCCACTGATACAGAATCTTGCTACACATTCGACTTTCCATGACCCCCTTCAGGAGCCGAACGATGTAGCTGAAGCGATTGTAGATCATGTCTTGAATGGCCGCCGCGGAGACCTCTTCTTGCCAGGCTATGCAGGTCTTTTATCTGGGATTCGCGGGTTTCCTACTTGGATGCAGGAGATGATTCGGGATGGTAAGGCCGGTGTCCTACGGGAAACTAGTTTTTGAGACTTGATATGGGAGTTGACGAATGACTTCTCCGCTCATAATGGATCGGCCTCTGAGCTACGATACGGAAGTAGGTAGCGACGTCTATCTTTGGCGGCGCTGACTCGACATAGTGAATAAGGGTGCTTGAAAAGGCAAGACGTCATACATCGATTGGCAGTGGAGATTTGAATAGATACATAACATGACCTGTACATAGACTAAGCTCTGTATTGCTACGATTCCGAGATGTCTGATAGAAGCCAAAGTAGTAGCGGTTAGTGCCAATGGTATCTAGCCTACTTCTCTGCTAGAAGTGGAGATATCGGATCACGGTGAAGCCATCTCCAGTCAACGGAACCACCGCCCCCCACAAACCGACCCCGGCCGTTCCGCCACCCACCTCCGCTTACGGCCTCATCACCGCGCGGAACTAAGAAGAAGCACTTTGACAACCAAACCAAACTCGATCCTTCAACGAAAATGATCATGCGCGATGACATTCTGGACGACACGGCGGTTCCTTCATGAAACTCATCCCATGTCCACGGTTCTACCCCAGCTTCTATGCTGATCCCAAGTGCGGAGAAAATCTGGGGAAGCATGGAGCGGAATTATTGCCGACTCCAGACCAGGATATCGCGATGGACTACTTAAAGAAGAGTGGATAATGGTCAAAATCTCTTTCCCATCAGCAGATCAACTTCAACTCCTCATTCTTCTGCCTCTACACTTCGAAATGGCAAATCTCAAATCCCTCATCCTTCTGGCTGCCGTTTCGACGGTACGCGCTACTATCAGCCCTGGCAGTCTCGTTACTATCTCTACAGCTGTCGATGCTACCAGTGGCGCTGCTTGGTGGGATCCTCTGGATGAGTACGGCGGCTATGACTGGCTTGCTTATCTGAGGAATCCTCCCGGTGGTGCTATTGCTGATAATAATGTCATGGTTGCGCGTCGCTCTATCTCTGATGGCACTGTCTCTCGCGACTGTGTCAGAGACTCAGACGGAGAGTGTGCTGTCTTTGCAGATGATCTGGGACATAACACTCCTAGCATCAGCGTTGACGGCGATGGCTATGTCCATGTTTTCACGAGCATGCACAACGAGCCATGGAAGTACTTCCGCTCATCTCAGCCATACAGCAGCACTCTCGTCAACGCCAGCTCTGATATGCCTGACCAGAGTGTCCTCATCACATACCCTGTTATCAAGCGTGATGCTGACGGAAACCTGTGGCTGATCGTCCGCGGACAAGCATCAGGCGATGGCTCTGCACGAGGAGGGTACTTCTACAAGTACACGACGAGCACCAAGAAGTGGGCCCGCATTAGCCTCTGGGCGTACAACAAGGGCTACTCTGTTTATCCTGATGACATTGCCTTTTCTTCGGACGGAGATGTCCATGTTCAGTGGGAATGGAGCAAGTATCCCGCGTCTGCTGTACGCCACCAGGGAAGCTATGTCCGCTACCGACCTTCAACAAACTCTTTCACCTCTGCCTCTGGATCTACCGTTTCGACACCCATCACCCAAAACACCGCGGACATCGTATATCAGCCTCTGACTTCAAGCGAGACATACAGCGGCGACATCAACGCTTCGCCTGGTCCTGCCTTCCAGAGCGCCAAGATGGCTCTTTACGAGCGACCTTCTGGCACCGTTCACATCCAGAGTGCCTACCGCTTCAAGAACTCGACTAGCGGAACATGGCAAGTTCGTCGTGCCACAGCCACATACGGCACTTCAAACCCTTGGACACGTGAGATTCTGTATAGTGATAGTGATACCAGCGCTGGTATTGGTATCACCCATGACGGAACAACTGCTCGTATCTACTACAGTCGCTCTTCGGCCAGTGCCTTTGTGCTGGAGAATGTTGGCGGGGCTGGCTGGACCAATACTGCTCTTGAACCAGTTGTTGGAAAGAAGGTGCAGCGACTCCAGGCCTTGATGAGGAGTGATGGAACGGATGTTTTGTACTTGGGTGCGCCGACGAATGTGAACTCGACTACCGGAAGCTTGTATCTTTTGACTGTTGGCGGCAGGACTTAGTAGCACGATGCCAGTATAAAATGAGACACTTGGATGTGATTTGGTAGGGTGGCCATAGCCGGGGGTTTACCTCATCCCATATTAGTCAATACGACCCTTCTCATATTCAAGGGTATCTTCATTCTATCTTACATGTCCATATTCTGTTAAAAATGCCAATACTACTGCCCAGCGCTATATCCATAGTCTCCATCCTCTGGGTACTCAACTGGCATCTCAGGGGTAATATTACTAAAGTCTCCGTGAAAGTTCAGAATACTATTCGTGAAAGAATCATCTGGCCTTCCCGTAGCGTTGAACTGGGACGTCGACATATCCTCCACGCCGAGCATCGGGGCTGATAAGTATGTCCAGAAGTTAAGCTCATCAGGTGCGACTGCTACATTTGAAAGATCGAAGAGTGGCCACGTATCGTCTGGCATCATTGATGATATGGTGTTCTGACTTTGAGTGTCGCCAAAGAGCCCTTGTTGAGTGTTTGTTGATGTCCCGAAACTGGCCCAAGTGTCGCCCGTAGGTAGTGTTCCGTATTCAGCGGTATGAACTGTTGGTCGGTGTTGAGTCTCGGCATCCATTTGAGATCCATAAACCTGATTCATTCCTATATTCCCATGTCCTAGATTTACATCTCGAGGGCTGGAATCTTGCATATTCGTATCGCTTCCAACGGCCAATTTCCGCTGCGATACACCATCGGAATCCTGCCTCCGGAGCTGCTGTATGATAGAACGCCTTCGATCCCGCCGAGACTCCTCTGAGTTGTGGTGTATCGGCAGTCGTTGACCTCCTCCTGATGATCGCATCATATCTTTCTCGACCAGATCGATAGTAGCATCAGCTAATTTAGATAGTGCTTCGCGCGCTCGGGCAATTCTTTCCCACCGTGCTCCCAGTTTCTCAAGTATACTCTTCCATTGGAACAAGCAGCTCTTGAACGAGATCCAATCATCTTTGGCCTTCATTCGCGCCTGAGTATTCTTCCAGACGATGAACACGAGAGTAACTCCGCTCATGAATTGAAAATGCAGGTCTATCCAGGTGAAGTCCATTAGACCCTCACTGATACGAAGGTATGAGAGCTGAATAAGGTCCTTTGCAGCTTCGTAGCATGACAACGTGTCAGACGTACTGAGGTTTGGACGAGACGGAGATGGTCTGTAGAGGATGAGCAGTGCTGTACGATACCAGTAGCCCCACCAATTGACGTTATGACCATCGGAGTCAATGAGGTTCAGGGCTACTGAATTCCAGCCTTTCAACCGCTGAGCCATCTCATTAGTCCACTGGGTAAGGTCCGTGTCCTCTCCGCTGGCGCTCGTATCGTCTCGCCGTACTGCATGTAGCTTGTGTACGATCTCACTCTCAAGTCGTTGCAGTTCAAGCCAGTGCAATATCTGTGGTCGCTTGTTCGGTACTAGCGAGTGTTTCGGCAGATGAATATCGACGGTAAAGTCGTCAAAGGTGAAGGGTCGGCCAAGAAGGATATTGAGTGTCCGATCAAAACTGTATGTTACCCAGAATAGCCTTCGCTTCGTATCTGCTTCACTTATCCTCTCAACTTCTGTGTCGTCACTAGTTGAAGAAATAGCTATTGTGGTTTCTGAGTGATATCCGAGATCAATGCACATCCGCATACAAAGGCCGGAGATATACCAAACCGGCGCAGACGATGAGTCCAGAATCGAGAGAAGCAATAATAGTAGAAGGCATTGAACCGATTTGACATTCTTCGTCTGCATGATCAGACTGATATCCGCCATAGCATTGGCAGTGAAGCCTTTCGATAGTGTCGTACTCTCATTATGATCGTTGGACATGAACATGAGAGAGATGGCAAGTACCATGTTGAGCATGAATCGAGTCCACACCTCGCCAGATCCTGGTCGATTTTGACCGTCCCTGTTGTTCTGTCGAGCGTAGAATTCTGTGACGGCCTTGCTAAATTCCTGCTGGTCTAGAATGGGATACTGAACCTGATATTGGCTGAAGAATGTGTCGATAAGGCTATTTGCCGTTTCTCGTGATGGCAAGGCAATTCTGGTACTACTGGTAGCTGGTTCCTTTGGTCCGGTTCGAGCTTCCGTTGTTTCAGATGGCGATTCGAAGTTTGGATAGTTTTGCTGGGCGGACTCAAGAACTGATCGGACCAAGTACATGCCTAGACTTGTTTCAGCGCGAGTAACTAATATTAATCGTGCGTCCATACCGCTTGAGGCTCCAATGAAATGGGCATGCCCCTCATCTCCAACACGAATCAGGTCTTGGGCAGGCTCATCATCTGAGCGCAACGTCGAAGTAGGCGGCGACACCTCAGTTGTCGCGTCGTCAGCCTCCTGGAGCTGAGACTCCAGTCGCATGAGTTGGGCTTCCAGCTCATGGATGTAGCTTCGAGGATGGACGTCGCCCGAGCGGCCATCTGTGTAGTCACATATCGAGCCTGCGTTCTGGCATGGTTGGCATGCAGGAATCTCTATTTCAAGGTCAGTAAAAACGAATTGACGGAGGAAAAATCGCAGAGCAGCTCACGTGTATCGCAACGCGCCTTGCGTTTCCGACAACGGTTACACGCGTTTATGGTCTACATCATTCGTTGTAAGTCACAAAAACGCATACATATAGAGTTGCCATGAGTAGGGAGCTTACAAAGTACGGCGGATCCATCGTCCGCTAAACGCGCCATCATTCTGCAAAGAATTAGCATCTAACGCGACTGATTTCCTGCAATGTCTCGCCTGGATCGTGATCAAAGTCGGAGCCGATCGCTTTGAGTAAAAGTGCGGAGTAAAGTTGGCGTGGAATACATTCCGCCCGCTAACGAGGCAGCTGATCCTTTTCTCCACAAAACTCCTCGCGTCGATCATACATACCCTGGAGTGATTTCCCTTGAAACAATAAGTCTGTTTCCTGCAGACTGCTAACTACGACCTTGGCTATAGAATACACGACTTATTTTGGAGACAGGCTGTTAATTGAGACTCGATACAGTATATGGATACATTGCCGGCAAGACACAATTCATGATGGTACGAAGTGGCCGCTGCTGGCAGTAAGGATAAAATGAGAAGGACTGATTTGAGAGGCTGATGAAGGTTGTACCAAGTTCGTCGATATATGAAGCCTTATACGCAACTGATGTTGCCGACAGGTCGGGATGGAAATCACTGGAAGTCTGAACTGAGGTGGTTACATGTTTAGCGGCAGATATTGTCTTTGGGCGTCTATGGACGATATTTTAAAGGCCAAGTGATATTGCCGTTACGAAGTTGATAAATGCACTGCATGCAAATATCAACAGTCAAAAGAGAAGTGAACAGCGACAAATATAATGGAGTGATTAAAATATATGACCAAGACGTGATACTCAAATGAAAGTATCAATTATCTGACTATATAGACGTTGCCATAATCTTCCATATCCACCAGGAATAGCTCCCATACAGTCGGAGCTGCTCTGCAAAACTATTAACACGAAGCTATCTTTACAGGCTCCGTCGTAAACAGGTGCTGATTTATGGAGACTTATCCCGAATCTCAACTCTCTCCTCCTCAGCACCAAGCATCTGCTTAGGTGTAGCATCCTCCTCGGAATGAATATTGAGGGACCCGAAGTGCGAATCCAGTTCCTCAAGAGTCTTGTTCTTAGTCTCGGGGTAGCAAGCGTAGACAAGAACAGCGGCGAAGACGTTGAAGGCCATGAAGATAAAGTAGACGCGAGGTCCAATGCGAGCGACAGCAACTGGCCAGACTTGACCGACGATGATCGAACCGAGGGATGAGCCGGAAGAGGAGATGGCGAGACCCTTGGAGCGGCAGTTGGCGGGGAAAATCTCGGAGGCGTAGATCCAGGCGCAAGGTCCGAAACCCATACTGTCTGTGATCTTGTTAGTATGTTGGCTGTTTATTGATTCATCTGATGGCTTACATCCAACGGTGAAGAAGAAGATAAAGAAGATGTTGACGTAGTTGGCACTTTGGTTGTTTTGTCCGGGATAAGCAGTCTGCAGAGCACCATTGATCTAAAACGCGTTAGCAGCTGTAATAAGATTGATTTGTAACAACTCACCATCAAGCAAAAAGCCATGATGACAGCACCAATTCCAAGAGAATGTCTTCGACCGAGCTTATCAATGAAGAACATGGCCGCAACTGTGCATAGAACCTGGACAGTTCCGTCGATACCAGAAGCAAGCAGACTCAATTCCTTAGAGGTACCGGCAGCGATGAAGTTGGTGGGAAGATAGTATCGAATTCCAGCTGCACCACTCATCTGCTGGAGGAAGGCAAGAGACCAAGCACGCCAGAGTCGAGACCAGAGAGGCTTCTGCTGGATAAACACACGGGCTGAGGTGATAGAGTTCTCTTGATGCCAGAGAATATTGGCGCGGATCTCGTCAAGTTCAGGCTGGATTTCGCTGGCAGTGAGACCACGGAGTTTGCAGAGGGACTCGCTTGCGGCTTCGACTTGGTCTGTTTCAACGAGCCATCGGGGGCTGAGAAGAGTTAGCGGGAAGCGTGAAGGACAATTATAATAGACATACCTCTCAGGAATGAACAAGACACCTCCGAGGAAGAGCAGAGCAGGGATGAACTGCATGGCGGTGGAGAGGCGCCATTCAAGATCGATACCATTACCGTAGTCCCAGAACGAGTAGCCATAGCCAACCCAGAAAGCCATAGAAATACTGCACCAATTAGCACCATGATGGCTTGACTCGACGGTTTACTTACCCGGAGACAATTCCAACTTGGTTAGCAGCAACGTAGAGACCACGATGCTTAGCGGGCGAGATCTCACTGAGATACAGCGGGACAGCAGTGGACACAACACCTGTTCCAACACCAGCGATGATTCGCCCGATGACCATCATGGCCAGGTGAACAGCACCAGTCTGAATCGCCGCTCCGACGCAGAGGAGGCAGACACCACCGAAACCAGCCCATCTTCGACCGTACTTGTTGTTGATGGGACCCGCGAGGAGGGCGAATGAGGCGAATTGACCAGCGGAGAAGATAGCAGTGATGAGACCCTTCTCACTGGACGAGGGTTGGTCGAGAGCTTTATTGAAGCCAGGGGAGACATAGATGGTGCTCAGAATACCGATATCATATCTGCAAATTGTGAGCCTTTGGCCAATGCGTGTTGTAAAGTCTCAACTTACCCCCAGAAGATGGAACCCATCGAAATGACGAAGATACTAAAGATGAGCCAGCCGCTCATCTTGCCCTGTGCGGGCCCTGCGCCCAACTCGGTAGTCATCTTGATAGAAAACAGTCGGAAATAAGTCAATTGAACAAGTTGCGAGAACTCAAGTGTTCGTGCTGTTGAGTTTCCCCGCAAGAAAGTCTGGGGAAGGCATACTTTTTAATCTTTTGTCAAATGGCTCTAAATCTGGGGTAGCGAAGTCGGGTTCTGGATGGAAACAGGGATTTTCATGGTATGATTCCGCGTTGCGGGGTGCGCTAAAGCTAGAGACGGAGCCTCCGCTTGTTTCTCCTCACTCACGACGGTGGTTCCGTCTGGGGCTCTTGGATGCAACTATTCCGTTTTATGATAAGTTCAAAAGTCTGGTTCATAATGGACTGACTATTAGATGCAGGTTCAAGTCTAGCGATTTACGAAAAATACTGATCATCACTTGACCTGATTCCCTGCCATGACTGTCAACGGCACCAACGGGGATTCCCCGTCTCTCGGCGAACTTAAGCATATCTCGTCGACTCGCTTAACTCCCAGCCTCAGCATCCATTCATTCTCTATTCTTACAAACCATGAGTTCAGTCGGGGCTTCCGTCCCAGTCAACACCTGACACTACAATTCCCGCCCGATCTAGACCCTGTGTCGGGACCCCAGAATTTATCAGACCAGGAAAGATGTCTTTCTTTCACTCCTTTCCATTCACAGTATGCGGAAGATGGAACCATCGAGAGCATCTCTCTTATGGCGCGTAATGGCCGCGTTACCGGGCTGTTGGGACTCCCAAGGCCGCATGGACCATTAGTCGCTAAGATTGTTGAGGTCGGTGGCGGATTCCCCTCTAAGATCATAGAGCAGGCCACCCAAGCGTTATGTATTGCTGGTGGTACTGGTATTGCACCATTCATTGCTATGGCGGCGGCGAAAAACTGCAGCCGCAATACCAATGATCTGAAGCCTAGTCTCATCTGCAGCATTCGTGGGGATGACTTTGGAGTTATCGAGTATCTCTGGAACCACGAGATGCTCTACCCGCGAGACTGGGATGTGGTTCGCATTTTTGTGACGCCTGGAGAAGAAACTGGTGGGATGGCTTCCGGCAAGCCACAGAGCTGGTGGCATCAGCGCTTTAAGGAGCTCTTACAGGACCATAGCGACAGTGATGTTTTCCGTCTTGGGAGAATGGAGACAGAAGATTTGGAGGATTTCAATAAAGATACAGATGGACCAGTGCTATTTTGTGGAAGCAAGCAATTGGAGTGGCAAGTCAAAATGTGGTTTCTTGGGAAGAAAGATATCCATTGTACAGAGAGATAGGGAAGAATCTTCGTTATTTTACTTCTATTAATTATCGAGTACTATGCAGGCGACTTATGAGTTTTCATATAAGAAATAAATGCACGTGCAACACTAATTCCCAGTTATATGTATCTATTCGTACACTCGGACTTCGAAGATACCACCGAAGGCATTCTCATCGCCATTCAGCTCCAGGACCTCAATACCAAGCTCCTTCACCGCCCTACTCGCCTCGAGAACAATCTCTCGGCGCGACAAGTGATTCTCATCCTCAACATACAGTTCTCGCTCTCCGCTAGAGAGATCCAGCACACGCCACTTCTTGGCACAGAAGGGGATAGTCCTCTCTGGGTGACCTCTCAACACTGATTCGAGAGCGTGATCATAGTCTGTATCAAAGTGAACGACAACCTTGTTGACCTTGACTGGTGTATCCCAACCGATCTTGAGAATCCTCCTACCAGAGGAGTCGGCACGAGGAACCCAGCAGTTGGCTCTCTTGGTCGGCCGAGGAACACCATTACGAACGTTCTCGACCCCCCAAGCCTTCAGAGGTGGATCCAGTGCCAAGGCTAAGTTGTGGCCCATAGGCCTTCGAACTGGTGTCCAGCGTTCAAACTCATCAACTCCAACGTCACTGGGTGGGCTCTGAGTGCATTCGTGCTCGACAGTCATAAGTGCTGATACACGTGTCTTGGTGGTGCAGAGTGCTACAGAATCGTTCTGGAGGAAAGAGAGGAAGACGTATTGAGTCTGAGGGTTCTCACCCTTGAAGTCGATGACGAGATCGTTCTGTCCTGGAACCAGGGAAAACTTGGTCTCAGCCAGGATGACCTCGGGCGTGTAGTTGTAAGGCTTCTGAGACCCTCGAAGCTGAACCGTCAATATAGTGTCTTCTACTGACATAGCTGTGACGGAGAAGGTAGGAACAGGTCCTTGTGAGAGGGGCAGCATCTGCGCAAGACTTCGGACTAGGACCTTTGGTGGTCCATCGGCTGGGAGCTGCGATAGCTCAAAAGACGATCCCTCAATCTTGGAGGCTGAGCGAACAAGATCTTCAGAGTCATTGAGTTTATAACCAGGGATGAATTGACCAAAACGCATGAGCTCTCGCTGGAAGTTCTTCATGTTACTCTTGACAAGTAGTTCCATAGGATCTACACTCTGCTTCTTACAGAGAGAAGCCGCGATACCCAAGGCGTTGGCGTTGGCTCCGCATGTTGCCATGACACGGGTAGATGCGAAGGCGACGTGGGATGCTGACATGATGCGGCCTCCGTACATGAGATTGGGGATCTCGGAGCAGACCATTGAGGAGAATGGTATTTGGTAGACACCTGTAACAGTCAGCACACGAAGACCTGATCATACGATGGATGAGCTTACCCTTTGAGTGCCACTGAGTGCAGCCGTCTACTTCAGAGAAGACACCATCAGCGGGATGTAGATCGAGAGACCAGCCACCAAACGACACAGCATCAGAGTGATAGCGCTGCTCAACAATGTCCTGCTGCACCATAATAGTAGGACCGACTGTTAAGATTAGCTTTGCTCTCAGATATTGCATAGAAGAACTCACTGAACCGTCGACTCTCTCTCTTTCCCGGGATAGTCCCAACCCACTCAAGCGTCAGATTCTCCGCCTCGGGAAACCTTCCCGAATTCTTGAAATAATCCCAAACTCCATAAACAACCTTCCAAAGCTCCCACTTGATCTGCTCCGTATCATGGATAGTATCAAGTCTACCACCATACTCAATCCACCAAAGATTGCAGCCCATCTCCTTGGTGCTAAAGCTCTTGAAGCGAGGAATTTCTCCTTCGACGTCTTTGAGAGCGTAGGCTGGTGCGACATACTTGACAGGCTTGCCGGTGTCCTTGGTGTAGAAGTAGATGGAGTGGCCGAGAAGATGGCCGTACTCGGACGATGGCGCGAAGAGCTCGTTGAACTCATCGCGCTTTTCGGCGCCGATTCTGAAGGGGGCGCCTGCGAGGAATGAGAGTGTGCCGTCGCCGGTGCAGTCGATGAACTGTTGAGATTGGATGGTGTATTTGAGAGATGATTGTGAGTTGAATGCGCTGACAGAGCTAATGCGATCTCCGTCCTTGTCGCAGCCAACAAGAGCTGTGTTGAGGAACAACTGGATATCTGACTCCAATCTCACTTTCTCCAGAAGAATCGTATCAAGAATCAGAGGATTGCCCTCTGGATTTCGGTACAGATTCTCGAGTAAGATCTCATCAACAAGACCGCCTTCTCTCGCGTAGCGATTGTTATTGAACATATGCGACGTAGCTCCAAGGATCCATAATCGGACCTCGCTGGAAGCATTGCCTCCAAGAACAGGTCTATCCTGGATGAGAATGACTGACACGCCATTTCTCGCCGCTGCGATGGCAGCAATAGTTCCAGCAAAGCCTCCACCGCATACACAGAGATCTGAGTTCAGTGTGCGGAGCTGAAAGTCACGGCTCTGAGTTGCTGGCTCGCGACGGAGGACAGGGTCGTGGGATATCCTTGCAGGGGCCATGGTTGCGAAGTCTGAGTGCTAACTACTGGCTAGTGGAGTGTTGTAATTTGTTTTCAAGTGAAGCTAGGATGATGAGAATGGGTAGATTACATGCTATGAAATAGTCTCTTTTATTACTCGCAATCGCAAAGCCTGATGATCAGCCCGATGCAGCCGCCTGCAATAAGTTGTTAGTCAATCAGACGAGCAACATCAACGGAACCGCCGTTTAGCTCGTTGACTTGCCACTAACACTTTTGCGGTGGTTCCGTCAGACATTCCACTTTTTCCCCGCAAGCTAACCCGGAGACTCATGAAGGAGCCGCCTGTGTTCGGTTATTCTATGCTCAGCTGAAGCCATTCGATGGAGAAATTGGCCCTCGTGATATTTACCTGAGCTCGATTGAACATTTGTTGGTGGCATTGGCTTTCCAACCCCGGATGCTCTCAGGCGGTGCCGACGATTTGGTATCCAGTAAGTTTCAGAGCCCACAGACCACTCTGTCCAACCATGAGCGAGACTGGGGAAGATGTCCAAGGGCGACCACTGCGGAATGTCACCCTACGAGTATCGCAAATCTTTTCAGCCTGTACTTTCTGTAAAGCTCGGAAGATCAAGGTACGCGCATCGTTGCACCCTCAGACCAGACTAAAACTCATTCATCGTAGTGCAATGGCGCAACTCCAGCATGCGGTGGATGCGTCAAGTTTGGCCGACAAACAACCTGTTCTCTCTCAACGGAATCGCCAAATCGCGGACGAGACTATCCAACTTACCTTCGACAAAAGATTGAAGCTGCCCAACAGCGTCTCAACCAACACAACGCTAGACAGAACAATGTCACTTCGCCGTCAGATACTGAGCGGTCCACCCGGAATGAGTCGGCAGAGACTCATCAACGTTCTATCATCGATTCACTCATCGCAGACATCGGAGCACTTCCCATCATAGCATGTTCATATCCATCAGCTGCAGAAGGGCCGACACTGTCGTCACTTGTCCTAGCAACTGCAAGCACCAACCAACTCTCATCAGCCCTGCGATTAACCCAAGCCAATGAGGTTGCACCGTGTTTACCGAAGGAGTCAACCGCTTTGAGCTTGGCAAAACATTACTTTGATCAGGTCTACCCACGAATACCTTTCTTCTCTATCCAAGGTTTCTGGGTGCAGTTCGAGCATGTCTTCTCTGGCGTGGATCCTCCTCGCGAGCGCGGACAAGATGGCCCACCACAAGATCCAGCGAGTGTTCTAACGCCGAGTCAAGATGATCTTGATCGCTCATCGATAAGTCATGGGTATAGCTATTTCACTGTTCTGTTGGTTTTGGCTATATCTGCCTCGAGTCTATCACGAAGTGCTGATAGTGTGATATCAACGCAAGCTCAGAGACTATTTCGTACAGCATTGACGTTCCGCGAGTCAGCGATCCTACCAAACACTATAATTGGCGTCCAGTCGATATTATTCTTGATCCAGTTCGCTACTCTCAACCCCTCATTGCTCGACGCATGGTATCTTATCGGTGTCGGCATGCGCATGTGCGTTGACCTTGGACTCCATCAAGATCCGCATCCTCCCGACTCAGTTGCGACAAGTCTCCTGGAAACACGACGCCGCCTTTGGTGGAGCATGTACTCTTTCGATCGGTCTATGAGTTTGGGATGTGGACGACCGACTGAGATATCTGACTCCGCTATAAACGTGTCCCTGCCTACGTTCAAAATTGAGACGGCAGCAACAGCTGTCGAAGTTCACGGCTATCTACAGCGCTATCGTGCACTACAGATCCAGTCCGAGATTTACAATCGGTTGAACAAATCTCCAGACTCTGAAACAGGTGATGCGCAATCAGTTCATCAACAACTCAGCAAGAAGTTGGGCGATTGGAAAGACTCAAGTTCTCAGCTACCAAACAAGACCCTTATCGAGAGTGAATGGTTGATGGGCCGTATGCTGCTTCTAAGACCCTGCAGACTGTTGCCTCAACGGTCACATGATGAGCTTGGTGAACTATGGCAAGCAGCTGTTGGATTCATTGCGATATATCGCCGACTGGTGGAGTCCAACTCAATATTCTACGTGCAGATTGCCTGCGAGAAGATTTACTGGACTGGACTTATGGCGTTCTACAGCTACTGGAGATTCCGTACCGATACTACAGGCGATGCTAATTCCATGCGACGTCTGGACGTTTGGATGATTGTCAAAGACGTCATGTTCATCCTTCGAGCGTTAAGTGAGCGATGGGACCAGGGCAAACTTCTGTGTGGGCGATTTGATGACGTGAGCACTCGTGTTCTTGAGGTGTCAGAAAGTCATGCTGGAGATGACACAACGGCTGCATTGCCTCTTGAGTTACAGAACTTAGAACAGTATACGAGCTTGACTGTCGTTTGGGCGTCGGGGGACAAAGTGGATCAGAGTAATGAACATGCGCTGGACACAAACGAGCTCCGGCATTTAGTGTCTGAGATGTTATAATCATAAGAAAATAATAAATTATCTCTGTTCCTACATGCTCAAGAGAGGCGAGTTGCTCATGCGGTGGTCAAGAAGCAGTGAAGTGACACTCGGAAGGTTCCAATGTGTCAGCGGGCTTTCATCAGCCATGAAGGCGCATTATCCAAAGTTCCATTCATCGAATTGATTCTACCTTGTTTTATGAGTGAACTATCTATCAATATTGGAACCGATGAACGTTACCAATCATGACTATGGGATCATCTCGGCACAACAACCGGCGTTATATGCAACGTGTGTGAAGCCGCTTACTATACCCCTGGCAAAACGCCCAAATAGGAATTTGCTGCTCAGCCAGTAAAGTTCAATGACCGGAAGAGTTACTTGGTTGAATTTGTCATTCCATAAATGTCGGCCTTTTTTTTGATTGGTCTTTTCGGGCAGTCTTTTTCATGAAGACCATGTCGGGCGTCATCGACCAGAGCAAGAGGAGGATCCAAACTCAACAGGTTTAATTATGACGCCCCAGTAAGGATTATATGTGACAGAAATGCACAAAAGGAAGGTGCTAAATTGATTTCGTGAGCTGGAAAACAGCACCCGAGATGCCGAGTTCCGTGTCGTCCCAATGTTGGATGATTCTGAGTTGAGATATGCTCGAGTGTCTTTCTGAATTGACGGCCGTGGACCCCAATATCCAAATCATATATAAAAGCCAACTTGTTCCGCTGATACAATTCTTCCCATTCCAAGCCACTCAGTTCTTTTGCCTATCACAGGCAACAGTAAAAAAATAATCTTCTTTCCGAATCTTCACCTACCTTAAGTCAGTATATGCTCAACACTAAGCACCCCCAAACTCTAATCTTTTCCAGCATGCATATCACCGCTATCTTTGCCACTGCTCTCATGGCAGCCAGCAATGTAGCTGCTGGAATCAACTGCAAGGGCAGTGTGCTATGCGGCCAAGGCACTGAGCCCCTTTCCAACCTCATCAACTATGCCGGTGGCCTCAACGACGACCGCTGGTACCAGAACGGACAGCACATCGTCTGTGGAGGTTCACTCTGTGCCTTCCTCCAAAACACCGGTGGCCTGCCTGGTCGTGAGATCAAGCGCCTCCTTGGAGAGCTCCGCAACCATGGCTGCAAGTACTGCGGCAGTGTCCCAGTCTTCTTCCCTGATGACAACAATGATGGAGATCATGGTATTCTGACCGTCAACTACGTCAGCAACCCAAGCTGCCAGGGCGTCTGTTAGGAGCCCATTGTTAGGCTCCTCTAACTCGCTGAGGGAGCCCTGGCCAGCGCACTTGGTAAGAGGGCCGTGTTCATAAAAGCAATGGAGCTTTTCTTGAAGAGCCACGAGGATGGACAGGAGAGCTTTTTGACCACACTACTGTCTCTCTCGCACTCATTAGGGGGATTGGACTCTCCCAATTTTTCAAAGAAGCAAGTTCAACATGGAATCAAGCGAGCTGCAGCACAATGCAGTATGTAGATAGATTATTGGTACCATAATCATACATTCATTTATTCATTGAAACATGATTAGCTTCAAAGGCGAGGTTTCCCTGGTACGCTAAGTTCCTTTCAGTTGGTATCTAGTGATTTTCGTCGGTAGGGACCTCAGTTGTGAATTTCTCAACGAACGAGGTTGATGTGGAAGTGAAAGGTGGCGGAATGGCGGTCCTGGAAAGAGACGAGGGAACGGATGTAGTGTCTCTGAAACTCCAGGTACAGAAGGTGAGGTGAAAAGATGAGGCAATCGCTATGCTAGGCTTAACGGTTGTGGTACCTGAAGTGATTATCGGCGCGTCACTAGTACTGACTGATTCCGTCTCACTGGCCGTTGTGGTGCTAGATCCAGCAACCGAGGTTGTGCTAAGCTTGCTGGTGACTCAAGTTGATTGCTGCTCAGTTGACGTGGTGCTATTCATGACAGGTATGGAAGTTATTGTCTCCTCTCCCTCTTCATTAGCCTACAAAAAGGCTGGATAAAGTACTTAAGATTCTAAATCCCCACGTTAGGTATATGCCTTCGCTCCACTTCTCCCTAAAAAACCTGTATCATAAGCATAACCAGACTTCCCTTGTTCGTTGGTCTATCGTTCCTATCATATCTCTCTGGAAGCTACTAGGCAAGCTCAACCGTTTTGCTGTCCCGAACATTGGCCCAATACTGCTCATACGGAAGACAAAGCACACCAATTCGCTTATACTGATCGACATCTCCAACACGGTCTGTGGCCTCCAGGATCAGCGCGGCCCCGATCACTCTCTTTTCTTCGGGTGTCCACATTGACGGGAGCAGCTTCGCTACCAAAATGCAAGTGTAACTCCGATTAACGGCTCCCAAGAAGTTGGTATAATCCAAGTATGCAATACGATCCTCTGGCTTCCTGATACCGTGCGCAGCTTCGCTCTTGATTGTGTTCCCTTGCCTGTCATAAGCATGGGGACCAAAAACAAAATCCAAGTTCAGATCGTAGAGGTTGAATGACTTGACAGGACCACGAATAGTTACACTCCCTTCGAGAATCTGGCCTGATGTCTGAGGTCCGTTTGTCCTAACCGACCACGAGTTCACTTGGAGGGTTAAATATCTTTCTTTGTAGTAAGTCATGATTGGCAGAAATGTGATCGGATGAGGAGGGGAGGCCCAACACCACGAGGGTCGATCTGTTCCACGCAACGGGTCAGCTTCAGGCTCTTGTCCTCCCCAGCCTATCCAAAGCAGTCCCTGAGGGATAGAAGACCCCCAAATTCCTGCTATGTAATCTTGTGGAAAACGACATTGGATTCTCTTCGCGATACCGGACAGCGCAGGGAGCTTATCTCTATAGAAAGAGAAGTTTGTTCCAGAATAAACCTCGACAAATTGGTACCATAGGGTTATAAGATCATCTTGCTGTTGATTATCCAGGTTTCTAAAAACTGAAACGAACTCTTCGTTTCTATAGCCGTAAATATTGGGTTCTTGGCTACTGGGGTTTGCCTCTGTAGTTTTAAGTTCACAGCATTCCCACAGCAAACAGCTGCCGCCGAAATGGAGTATTCTTTTTGATAGTACTCGTTCTTGGATAGCCCATCCTCTGGTAAGAAGCGGAACATTCTGGATACTCAGCTCCCATGAAGGGGACGCTGGATGAACCTCAAGGTGTGAGGTGCTGCCGGAGATCTTGTTGATTGTCAGCGTCACGGGTCGCGGATCGAATTCAAGTGCAGGCCTGTCGAGGAATAGTCCTTGCTGGGATGATATGGCACCGCTGGCTGCGATGGTCAAGGTGGCGTTTTCGTAGTATTGTCCGAACCTCGCTGCCTCATAAGACCAGTCGACTTTGTGCCGCTGGTCATCTGGTCCTTCACTCTGTAATATGCACAAAGCATCCACCCACAGATACCTATATCCTAACTTTCTTGTGAAGATGATCGCATTTCTTACGGTCTCTGCAAGGTCATCCCATGGTAGAATTTCTGTCATCTCCACCAGATTGGATGCTGTCGTTTTGGCAAAATTGTGACCTGATCCCCATGCATAGCTCAGAGCAAGATACTCAGTATCGAATGAGTGGTTTGTGATGACTATCTTTGGCGAAACTGCCCCATCACTGGAGCCAACGTCGATGAGTCTTGTCGGTATCGTCTTGATTGGGTCTAAACCCTCAGGCTGCATACTACATTTTTCATGGTTCGCTGAACAGCTGTGTATCCACCTGTTGGCCAATGCAACAGCCTTCTCAACGCCCTCGGCTGATGATAAGTCTGCTATTGATCTTGTATTGCGCAAGATCGGTCCTCTAATTCCTGCTGCTTCATCCTCATCCGTGACAAGTGGCAGGGGGTGCCATCGACTGTGGCCTATGTCTGTTCCAATACCGCACCAAACCTTTGGCTCTTTTGGATCTTGTCCTTCAGCTATAACCGCTTTGTAATGACGGAGAACCTTGTAAGCCGAAATATGGATAGCCAAAGTCTCAGCCCAATTGAATTTTGAAACCTGATAACAAAAGGACTGGAATATGATTTGGCACAGAGGACAGCCGCTCTGTGCTGATTCTTTGAGTTTGTAGACATTCGGTGCAATTGTGCGACGGGGAATCGACTCTTCAACGTCAATGTCAGCAAACTCTTTTGCGAATTGCTTGCAGGTATCACACAGAGACTCTGCCATTATGCGCAACAGATAGTAAGAGGCTTTTTTTGTTTTGTTTTGAACAACCAACGCTGGTTTTCGGGCTGGCCTGGCTTGAAATACCCCTCCAAAAAGCCTACTCGCGCTAGCCACGTGATGATGGCTGACACGGCATGCCCGCTTACTATCGAAATGAAGCGCTTGAGGCTGTGCTGTTAGGCGGACTGATATAGGAAAACTAATTTAGTTAGACTGGCGACTGGCTAAGGTGCCACATGTTCATCGAGAGAAAAGTGGCCTTGTTCGCTCAAGGCTGAGATGTCCTACCGAAGTCTAGAGCAAATGACAAACTTGGGCTTCAATTTCTAAGTAGAGCTATTCCTCAGATTACGTATAACGGCTCTTGTAAAGTAGGCGCTCTGCCAGAAAGTCTCCTAGGGAGTTGGTGTTCGATTGGAAAGAAACCACTGTTCGGCAAATTTAATAGCCTGGGGTAAAGAAAACAAATGGCAGTTTGCTGCACTGATTTGACCGTTCATCACACCATTTTTCTCAACGAAATCCTTCCCCAGTTCCAAAAAGTCTTCTTCGTTGACACTGACGTCTGATACAGTCGCCCATTCTCTAGTTCCGTTGACTGAAACTGCGAATGAGATATCAGCCTTTGGTGAGTTAACTCTATACTCTGCAAGATGAAAGCAAGTACAGCGGTCGAATCCAACGCCGATGAGCAGAACCTTGGCGTTCAGCTCTTCCAAACGACCTAGGGGACTCTTTTCTCCCAGCATGCTATCCAGCTCATGTCCGTGTGTGATGAACTCCGCCTTTGCACCAATTGCAGCAAATGAAGTGTGAGGGTGCGTACTTCTCACTGCACCCGGCCATGTTCTCACTGTCTCGGCCAATACACCCATGTGTTCACTTCGAGTTGTCTGGGGATTGAATGCAGGCCTGGTTTCGCGAATAGTCTGCCACCATTCTTTTGGCACAGGTGGGTTGACCCAATTCGACGGGTCTGAGTTGCTGCTGGTGTGTGTTGGGACAACGAGGGTTCCTTCGGGTGTAAGGATGTCGAGTAGAGCTTGGGCAAGGGCTTCAGCTCCGCCGTTGATCCATCCTATGCTTTTAAGGGAGCAATGGACCAGGACTGCATCATGTGGTTTCAGGCCGAGGTTTCGGAGGTCCTGAGTAAGAGATGGCCTGGTGCATAAAGGTCCGGTCAGAGGCGGGGGCGTCATGGTGAGCAGAGAGTCGAGGGAAGTTGTAGATTGTCGAATATACACAGGGAAGGGGGAGAAACTACCTAGCCAAATCCATTGAGTAAATGGCTGGAGGCCAACTTATATAAAATGTGTACGCTAGCCTCTTCGTGCTCCCCCGCTAACTTAACTCTGGACAAATTGTTCGCCGTCTGAGTCACTGTAAGCTATTGCGAAAAGCCTAGACGAAACAGCAAGATAACACAACTTTTCACAGTGACGCTGATATGAATCGAGAATGTTTTCTTTCGCTGGATTTTTTGCAGCAATTGGGCTTAACTTGGTCATTCTGAAATATGAACATAACTGATCATTGGAAAAGATGGGGATCGAACCACGGATCCAATGAGCGTATGCCCGAGGTTAGCGATGGGGACCTAACCTGAATACGGCTAGTGCAGGATAGTTCTGGGAAAGTGGATTGGATTGTTCCCTCGAGTGTACCCACTTCTGGAACGAGCCTAACCAAGCTCTAGGGTAGCTATTCTCCAAATCGAATGTTATCCTTTTATCTCATCAGATTAGAAATGTCGGTGAGTAAAGCTGCATCTAAGAACTATTAGAATGTTAGTATAAGTCCTTTTACTCTGAGGCCGAGACTGTGAGATTACTCGAGAAGTGACATATGAAATATAACTAGATTCTCCGTCACTATTACTGGAGACACCAAAAAGAAAACATTAAATATACCAGAAAGCTACAGATATTGTAATGATCACCACATGTCTCGAGCTGGAAATGGCACTCGGGCCAGTGACGCGCTGATCCGTCTGTTTCGTAGCAATTGCAACGTCGCAATGAAACATTTCCATTGCCAAGCCCATTTCGTGACGCGCATTGAAGACAGAACCTCGTATTGAAATGACGATCATCCGAGTTCCGTGGTACCAATGCTCGCCTGAAATGACCTTCAACCGTTCAACGCAAGCAAATATTATCCATAACTCGGCCGAGAGATATTATCGACGTCATTGCGTTCCTGTCAAAGCGTCTTCTCCATGACATCACTGAACCCTCTAGAACCTCGGCCCACGAAAGTCTTCACCAAAAGTGGCTAAGCCAAACGGGTTAAAAATAGTAGCTATTTATATCCCAGGACCCTGAAATCTTGCCAGTTTCTTAGGCCTGGGCCCTTCTGGACGCAAATCGAGGCTATTGAGGCGCTGTGTTCAATTGAGACAGGACCATGAAAAATAGCCTAAATAAGGTGATGATCTGGCGGAAGGGCCATGCATTCGAAATGCCGAGTTCCGGACGGCACGTAGAATACGAGATTTGGGGATCGTGACCCTCAGATTCCCCACAAACAGCAACACTCGAGGGCGGAAATGTGAGGGATCGGCGAATGAGGCGATCGACATGCGCTCCAGCATTTTCTGGGGACAATCCCAATACAAAAAGGGAGGGTTTCCTCAATGGAAGTTCATTCTTCATCTCAACAACAACTCAAACTCACTGCCATTCAATACTATAATTCCTCTCTCAACCTAAACAAAACACCAACCCTTTTCTTCACAACCACCAAAATGAAGTTCTTCACCACTGCTCTTCTCTCAGCTGCCGCCGTCTCTGGCTACGCCGTCTACGAGGTCAAGGACTTCACCGCCAGCTGCGTCCCTCACAGCACCTTCTGCAAGTCAGTACTATCCCTTCTACCCATACAAAAAACAATCGCTAACATAAGATCTCCAGCTATGAGTTCAAGGTGATCCAGTCCGGAACCATGGAGACCTGGAAGAACCCCGTCCACTGCTCCGCCCACGTCCAGTCCGCCAACTATCTCCTCCCTGATGTCAAGGACGCCAAGTGCGGCGACGACTCTTCTCGCACCTTCTCCGTCAAGCGCAGCAAGAAGGGCTTGACCTTCTCTGTCTCTCAGCCTGTCAGCCCCATCAGCAACACCGTTGGAAAACACTTCATTCCCAACAAGCAGCTCTGGCAGTCCAAGGAGCCCAACGCTGAGATCCAGGCTTACAAGGGCCCTAAGGACTTCAAGCTCAACTCCACCGACTAAACGGGATTTGGATATTGTTGATTTGGAAATTGCTTCATTTTCTCTTTCAAGGACGCAGGCGTGTTATCGTATTTAAACTGTATTTTAGACTAGACTAGACTATTAGGTATATATCTAAGCACGAAAACTTCGCTTCTCACACTATGCCTTCGATGAATGTGTCATTTAAACTTTGTGTAGCCCCAGGGAAGAGAAAACCAGCAGACTGACTCAGCGGTGTTTGGTATAAGCCATTCTGCTGTTTTGCCTTACCCCAAAGGCGGCTGTCCATCTCATTCATGTTGGTGTGCTCTCAACCGCCTAGGGTCCATATTGTCCTCGATCGATAGAAACCTTTCGCGATCTTTATATAGTAGAACCAAAAAAAGAAAGCCGGAGGTTATGTTCTGTCAAGCGTACTTCAGGGGCATACGTGGCACTACCAGGAGTCACCTCTCTTGATAATTTCATCCAATCATTGATCCATGCCTTATTCTTGTTGACGAAGATGTCCTAGGAACTGCTTTCGGGATACCTGATGACGAATACTGCCCACATGGCTAAACTTCGTCATGCTGGGTTCGCGGCATTGTCGGGGTAGGATCCTTGGCCTCCGATGATCCCGAAGCCAATGATCTGCCTGCCCTGTCCAAGAGACTCAAAGTTATTGAAAGTACTGTTTAACTTTGCAGCGCCTTCGAACTTTTTAATTATTATCTTATTAAGCGATTTTTAAGTTGGAAGTTGAAATGAACTGCTTACATCGGTAAGAGATAACGGTCTGCATTAGTAAGGCTAACCTTAACATCAATTATAAGATTGGATTGTAGCATCCCAAGGTGCTTGGATAGTCAGCAGTTAAGCCACGTCGTGATTCGAAGTCGAGGAATCCACGCTCTAGAGAGTTGGATCAAGTCCTCAATTCTGGATTCTCATTGCCGAATACTCCTTGACGAGATCGCCTAAGCGACGATCCTTGATGGATATAATATGAATCGGATCCTGCGTCTCCTCGTGCCTCGCTCGTATAATTCCAGTTGAACTATCTTCCTTCCTTCCAACAGTAGACTGCTGCAATACTGCTAGATCATCGGGACTCATCTCCTTCTGTAAAGCTAAGGAAACCAAGTATGTCAGGTAGTAGTACCCACCCTGGACACTGAGGCCCTTAGCTGCTAGGTATACTAAGCCGCGGCTTTCTTCAACATCCTCCTGCGATGTCAGGCTTCTGTCGCCAAGCTGCTTCAGTGACATATAGGCTAGAATGGAAAGATATTGCGTCATGATTCGGTCTTGCATGTCATAGCCATGGCGAAGGTAAAATAGTAGCATGATACTCACGAAACTATCGCGCGATTGGGATAATGCATGATGGACCTTTTTGTTGGCCTCTGGTGCTAAGGTGTTGCCATCGCGGGAGACAAGAAACTCGCAAAGATTCATGACAAAGGTGTGGTATTGGAGACTGTTTTGTTAGTATCCCTGAACAATGACGGTATGCGCATTGAGTGACGAGGAGTTGCCGACCAGGGCTGTAAAGACCCTGATTTAGAATGAAGGGGGATGAAGGTGGCAAAACATACTGAAGTTGGAGCTCAACTGGGTATACTATATGAGCAGGCTGAAGGGAAGGTGGCAGTTTTGAGAACCACTGTTGGTATCGATCCAAAAGCCCCAAAAGCCCTTCAGAAGGAGGCAATTTACCCTCATTCTTGGATTGGCACATGCCGACAGATACTTGATTCGCAATCTGTACCATCTCGCATCTGGCCTTGAATAGGTTGCCAAAGTCTTGGGAGCTCACAGTCCGTGAGCGGGGATAGCGATATGTGACCCCCTCGTACCATTGTGGACTTTTCCCCGGATCTGGTAGGGGAGTTTGAGGCGGCTGACGAAAATGAGGCGGCTTGACATATGTATAATATTGGATGCTAGGGATTAATCAGCTACAACACTCAACTGTTGAGCGCATATTATTAACCTGATCCAGTAGTACAGACACCATGCAGTATACCCATAAACGTGGCGCTGCCTCTGGTCTAGCTTTGCAGGCAGAGACTCCAATATTCCGAGTTTATGGCTCAGAGCAAGCGCTTGGGCCCCAAAGGATAGACCTTGAGAAGCTGTTAATCAGATGCGTTATTTTGAATTGAGAATTGTGGTAGGGTGCCTGAATCAGCAAAGGACTTGATTAGACAAACCTTGAGTTTCCATCGAAGACATGTTGTATACTGGGTTCAACACCATCGCAGCCTGGAGTGTGGTGATACGGGGCTCTTTCTCCATTTCGAGTTCCCAAAGTCTTCGAGATTCAGCCAAGAAGCGATATCGTAGGCTTTCTGGATTCCAGTACTCCAAACGGCTTGTCGTGTCAGGACAGAAACTCTGTAAAAGACTCAGCATCAGGAGGTCTCTTGATGACAAAGGCGAAACACGGGACTGACACAAGACTCAGCTAACACAGCATTTACCAGCAGTGATGAACAAAACTCATTAGAGCCGTTCATCATATCCTCTAGAAAATAGTCTTTATGAAAGAAGGGAAGGGATTGATGCTCTTGGCGGAAGTAAGACCGAATCATGTTTCTCATCATCTCGTCATCGGTCAATACATTGGTCTACTCCGAAGGCCTTATCAGGCTGAATCGGGGGTCTGTGACTTCAGCAGCGCTATATGGTTTCAGATATTGAGGCCTAAAGCGATCATGAAGTTCGATTGTACTACTTGTACATGGAGAGCTCTCCATGAATGTAGCTTCGTATACCAACGAGTGGAAGTATACATTGTCTGGCACTTGTAGTCTCTTCGGCATGCGGAATGTAGGGGGAAAGCTATGGCGGAACCTTGTCTCGGGAGCAAGGTGCAGTTGGAGGAGTAAATCTCCAGCACGAAGATGGCGCAGTATGGTGCTAGGATCTTCTCCGGCTCGTATACGCCTCATGATTGTCATAGCGTCTTTCTCGTCGCGGTCGCGTATGGCTTCAAAGAGCTGTTGGAGATCAGACTCGGACGAACCTCCGTCCTCCAACTGCCTTTGAAGCTCGTCGTGCTTCCTCTTGATGGCCGAAATGCGTGTCTCAGTAGGCTTGGCCAGATACACACATTCCGCTCGACGATTGGTGCATGCCAAACATTTGGGCCGGAGGCCATTGCACTAGACTTTGCTTAACGGGCTGAATATAGTGTGAAGATACTGGAGGTAATATTTACCTTGATCTTCCGACGACGGCAAGATTCGCATGCAACACTAGTCACTGTCCGTTTTGGGATATTGACCCTCAGTGGCGGTGCAAATACGGGTGCCTTGTCCCGCGATACTAATGGTCGATAGATTCTACGGTTGTTGTCTTGGTCCATGGCATCGCTTGCTTGAGGTTAGTACTCCGTAAGTAGGCGATACACGCGTCCGTGATGGCGTCTCCGCCTCTTCGTATGGGTTCTTCCGTTACGTGTAATAATGGTGCTAAAAATATGTCATAGGCCCTTTGAGCCACCAATCAGATACGACAAAGCCATTCCTTAGCTGGCGAATCTTCAACCACGAATCATATGCCCTGGAGCTAGCCCCAACGAATGATGCCGTCGGCTCTCGGCCAAACCGCAAATCCGGGCCGACGCCAAGTCCTGTTACTTCGTACAAGCTGTCCTTTTCTTGATAACTTGCAAACGGCGGTGATAAGGTTGAGGTTAAAAGAGGCCTCTGGCCCAGGGGCACAAGGATAAAGAACACTAATAGACACATCCGAAAAAAATCCTCCTTGCCCTCGATAATTTGCAAATAACATCACAATGAGTATCTCCGAAGCATATGGTATCCGAGTTTCAAGGTTCGTTTTGTCTTTGTAACTTTGCTTTTGTCTTTGAGTTGTCTGAAACATACTGACACGCTATAGCGGCCTCACTGAGGTGAATGGCATGCATGTCGCACATAACTTGAACAAGAATCTGGTTCTGGCCCCAACCAGCGCCGGGGGTCTGACTTTTGGCCTACAATGCAAAACAAACGAAACAACTCTCGTTCTCAAGGATGATTTCTTGACAGATATTCTATCTGTCATCGGTCCAAGCGGTCGAGGGCCGTACGAGCTGCGGACTTCTCCTGAAACTAGGCCATTTGGCATTGGCTCAATGATCTATCATGACTTTGCGATGAAGCCTCTTGGTGATGGCACTGGGGGCCATACTTTGAAAATCGCCGATGAGGACATAAATGATGGACACTGGATCGCATGGAAAGACCCAGAAGGCAACGGCGACTGGTCGGTATATTGGGTGACACCTCTACCCTACAACATGGATGATTTGCCAGGAGGCGTCCCTATCGAGCTAATTCTTGATAACAAGGCCTAATGTTACAGGGAGAAGTTCCTACTAGTTACTTAACTCGATACATCTCTTTCAATCTCAATTTCTGGCTACAATAACTATAAACCCTCTTATACGATTCGGTTAAGGTCTCTTATTTACAAGCTAATCGCTGAGCATTGGTGATCCATATTTGCTGATTTATATTTGTTACTTTATCTTGCGACCGAAGCCTTTCTTAACCTCTTAGTCCTATCACAGTCCCAGCTCCATAGCACCATGGAGAAAAGAATCAGCATAATGGTACTCTGCAGCAACTCCTCAGCTAGGATGAATGCTCTTTCGACAGTCTATCTCTATCCCTCAGCCCCAACGTTGGCTTCGGTCTGATCAACCGTCTTCACAAACAGACTTTTGCTCGTGTTGCTGACGGGGATACCAAACAACACCGAATCTGCCTTTTGGGGCCGTTCGACGACATTTTTGAATGACAATCTCTGTCTCGTGACTTCTTCCCCGTCGTCGCTGAGGCCATCATACGATATTCTGGCAATCCCTAGTTCATCAAGGATCTCGTCAAGAGATGTTGTCTCGCTGGCCAAGATAACAGTCAATGCATTGACCATCTCGATGTCAACGTGAGGTTTGTCGCTGCTTTCGGGATCCTGCATAATCCATGTTGCGAGCTTTCTGGGCAATACTGAGCGGAAACAGACATCCTGTGACGCAGGATCCATGGGAACATAGATAGTGAGTATTCCGTCAGCCTCAGCAATATGTGCCTTGGACAGCTGGCTGTCTGGTACAAACGTCTGGCCATTTTGTTGTAGAATGAACCGGGTGAATATCTTCAATGCTTGTATACATTCAATCCTGCATAGCTGCTTGTGAAAGGCTTTGATCCCAGAGCGACAGTAGGGGCTACCGAAGTTTACCGCAACACTACATAGGTCAATGATTCTGTTTCTATCAAGAGGAGGAGAAGCTTACCGAGTAATATAGCGGGCCATGGATTTCAAGTCTCGCTTTTTATATGGAATTGGAACTGTACGTGGCATAAAAAACCCTCCGCTTGTGGTAACGGCTCTCACGTCCTCTCGGACACATCTAGACAGATAGCGACTTTCAAGTCTTAGCCATCGAAAGAAGGGCTTCAGACGATGGAATTCCCTGAGATCAAAGTCAACAAGTCTGATGTGCTTTTCGAAAGTGATTCTCAGATTGTGGTTATCTTCAACGGCAAACTCCGTTTCTACAGACTTCAGAGAAACTGTTCCATCAGGGCGGATGTAATACTATGGGTATCAAGCGATGCATGCTTTTTGACATTCAAGGCGAGGCGAGATAGGGGTTGGCACATCTTGCTGGGAACTAGGCATCAGGAAGAGTGAAATGAAAGCAATATGGGCGTTGGGTGTCTGATAGGGAATATCTCAGCATCCCTGAGAGGCTGCGGATCCAGGAATCCTGGCTCGCTTCGTAGGAAGTCATTCAAGATGAAAATGGCCTCTTTCATCTGCTGCGGCTCGCACTTCGGAGACTTTATCAAGCGGTCGTATAGTATTCGTAGCGATAATGACTCAATGCCCAGTTTGTCGACGAAGAAATCGCGAAGTGATTCATATGTGTCGTCCAGGGTCCCCATACCGCATAGGGACGTGTTGCTAGACCATAGGACTTCAGTGGACGTGTGCCATCCTGTGTATGGGCCGTGGGGGATGAAGATAAGCGGCGAGCTCCCAAATAAACTCCTACTTGATATTAGAGTTACAAATCAAATTATTCTGGGACACAATGATACTTACCTCATATCCTTGGATGAGGGAATATTCGTGTTCAAGAAGTCATAGATCCGCAGAATCTTCGCAGAGTCCTCCTCATTTTTGATTCGCAGCTCATTCAGCTCTGCCACCAAATGTTCAAGCTTAGCATTCTGCATACCGAGCGTTTCCACGAAAAGGCTCTGTAGGGTGCTTCTAACTTTGGCGTTCGAGCCTTGAACATGGTAAGAGGACTTGAGCGAGCGCATTGTGACCATTTCCGGTGGTGCGTCCCACAAACAAGACGAGGAACTCGTCCACTCAAGTTCTTCTCCATAGAAGTAGACGACTCCGGATTCATCGAAGAAGTTTCTAGTTTAGTGTCAGCGAGAACTAAACTCAAAATCATAGAACAGCTTACCTGAGCTTCTCTCTGTCAGTTGTCATTTCTCCGGAGGCAATGAGCTTGGCATACATGGAAGTATATAGGCACAGGACCTTTTGCAGTTGACAAATTGGATCCTTCTTAAGATCTGAGCGACGTATTGAACGCAAGATCTCGAGACGAAAGTCGAGATTATCTTCCTTACCGACAAGAAGATATTCGGACAGAAAGTTCCACTTTGTGTCGATGCCTCCAGTATCGTCTTCGATGGATCTCAAAAAAGGGAAGTGGTCGGGTTGTTCCATGTAAGCCTCAACTATACAAGTGAGAGTTTTGAGAGGAAGCCAAGTATCTTGTAACTCGATCGCGAATTCAACATCACAAAGGTTGCTTCCAGACAGCTGCCGAATCTCAGATGTGATGGCAGACTCGCTTGATAGCTCCACCTCACCTTTAGACAGAAGATGTTCGAGAAGGCCCAGAAGCTTGTCTGGACCTTGACTCACGATATAAAGGAAATCAGACGATAATTTCCCAGTCCTGGCTGATTCGAGGCAGATTTCTTCCCTCGCGCCAACGAAGTCGCAAAGCCATCTCCTCCAGCTGATTTGTGAAGCGTTGTCCTGAGTTGGCACATAACTCAAAGTTTCATGATGTAAGAAAGAGTAGGAAAGAGAAGATTCCGACTTGATAGGTCCTAGAAGGCTTTCTGGACTGAACGGGTGGTCTTTGCCTGGTAGATAAACTGCCTTAGAATCATATTGTGGCCTCTCAAGTTCCGAGTCTGTTGATAGAACTAGAACTTCTTCGTAATCATCCCGCGTCCAGTCGCTGACTTCATGCGTGAGGTAGAGATATTGCAGATAGTCGTTGACACGCTTTAGCGGGATAGTATCAGGTGCAAACATTAGGCTTCCACGAATTGACTCCCTGGTAGTTTCGACGGAGGGCTGAGTAACCCCAAGGGATTTGAATAGAGCATACCAATCTGGATTTCGAGTAGCGCGTGGCGCCACCACCTTCAAATATTTGGTGTCGGGGAGGGGAATGTCTCCCGTACATGGAAAGTAGACCGGTCCAGATAGCATAGACGTCCATGTCCCATCTTTCAAAGGCACAATTTCAATAGTCTTGACCCTCGAAGCATTCAAGGTTGACGTTTGCGAGAACTTGAGAAGGAATCGCGCCATTCTTGAATGCCACTCTTCAGTAGTGTGTTTTCGACGCATCTTGGGACTTTTTGACCTCATATCAGCCTCCAGCTGTCCCAAAAAAGCCTCATCCTCCAAGGTCTTTGCACCGTGCTCCTTAAAAATCTGCACCACGCGTGGAGGATAGTCCATTGACAAAAGGTTGTCGTTTTCGAAAGGCTCTAGCAGCGGTTGTCCGTTCTCGTCTTTCAGATGATTAGGTAGGATTCTTATATCATTCATGCATCTCGATGCTGACTGATTATGGACCATCACTAAAAGGCCTTTCTGAGCCTTATTTCGAATCTCCAGACTGAGGGGCGTCTTGTGAGTGATTGGAGGGAGAAATAACGGCCATTCATAACGAAGATTGGTGGGAATGCAAAAGATAGAGACGGCCTGCAAGAACGCCTCTGCAATCCAGATACGAATTTCTTGATTCCTTTTCGAGTCAGGCTTAAGCTTTTGTTGATTGTCAAGCTCAAGATCGGCGTCTATCAAAAACTGTAGCACATGCTTAGTATTCGGTCAGACATCAGAGAGGCGAGATATTCTCACGTTGTACTTTGATTTGCTGATAGGCAAAATGTTGAATATCCCTTTGTCTCTTGTGCCGATCAAGGGCTTGTCGCTCTTGGTCAGTGGGAACGCCAATTTGACATTTCGTCGGCCCAAAGCTCCCCGCTCCGTCACAAAGAACACTTGATCTTGTCCTTCCTTTTCATCGTGGTTATCGATTTTGGCTTTAAGTAATTCGCGATTCCATGCGATCCATTGCTTGCAGAATCGTTTGGATTGACGGAGCTCACCGCCCTTGCCATAGAACTCAACGCTTATGCGCCGGAGTGATCTAAGAAACAGTAGGCTTTCAGCTTGTAAGCTTTCATATTGTGCCACAATAATGCCCTTCAGGCGCTCCAGGTGTTCTTCGGTGCCATAGTCGTGAAAATAGATAACCATGCGCGTTAGTGCATCGGGTATTGGGGCAGATGGCGCGACCCAACTTGGCTCTATCGAGCCCCTACTCGACGAGAGACGCAAGTCAATGGAGTAGCCACCTGAACGGAGATAAACATTGGCTGTAGATTTGAAGACCGATTTGAGACAATCTTCCCTAATGCTTCCATCCTCAATGGTGGAAGGCACACAAATATGTTGTAGATCCCTTTCCGTAAAGCCGTCGTCGTTGAACTCAACTTCAACATGACTAGAGTGTATCTTGAAAGATGCGTATGGAGCTTCTTTGTGCGTCCTGGCTTTCGTGAAAACTTTCGCGTCAATATAGAGAAGCAACTCGCGCAAGAACTTTCTGCCACTCTCATACACGTTCTCGTCCAGCCTAGTATAGAATTAGTTCTATGCGGCTAGGCCACTGATTGAGGTCATACTTGTATTCGCCAGTAAGCTCCCGAATGACTCTCTCTGCTCCTCTCTGGGTCGTCATGATGAGTACGGGACAGGTTTGATGTGGTCAAGACTTGAACCAGGCTTCAATCCGATCTCAAAGGTAGGGAACACAATGGAACGCGATTGATAGGAAAGATGGGATTGTTCCTCGTTGCAAGGTTGCTGTTCAAATGGATTGACGTTGTAATAGATGAGGCCGTGAATGCAAAGACGGAGATGATTGCTGTCACTATTGATGGTTCGCAGGGGAAAGTCTATTGCTCATCAGCGGCAATATGCATGTTGGTCACGACATCCTTGTCAGTTAGCCTGTCCCAAACCACAAAGTCTATTTTGTCGGCGCTTCGGCAGAAATAGCTGTGGCATGCTCCGTAGTGCTAGTTATTATGGCGTAGATTTGGGAGCATGTTCGTCAAGCATCAAAGACACTCATATTTTCTCTCAAAGTAATGGTTAAGGAACGCTTTTACCGCGCGTCTTCTCCAAAACCTTTAGGCTTTTGCTCATTTCCTTCGTTGTCAAAAAGTTCCCATGAAGTTTTGTGCTTTGTAATTCTGGCCATCCGTGTTCATACAGCCGCGCGCTTAATAGGCATCCTTCATTCGGCGATTCGACAAATGCTGAGCAGCTGAAATTGAGCGATATTCCATCGACAAGAACATTCTAACCTATCCAATACTTCTAATTATAAAGCCCTATGAACTCATGTTCATCAAATGCCTGTCAATTCGTTGAACTCTCCAAGCGGCTGCACCTTTTTGACAACCCTTGCCGGGGATCCCACGGCCACGCTCCAAGCAGGAATATCCCGCGTCACGATTGAACCGGCGCCTATTGTACATCCCTCCCCAATGGTCACACCAGGTAAAATAGTAACACCGCCCCCAATCCAACAGTCATCGCCAATATTGATAGGATACGCATACTCGATGCAGGCCCTGCGGCTTGCGACCTCCGTTTCATGTGTCGCCGTCGATATCATAACATTTGGACCAATCATAACCCTATCGCCAACCGTAACAATGGCCGAATCCAAGACGGTCAGGTTGAAGTTGGCGTAGAATCTCTTTCCGACTGACATGTTGGGGCCGTAGTCGACTCTGAATGGTGGCTCAATAAAGACTTCGTCATCATCCACGTGTCCGAGAAATGATTTGAGCATTTCGGCTCGTCGTTTTGTGATGTTCTCAATGTTGAGGTCGTCGCCTTCGGGGAACCAAGTGTTGTATTCGTTCATGGCCTTTCGTGCAGCGAGGCGAGCGTTTGTGAGCTTGGGAATAAGTGAGTCGTATCTGCAATAGGTGTCAGTGAGTTTGAGCCCCGCAGATGCACTGAATATGCTCAACTGACAGCATGCCTGAGATCATCCTCTCATATTGTTCGCAGTGGGGAACATTTGCCAGCTTTGATGCCTTCTCCAACTCGGCCTGGTTCTTCTCTTGCGCCGCCATTTTATTTATAGTATCACTGGTAGATGAAAATATGGCAGGTTAGAGAGACAGAAGTCTGGTATATCCTATGATTCATCGTAAAAAAACCTCAGAGACTCGTGTCGTCTTTTATTCATATCCATCAACTGCCAAGCCATCTTTCCCAAAGATGAAGCTATTCCGTAAACAGCAATACTCCCAACTGCCAAGTCCGATTATATCCCCGATGCCGACTCCGACTAACACGGTGGAGTACTAGTGGAACGTCGGCCCGTCAGAAGAAGAGGTATGCATGTTGAGAGCGAAGAAGCTCGGAACAGGTCTAGAAAGAGGCTCGAATCAATAGCGATCAAGGGAAAGAAAGCGGTGAACTTACAAATTCCATCCAGGGAACGTTTGACCAGCCCCGAGGGTTTGTCCTTCTCTCGTCCCAGACTTTCGTCAACAACTCCGTCATGGCGGGGTGCTGGAAGCCTGTAGAGTGCTTGATTTCGTTGATGCACCAGCTTGCGTAGTGTATTTGATGCGGTGAGCATGTATCGGCTCCTGCTAGGAACAGAGGAAATAGCAAACGCTTGTAGAACACGCTCTCTCTCGGTATCGTGGCACAAACGTCCAGGACTGCAGAGACAGAGGCCCTTATCTGAGGGTCATTGCATGAGATTGCGAAAGCGTCTGGAAATCGCATCACACGAAGCAAACATGCGTGTCTATATGCCTCGGCAAGATGTTTCCATTCCTGGTGGCTGGTGGGATACACGGCTTGATCGGGATCCCAGCCACGGAAGAACTTCTCAGCTCCGTCGAGTAATTGCTCAAACTGTTCAACTGGCAAGTCTCCGGCCAGGTAAGCTTTACCAGCCTCAAGTACCTGGCCAATCTTGAAGAACATGACTGGCGGACAGCCAACTAACGTATGAAGGCTCAAACTTCCGTGATCTCTCACACATTCACGTACTTCGGTCGAGTAGGAGAGCTTTTCAGCGCCGCTGAAGCCTCGGATCATATCCAACCTGTTTCTATCAGTGCCGCCAGTGACTTTCTCAAGGTTAAGACTTACCAAGACAACGCGGATATCAAGAACATGGCTGTTTTCGAACGCATTGGCGATGTGTCGAGGCAAGCGATTCGCTTGCAGAGGAACGATACACCTGTCAAGTGGGCTCCATGGGTTGAGACGCCTGATTCACAGACCTATGACTATATCAGCGGCTTCTTAAAGTAGAATTTAACAAAGGTATACCATACATCATGCAAAACAAGAAGTAATACCATAGCCAGAACATGTTCCTCCTCGGTGGGGCTAAGTCGTGAGATGTCTTCTTTGTGCAGCAGAGAAGCAAGAGATCGTATTGCTGATAATCTATACCCAAGAGATACCGTGACGAGTCTCTGACTGTTCGCGTGTCCAGTGTTATACATATGACATGCCGATAATCCGAGTAACGCATGCAGAATTCCTTGATGCTGGTAGGCAAGCGGCAGAACATATTCTCTAAATGGGTTATCCAATCCCGGTACATGGATGATGAAATGCTCGCTTAGCGTTTGATCAACTGTGATATTTGTTACTGTCGTAATTATAGGTGTTTCAGGTGTCTTACAGTAGTCAATGATATGGCGATTTGTCGCAATATCGTTCTCTAGGTCATTGTGTGCGGTGGGCACGGTAGTGAAGGACGCAGCGTCTGGCGACAGTGATAGAGTCGCTGATGTTTGGGGTGACGTCAAGGTCAAAACATAGGTCTCATGGACAGGGCATTCAGGCGAAAGTGAAGCCGGCAGTCTTGGAGCAACGGGATCGGACGGGATTGACAATTCTGGAGGTGACTGGCTCAAGATCACGGGCTGTGAAGGCGAGGCATCAATGCTATCGGATGTCGCATGCTGTGAGTTGGATGAATTGGGAGTGATCGTCAACGTCTCTTGAAATTGAAACCGTGGGGGATACCCTTCACAATGAAGACCTTTGGTGCGACATCTATCGCATATGGGACGTTTCCGATCGCATTTTCGACACTTCTTGCGACATGTTCCGCAAGCTGGGTCTAAAACAATATCCTCGTCAGGATCACCCAAGGCACGGTGAAGGAGAGAAAATATGCTCACCTTTGCGACGGGCAGTTGGGCGATTTGAAGACGAATTATCACTACCTGTCATTATTGCTGAGTGTATTACCAAATTTGGAAGTAAAAGACAATGGTGGAGCGAGAGAAAAGATAATCAAGAGGACGAGAGTCAGCATCGGAGTTGTTGATTTCTTAGTGGGGTCGTTCTCAATCTTTTAGGTCATGCACGCATCGCTGTCATCCGAGCCGATTTATAAGACACGACAAAACCCGCACTCGGAGAAGTGGGACATCACCATCTGACCCAGCCCTTAATTACTGAGATCCTACCTACAAGCCATCATTTGTCTGATATCTAACGTTCTAAAAGTCCGAAGGACCTTTCTCAAGCTCTGGCCGGAGCAAGTATATCGGATCTATCTGTTCTACATAACCGCACGCCGGGTCGCTCATCGAATACCCCATGAATTCCTGTATATCCTGGTCGAGCTTCTTCGCTATTTCTGTAGGCACAGCGAGGAACTGGTTTTCTTCCTGTCTCAAAAAGCCGCGAATGGAAAATGTAGCAAAGACTAAGCGGTGCTGGTCTTTGGTGGAATTGGTACCTCCACCATGATACGCTGAAGCAAGCATGATGAACGCATCGCCCTTGTCCATCTCGGCAAAGATGCAGTCTTCTACACGCGGAGGACCTCGCTCTGAACCCCTGTGGCTCGTCAGTCACGTTTAGTGTTTAAAACATCTGGTGAGCAGCACTGACCATAAATGACTCCCTTGGATGAATTGCGTACCGCCATTCTCCTTTGTGACCTTTGACCCAGCTACAAACAGCCCAACGGCAGACTCACGATTGGCATCACGCTCATCATCCCACCCATCAATATCAGCATGGATGTTGTGACTGATATAGTCGTCGCGGTGAAGTGGTTGCGCTTTGCCTCCAGGTCCGATTCTCATAGCGGTACACGAATGCAAGTAAGGCTTCGAGACCGACTCCTTCCGTTCAGGGCCCCACCAGAACCAACTTCGCGTAGTGAGGAAATGATCGACGACTTGCTGGTAAACTGGGTTCATGACCTGGGATCGGGCGTATGTAGGGCTGAGAGCAAGGAGGCTTGGCGCCCGTTGCGTCTCCTCTTTAGTTCACATGTTAGTTTTGCCACTGTAGTAAGTATCATAAAGAGAACTTGCTGGGGAAGAAGCTACCAGACCATTCAATATCTGAATCTAAACGTGCTCGACATTCATCATATGCCTTATCGACATCTGCCTCAGATACCAGAGCCTTCACAAAAACACCCCCATCACGCTTGAGGAGTGCAATGATGTCCTGGATCGGAGCATCTGCAGGGACTCTCTGCACTTCGGGACCATACTTGTCCAAAACGGACATGGTGGATAAGAAATATGCGATGTAAGCAAATCAGTGCTTAAAATGCTCGCTAAGAATAGCTATTGGGCGATCTGGCAACGTGAAGGAAGAGAGAAAGTTCTTGAACCTGAGAAATGATTGTTCGAGAATGAGTGGAACTCTTCGAAGCGGAGTGTCCGACATGTGGAGGAGCTGGGAGTATTTCCTGTTCTGGTAAGACCGAAAAATACCCCATTCAGAAGTGCATGACAAAACAGCCAAAGCCGACTCCAAGTAACCCTCCACCTTCGTTGAGTACATCTCCGATTTCTCGTTGCGTGCCTAGCAAATGGAGTTGGATATATAGAGGTCAAGGCCGGCCGTTGAGAGACAGCATAGCGGGAACCAAAGTTACTGTCGGCCAATCATTAGCTACGCATCGTTACATACCATTGCTTCAAAATGATACAAAGTATACGTCAAGTACATGTTAAAGGTCACCATAGATCAATCGCTAGAAAAGTTTCTTTCTATAGGCTTACACTTATAGGTCACATCCAGGCTTCGAGAGGTAATAATCAATGCATAGTTGGTATATACAGTAGATATCGCGTGCAGATGAAAACACATATCTTGTTCAGCTCTCTAAATCAGCACCATGAGAAGGGGAGTATCGCCTCAGAAATGACAAGGCAAGGACTTGTAGAGCGTCGGCTCAGTTTTTCTATTTGGGTGTAAGACTGTTAGTTCGGGATTTGCTAGAAAATATATCTTTGCTATGTTTGTTACCTTCTCAACATCATTAAGCTGACATGTCAAACGACGTCATTACGCCAGAACAAGTTGAAGCTATTCCCGGAGTCTCTCGCAACGCCCGCGCCGATCCCGTGCAAGTCCGAGGAATGCCCACTCTCGATCTTAGTTCTTTCATAATCTTACCCTCTATCATTCGCTGTAATCCTCGCGATTTGCTGCTTTCAATATTATCAATCCGAGACTAATTCATAAATCCGACAAGACCCAAAGCGAGCATCCTAATCGAGTGACCCTCTCTCCCGCCTCCATCGCTATCTCCGCTCGCGCTTAATGGCCAGCCGCGAAAGCTTATTATAAATCACCAACTCCCGCTAGTGGCTGGAAAGGTCAAAGCGGACTAAACCGATCTTGAAGAAGATCACCAGAATTAGCAACGGGTATTCGGATAGCGATGGGCATTTCTGGCGCGAGTTGTTGCACTTGTGTAGATCGAGACGGGTAGACAACGTTGTGTCCGTGATAATGCCGGCCGTGGCCTCACTTGTTGTGGTCCGTGGAGTTAGTCCACGGAACGCCGAGATTCTTCATGCAGGCAGCCTCAAAGCCTTTTTGCGAGGTACGAAACGGGTATGACATCGTCGCATCGTCATTGACTATAAGAGTCTTCCTCTGTCCTGGTTATCGACCTGAACAACAACCTTTCAAATCAATCAGTTCTAAGAAACAATTCGTGTACTATTACTCATAATGGCATTTGACTCTTCTCTCAACGGTAACACTTCCCGCCGGCTGTTACTCAAAGGCGGTACTGTCCTTATTCACGACGCCAATGACAACGTCCAAGCTTTAGAAAGGGACATACTTATTGAGAACAACCGAATCTCCAAAATAGCCGAGAACATTGACGAGATCACTGACGGCGAGTTGATCGATTGCACTGACAAGATCATCTCACCTGGCTTCATCGACACGCACCATCATCTTTGGCAGACCCAGCTCAAGGGAAGACATGCCAATGAACTACTTCTCGACTACATGGCCTCCGGCAATCTCCAGTCTTCAAATTATACGAGAAGTGATGTCTACTGGGGACAGCTTGGAGGTTCTCTCGAAGCAATCGATGCAGGCACCACCACTGTAGTTGATCATTCACACGTCAACGTCTTTGCTGGCGCTGGTAAGTCAAATACTCTCAATCTTCAAGTATAAGCTAACCGCCACCACTTTCAGCCTCAACTGCCATCTCAGCCACTGCTTCCTCTGGCCTGCGCTGCGTCTATGGCTACTGTCCAACTGCTCGCGTCGCATCATGGTCACCTTTTTCAATGAACCCAGATATGCTTGCACCCTGGGTCATGGACGAAATAAAGGAGCTAGGCAACAAGGCGCCTTTTGGTGATGGCCGCGTTACCATGGGCCTGGCCTTTGACCTCTGGTTCCTTCCAGAACAAGTCATCCAGGACTTGTTCAAGCGTGCGCGAGAAGCGGGTTTCGAGTTGGCGACGACTCATGCTGTTAGCAACCCACAGATGGGATCTTATGATCTCGTTCAGCAGATTAAGAGCCTCGGCTTGTTGGATAATCGCATGCTTTTCAGCCATCTTAACGGATACGCCGCTGAGAGCGTTAAGGACCTTGCCGAAGCTGGAGCACATATCAGCAGCACTCCCTCCACTGAAATGCAAATGGCTCTTGGAGACCCTGTGTGCCTGAACGATGATCTTCCTCAGGCTCAAGCTCAGTCTAGTCTGGGTATCGACTGTCACAGCAACCAGGCCTCTAGCATAGTTTACGAGATGAGACTTGGTTTGCAGGGCTCGAGGGCCAAGCATAACCAGAGATTGATCGACCAAGATCTGGCCCCTCGCAAGATCTCCAAGACTGTGCAGGATGTATTCAATCTGGGAACAATTCAGGGCGCTAGGGCGATTGGGAGGGAGAGTCAGCTTGGCAGCATCGCTGCAGGCAAACTGGCCGACTTGGTGATTTTTGACGCCAATACTCCCGAGCTAATCTGCGCTGCTGAGCAAGACCCCATCGCAGCCGTT